AAAACCAAATAACGTACAGAAGATAATTACCCTTACCAGGTGCTCTTAATAAAGTGATTTCATTCCTACTAACATGGCTCAGTTGTAGATCACGTTGGTAAAGAACCCTTACTTAGTAGCCGAGAAACAAACCACCTATGGGGCAAATTATTCATTACAGTTTTTTAATAACTTGCATGTGATCTCTTGAGTGATACCAAATGAAATCTACTGAACGCATGAGACTCGCCGACAGATGTTGTCTGAAAATGTGAATATTTTACTTGTTATGACGATATCGCTTCATGCAGGTTAGATCATTATTCTGCCTAAAACAAGGGTCAAATATATTTGGAATAGTTGCTTTTTAGTTCTGCTCTGCTTTCTTTGTTTGTTAATTATATTTTTCTTTCTCGCGGTAAAACAAGTTTTTTTCACTCGGTACAAACAGATAAGAAGTCTATGCTATGCTTTGATATACGAATCTTTACGAAAAATATATAAGCGATAGGAGTTTTATAAAATTGGTAATTGTCCAAACTAATTAATTATACATGTAGACATCTTATCGATATTCAGCGCTCGTAGGAAGAATCAGCTTATAAAAAGTTTCTAAGATTCATGCCGTTTAGGGTGCATCAATTTAAAAGCTTACGGACTATCGTGGATACGTTTAAGTGATTTAAACCGGAAATACACAAATCTTCTGATTAAGATTTTGTGAAATTTGAACAAAGCTTAAGATCAACTTTAGAGCCAATTTGTGACAAAGAGCCACGTAACATGTTTCGGCGAAAAGTTTAAAGAACTGCTTTTTTTTTAATCGTCATGTGGCCCATAAGAATTAATTTTTTGTGACGAAACCGTAGAAAAGCTGTGTCAAGTTTTATATTGATCCGGCCGAGCTTTTTCAGTCAAGTTTAAATAAACCTCTCACCTTCTTTTAAAAATGCAAAGTCTGTCACTAGTCATCTTATCCATCTTTTGGAATCGAAAAGTTAAAAATGTTCATGAACAGCATTGCAGAGACGTGAATAATTACCCTCAGGTAAACCTTCGCTTTAGGCTTCTTCAAAAACTATTTCCCTAAAACTTCACCCGTTTGTACTCATCTTGCTTCAAAAAGTTAGATTGCAAAATGGCAAAATATTCACGAACCTCTTGTAATATGTATTTGTTATCCAATACTATTGCGCGAAGAGTGAGTATTGAGACGAAATAATTCATTATACCAATACTAGGAGAAGAGTTTTGTGCGAATATTTCAAGGCCTTGCTAGGTTAATAAAGATAACAAAAGAGTATTAAAATGCGCTCGTAAACTTCAAAATATTACTCTGACTATGAATAAGACATTACTGTAGGAAAATCTTACCTTGTCCTTCTGGAATTAGTTAAGTCAAAACAGTGAAAACGAAGCTTTAGAGTACAAAGAGAATGTAAAAAAATAAAGCCCGTTATAATTTTAGCAAACAGCTTCAATGAGTTTTTGATAAACAAAACTTAATTATTTTCTTTGGAATGTAGTTGGTTGGTGAAACTCCATTATACTTAATTCATATTAATGGTTTTTATACAGTTGCATAGTGGAAGTTGTTATTTAAAAGTTTATCTATTCTGGCTTAATTATGTCCATGCAAGTGTAACATATGACACAAAGCTACATGAAGACTGTTTATCAAATGTTTATACGCTCTCCTTGTCCGCCCACATTTGATGGAATAGTAGAGACGACCGTCTTACCAAAAAAGCGTCAATGAGCCGAAATTTTTGGAACGTTAAAGAACGATCCAAATTATCTCGTGAGGCCAGTTTTCAAGTGGTCAAGTTTCAGAAGTAGATCACTTCCACCCTAACCCCCCCCCTCCTGCCGCCTCAATTCAGACCCTATGAGTTTGTTGTACAGCGGGTTTCACGAGCAATGGCCAAGGTGATGAAAAGCCCCGTCCAAGCTTCACTTCACGTCTTTTCAAAGACCTTTTGCCCGAAGTTAGACTTTTTTTATTGCATTTATCGCTTCCTTTCTGCAGGGGACTGTCATCATGGGAACCGACTTGTTTCAGTTGTGTTCAAACTGTGCAAGCGAATAATTAGCCCCAACGACATGACACGTTTTTATAAAACCACACACGACAAAATCCACGAATATTACAGTGTATTTTGACTTCAGCTTGAAAGTGCTTAAGCCTCATATCACGCTTTTTTTCAATCTCACACTTATCCATATTTCCACTTCAATAATAATCACTGATCTATAACCATATATAGTCGGAGGTGGCAAGAAGCTAAGCTAAATTCTACAGTTTTACTACTTGAGAGATAATGGTTGCTTGACGTCTTTTCACGAATCTTTGCTCTACAATCTTGTTGTAAAGATCAAAAATTTCATCTCATACTCGGGACAAAGCTTTTAAGGAATGACATGAGTCGAAAAAATGCCTTTAACGTTAGGAGAATCTAGAAAAAATGTGGCAACAGTCATATCCCTGAAATTTCTTCAGCACATATAAGTTATCACACACTGCAAGACCCCCAACCCCCGCACCCGCTTCTGTAAATTTCGGTAAATTTGCTGGACACATCCAAAAATGTCTTTTAATTATTCAGAATGTTTTGGAGAGTTAACAGAGACACAAACTGCCTCTTATATCTGCAATTCACCATTCTTTACGCCTATGTTCGAGGTCATTCTACGGCCATGTGAATCGTAGGTGAATCTTCCGTCTTTATCCAAGGGAGGCAACGTTGAGAAGGTTGAGAAAGTAAGGCAGGAGCAGAGACTGAAAGGATAAGGAAGCAAAAAACAAAAAAACCGAAAAACCAAAAACGAAGGTCGGGAAATTGATATAGAGAACGTGTGGATTCTCGTATTTTCGGTGAAATATATTTTCCACGTTCTTTTCCTTAATAACTTTGTTCTCAGTTAGTGTTAATTTATAACTTAAGTGCAACTAACTAAAGAACCATTACTGACATCTAGGAATCAATTTATTAATTTTTAATATAATGTAATTTAAATTGATACTACTGACTAAAAACTCACGGAAATGATAGTTATTACAATTACACCTTTCTCCTCCTTTTTATGAGGAAGAGCTTGAGAGCCTCCTAAAAAGTTACTCTAAACGTTAATAAAAACATACTAATCTAACAAGTTAATACAGTTAAGTTTATGTCATCACCTTAGCATATATAACCACTTTTACACACTGCTTTCTGAAAAGGGAAACAGAACCTAAATGACTGAATCTCATTTTAGAATTCGTTAGTCCCCACTTAATTAATCAACATCTGGAAACACATTACTTAAAGAGGCCACATCGACAATCTGGCATCAACCCTGGGCCATTTTTTTCAGTCACTTTACAGGATTCCGCTAGAAGTGAAGCTGAACCCTTTTTCAATTGACTGGGAATCCTAAAACCAAAACTAAAACAATAAAAAAATGATGTATTCCAATGATAAAAACCATAAGACACCAAACGTATCACAAAATAGTAAAACACACTTTTCGCGAACAGTTTGCAACCGGCGCCGGTCGCGGTAAAAAAATACAGCCTGTCTCATGCTCAGCAAAATACGAGAAGAAACAAGGATACTGGGTCAAACTGTAAGAATGAAAATTGAAAGTTCCTTTTGGTTTTGAGCTGACAAAGAAAAAACAAATTGATTACATGATAAACACTTACAGTCAATTGAAAAGCGTTCCTATAATGTGACACGTGAAATTTGAAGAACTGAACTCACAATAGTTTCTTTTTAAAATACTAGCTAGTCCTAATTCCTTGCTTGTTATTTAATGACTAATTATAAATTGATGATATCAACCAAGATACGACTATGTTCGTGATCGTCACATAGTCGATCTAACTTACAGTTCCAGCGAAAGCTATTAAAAGAATTCTGTTCCAGTGTGAGTCCTGATCAGTGGTCAGACTGAGAGCTTTTTTGGTCACACACTCTATTATAACACCAATTATTACGGCACCAGTTCGCTCTGTAGGCGTATCAGTATTCCCAGTCCAATGAATAAACGTGGTTTTGAAACAGAACATCGAAGAATGACATAATATTTGATTCCCATCCTTACTTTTGCTTTGACGTATTTCGAGAAACGAGACCGAATCATTGATGAGATTTATCAGTGAAACCACAAAGCATAAGAGTTGTGCCCTCGCCACTATATTTCGGCCCTCTCTTTTTCTACTGTCCGGATCCTTCCAACCTAATGTGTTATTGAAAGCTTTGAAACATTAAATCAAGAGTATCACTGTAAAACCAAAACAAAGGTAAAATATTTATAAATAGAGGATTCTGTTGATAATCAACAAATGAGGCCATACAAATCCCAAATCAAATAAAAAGTTTTTTGGATAATTTGTAACCAGTGCCAATGGCCGTAAAACTGCAATCTGTGTCGTGCGAAAAAATGCAATCAGTCGGCCCAAAGAGCGGCCGGAAAAATAAAGATACTGGGTCTAACTGATCGTATTAAAATTGAAAATCAAGTTTGGTTTTGACTTAATTAAGAAAAATGAATTGACAAACCCTCGTAGTCAGTTGAAAATCATTCTTAAATATATGTAATGATTGAAGTGCAGAAAAATATGAAATACTATTTTCACAACATTTTCTCTACGAAATACTTACTAGTCCTCATTACCTGCATGTTATTTGTTAATTAGTTCTCAATTGATGCACATGTCTATCTGATAAATTGCTCAGAAAAGAGCCGGAAAAAGAACAAAAACAACAGTTTTTATGGGAGCGTGATCCTTATGTCAGGAGATGTTCACAAAAAAAAAAATATTCCAGAAAACTATGTTTGTAAATCTAAAATCTGAACTCAAAAACAAATGACTTTAATTCCTCAGGTTGCACCGTTTGGCCAACAATTTAAAGTGCTCAGTAACTGACCTTGAATATTAAACAAAATATTATTCAATTCCGGAGTTTAAAGACTAATCAGCCTTCAAAACAGAATTAGCCTCACACGTTAGAGAAAGTGCTGCCAAGGGCATGTCACTGAAGAAACGTGATGATCACTCTACCATGTCCATACCTATTAAAACAACATTCATTCTGCTGATTCGTCCCACTGTTAAAAGATCCACCCCCTCCTCCACAAGAAAACTGTTCATTAGCTCCACCATTCCCTCCAGAGTAACCTCCACCGCCTCCAGCTCCGCCGTTACCTCCTCGTAAACCACCTCCACCTCCACGTAAACCACCGCCACCTCCAAACCCACCCCTTCCACTTCCACCCTCTCCTCCCTGAAGATATCCTTTACCTCCTTGACCTCCTTGACCTCCTTGACCAGAAGAGTTCCAAGCACTTTGTCCATTACTGTAGAAGCCGCCGCCACCACCACCTACAATAAAAAAAAACTGAGAAGCAGTTGTCTCATAAATGGCTTCTATTTGACTACTTACTTAAGAGCGTTTAAACGACGATTCGCAATATTATCAACTTACTGCACTTCTCAATTTTAGAAGTTTATTCAAAAATATTATTTGGTTGTCAATTGCTAGAAATAGAACAGCCTATCAAGACAAAAGAAATGTACATGAAGTGATGCGTAGGATTTTTTAAAAAACTGATATGCCTTCGAGAAAAGAAAAACTTCAAAGTTAGAATTAGTAATTTCAAAAATTAAGTTCTGATAAATCTTACTGTCGTCCTCTTGTCCTGATGGATTGAACCTACTGATTGTTTTGTTTTTTTCTTCTTTCTCCGCGTACCTGAATACATTGTACTAGCGTTTCCTCCATTTCCGTTGCTTCCTCCTGAACCCAATGGAAAGTTATACCCTCCATTCCCTGTTGTGTTTATGGACGCATCACATCCAGGATGTTGTTCCAATACATTTTTAATTCCTCCTCCACCTCCAGCTATAATCAAAGACTTGTTGTTTTCTCTCACTACAAATGTACCTCCTCCACCTCCGGCAGTTTTTGGGTTTCCATTCCCTTTTTCCCCTTTTTGACCAACAAGCACATGAATGATCTCACCTTTGGTCAAATTAAAGTTTCCAATCATTCGTGCCCCTCTTCCTCCGGTTTTGATAAAACTGTCCTCACTGTACCCCCCTGAGGCTCCTATTGCTTCTATTCTGTATTTACCAGTGCGTGGCACAGTCCACAGTTGAATACCACTGGACACTGTAACTTGTCCGTCATGGTCTTGATCTTTGTAATGACTACCAATCGACTTTGGACCCTCTGATCCAGTCTTTCCAAGATTTGTAAACACAGCTGTAAATCCTGCATAAAAATGCACAATAAAAGAAATGTTGTTAGTAAGAGATTGTCAAAATTTTCGTTACCATTTCCAATGGTGCCATTACTGAGAAAATGTTCCTACAGCTACATAAATTATTGAATCACCGAAAAAAAAATGAAATAAAAAACATCAGTCACTTAGAGTGTTCGAATAACTTGCATTTTCCGACGCTTCACGATTGTACTTTTAGAAGGTAGAAATCCTTGATATTCGGGCATTGACTTACTTCAATGCATTTAAGGATTACATTCAGCAATAAGATATTGATTGCCGACCTGAATCAAAATGTTTTTTTTGAGTAGCGGCATGATACTTTCATAAACTGTGCGGTTGAGTCATCACCAGGTTTTGTTGTTGGGGAGTCTAAAAATCTTAAGAGAAGAAAATGTTTCCTTCCCGTTCTCATAATAAGAGTAGTTTTTCTCGTCAAATTATTCCAGTTTGTGGTTTGGTGATCACAAGTGACAGCGAAAATAGGAGAGTGAAGAAGAAAGGAACTCCATGTGACCAAAGCTGATAAGTCGACTGAAAAATGCTATGCAGAGCAATTTTCATATCATTATAGCAAGTTTTCCGGGATTGAATTGGTTTTGCCTTACTTCGCCCTGTTATTGGTCCAGAAAACTCGCGTCAACTTGTAGCAGCACGATTTTGATTGAGATGACACACAGCAGACAATATCCAAGCGCTCGCTTTTGAACAGGAAATGAAGTATTATCTGGCATGAATTACTCGTTACGAGAGGTACCGCTCAATCGTAACTGTTATTCAGGCCTTACCTTGTACACAGCCATACAGTTCTACCCTCATTGATATCCAGTCCTGCCACTCTACTGGTTTAAAACGAATGTAACGCGCTGTGATTGGTGGGTTAAGGTCGTGATAAACCACGGTACTCTGATCAATGTTTCCAGCAAAAACCTTTGAATTAGCAACATAAGAGGTTTTCCATTAAATCTTTGATAAGAATTAATTTAATGAATACCAGTTATTACGATGTCAAAACGGTCCCACAACTGATTCATACACCATTCCTCTAATTGTGCCTCTCGGAGGCCTCAATTTGCAAAGCCCCTACTAATGATGATCCAAAATACTTCTTTCCCTGTTTAAACGGGAATCAATACACAAGAAATCAATTTTACCTTCGTTGTGTTTTGTCCTGGGACTGTATAATTGTAGAACCTTTCTGTATCGTTGCCGTACTGTAGATTGTATTTTGTAACCCACTCCCTCTGGTGTCCATTACTTCCTTGTGTTGCTACACGTGTCACTTGAGTGTGCAGAGTAACCAGATCAACTTGGAGCCACTGATCTGTATCATTATTTTCAGCTGCCCAAGATCCCTCTCTGTCAGGATTTACAACTAGAAGTCTGCTCTGAGTGGCGGAGTGTTTAGAGTCTCTCTCTGAAGAGGCGCTTAACTGTCCGTCAGAGATTTCATCGCTTTGGATGCCAAGAAATCTTCCACATTCTGTTTACGAAAGGTTAGCGGACGTTTTACAAATATAAGTTATCTACGGCAGCGAAATAAAGGCAAGCTATGAGATCATGAAACAATTAAGAGCGCTTGTCTGTAAAAATCAGACAAATTCTAAATTTCGCGGCAAGGGTGAAAAATTCGATTTCTTTCTTATTTTAATATTAGATAGGCTAGACTATAACTAAAATCACTGGATACTTTTTTTGGAAAAATATCTTTTTATTTCAGAGAAAAATACAAATAACAAAATTCCGTTAAAATCGTCATTTTTAGCAGCAAATTATTGCACAAGTTTGAGGGCTTCGCATTCAAAAACGAATCACAATCTCGTCTTCTTAACGCTCAAATCTTCTTTTTCAACCTCACAAGACCTCACAAAACGATTTTTGTAAACACTGCGTTCCTCTTTGCGTGTAAAATAATTTAATTTCGAAAGCATACATTTCTCTTCAGTTAAAGTACTTTGTGAGTAAAGTTAATTTTCAGCATGTGCTAAACCTTCAAATGGATTAAGCTTTGGGCGATAGAATTACGAAAAGCTGCTAAAAATGATGGTTTTAACGGAATTTCGTTACTTGTATTTTTCTCTGAAATAAAAAGATATTTTGCCAAAAAAAGTATCCAGTGATTTTAGTTATAGTCTAGCCTATCTAACATTAAAATAATAAAGAAATCGAATTTTCCACCCTTGCCGCGATATGTTTGATTTTTACAGACAAGCGCTCTTAATCAAGCGCAGTTTACATTGAGCTAAAAAATGTCGTTAACATAATTTCAGAAACTTTCAACGAAATGAAGAGCCTTTAATCAATCAAATCAACTGTAATGCATACAATGATTATCAGCTATAGAGGAAAGCCATTTCCTTACCTTTCACGCATCCATACAGTTCCACTCTCATTGATATCTCACCTTCCCACTTCACTGGTAGAAAACGTATGTACCTTGCTATGATTGATGGGTTCAGGTCGTGATAAACAACACTGTTCTGGTCTGTGTTTCCGTCAAATTCCTGCATCATAATAGATGTGAAATATATCTTGTGTGTTTTGATATAAAATGCACGGTACATGTCCGCCTTGTATACTTAAGAACTTGTTTAATAAAATTTATGTAATTATATTATCCAATGTTTTTCGCTGGGTAAACCGTGAAATATTTCACGAGCGATTTGATTCATGAAATTCATCCCATGCCACCGTACGGTAAAATTAAGTCGAACTTTTTCTACAAATTTCTATCTGAGGTTAATCAAAAACTGGATAGATGAGATTTTTACTCCGGCAAAGAAAATGATTGATGTATGAAATTGTCATACATCGTAACAATTTTCTTGAACAACTGCCGACTCGTGCCGACTCGTGCCGACCCGTGCATCGTAATCGAGTAACGAAGAGGATTGTTTGTACTAGCAAACTACTCAAAGAACGCATTGGGAAGTTTAAGTTAAGGAATGAACTTGGCTTTGTGTACAATGAGCTGTTCATGTTTTAGAACCCTTCCAGGCCTCTGATCAGTTTTACCTTTACCTTTGATATGGTTTGTCGTTGTTCCGTGTAGTTTTGAAATCTCAATCCATAGTTGCTGTATTGTAGCTTGTACTTCTTCACCCATTTGTTATGTTGATGGGATCCCTGTGTTGCCACTCGTGTTACTTCAGTGTTTTGAGCTCTGAGATCGAGCTGAAGCCACTGATTAATATCCTTTTTATCAGCTATCCAAGTCTTCCCTGTGTGATGTAATCTTACAATTTTCTCTTTATCCATGTGTTTTTGGGACGAGAAAGTTATCTGCTCATCGGTGATTGCACCACTTTCCATACCAAGCGTTCCTTGGCAACGTAAATCTATTTTAAAGCAAAAGGAAATCTAAAATTACCAAATAAAAAAAGAGAGTCGCAACACCTTAATATACCTGAAATTGCTCACACGCCATCGGTAGATATTTTCCATTTTACATAATCTGAGTACATTTTGGCTTCTGCCCACATCAGGTGTATTTTCGTAATGAGAAAATATCTCCTTAATGCTGTTTACATGTTTGTGAGTGAACGTTGTTGCGAGGAGCTTGGTGTATAATCTTCCATTTTAACAGATTAAGAGCATCAGATCTCTTCATTGATGTTATCAAGCATTTTCTCACATAAAACTTTGAAAGCCCGCAATATACAGAAACCTCGTTTTAATCATTTTTTCAACCAGTTGTTGGATTAAGTGATGAAATTGAGTACTGAGCACCGTGGCTTTAAAAATTGGGAAAATCACGTCAATTAACTGTCAACAACTGGTAACAATGAACGTTTGCCTTCAACAAAATATTTGTAGACTTGAAAATTAATCCTTTTTTACAGTTAGTCGCAAGAAGCCTTCATCGAAAAAACTGCAGTCGCTTTGCGAAGAATGCGCATATCAGCGTTGAGGAATAAGTGGCTAAGCCAATGTTATTGAAATGTTCCAACAGAACTTTCATTTAGTCATGCCGTAAAGTTCGTCGGGAGCATGGGGAGAAAATCTTTGTCGCCGTCCTGTATACGCTCTAGGATTGTTAACGACGACGACTGATTATAATGAAGTGTGTCAATTAAATGTGCCCCTAAGATGGATAAAATGGTGGTAACCCTATTCTCACTCGATTCCGATTTTGTTCTAATAGCTGTCTCTGAAGCCTTTTAAGGTGGGATATCCGTTTCGCTAATTTTGGAATTCATTTACTGATGTCGCAACCTCGTTCCCAAGGTTTCTCCCCTTCCCACCCCAATCTAAGAACTAAGTTGTCGATGTAATGAAATGGTCGCTATTGTTTTTCCTAGATGTCGTCAATTTGTTCGTTTCCTTGAAAGTCCTGTAAAATAGTTCAGCTAATGGCCCACAACACATAATTAGTAATTTAATGTTCTGTTTACTTTTTTAGCTGCTTCTCGTTCCTCATGCAGTGAAAACCTCAGGGTCTAACAGTCGCATAATCACACTTTTTTCTCTACACTTTTGTATAGATTAGATCGATTATTCAACGTTGCTTCTTTGAAAAAGAAGAAAAAAAATACACGAGTATAAGAGGTCGCAATGTTCACCTTTGGGAAAACGTGTGTCGCTGTCTCAGTTTTTCATGCTCAAAGCATGAAAAAGTTCCAATAGACTTACTAGCTGACTGCTGTATTATATCTACATGATGGGAATTTAGGTTTCGTCTATTCGTGTAGCTTCTTAGTATTTTGTTTTGCTTCTAAAAGATCATGAAAAAATAAGCTGGGAAAATTGAAAAAAACCGTGTAAGTTGATCCGGATCAGGGCGACACTAATTTTGAAAGGTCTAACGATAAAATACTCACGGAAATAGATATTTAGTCAATATCTTATTCAGAGGATCTAAAAATGAAGTTCTTCAGCGCTGTGGATTACTGACGACTAAGCAGATTAATTATAATGTAAAAATTTTACAATCCTTTGCTTTCGGGTTTGGAGAATGTGCTATTTGTTGACTTCCGATTGACATGCTTTTGTTGTGATAACCGCTATTTTGAGAGGCTTCCTACTCGGCGCTGGTAAAAAGCCCGAAACTAACTTTTACACCCCATTTTAGACCAGCATTTATTCTCTTAAAGAATGTCAATTTCAATTTATCCGATGTTTTACCGGGTACAAAAAATGTCCCTTAAAAAAACACGCTAAATTACAAATTATTCGAAGGTGAATTTTAGTTAATTTCATCGGCTTACCATGACCTCTAAATTTTATTCACTGGCGTAAGATTGAAGTCAAGTTACTTGGAAAGACTTCAACAGCAATGTTGAAAGCAGGAAACGGTTCTTTCTATGATGCCAATTCAAAAGGGCGAATTCTATGTGAAGGTACCAATCACCTATTTTTCGGATGCCTTTCAGGACACTTTGGCTCGTGACGGCTTTTTCATTTCATGAAAGTTTAAAAAGATGTTTCTAGAAAAAATCCTATCACGTTTCTTAAGCCACTATAGGGTATCTTCAGAGAAAATATGAAGAATTTTGATTTTTCGAGATGTATCACGAATTTCCATTTTCGCTCGGTCTTAGTGGACATTCTCTCTTCAATGTATACAATAAGTCTATCTCGTTGTGCTACTGAATGATTACCCAGGAGTCAAGACAGAGATTACCTCTAAATTTTCATTTGCTTCTAGTTCAGCCGGCAGTGCTCATCAGCAACGTACACGAAGGTGCGATCCAGAATTATTGAATTGAACCTTTTTTATCTCACTATTTATTCAGGAAAATGGTCTGGCATGCTAATATTGAATTTTTCTGCATACGGCTTGAAAATTGTCAGTTTGCACTCCTTTGGTGTACACATGATCCACCCAGGGTTCACCGACCAGACGGCAGTTCAGAACTTTTTCCCTAGTGCATAAAATCTATCCTAGACCACCTTGTCGGGTTTTCCTTTGCTTTTGCGGGCGCCACTCAAGACAAAATGAAACTGAAACCCCGGAAACAAATGAATACTTATCCACCATGTCTTTGATAAAAGTGTAAAGGTATTAATTCGAAAAAAGATTTGATATTTGAGTACTAACTATATTAACGATTGCTTCTTTGCGTATCTTTTTTTAATACGCCTCCGACTGAAAATGGACGGGTGATCTAGCACCTGATGCAAATCTAAAATAAATGCGTCCTAAATGGTAGCAAAAGGCCATTTCTCCCCCCAGTTCACAGCATGCAACAATACCTATAGGTACTAACCTAAATTCACACACTTGTACTTGACTTCCAAGTATTTATATGTGCCTGGGCATGGATCTCCAAAAACTGAAAAATCTGCATGCAGCTCGCAACTAGCTTCTTCGTTGCACTTCAACCGCACAATGAAAAGAGAGTTCGCAGCTTTGCAGTTTGTATCGCTAACTGCGGAATGATAGCAAGTGTTTGAGTCCAGTCTACCATAATTTGCATCCACAACGTCGATAGTTCTTTGGTCATTATCACAACTTATGGTCCTATTTCCTCCCTCGCAAATGATAACAGACCATAATTTCTCTAAATAAAGGAGGAAACAAACAACACTATCAATACGACAAAAGTTTTGGAATAATGTTCACTTGCAGAGCACCCTGCAATTTTGCTAGTCTCGTGCCGGCGTCTGTTCACAGTTAACAGTTAACTTTTTTTTTCATTGTGAAAACATTGTTTGGTACCTTGGCTTGTTACTGACCTGTGCATTTGGTTCCATTTCCCTCATATCCATCCTTACAAGTGCATTTGTAAGATCCCAAGGTATTGTTACACTCAGCATTTACATCACAGTCGTGTTTTCCTTCAGTGCATTCGTTGGTATCTAAATCAACAAAAAACAGTTTTGTTTTCTGGTCATTCCTTTTTGTCACATGACAGGTACCATCGAGAAAATAGAGAGTATGGTATGTTGGTTACGTGTGCAGTTGGTTCCATTTCCTTGAATTCCATCTTTAAACGTGCAATTGTGAGATCTTAGGGTATTGTTACACTTAGTATTTACATTACAGTTTTGTGTTCCGATCATACACTCATCTAGATCTAGAACACAAAAAGGAAAATAATGTAAATGAGACCGTTTTTCTAACTAATCTGAAAAACTGAGGGTAACAAACGGAGTATGAATATGTCAGAACTAGTTACCTGTGCATTTGGTTCCATTTCCTTGAAATCCATCTTTACACGTGCACTTGTAAGATCCCAGGGTATTGTTACACTCAGCATTCACATCACAACCGTGTGTTCCGTTCAAACACTCATCTATGTCTGAGACAACAAAATGAATATCATTAGAATGTGAAGGTTATTTTGACTTGCTCTGGCTGCACGAATTTTCGTATTCACGTGAACGTTTCCTGTTGTCAGATAAGAATACTTACCTGTACAGTTTTTGTTATTTCCCTGATATCCTTTCTTGCACTTGCATGAGTACGATCCAAAGGTGTTATTGCACGTGGTATTACCCTCACAGCTATGTTTACTGGAAAAGCACTCGTCTATGTCTATAAGAGGAAAAGAAGACGATGGACTTTATCTGAGTTTGTCTGCTTAAAGATTTTCATTGTTTTATGTCTTTATCTAGACATGGGATCACGTCTGATCTTTGCGTAAACTTTGTACTCAGTTTTATTGCCATTCGCTTCATAAGAAAGGAAACCGAGAGATTACAGACTGTTCGCGTAGATGGTGGGTAAGAAACCGCGCTAAAGAAAATTGAGACTGAATGAGTTAAAAAACAAAAATGATTGAAAAATCCCTTTCCAAGATGAACCATGAGAAGCAACAGAGTTGTTCGTATGTAAGTCCTCTTTTGTATTTTGAATAACTTGTGCCATTCTGGATTATTATTCTCGCAAGCCATGAAAGGCAAAGGCTTTCACCAGCGATTTTCTGTGACTATCAAACTACTGAGGTGTTCGCGATTGTTCGGTACTCATCCCTTTCAAATAAGTCTTCCCAATCACCTAAAAGAACTTCAATGTGAGGGAGAGGCGTGCAGAGCTTATCACTTATACATTACGTTTCTGCCTTAATAAAAATATAAGATTCCTTACCCTCATCACAATCATGGCCTTTAAATCCAGATCCATTAACACACAAACACTGATAGTCCCTGTCTGTAAACCCAGCTTGGCATTTTGCGTTATTCTTGCAAGGATTTTGCCTACAAGCATTCTAACGAAGGAAAGGAAGAGATAAATTTGATATGATATTTTTGCACGCATGATAGTTTCCTTGCATGTGTTCATTTGTTCCGTTGCAAGCGGGTAAAATTAACGGGTTAGGGAGGCTAGGGTATCCCTTGGTCCGGTATTAAAGCTTTCTCGGACAATCAATATTACTTTCAGCCCATAGAGTTCATCCTCACCTCTGCTCCGCGGTAAACACAAGTTTCGTTTTCCACCAGGTCTTGATCGTGATCAATAGTCGCGTTATTCAGATCACACTTGTGTTTTCCAGACGACAGTTTTATCTCACAGAAGTTATAACTGACGCAGTCAGGTTCCAGATAGCATTGAAACATGCAGAGATCCTCGTTAACGACGTCAATTGTTCGAACCGTGTGATTCTCCAACCGGAAGCCAACTTTAGGAAAACTGGTAAACTTTAAATTGCGGCAATTGCCTAGAGAAAGAATCTACTGAGTTAGAAAGTTGCTTTGTGGTACTAGGAACTTTTACTTAAACTGGAACTTTAGAGCAGTGTTACTCCTGAATCATTGCTCTAATTTGAATTTTGGTTTTCTGCCTTGCGTATAACACCAGTCGAGTGATTTTAAATATTGTTCTGAATGATAGAGGCATTTCTAACTTCTTTTTGATGCGATCACTTATTATGATCGATCGATAAATCGACGCTGAAGTCTACAATCAACCCGGAGAGTAATTCGTATCTATCACGAAATGATGGTGTTAATTGTTATGTAGCGTGACTGCAGATTTCGACCATACTGAGTATTATGAAAGCAAAGCGAGAGATGATTAACCTCGCTGACGTATAATTCATTCTGTATATTAAGAACTTTTTTACCAACCCTTTTCATACTATTTAGATCCTAGATTTTATCTCTAAAAATATAACAAAAGTTTTACATCCATGGTGTGCATTAACAATAGCTAGGCCGGCGAACTGACTGAAATTTATCCTCGAGCATGAGTATTATGAAGGCGTAATTGAGTATAACAGGAACAATAAATCCTAAAATGTTACATTTTGGTCGAGTGAAATAGAAATACGATGAAAGGAATCATGCGACTGCTTTTAAGAATTTGATGTGCAAGTAGTAATTGACAACAAAACTTGAAAAGCGATAGGATATACGACGCCGCATGCTGTACTAACGGTTTTTTGTCAAATTCGTTTTTCTGGAATTTTTCGTTCAAGCCATGGGGTAAAGTCTGCATTTTCACGTCATCTTCTTTAAGAGCGTGTTTTCGAAAATTTCCGTTTTCGATGGACAACTTTATTATCCAGATTGGTGTTGATGGTACGATAAACTGTAAGAATAATTTTCCTTTTAAATTTACTGCACTAAGCGAAAGTGAGGACTCAAAGCTAGGTGTTGAATATCGAGCCTGAGGAAAAATTTTCATGTCAGTCAAAACAAGATGTCTGCATCAATTAATGATGAATTCCTTTTCACAAATACATCCTTTGTAGGGAACACGTCCGTGGTTTTCCATCAGACAGAATCTACATTAAGCTACTTACTTTCCTGTATTCGAAAAATACAATCAAACACTTTTATTTCCTTCAAAGCAAAAAAGCGTTAAAATCTTTTTGTGATCATTAAAATGTGCTGACGTCACTGTTTTAAAATAATTTTCGATCTTGTTTCGCCATACTGACGCGGACGATGGACATTCATTTATTTTGCCTGAGTTCGTCAAAATCTCGTGCTCATTATTGCATGAAATAACTGGCAGATTTGCTCTTGCAAGGTTTTGAAAACCTGTTCTTAGCTCACAGTGAAACCGACCAAATTAAAGTTGCTTTGATAGCAGATAGTTTAAAAACGGTCTGTTTCGAGACTCGTGTCACATTTGCAAAGCAAGGTGGTGTTTGCCACCTTTGTTCTCGCGCTTTTAGAAACTTAAAACCTGACGGCAGTATTTTTGAAAATTAAATACTCCGAGAAACTCCACGAGTGGACGGTCAACAATCTAAATTTTGATCAAAAAGGACTGCGTAAAATTTGTTTAACAAATTTTTTCCGTGAGAGCCACCTGTTTGGGTTGAAAAGCCCTTTTTAGGAAGTATAATGAATGTATGTGTGTATTTATGTATATATACATGTACAACTTCCCTTCTGCAGAGGCTCCCCGCAATCCACAAAGTCCTCATTTTATAGGATTGTAATATTTGAATCAACTTAAGGATCAACTTTAGAGCCAGATTTTACTACAAGGGCCATGTTGTGATGCAAATAACATGTTTCAGCCCAAAGTAAAAAGCTCTGTTGCTCTTTCTTTTCTTTTTAATTATTTTCCCCGAAACGTTATTTATAGTCGAAAGACTATATTACATAACTTGAAAGGTTCTACTTCTGTGTCAAGTTGATCCAGCCGAGCCATTTCAGTTGAGTTCAACAAGACTTTCCACTTGTTTTAAAATTCGAAGATCTGCCTGTAGTCATCTTATCCTTTGTGCCGCATCAAAAAGTCGAGAACGTTTATGGAAAACATTGCAGAGACCTGATTAATTATTTTGAAGTAAAAATTTCCTAAAACTCATGTTCCCTAGAATTTTAATTCTGAACTTCTTATAAAATATGAGCGTTGTCTTATGCCTATCTAGAGCGAAACTTGGTCAAAATTAGTTTATTTTCTGAAATATTTCAGGAAGAAGTTTGTGTGGATATCTCAAGGCTTAGTTATGTTTATAACGATGATAAAAAATGTAACATAAAGATTCGGTAAACTTTTAAATAGTACTCAAACATGAACTAGGACATAACCGTAGGAAAATCTCACCTTGTCCTTCTGGTATTAGAGAAGCCAAAACGGCGAGAGCAAAGCAGTAGAATACAAACAGCATGTTCCCACAAAACGCCCGCTATAATTCCAACGAACAGCTTAAGTGAGTTTTTCAACTTTATGTCGAGGAACATCAGACAAATTGAGACAGCCGTAGTTAAATATGCGTTCAAATACTCTACACTTATTACTTTCGGCGGGAGATTGTCACCATAGCAACTGACTTGTCTCTGTGCAAGCGAATAATTAACTATATCTATAAAGATGAGGTTTTATATAACCACACACAACCATCCCAGCGGATATAACAGTGTGTTTTGACTTCAGGTTATAATTACCCATGCCCAAAATATTCAATTTTTTTCAAGGGACCTACTGGAGGCTTTGTTACAGAAACAGGTTAAATATTCTATTCTATTATTTAACTATGTATTTAATTCAATAATAATTACAGGACTATAAACGTACATAATCAAAAGTAGCAGGAAGCTCAATACTATGATTTTACGACTCGAGACGATTTTAAGTTCTGGAAAGCAGGAACTCTTAATGGTTAATGAACGTCTTTTCATGAATGTTCGATCAGAAACAGCAAAATTACCACAAGACAATTCCCAGGTGTCTTTGCGATACCCCTACAGGAGTAACTGGGCCTACTTTCCTTTCTTTCTTTAAATTACTTTGAACGTTTTCTAAATTCACCAGTGATGACCAAATAATCTCCACAAAGAACAATGAATAGCATGCTTTATGTACAAAAGTATATATCGATAAGTGAATGGAAAAAAGTCAAATTCTAAGCTCCTTGAAACTTTTGAGGCGCGACGACATGTCACGGCGTTTGCAAATCAAACACAGAGACAAGATAAACTGGGCGCTGAAAAAAAACCTAAACGGAAAGATTTAACAAAGACCCTTAAACTACATAACAAAACGTTTTGTTAAATGTGATGAATGATGTCAGCTTCCCTCAAAACAAGTTAACAGGAAAGTATTTACAGTACTGTGGATTGTTTTTTAGCTATGATTAAAAATCATGCCCGAAATTAAACTTCTTCGACTATGTATGTGAGAGAGAGCCAGTAATTTATTTTTTTAAAGAAATCATGCATTAATAAATGATTCAGACACATTATATCATTAAGGGACATTAGGTCTTATTGAAACTATTAAGAAAGTGAAACACAAAAAGTTTTTTGAAGAACAAGTGCGAAAAAGATTAGGCAGTAGGCACAAATAAACATAGTCTAAAAAATGCGGTTTGTAAATTTAAACTCTGAACTAAAAAGGAACGACTTTAATATCTAAAGGTTGCGCTGGTTAACCTACACCTTGAACCCTTAATAACAAAACCTGAAGAATGAGAAAATAACCGATAAGCTAGGGAGTTTAAAAACAAGCAACAATCAGCCTTCAAAACAGAATTTCTTCAGTCTATCCTGTTAGAAAAGTGCTGCCATATACATTTCATTGAAGAAACACTATTGAACAAATTAGAGGTAGCTGAAGCTATGAAGATTCAGCTTTTAGTCTTCCTGTTTTCAAGAGTTTCATAACGACATGAAATCCATGGCATTTCTTCAAGAGAATTAAGTATTAAGTTAGATTTCTTGGTATTAAATTGAATTCTTCTCGCAGATGATTTTGGTGTCGTCGGTAAGGATGTCAGCATGAATTTTTGCTCGGCAAAAATCTGTCGCATGCAACAGCTTATACGGTAGTCAAATATATCATCGTCTCTGATTCCTTTCGATTCCTTATTAAACTTTGGTTTACAAGGAAATTATCTGTCAGAGTGTAGCTGAGATATTGCGTACGCTGTCGTTGATAGAAAGGTACGCTAAGATGATAGGAAGTGACGTTTTATGTTCATCCGTATTAGTGAGACATACTTTTTCAAGTATTTTTCTACCATCATCTAAGAACCAGGGAATAATTTTTGAAAGTTAAGGAACCCCGAGACACATCCGAATGTTTGCAAAATCGGCTCCACGGATACTTCCAACTTCCTTCACGAGTAGACGAAGTCATGCAAACACTGAAAAAGCCCTCTATTACTTAATTGCAATCTGTTTACAGGTCAACGAATTAAACTACTTTCTTCATATTCTTTTCCCTTTTAAACCTCAATTAAAAGTCAACGTTCTTATTTATTATGGACTCGATATTTTCCTGATTCTTTCAAGGCTTTTCTTGAGTTTTTCTCAGTGAGTACTTTCTTAGTCCAAACTTTTCAGGACTAACAACACGGGTGAATAGTTTTCGGTCTTCAGCGTCTTAGATCAATTTCATTTCCTTTCCTGGGAAAAAATGATCGCGCTTCCCTTAAAATTAATATTTGTCCCATAATCAGGCATTTTTAATAACAATAACTGACCACACGACCACCCCTTAGTTATGAAAACCTTATTGTGGAGCGAACAAAGCTCCCTGCGATTCAGTGTCTATTCAAAAACTAATCTACCTAACCTTAAAACACTTCAGAACCAAATAACGTAGAAGATAATTACCCTTACCAGGTGCTTTAAATAAAGAGATTTCATTCCTAATGTCATGCCCAGTTGTAGATCACATTGGTAAAGAACCCATACTTAGTAGCCGAGAAACAAACCACCTATGTGGCAAATTATTCATGACAGTTTTTTAATAACTTGCATGGAGTGTGATCTCTTCGGTGGTGCCAAATTAAGTCTACTGAACACATAAGACTCACCGACAGATGTTGTCTAAAAATGTGAATATTTTCTTAATTTTACTCGCTATGACGATATCGCTTCATGCAGGTTAGATTATTATTCCGCCTAAAACAAGGGGCCAAATATATTTGGAATAGTTACTTTTTTGTTCTCTTCCGTTTTCTTTGTTTGTTAATGTTATTTTTGTTCAGTGTATTTACTCTGAAAAAAGACAGAAAAAGCCTAAGCTATGCCTTATTAGACGAATCTTTACGAAAAAAATATAATCGCTACGAGTTTTACGAAATTGGTAATCATCCAAACCAAGATATACATCTATACATCTTATCGATATTCAGCGCGCGTAGGAAGCATCAGGGAGTAAAAAGCTTCTAACATTCACGCCTTTTAGGGTGCATCAGTTTGAAAGCATATTAACGATTGTGAATACTTTTTAAAGATTAAGACCGGAAATGCACGAATCTTCAGATTTAGATCTTATGAAATTTGAATAAACATTACTAAGATCAACTTAAAGGCCAAATTGTGACAAAGAGTTAGGCTCTATTACCTATAACATGTTTCAGCGAAAGGTTTAAAGAACTGCTTTTTTTCTTTAAATATTCATTTGGCCCATGATAATTAATTTTCATTTCGAAACTGTAGGAAAGCGGTGTCAGGTTTTATGTCGATCCAGCCGAGCTATTTCAGTCAAGTTTAAATAAGCCTCTCAACTTCTTTTTAAAATACAAAGGTCCGCCACTGGCCATCTTATGCATCCTATGGGATCGAAAAGTCAAAAACGTTCATGAACAGCATTGCAGAGACGTGAGTAATTACTCTGAGGTAAACTTTCCCTTTAGGCTTCTCCAAAAGCTATTTCCCTAAAAATTTTATCCTTTTGTGTTCATCTTACTTCAAAAACTTGGGTTGTAAAATGACAAAATACTCACGAGCCTCTTGTAAAATGTATTTGTTATCCCATACTATTGCAAGAAGAGTAAGTATTTAGACGAAATAACTCATTATACCGATGTGAGGAGAAGAGTATTGTGCCAACTCCCCCTCCTCCCCCGCCGCCTTTAATTCAGACGCTATGAGATTATTGTACAGGGAAGGTTGACGGGGGGTGCGGGTTTCTCGAGCAAGGGCCAAGGAGAAGAAAAGCCCCGTCTGTGCTTCACTTCACGTCTTTTCAAAGAACTTTCGAGCAAAGTTGGATTTTTTATTGCGAAACAATTATCACTTCCTTTCTGCAAGAGATTGTAATAACAGGAACGGACTCGTTTCAGTTGTTTTCAAACTGTGCTATCGAATAATTAGCCCCATCAACATGACAAATTTTTATATAACCACACACGACAAAATCCACGAATACTACAGTGTATTTTGAATTCGGCTTGAAAGTGCTCAAGCCCCAAATTACCCTTTTTTTCGGGATATAAAAGGGCTTTAGTACAATTTAATGGAAAAAGGGTCAAGATTTTATCCTCACACTTATTCAAATCTTCTCTTCAATAATAGTCACTTAACTATAGACATGTATGATCAGAGGTGACAAGAAGCTAAGACTTGAGAGATAATGGGTGCTTGACGTCTTTTCCCGAATCTTTGCTCAACAATTTTTTTTTTGAAGATCAAAAATTCCATCTCATACTCGGGACAAAGATTTTAAGGAATAATATGAGTCGACAAAACAGTTTATTTTGATTTTTTTCCTAAAGACGCCAACTTGTAAGATTTTAGTTTCTTATTTAAATTACCCGAAAATTATATACCTGCCAACATGGTGCAACTTGAGCTGGTTACTTTCAGTAGGTTCTGAACGATTCTTTTAATGCAAGGAGAATCTGAGAAAATGTGGCAACAGTCATGTCCCTGAAATTTCTTCAGCTCATATTGGTCATCAGACACTGCAAGACCCCCAACCCCCGCACCCGCTTCTGCAAATTTCGGTAAATTTCCTGGACACATCCCAGATTTCCTTTAACTTTTGGGAATGTTTGCAGAGTTAATAGGGACGCAAAATGCCTCTTATATCTACAATTCACTATCCACTAGGCCTGTGTTCAAGGCCATTCAACGGCCACGTGAGTCGTAAGTGAATCTTCCGTCTCTAGCCAAGGGAGGCAACGTTAAGAGGGTTGAGAAAGTAAGGCAAGAAAAGAGACTGAAAGGATAAGGAAGCAAATAAACCAAAAACCAAAAACGAAGGTCAGAAAATTGTTGCACTAAACTTGAGGATTCTCGTATTTCGGTGAAACATATTTCCACGTTCTTTCCCCCAATAAAGTATTATTAATTTCTCAATGTGTTATTTTATAACTTAAGTGCAACTAAGTAAAGAGCCATTACTGACATCTAGGAACCAATTTATTGATTTTTAACATAAAGTAATTTAAACTGACACTACTGACTGAAAACTCACGCAAAATGATAGTTGTTATTACAACTACACCTTTCTCCTCCTTTTTACATGGAAGAGCGTGAGAGCCTCCTAAAAATTTATTCTAAATGTTGACAAAAGCATTCTGATCTAACAAGAAAATAAGTTTTGCGGAAACTTAAACGTGTCATATAAAACACGTTGGCATATAAAACCGCTTTTATGCCCTGCTCTCTGAAAAGAGAAACAGAACCTAAATGACTGAATCTCGTTTTAGCATTCGTTAGTCTCCTCTCAGTTAATCAACATCTGGAAACACATTACTTAAAGTGGCCACATCGACAATTTGGCATCAACCCTGGGCAATTTTTTTCAGTTACTTTACAGGATTCCGCTAGAAGTGAAACTGAACCCTTTTCAATTGACTGGAAATCCTAAAACCAATAATAAAACAATAAAAAAATGACGTATTCCAATGATAAAAACCAAAAGACACCAAACGTATCACAAATTAGTAAAACACACTTTTCGTGAATAGTTTGCAACCGGCGCTGGTCGCGGTAAAAAATGCAGTCTGTGTCGTGCGCAGCAAAATACGACCCAAAGGGAGGAGAAACAAGGATCTAACTGTGAGTATGAAAATTGAAAGTTGCTTTTTGTTTTGAGCTGACAAAAAAAAAACAAATTGATTACATGATAAACCCTTACAGTCAATTGATAAGCGTTCCTATAATGTAACACGTGAAATCTGAAGAACTGAACTCACAATAGTTTCTTTTTAAAATACTAACTAGTCCTATTTCATTGCACGTTATTCAATGACTAATTACAAATTGATGATATCAACCAAGATACGACTAGGTTCGTGATCGTCACATAGTCGATGTAACTGACAGTTCCACCGAGAGCTGTTAAAGAATTCTGTTTCAGTGTGAGCCCTGATCTGTGGTCAGACTGAGAGCCTTTTTGGTCACACACTCTATTATAACACCAATTATTACGGCACCAGTTCGCTCTATAGGCGTATCAGTATTCCCAATCCAATGAATGGACGTGGTTTTGAAACAGAAAACCGAAGAAGGACATAATATTTGATTCCCATCCTTACTTTTGCTTTCACGTATTTCGAGAAACGAGACCGAATCATTGATGAGATTCATCAGTGAAACCACAAAGCGTAAGAGTTGTGCCCTCGCCTCTATATTTCGGCCTTCTCTTTTTCTACTGTCCGGATCTTTCCAACCTAAGGTGTTATTGAAAGCTTTGGAACATTAAATCAAAAGTATCATTGTAAAACCAAAGCAAAGATAAAATATTTATAAATAGCGGATTCTGTTGATAATCAACAAATGAGGCCATACAAATCCCAACTCAAATAAAAGTTTTTTGGATAATTTGTAACTAGCGCCAATGGCCGTAAAACTGCAATCTGTGTCGTGCGAAAAAATGCAATCAGTCGGTCCAAAGAGCGGCCGGAAAAACAAAGATACTGGGTCTAACTGATCTTATTAAACTTGAAAATCGAGTTTGGTTTTGACTTAATCAACAAAAATGAATCGACAAACCCTCGTAGTCAGTTGAAAATCCTTCTTAAATATGTGTAATGATTGAAGTGCAGAAAAATACGAAATACTATGTTCACAACATTTTTTCTACAAAATACTTACTAGTCCTCATTATCTGCATGTTATTTGTTAATTAGTTCTGAATTGCTGCACATGCCCATCTGATAAATTGCTCAGAAAAGAGCCGGAAAAAGAACAAAACAGCAGTTTTTATGGCAGACGTAACCCTTATGTCAAGAGATGTTCTCAAAAAAAATATTGTAGAAAACTATGTTTGTAAATCTAAAATCTGAACTAAAAAACAAATGACTTTAATTCCCATGAGGGGACGCAAGCGGCCTCAACTGTAAGTACTTTTTAGAAATGCTAAGATATTATCTTAGCATTCCTAACATTCCGAGCTGCGCGAGAGTGTCAAAATCCGTGCGTATGTCACAGAAATGTCACTAGACCTAAAGTACGCCAGATGAAGGCGAATAAATCGTGTGGATATATTTCTCTTTATAATCTACAATGTAACGCAAAGGAACCGGCCGAGTAATAAAGGCACTATTGATTGCTTGTGAAACAAAAGCATTAGCTGATGGCATTTTGAGATCAGGCATTAATTCATTTATCTTTTCATATTTATTCGCCCTCATCTGGCGTACTTTAGGTCTAGTGACATTTCTGACGTACACACGGATTTTGACACTCTCGTGCACCTCGGAATGTTACGAATGCTAGGATAATATCCTAGCATTTCTAAAAAGTACTTACAGTTGAGGCTGCTTGCGTCCCCTCATGCAGGTTGCACCGTTTGGCAAACACTTTAAAGCGCTCAGTAACTGACCTTGAATATTAATTAAAATATTATTCAATTCCGGAGTTTAAAGACTAACAACAATCGGCCTTCAAAACAGAATTAGCCTCACACGTTAGAGAAAGTGCTGCCATGGGCATGTCACTGAAGAAACGTGATGATCACTCTACCATGTCCATACCTATTAAAACAACATTCATTCTGCTGATTTGTCCCACTGTTAAAAGATCCTCCCCCTCCTCCACAAGAAAACTCTTCATTAGCTCCACCATTTCCTCCAGAGTAACCTCCACCGCCTCCAGCTCCGCCGTTACCTCCTCGTAAACCACTGCCACTTCCACATAAACCACCGCCACCTCCAAACCCACCCCTACCCTTTCCACCCTCTCCTCCCCGAAGATATCCTTTACCTCCTCGACCAGTAACGCTCGAAACGCTTTGTCCATTACTGCAGAAGCCGCCGCCGCCACCACCTACAATAAACGAAAACTGAGAAGCAGTTGTCCCATAAATGGCTTCTATTTGACTACTTACTTAAGAGCGTTTAAACGACGATTCGCAATATTATCAACTTAGTGCACTTCTCAATTTTTAGAAATTTATTTCAAAATATTATTGGGTAGTCAATTGCTAGAAATAGAACAGCTTATCAGGACGAAAGAAATGTACATGAAGTGATGCATAGGTTTTTTTAAAAAACTGATATGCCTCTGAGAAAAGAAAAACTTCAAAGTTAGAATTATTAATTTCAACAATTAAGTTCTGATAAATCTTACTGTCTTCCTCTTGTCCTAATGGATTGAACCTACTGATTGTTTTGTTTTTTCTTCTTTCTCCGCGTACCTGAATATTTTGTACTGGCCTTTCCTCCATTTCCGTTGCTTCCTCCTGAACCCAATGGCAAGTTATACCCTCCATTCCCTTTTGTGTTTATGGACGCATCACATCCAGGATGTTGTTCCAATACATTTTTCATTCCTCCTCCACCTCCAGCTATAATCAAAAACTTATTGTTTTCTCTCACTACAAATGTACCTCCTCCACCTCCGGCAGTTTCGTCGTCGTGACACCCTGACCGTAATGCCTGATAGGGTGACCGCTGGCCAGTTTCTAGACACCCTTAACTCTACCCATCCCTCCCTCCAGTTTACCATGGAAGTCGAACGGGAAGGATCCCTTCCCTTTCTAGGAACTGAACTGCTTAACCGTGCACCAAAGATTGAGAGCAAGGTCTACATCAAAAGAACCAACACTGGTCTCCTTCTGCATTTCCAGAGTCATGTTGACATTAAGTACAAGCGCAGCCTAGTTAACACCATGGTGGATCGCGCTTATCGATTATCTTCTAACTGGTCTTTCTTCTCCGAGGAATGTGACCGCCTTAGAGGGTTTTTCATAACTTGAAATACCCAAAGCCACTGGTTGAAACTACAATTAAGCGGTTCGTTGAGAGAAGGATTTCATCTGCAGATCCCTGTCCATCACCAGACGTACCATCGGAGATTGTGAGATTAGTGTTACCCTTCAAGGACCAGTCGTCAGCTAATCATGTTAAACAACAACTGAACAGTCTAAGCTCGAAGTTAAGCGTGACTGTCCAACCAGTGTTCGTTAGCCCTAAGCTCGATCAACAGCTTAAGCAACACGAAATTAAGCCCCCTATTGTTAACCAACAATGTATCGTTTATGAATTTAAATGTAACCTGTGTGATGCAGGGTATGTGGGCTATACTCGTGGTCACTTACACGAGCGCGTAGAAGGGCACACAAGGAAATCATCTTCTATCTACAAACACACTACCACCTCCAGCACAATAGTGAAATGCCTGAACGCTTGATCGAGCAATTCAACGTCATCGCGAAAATGTAACGGCAAATTTGATTGCCTTGTTAATGAAATGTTGTATATTCGCATGCGTAAGCAAACACTGAACGTGCAAACGGATTCCATCCGCGCCAAGGTGTTTGTTTAAGCCGTTCATTCTAATTTATGCTATTCTTGTACCTTTCCTTATTTGCATGTTTTTAAACTAGTCTCTTGATAATGGAGTCACGATGACCCCGAAACGTCGAGTAATAAATCTTTCCTGGTTTTTTCTATGCCTTTGCTTTAGCAAATCCCTGCTGATCAAATGTTATTATAGTTACGTAAATTATTGAATCACCGAAATAATGGAATAGAAACGTCAGTCACTTGGAGTGTTCGAACAAGTCGTACTGTGCATTTTCCGACGCTTGCTCACGTTTGTATTTTTAGAAAGTAGAAATCCTCGATAGTCGGGCATTGACTTACTTCATTACATCTGAGGATTACATTCGACAATAACATATTGATTGCCGACCTGAATAAAAATGGTGTTTTTGAATACCGACGTGATACTTTTATAAACTGTGCGGTTGAGCCATCACGAGGTTTTGTTGTTGGGGAATCTAAAAATCTCAAGAGAAGAAAAGGTTTCCTTCCCATTCCCACAATTAGAGTAGTTTTTCTCGTCAGATTATTCCAGTTTGTGGTTCGGCGATCACACGTGAGAGTGAAAAGAGGAGAGCAAAGAAGTAAGAAACTTCATGTGACCAAAGCTGATGAGTCAATTGAATAATACTATGCTGAGCAATTTTCAAATGATTACAACAAGTTGTCCAGGATTTTATTGGTTTTTTGCCTCTCTTCGCCCTGTTATTGGTCCAGAAAACTCGCGTCAACTTGTAGCAGCTCGATTGTGATTTAGATGACACACAGTAAACAATTGTTACGGGAAAATTTACTGACTTTTCCCGTGTGTGTTATTCGAAACATATTTATTCGTAAACTTTCACATTTAACCATTTCAAGTCCTTTCATTTTAAAAAATCAAAAAATGCATAAAAACCACAGTAGCTTTTGAATAGATTTTTGTTGTTACTCGCTTTCATCACATGCACCTGCTTGTCGGCACTTTTGTTATCTAGTACATGGGTTTTTTTAGGTAAATATAAGTGCTGATGGTCTTTTTGGAAACATTGGTTTTCATGGTAGATAGCAGCTGAGTTTAAACGCGTAAATCTAATTTCTTTTCATGCGATGGTTTCCAAACCAATCTTGTATAAATAAGCAGAAACTTTTAATTGCTTTTTCGTTTTTTTATTTCCTGACCTCTAAATTTTATTCACTAGCGTAAGATTGAAGTCAAGTTACTTGCAAAGACTTCAACAGCAATGTTGAAAGCAGGAAACGGTTCTTTCTATGATGCCAATTCAAAAGGGCGAATTCTATGTGAAGGTACCAATCACCTATTTTTCGGATGCCTTTCAGGACATTTTGGCTCGTGACGGCTTTTTTATTTCATGAAAGTTTAAAAAGATGTTTCTAGAAAAAAATCCTATCACGTTTCTTAAGCCACTATAGGGTATCTTCAGAGAAAATATGAAGAATTTTGATTTTTCGAGATGTACCACGAATTTCCATTTTCGCTCGGTCTTAGTGGACATTCTCTCTTCAATGTATACAATAAGTCTATCTCGTTGTGCTACTGAATGATTAACCAGGAGTCAAGACAGAGGGTACCTCTAAATTTTCATTTGCTTCTAGTTCAGCAGCAGTGCTCATCAGCAACGTACACGAAGGTGCAATCCAGAATTATTGAATTGAACCTTTTTTATCTCACTATTTATGCAGGAAAATGGTCTGGCATGCTAATATTGAATTTTTCTGCATACGGCTTGAAAATTGTCAGTTTGCACTCCTTTGGTGTACGCATGATCCACCCAGAGTTCACCGACCAGACGGCAGTTCAGAACTTTTTCCCTAGTGCATGAAATCTATCCTGGACCACCTTGTCGAGTTTTCCTTTGCTTTTGCGGGCGCCACTCAAGACAAAATGAAACTGAAACCCCGGAAACAAATGAATACTTATCCACCATGTCTTTGATAAAAGTGTAAAGGTATTAATTCGAAAAAAGATTTGATATTTGAGTACTGACTATATTACCGATTGCTTCTTTGCGTATCTTTTTTTAATACGCCCCGGACTGAAAATGGACGGGTGATCTAGCGCCTAGTGCAATTCCAAAATAAATGCGTCCTAAATGGTAGCAAAAGGCCATTTCTCCCCCCAGTTCACAGCATACAACAATAGCTATAGGTACTAACCTAAATTCACACACTTGTACTTGACTTCCAAGTATTTATATGTGCCTGGGCATGGATCCCCAAAGACTAAAGAATCTGCATGCAGCTCGCAACTAGCTTCTTCGTTGCACTTCAACCGCACAATGAAAAGAGAGTTCGCAGCTTTGCAGTTTATATCGCTAACTGCGGAATGATGGCAAGTGTTTGAGTCCAGTCTACCATAACTTGCATCCACAACGTCGATAGTTCTTTGGTCATTATCACAACTTATGGTCCTTTTTTCTCCCTCGCAAATGATAACAGACCATAATTTCTCTAAATAAAGGAGGAAACAAACAACACTATCAATACGCCAAAAGTTTTGGAATAATGTTCACTTGCAGAGCACCCTGCAATTTTGCTAGTCGCGTGCCGGCGTCTGTTCACAGTTAACAGTTAACTTTTTTTTTAATTGTGAAAACATTGTTTGGTACCTTGGCTTGTTACTGACCTGTGCAGTTGGTTCCATTTCCCTCATATCCATCCTTACAAGTGCATTTGTAAGATCCCAAGGTATTGTTACACTCAGCATTTACATCACAGTCGTGTTTTCCTTCAGTGCTTTCGTTGGTATCTAAATCAACAAAAAACAGTTTTGTTTTCTGGTCATTCCTTTTTGTCACATGACAGGTACCATCGAGAAAATAGAGAGTATGGTATGTTGGTTACATGTGCAGTTGGTTCCATTTCCTTGAATTCCATCTTTAAACGTGCAATTGTGAGATCGTAGGGTATTGTTACACTTAGTATTTACATTACAGTTTTGTGTTCCGATCATACACTCATCTAGATCTAGAACACGAAAAGGAAAATAATGTAAATGAGACCGTTTTTCTAACTAATCTGAAAAACTGAAGGTAACAAACGGAGTATGAATATGTCAGAACTAGTTACCTGTGCATTTGGTTCCATTTCCTTGAAATCCATCTTTACACGTGGACTTGTAAGATCCCAGGGTATTGTTACACTCAGCATTCACATCACAACCGTGTGTTCCGTTCAAACACTCATCCATGTCTTGAGTGATGAATCCCATTCCAAGATGAACCATGAGAAGCAAAAGAGTTGTTCATATGTAAGTCCTCTTTTGTATTTTGAATAACTTATGCCATTCTGGATTATTCTTCTCGCAAGCCATGAAAGGCAAAGGCTTTTACCTTCGATGTTCTGTGACTATCAAACTATTGAGGTGTTTGCGGTTGTTTGGTATTCATCCATTTCAAATAAGTCTGCCCAATCACCTTAAAGAACTTCAATTTGAGAGAGGGGCCTGCGGAGCTTATCACTTATGCATCATTTTTCTGCCTCACTAAAAATACAAGATTCCCTACCCTCATCACAATCATGGCCTTTAAATCCAGATCCACTAACACGGAAACAGTGATAATCTGTGTCTGTAAACCTAGCTTGGCATGTTGCGTTATTCTTGCAAGGATTTTGCGTACAAGCATTCCAAACATCTTTAAATTTAATTACATATTTAATGATTAAAATAATAATGTACCTGAACACGAGCGTCCATCGCCAGTGTATCCTTCCTTGCAGGTACAGTAATAGGAACCCACAGTGTTGGTACAGTATGCATTCACGTCACAGGCAATGTTTCCACTGATGCATTCATCATGATCTTGTTGGGGAGTGAAAAAAGAAAAAAGTAAAATTTAACCAACATTAATTTAGCAGGGAAACAGTACATTGTACTAAGTTGACAATGCCACATACCACAAAAAGAATGTTTCTATTTTCTTCCAACAAAATGGACAATGCCTGCAATATTAACCCTTTAACTCCTAAGAGTGACTGGCATCTAATTTCTCCATACCATATCTGCCCTGAATCAAACATTAAGGTCACAAGAATAAAGGAAATGATCCCCAACTAAAGAAACTCTTGATTTTCAAACAAATTCTCCATGTCAGCACCTTAGTAAATGTACAGAGAAAAGTATGGAGAACATGAATACTGATGTTAGGGTGCAAAGGGTTAAAGCAAGAATGTTTTTCAAAACTTTACAAAAGTGTAGTGTGGTTAAACCCTGTCTATTTGCTTGTAATTTTTTTCCCTTTAGGATATTTTTTTCCCTTTTTACTAAACAACTGAAACTGAGCAATGCATTGTTTTCAGGACTGGTGTGATTTTTTTTACATCTTAAAGTAACCAAGGACGCTACCAACTGAGCGACAATTCAAACAAAGAAAGAAAGCTACAACGGGGTAAATGTGACTTACCTTCCAAATTCATATCACAATAAACCAAAACTGCCTTCCCATTGTCAGATGGATCCAGCCAGTAATTATTGCTTGGTGTGTCTTTCCCTTCGCTTGCTGTTATTTCTTGGCATGAACGAGCTGGTAACTCCGGTATCGAACCCAAGGGAGCTGGTACGGGTAAAAATGTTGAAAATAAAGTATTCGTAAGCGCAGATGGTAAGGAAAAAGTGAAAAGCACGAGGGAATAGGAATGAAGCTCGAGTTTCATTCACTTGAATGTCCTTCTTTTGTTGTGAAATATTTTAACAAGCACAACCCTCTAGGGAGACAGGACCCCTCTCGCATAAAGCCCTCGTTCGAGCTTCCAATTCTTCAAAGTTCTTTACTGACCCTAAGCTTCTTGTAGAAATAACACAATCATTTGGTGTCAATGTTTTTGCATGTATTACAGCTGCTTTTTTTAAAAGAAGTTAACAAACATTTAAACTTAAAGGGAAAAAGAAAAGGATAAAATTTTCTATTTTAATTTGATAGAGCAATTGATACCAACGGGCACGGGAGATTGGAAAACACGGACTGTAAGCAGCACGATTTTTATTCAAAGTGCTTGGTTGAGTACTTACCTCTTCCGTTTAAACGGCGAATATAAAACCACGCTGGGTCTGAGCGGAAATTTTCGGGTCTTGCATCCTTTGTGCGGTTGTTTAATTCACAGATCTTTTCTTTTCTGTTGAAATTGTAGCTCTGGCAGATAATTTCCCTTTCACATAAGATATCACAGATGTGAGGAGCCGCCACCGCCATTATCTTAAAAGCGAAACCTTTGAGAGCCATGCCACGAATGTTAATTTCTATCCTGCATTGATCCTCAGCGATTACAATGTTGGTGACCGAAACACAGACAAGAAAATAACGAAATATCCACAGCATTTTTCCTGAAAAATGAAATTCAGTGAGAGGTACGGGCCGGGTATTACGACATCAATGAATTAACTTGTTTCTTAGGGTTGACTGAGAACAGTGGATAGTTAGAATAGAAACCTCCTTTCTGTCATAAACTTATAAAAGAGAAACATGATTCGCTTTAGAATAATCTAAAAATGATAGAGATTTCGAAGCAAAGATTAAACCCTGTAAAAAGGCATTCGTTTAGGGTGTGATGTTTTCTTTTGTATGAACTCAAATATTCGTAAACTAGTCAAAGATTTACATCACATTAATTTTGCATCAGTTGAGTTTGATTCTCTTCGAATTCGTTGTATTCTTCCAGCGAAAGAAGAGTTAGATTACAGTGCTACTCTATTAACCTCTGTGTGATGAATTTGAGCGACAATCTATTTAGTTTTGAATATCCTCTCGGTTCACTTTTTGTGGGAAATGTCGAAAACGAATTAACACAAAAACAAGACTTGTGGACTGCTGCATACTAAATAACGGGTCTGTTTTCAGGTTTAGCGTTGTTCATAAATACCCTCAGTTTTAAGAGCATCCCATACTTTGAGTTGGTTGGCAATAGCATTTTTTCAGGAAAATTAAGTATTAAGTTAGATCTCTAAGTATCAAATTGATTTCTTCTCGCAGACGATTTTAGTTAAAGGCGATGTTGTCGTTAAGGATTTCAGCCTGAGTTACAAAATGGGAGAACCTTTTGGCGTTGTACATTTGGTGTTCTCCCACAAAAAGAGACGTTTTTGCGTGGTGAGAGCATGGAACTGTAATAGCCTGCCCGACTAAAGTCTGTCGCATGTGGCAGCTTATACGGTGCTCAAATATATCATTGCCTCCTTCATGAGTAGATGAAGTCGTGCAAACGAAAAAAGCTCTCTATTACTTAATTCCAATCTGTTTACAGGTCAAAGAATTAAAACTGCTTTCTTTATATTTTTTCCATTTTAAACCTCAAATGAAATTTAACGTTCTTATTTACTGTGCACTCGACATTTTCTTGATTCTTTTGAGGCTTTTCCGCCCTTAAGTTATGACAACTTTATCGTGGAGCGAACAAAGCTCCCTTTATTCAAAAACTAATCTACCCATCCTTAAAACCCTTCAAAACCAAATAACGTACAGAAGATAATTACCCTTACCAGGTGCTCTTAATAAAGTGATTTCATTCCTACTAACATGGCTCAGTTGTAGATCACGTTGGTAAAGAACCCTTACTTAGTAGCCGAGAAACAAACCACCTATGTGGCAAATTATTCATTACAGTTTTTTAATAACTTGCATGTGATCTCTTGAGTGATACCAAATGAAATCTACTGAACGCATGAGACTCGCCGACAGATGTTGTCTGAAAATGTGAATATTTTACTTGTTATGACGATATCGCTTCATGCAGGTTAGATCATCATTCTGCCTAAAACAAGGGTCAAATATATTTGGAATAGTTGCTTTTTAGTTCTGTTCTGCTTTCTTTGTTTGTTAATTTTATTTTTCTTTCTCGCGGTAAAACAAGTTTTTTTCACTCGGTACAAACAGATAAGAAGTCTATGCTATGCTTTGATCTACGAATCTTTACCAAAAATATATAAGCGATAGGAGTTTTACAAAATTGGTAATTGTCCAAACTTATTAATTATACATGTAGACATCTTATCGATATTCAGCGCTCGTAGGAAGAATCAGCTTATAAAAAGTTTCTAAGATTCATGCCTTTTAGGGTGCATCAATTTAAAAGCTTACGGACTATCGTGGATACGTTTAAGTGATTTAAACCGGAAATACGCAAATCTTCTGATTAAGATTTTGTGAAATTTGAACAAAGCTTAAGATCAACTTTAGAGCCAATTTGTGACAAAGAGCCACGTAACATGTTTCGGCGAAAAGTTTAAAGAACTGCTTTTTTTTTTAATCGTCATGTGGCCCATAAGAATTAATTTTTTGTGACGAAACCGTAGAAAAGCTGTGTCAAGTTTTATATTGATCCGGCCGAGCTTTTTCAGTCAAGTTTAAATAAACCTCTCACCTTCTTTTTAAAATGCAAAAGTCTGTCACTAGTCATCTTATCCATCTTTTGGAATCGAAAAGTTAAATATGTTCATGAACAGCATTGCAGAGACGTGAATAATTACCCTCAGGTAAACCTTCGCTTTAGGCTTCTTCAAAAACTATTTCCCTAAAACTTCATCCGTTTGTACTCATCTTGCTTCAAAAAGTTGGATTGCAAAATGGCAAAATATTCACGAACCTCTTGTAAAATGTATTTGTTATCCAATACTATTGCGCGAAGAGTGAGTATTGAGACGAAATAATTCATTATACCAATACTAGGAGAAGAGTTTTGTGCGAATATTTCAAGGCCTTGTTAGGTTAATAAAGATAACAAAAGAGTATTAAAATGCGCTCGTAAACTTCAAAATATTACTCTGACTATGAATAAGACATTACTATAGGAAAATCTTACCTTGTCCTTCTGGAATTAGTGAAGTGAAAACAGTGAAAACGAAGCTTTAGAGTACAAAGAGAATGTAAAAAATAAAGCTCGTTATAATTTTAGCAAACAGCTACAGTGAGTTTTTGATAAACAAAACTTAATTAGTTTCTTTGGAATGTAGTTGGTTGGTGAAACTCCATTATACTTAATTCATATTAATGGTTTTTATACAGTTGCATAGAAGAAGTTGTTATTTAAAAGTTTATCTATTCTGGCTTAATTATGTCCATGCAAGTGTAACATATGACACAAAGCTACATGAAGACTGTTTATCAAATGTTTATACGCTCTCCTCGTCCGCCCACATTTGATGAAATAGTAGAGACAACCGTCTTACCAAAAAAGCGTCAATGACCCGAAATTTTTGGAACGTTAAAGAACGATTCAAATTATCTCGTGGGGCCAGTTTTCAAGTGGTCAAGTTTCATCACTTCCACTTTCATCACTTAGATCACTTCCACCCTAACCCCCCTGCCGCCTCTAATTTATACCCTATGAGTTTGTTGTACAGCGGGTTTCACGAGCAATGGCCGAGGTGATGAAAAGCTCCGTCCATGCTTCACTTCACGTCTTTTCAAAGACCTTTTGCCCGAAGTTAGACTTTTTATTGCGAAACACTTATCGCTTCCTTTCTGCAGGGGACTGTCATCATAGGAACCGACTTGTTTCAGTTGTGTTCAAACTGTGCAAGCGAATAACTAGCCCCATCGAAATGACAAGTTTTTGTAAAAATCCACGAATATTACAGTGTATTTTGACTTCAGCTTGAAAGTGCTTAAGCCTCATATCACGCTTTTTTTTATTCTCACACTTATCCATATTTCCACTTCAATAATAATCACTGATCAGTATAACCATATATAGTCGGAGGTGGCAAGAAGCTAAAGCTAAATTCTACAGTTTTACGACTTGCGAGATAATGGTTGCTTGACGTCTTTTCACGAATCTTTGCTCTACAATCTTGTTGTAAAGATCAAACATTTCATCTCATACTCGGGACAAAGCTTTTAAGGAATGACATGAGTCGAAAAAATGCCTTTAATGTTAGGAGAATCTGGAAAAATGTGGAAACAGTCATGTCCCTGAAATTTCTTCAGCGCATATAAGTTATCACACACTGCAAGATCCCCAACTCCCGCACCCGCATCTGTAAATTTCGGTAAATTTGCTGGACACATCCAAAATTTCTTTCAATTATTGAGAATATTTTGGAGAGTTAATAGAGACACAAACTGCCTCTTATATCTGCAATTCACCATCCTTTACGCCTGTGTTCGATCGAGGTCATTCTACGACCATGTGAGTCGTAGGTGAATCTTCCTTCTCTAACCAAGGGAGGCAACGTTGAGAAGGTTGAGAAAGTAAGGCAGGAGCAGAGACTGAAAGGATAAGGAAGCAAAAAAACAAAAAAACCGAAAACCAAAAACGAAGGTCGGGAAATTGATATAGTGAACGTGTGGATTCTCGTATTTTCGGTGAAATATATTTTCCACGTTCTTTTCCTTAATAACTTTGTTCTCAGTTAGTGTTAATTTATAACTTAAGCGCAACTAACTAAAGAGCCATTACTGACATCTAGGAATCAATTTATTGATTTTTAATATAATGTAATTTAAATTGACACTACTGAATGAAAACTCACGGAAATGATAGTTGTTATTACAATTACCCCTTTCTCCTCCTTTTTATGAGGAAGAGCTTGAGAGCCTCTTAAAAAGTTACTCTAAACGTTGACAAAAACATACTAATCTAACAAGTAAATAAAGTTAAGTTTATGTCATCACCTTAGCATATATAACCACTTTTACACACCGCTTTCTGAAAAGGGAAACAGAAACTAAATGACTGAATCTCATTTTAGAATTCGTTAGTCCCCACTTAATTAATCAAGATCTGGAAACACATTACTTAAAGAGGCCACATCGACAATTTGGCATCAACCCTGGGCCATTTTCTTCAGTCACTTTACAGGATTCCGCTAGAGGTGAAGCTGAACCCTTTTCAATTGACTAGGAGTCCTAAAACCAAAACTAAAACAATAAAAAAATGATGTATTCCATGGATAAAAATCATAAGACACCAAACGTATCACGTAAAGTAGTGAAACACATTTTTCGCGAACAGTTTGCATCCGGCGCCGGTCGCGGTAAAAAAATGCAGTCTGTCTCATGCTCAGCAAAATACGACCCAAAGGGAGGAGAAACAAGGATACTAGGTCAAACTGTAAGAATGAAAATTGAAAGTTCCTTTTGGTTTTGAGCTGACAAAGAAAAACAAATTGATTACATGATAAACCCTTACAGTCAATTGAAAAGCGTTCCCATAATGTAACACATGAAATCTGAAGAACTGAATTCACAATAGTTTCTTTTTAAAATACTAGCTAGTCCTATTTCCTTGCCTGTTATTTAATGACTAATTATAAATTGATGATATCAACCAAGATACGACTATGTTGGTGATCGTCACATAGTCGATCTAACTTACAGTTCCAGCGAAAGCTATTAAAAGAATTCTGTTCTAGTGTGAGCCCTGATCAGTGGTCAGACTGAGAGCCTTTTTGGTCACACACTCTATTATAACACCAATTATTACGGCACCAGTTCGCTCTGTAAGCGTATCAGTATTCCCAGTCCAATGAATGGACGTGGTTTTGAAACAGAACACCGAAGAATGACATAATATTTGATTCCCATCCTTACTTTTGCTTTCACGTATTTCGAGAAACGAGACCGAATCATTGAGATTAATCAGTGAAACCACAAAGCGTAAGAGTTGTGCCCTCGCCACCATATTTCGGCCCTCTTTTTCTACTCTCCGGATCTTTCCAACCTAAGGTGTAATTGGAAGCTTTGAAACATTGAATCAAGAGTATGATTGTAAAACCAGAACAAAGGTAAAATATTTATAAATAGAGGATTCTGTTGATAATCAACAAATGAGGCCATACAAATCCCAAATCAAATAAGAGTTTTTTGGATAATTTGTAACCAGCGCCAATGGCAGTAAAACTGCAATCTGTGTCATGCGAAAAAATGCAATCAGTCGGCCCAAAGAGCGGCCGGAAAAACAAAGATACTGGGTCCAACTGATCGTATTAAAATTGAAAATCGAGTTTGGTTTTGACTTAATCAACAAAATGAATTGATAAACCCTCGTAGTCAGTTAAAAATCATTCTTAAATATATGTAATGATTGAAGTGCAGAAAAATGTGAAGGACTATGTTCACAACATTTTCTCTACAAAATACTTGCTAGTCCTCATTACCTGCATGTTATTTGTTCATTAGTTCTCAATTGCTGCACATGCGCATATGATAAATTGCTCTGAAAAGAGCCGGAAAAAAGAACAAAAACAGCAGTTTTTATAGGAGCGTGATCCTTATCTCAGGAGATGTTCAGAAAAAAATCTATTCTAGAAAACTATGTTTGTAAATCTAAAATCTGAACTCAAAAACAAATGACTTTAATTCCTCAGGTTGCACCGTTTGGCCAACACCTTAAAGCGCTCAGTAACTGACCTTGAATATTAAACAAAATATTATTCAATTCCGGAGTTTAAAGACTAACAACAATCAGCCTTCAGAACAGAATTAGCCTCACACGTTAGAGAAAGTGCTGCTGAGGGCATGTCACTGAAGAAACGTGATGATCACTCTACCATGTCCATACCTATTAAAACAACATTCATTCTGCTGATTTGTCCCACTGTTAAAAGATCCACCCCCTCCTCCACAAGAAAACTGTTCATTAACTCCACCATTTCCTCCAGAGTAACCTCCACCGCCTCCAGCTCCACGGTTACCTGCACGTAAACCACCGCCACCTCCAAACCCACCCTTATTTTTTCCACCCTCTCCTCCTTGAAGATATCCTTTACCTCCTCGACCAGCACCGCTCAAAGCACTTTGTCCATTACTGTAGAAGCCGCCGCCGCCACCACCACCTACAATAAACGAAAACCGAGAAGCAGTTGTCTCATAAATGGCTTCTATTTGATTACTTACTTGAGAACGTTTAAACGACGATTCGCAATGTTATCAACTTAGTGCGCTTCTCAATCTTTAGAAGCTTATTTAAAAATATTATTGGGTAGTCAATTGCTAGAAATTGAACAGCTTATCAGAACAAAAGAAATGTACACGAGGAATGTATAATTAGGATTTTTTAGAAAACTGATATTCTAAGAGGGTAATTTCGTGTTAACAACTGAGTTGAAAACGTAAATTAGCCTCCGAAAAGGGTAAAAAAGCTGACGTTTCGAGCTTTAGCCCTTCGTCAATCGCTCTTGGAATGGTTTAGGTCATATCTGGCGAAAAGAGGTCAGCGAGTCTCCATTGACGGATCTCTTTCAGAGCGCTTTAGTCTGGAGTGTGGTGTCCCACAAGGGTCATGACTGGGCCCCCTGCTCTTTCTCATCTATGTATCCAAGCTATTCAGGGTAGTTGAGGATCAACTCCCACACGTGCATTGCTATGCCGTCGACACACAGATTTATCTGAGTTTAAACCTATTAGTAACACATCCCAGGAAGATGCAGTCCGTGCGATGGAACGTTGTATTGAGAAGATCAGGCGCTGGCTGATCCATGACAGACTCCTTCTGACTGACGATAAGACTGAGTTTATTATTATTGGAACTCGCCAGCAGCTTAACAAATTGCAGGCTATGAATATTAAAGTAGGTGGTTCAGAGAGAAAACCTAGCTACCAAGTTAAGAACCTTGGAAGCTGGCTTGATCCAAACCTGAATATGCGCCACCATATCAATAATGTATGTAAGGCAGGTTTCTTCTACTTGTATAATATTAGATGCATTAAGTAGTATTTAACGAGAGACAGCTTATTTACCCTGGTACACGCATTCATCACGAGCAGGTTAGATTACTGTAATGCTTTATTGTATGGCCTTCTCAAAGAGCAAATAGCTAAGTTACAACGCGTGCAAAATGCCGCCGCTAGACTAATTATGGATATCGGGAAATATTCTCACATTACTCCAGCACTCTTTGAGTTACACTGGTTACCTGTGCCAGCGCGTATACATTTTAAGATTCTATTATTGGCTTTTAAAGCCATTCACGGCCTCGCACCCGCATATATTAGCAATCTTTTGGTTATCAAACGTAAGTCCTCGTACAATCTTAGATATTTAACTCAGGTATTTTATTAGAGCCACCAAGAGGTAAAATGCTGGGAACCCTGGGTGAACGTGCATTTCAGGCGGCTGCACCGCATCTATGGAATGAGCTACCATTGCAATTACGCAATATTGGATCTGTAGAAATTTTTAAGAATTCAATTGAGACTTTTCTTTTCAGGCGATTCTTTCAATAGTGGTTAAGTTATGAATTGTATAAAGCCAAGTTAACTGTAATATGTAATTACTTTTTTAATTAGTCGAGATTTTAGTATTTAGAGACACTAATTGTAAAGCGCTATTGATCTGTCATTGTAAATAGCGCTCTATAAGAAACAAATTATTATTATTTTTATTATTAAAAGCTTATCAGGACAAGACAAATGTAAATAAAGTGATGCGTATGCATATCGACGGATCGGTGGTAAATAAATGTGTACGGTTTTTAAAACTGAACGGAAAACTCAGTTGAACTTTTAATATTCTAAGAGGTGCCCCCGAGAAAAGAAAAACTTCAAAGTTAGAATTAGTAATTTCAATAATTAAGTTCTGATAAATCTTACTGTTGTCTTCCTGTCCTGATGGATTGAACACAATGATTGTTTTTTTTATCTTCTTTCTCCGCTTACCTTCAGATTGATCACTCGTTTTTCCTCCATGTCCGTTACTTCCTCCTGTCCCCAATGGCCAGTTGTTCCCTGCATTTCCTGTTTTGTTTATGGACGCATCACAACCTGGATGTTGTTCCGATATCTTTTTAATTCCCCCTCCACCTCCAGCTATGATTAAGGAAATGTTGTTTTCTCTCACTACAAATGTACCTCCTCCACCTCCGGCTGTTTTTGAGTTTACACTCCCCTTTCCCCCTTTTTGACCAACAAGTACATGAATGATCTCATCTTTGGTCAAATTAAAGTTTCCAATCATTCGTGCCCCTCTTCCTCCGTTTTCGATAAAACTGTCCTCACTGTACCCCCCTGAGGCTCCTATTGCTTCTATTCTGTATTCACCAGTGCGTGGCACAGTCCACAGTTGAATACCACTGGACACTGTAACTTGTCCGTCATGGTCTTGATCTTTGTAATGACAACCAATCGAGTCTGGACCCTTTAATCCAGTCTCACCAAGATTTGTAAACACAGCTGTAAATCCTGCATTTAAACACACAATAAAAGTAATGTTGCTGTTAAGAGATTGTCAAAATTTTCGTTGCCATTTCCAATGGTGCCATTACTGAGAAAATGTTCTTACAGCTACATAAATTATTGAATCACCGAAAAAAAAATGAAATAAAAACATTAGTCACTTAGAGTGTTCGAACAACTCATACTGTGCATTTTCCGACGCTTGCTCACGATTGTACTTTTAGAAGGTAGAAATCCTTGATATTCGGGCATTGACTTACTTCAATGCATTTAAGGATTACATTCAGCAATAAGATATTGATTGCCGACTTGAATCAAAATGTTTTTTGTGAGTAGCGGCATGATACTTTCATAAACTGTGCGGTTGAGCCATAACCAGGTTTTGTTGTTGGGGAATCTAAAATTCTTAAGAGAAGAAAAAGCTTCCTTCCCGTTCCCATAATAAGAGTAGTTTTTCTCGTAAAATTATTCCAGTTTGTGGTTCGGTGATCACAAGTGACAGTGAAAAGAGGAGAGTGAAGAAGAAAGGAACTCCATGTGATCAAAGCTGATAAGTCGACTGAAAAATGCTATGCAGAGCAATTTTCATATCATTATAGCAAGTTTTCCGGGATTGAATTGGTTTTGCCTTACTTCGCCCTGTTATTGGTCTAGAAAACTCGCGTCAACTTGTAGCAGCTCGATTTTAATTGAGATGACACACAGCAGACAATATCCAAGCGCTCGCTTTTGAACAGGAAATGAAGTATTATCTGGCATGAATTACTCGTTACGAGAGGTACCGCTCAATCGTAACTGTTATTCAGGCCTTACCTTGTACACAGCCATACAGTTCTACCCTCATTGACATCCAGTCCTGCCACTCCACTGGTTTAAATCGAATGTAACGCGCTGTTATTGGTGGGTTAAGGTCGTGATAAACCACGGTATTCTGATCCATGTTTCCAGCAAAAACCTTTGAATTAACAACATAAGAGGTTTTCCATTAAATCTTTGATAAGAATTAATTTCATGAATATCAGTTATTACGATGTGAAAACAGCCCCACAACTCATTTATACACCATTCCTCTAATCGTGCCTCTCTAGGGCCTCAATATCATACAATTATTACTGGCGGTGCGTTTGCAAAATCCCTGCCCATGGTGATCCATAAATACTTTTTTTCCTGTTTAAACGGGAATCAATACATAAGAAATCAATTTTACCTTCGTTGTTTTTTGCCCTGGGACTGTATAATTGTAGAACCTTTCTGTGCTGTTGCCGTACTGAAGATTGTACTTTGTAACCCACTCCACCTGGTTTCCATTATTTCCTTGTGTTGCCACACGTGTCACTTGAGTGTGCAGAATAATCAGATCAACTTGGAGCCACTGATCCGTATCATTCTTTGCAGCTGCCCAAGATCCCGCTCTGTCAGGATTTACAACATGAAGTCTGCTCTGAGTGGCGGAGTGTTTAGAGTCTCTCTCTGAGGAGGCGCTTAATTGTCCATCAGAGATTTCACCGCTTTGCATGCCGAGAAATCTTCCACATTCTGTTTACAAAAGGTTAACAGGCGTTTTACAAATACAACTTATCTCCAGCAGCGAAATAAAAGCAGCCATGAGATCATGAAGCAATTAATCAAGTGTAGGTAACATTGAGCTGAAAATTTCGTTAACATAATTACAGAAGCTTGCAACAAAATGAACTTTAAAGAGCTTCTATGATCAGATCAACCGAAATGCGTAGTCCTTTTCTATCTCAAGCCTATTAGAAGAAAACTGTCCTTAGTTTCGTTTGATTGAAACTTAGAAGAAATTTCTGGACACACCAATCACTGCTTTTGATATTTAGTTCCGTTTTTGGTTTGGCTGATTTAACTTCTAACTTTCATAAACTTTATCTGGTTTTTCTTGACCAGAGGATCGATGGATTCGGTTCAAAACAGTATCAATTACTCAGCTTATTTAATGAGCCGGTTAGATACAATAATTATAAGCTTTAGAGGAAAGCCATTTTCCTTACCTTTCACGCATCCATACAGCTCAACTCTCATTGATGTCTCGTTATTCCACTCCAAGGATAGAAAACGTATGTACCTTGCTGTGATTGGCGGGTTCAGATCGTGATAAACAACATTGGTCTTGTCTGTGTTTCCGTCAAATTCCTGCATCATAATAGATGTGAAATAAATGTTGAGTGTTTTTATTTAAAATGCGCGGTACGTGCCCGCCTTATAGTATGCAATGCTTTTCGCTGGGTAAACCGTGAAATATCTCACGAGCGACTTAATTCATGAAATCCCATGCCACCGTAAGTTAAGATTAAGTCGAAGTTTTTCCACAGATATCTGTTTGAGGTTACTAAAAAACTGAATAGATGAGATTTGTCCCCAGGCAAACAAAATGGTAAATGTATGAAATTTTCGTACATTGTAACAATTTTCTTGAACAACTGCCGACTCATACATCGTAACAAATCGAGAAACGAAGCTGGTCCGATTGCAAAGTGGACTGTTTGTCCTAACAAACTACTCAAAGAACACATTGGGAAGTTTGAGTTAAGGAATGAACTTGGCTTTGTGTTTAATGAGCAGCTCATGTTTTAGAACCCTTCCACGCCTCTGATCAGTTTTACCTTTGATATGGTTTGTCCTTGTTCCTTGTAGTTTTGAAATCTCACTCCATAGTTGCTGTATTGTAGCTTGTACTTCTTCACCCATTTGTTATGTTGATGGGATCCCTGTGTTGCTACTCGTGTTACTTCAGTGTTTTGAGCTCTGAGATCGAGCTGAAGCCACGGATTATAATCATTCCTATCAGCTATCCAAGTCCTCCCTGTGTGATGCAATCTTACAATTTTCGCCTCATTCTCTTCTTGGGATGACAAACTTATCTGCTCATCGATTATTGCACCACTTTCCATACCAAGTGTTCTTTGACAACGTAAATCTATTTTAAAACAAAAGAAAATCTAAAATTACCAAATGAAAAAAGAGAGTCGCAACATCTCAATATACCTTAAATTGCTCACACGTCATTGGTAGATATTCTCCATTTTACATAATCTGAGTACATTTTAGCTTCTGTCCACATCAGGTGTATTTTCTTAATGATAAAATATCTCCTTAATCCTGTTTACATGTTTTTGAATAAACGTTGTTGCGAAGAGCTTGGTGTATAATCTTCCATTTTAACAGATCAAGAGCATAAGACCTCTTCATCGATGTTATCAAGCATTTTCTCGCATAAAACTTTGAAAGCCCACGATATATAGAAACCCTAGACGGTTAAGAATATATGAAAGTCATATATTTGAACTGCGGATAAAGACGTGAATGAAAGTGATCCTCGCAGCGATGTGCACTACTTAGGCAGTAGTGAAAATAAGGCCTGAAAAAAATTAATTCCCCGTTTAATTCAAACAAGACAAAATCAAGAGCACAAAAAAAATTAACAATATTCGTTCGCTCTTCCTTGATACGGCCATATAAATTTTAAACCAAGTTTCTACTTGTTGAAGCGAGAATTGATATTCTGCGGCTTTTAGCTTTTTGCAGGAGCCCATGGGCTCCTGCTTTTTGTCATTAACAACCGCCGCTAGAGTTGCTGCAGTTTAGGGGAATTTAAGGTTATCGTTCTGAAAAATGACAAGACCGTGAGTGCATTTGCAAATAACTTATATATTTGGAATTATTAGTACATCTAAATGAATCTGGGCCACGCCCGTTAAACACTATTTTGGTACCTTTTAGGGGTTTTTCGAAATTCTCCGACGAGCACTCCTGTCATTTTTATATGGGAGTCCCACCTAGGTTAACATTGACCTTTCAGATGTAACAGTCGCAAGAAGCCTTACATCGAAAAAACTGCAGTCGCTTTGCGAGGAATGTGCATGTCAGCGTTGAGGAATGAGTGTCCAAGCCAATGTTATTAAATTGCTCCAACAGAACTTTCATTTAGTCATGCCGTAAGGTTCGTCGGGAGCACGGGGAAAAAATCTTTGTCGCCGGCCTGAATACCCCTTAGGATTGTTAACGACGACGACTGATTATAATGAAGTGTGTCAATTAAATGTGCCCCTAAGATGGAAAAAAAATGGTGGTAATAGCTGTCTCTGAAGCCTTTTAAGGTGGGATATCCGTGTCGCCAATTTGGAATCCATTTACTGATGTCGCAACCTCGTTCCCAAGGTTTCTCTTCTTCCCACCCCAATCTAAGAACTAGGTTGTCGATGTAATGAAATGGTCGCTATTGTTTTTTCCTAGATGTCGTCAATTTGTTCGTTTCCTTGAAGCCCTGCATAATGGGAATTTAGATTTCGTCTATTCGTGTGGCTTCTTGGTATTTTGTTTTGCTTCTAAAAGATCATGAAAAAAATAAGCTGGGAAAATTGAATAAACCCATGTAAGTTGATCCGGCTCAGGGCGATACTAATTTTAAAATGTCTAGCGATAAAATACTCACGGAAATAGATATTTAGTCAATATATTATTTAGAGGATCTAAAAATGCAGTTCTTCAACGCTGTGGATTGGTGACGACTAAACAGATCAATTATAATGTAAAAATTTTACAATCTTTTGCTTACGGGTTTGGAGAATGTGCTATTTGTTGACTTCCGGTTGACACGCTTTTGTTGTGATAACCGCTATTTAAAGAGGCCTCCTACTCGGCGCTGGTAAAAAGCCCGAAACTAATTTTTACACCCCATTTTAGACCAGCATTTATTCTCTTAAGAATATCAATTTCAAGTTCTTCGATGTTTTACCGGATACAAAAAATGTCCCTTAAAAAAAACACGCTAAATTACGAATTTTTCGAAGGTGAATTCTAAATTTTATTCACTAGCGTGAGACTGAAGTCAAGTTACTTGCAAAGACTTCAACAGCAATGTTGAAAGCACGAAACGGTTCTTTCTATGATGCGAATATGGGAAGGTACCAATCACATATTTTTCGGATACCTTTCAGGACATTTTGGCTCGTGACGGCTTTTTTATTTTATGAACGTGAAGAGCGCAATGTTTACAAAAATCATTTTGTGAGGTCTTGTGAGATCGAAAAAGAAGATTTGAGTGTTTAAAAAACGAGATAGTGGTTCGTTTTCGCACGCGAAGCCCTCAAACTCGTGCAATAATTTGCTGCTAAAAGTGACGATTTTAACGGAATTTCGTTATTTGTATTTTTCTCTGAAATAAAAAGATATTTCGCCAAAAAAAGTATGCAGTGATTTTAGTTATAGTCTAGCCTATTTAACATTAAAATATGAAAGAAATCGAATTTTCCACCCTTGCCGCGATATGTTTGATTTTTACAGACAAGCGCTCTTAAATTTGCACTTAAAATAATTTAATTTCGAAAGCATGCATTTCTCTTCAGTAAAAATACTTCGTGAATAAAATTAATTTTCACCATGTGCTAAACCTTCAAATGGATTAAGCTTTTGGTGGTTGAATTTCGAAAAAATGTTCTCAATATAACAGTAAAAATTAGTTTGGGCAAATGATTGAGAGCGATACAAAAGCGTTTCAAAGTCCGTTAAAATGCAGTTATTTGAACTAGTTCCAGTCGCGAGTCACACATATTTCAATATGTTTCAACTAATATGAGGCCGAAAAATGTACATAGAAACATATTTCCAAATGCTCTAACCTCATTTGCCGCAGAAGACCGATCCAGAGACCATTTTAGTGTGATTCTCTTATCGTTCGTCGTATTTAGGTCTGTATAAATGATAACGTCCGATGAAACCACCAACCTTGTCGAACACCATCTTGTTGTCAAACGTTCGATATCTTTCTTCACTGTGGCATCTTATTTAACGGTTCAGTTGACTGTGAGTATTGCTCAGTTTACAATTCACTAAAAGATTACATCCGACAGTCTAATTCAATGCTAAACTGAGTTGACTGCAAACATGTACGCCCTTTGAGTATTTGGGTTGTCACGCAATACCGGTGACAAAGGAACTTTAGGGGGTAGGTGAGGGGCAAAACTCCATATAATTAAGCACTATCAGAATTGAACTCTTGGAACCTACAAAATATTTTATTCTGTAACCATTTTTGTAATAGTGTCATCTTTGTCTGATGACAAATATTTGTTATTCTTGTTTTTTTGACGCTCTGTGCTTTTCGTACTCGTTAGGGGTGTTTTTCTTTCCACTAAAATTGCAAGGAATACCCCGAATAGCATGAAAGAGAACCTTTTATTATTTTTACTGCACCATGCTACAAAACGCAGTGGTGGGGATGTGTGGCTTATGTGAGGCAGGGGTGCTGTTCCGTGGCCAATGGGTGGGGCTTGCAAAAGGGAGTGGTACTATTAACCACTGTTGACAGACCCAACTACCGTTTAAAACCTTAAACTACGGAGGGGCCGACATATGAGCGCTCGGCACAAAATTACGTCGATCTCATCTTCAGGACCGGTAAATTTGAAAGCCGACTTATGACTTGCGATATTCTAGGTGGATGAAAGTAATGGAACAATTTCCGTTTCACGCTTTCGATCTCTAGTGTTGTAACAACAAACTCCGCCGATAAGCGACTTGAACGAACAACAACCTTCCATAGTTAGTGCATTCGTGAAAAAAACAAAAGTCCGAAGCCCCGCCTGTAAGCAAACAATAGGCATCGTGTAATTACCATAAACCAGGTTTTGTTTACTTAGGCTTACTACTTTTAGCAGGTACTAAATTTAGCTTTTTAATGAGTGTTAGCCAAAGGCCCCTATCTCCGCGACTTACATGTAAGAGATTTCGATGTTCACAAGAACAAAAAATTTGAGCAGCAGAGTGACGTCTTTTTACTCTCCCCTTCCCCTACCCCCTAAAAAATAACTTTCCATTGTATGATTTGCATTGCGTGACGACTCTCCGTATACAACACTACGTTGACTGCAACATGTGAAGTGCCACTTTTAAAAGCATCGATCAGATCTGCTGCACCACAAACCGAACAACACTCAAAGTCAACTGAACCGCTGGATAAGATGCCACAGTGCAGAAAGATGTCAAACGTTTTACAACGAAGGTTGGTGACAGTTCGCAGATTGACAGGCAGTTTCATCGGACTTTATAAATACGACGAGCGACTAGATAACCACAGTAAAATGGTCTTTGGATGTTTCTTCTACGGCAAACGAGGTTAGAGCATTTGGAAATGTGTACCCATGTACATTTTCCGGCCTCATATGGATTGAAACATATTAAAATATGTGTGTGACTCACGACTGGAATGTTGACCGCGAAAGATCAAATAACTGCATTTTAACGGACTTTGAAAAGCTTTTGTATCGCTCTCAATCATTTGCCCAAAGAAATTTTTACAGTTATATTGAGAACATCTTTTCGCAATTCTACCGCCAAAAGCTTAATCCATTTGAAGGTTTAGCACATGCTGAAAATTAACTTTACTCACAAAGTACTTTTACTGAAGAGAAATGTATGCTTTCGAATTTAAATTATTTTACACGCAAAGAGGAACGCAGTGTATACAAAAATCGTTTTGTGAGGTCTTATGAGGTTAAAAAAGAAGATTTGAGTGTTAAAAAGACGAGATAGTGATTCGTTTTTGAATACGAAACCCTCAAACTTGTGCAATAATTTCTGCTAAAAATGACGATTTTAACAGAATTTTTTAATTTGCATTTTTCTCTGAAATAAAGATATTTTGCCAAAAAAAGTATCCAGTGATTTTAGTTATAGTCTAGCCTTTCTACTATTAAAATAAGAAAGAAATCGAATTTTTCACCCTTGCCGCGAAATTTAGAATTTGTCTGATTTTTACAGACAAGCGCTCTTAAAAAGATATTTCTATAAAAAATACTATCACGTTTCTTAAGCCACTATGGGGTATCTTCAGAGAAAATATGAAGAATTTTGATTTTTCGAGATGTACCACGAATTTCCATTTTCGCTCGGTCTTAGTGGACATTCTCTCTTCAATGTATACAATAAGTCTATCTTGTTGTGCTACTGAATGATTAACCAGGAGTCAAGACAGAGGGTACCTCTAAATTTTCATTTGCTTCTAGTTCAGCCGGCAGTGCTCATCAGCAACGTACACGAAGGTGCGATCCAGAATTATTGAATTGAACCTTTTTTATCGCACCATTTATGCAGGAAAATGGTCTGGCATGCTAATATTGAATTTTTCTGCATACGGCTTGAAAATTGTCAGTTTGCACTCCTTTGGTGTACACATGATCCACCTAGGGTTCACCGACCAGACGGCAGTTCAGAACTTTTTCCCTAGTGCATAAAATCTATCCCAGACCACCTTGTCGAGTTTTCCTTTGCTTTTGCGGGCGCCACTCAAGGGAAAATGAAACTGAAACCCCGGAAACAAATGAATGCTTATCCACCATGTCTTTGATAAAAGTGCAAAGGTATTAATTCGAAAAAAGATTTGATATTTGAGTACTGACTATATTAGCGATTGCTTCTTTGCGTATTTTTTTTAAATACGCCCCTGACTGAAAATGGACGGGTGATCTAGCGCCTAATGCAATTCTAGAATAAATGCGTCCTAAATGGCAGCAAAAGGCCATTTCTCCCCCAGTTCACAGCATACAACAATAGCTATAGGTACTAACCTAAATTCACACACTTGTACTTGACTTCCAAGTATTTATATGTGCCTGGGCATGGATCTCCAAAAACTGAATTATCTGCGTGCAGCTCGCAACTAGCTTCTTCGTTGCACTTCAACCGCACAATGAAAAGAGAGTTCGCAGCTTTGCAGTTTGTATCGCTAACTGTGAGATTGCAAGTGTTTGAGTCCAGTCTACCATAATTTGCATCCACGACTTCGATAGTTCTTTGGTCATTATCACAACTTATGGTCCTTTTTCCTCTCTCGCAAATGATAACAGACCATAATTTCTCTAAATAAAGGAGGAAACAAACAACACTATCAATACGCCAAAAGTTTTGGAATAATGTTCACTTGCAGAGCACCCTGCAATTTTGCTAGTCTCGTGCCGGCGCCTGTTCAACCAATAACTTACACGCTGACAATACTGCGTTTCTTGTCTGAAGCAGCCAAGTTTACATCAACTGGTTTGACAGTTAACTTTTTTTTTAATTGTAATTGCACTTCAACCGCACAAAGAAAAGAGAGTTCGCAGCTTTGCAGTCTGTATTGCTAACTTCGGAATGATGGCAAGTGTTTGAGTCCAGTCTACCATAATTTGCATCGACAACTTCGATAGTTCTTTGGTCAATATCACAACTTATGGTCCTATTTCCTCCCTCGCAAATGATAACAGACCATAATTTCTCTAAATAAAGGAGGAAACAAACAGCACTATCAATACGCCAAAAGTTTTGGAATAGTGTTCACTTGCAGAGCACCCTACAATTTTGCTAGTCTCGTGCTGGCGTCTGTTCAACCAATAACTTACATGTTGTCAATACCGCGTTTCTTGTCTGAGGCAGCCAAGTTTACATCAATTGGTTTGACAGTTAACTTTTTTTAATTGTGAAAACATTGTTTGGTACCTTGGTTTGTGACTGACCTGTGCAGTTGGTTCCATTTCCCTCATATCCATCCTTACAAGTGCATTTGTAAGATCCCAGGGTATTGTTACACACAGCATTCACATCACAACCGTGTATTTCCTTTAAACACTCATCTGTGTCTGTGACAACAAAATTAAATCCCATCAGTATATGAAAGTTATTTTGACATTGTTTGGTTTCTTGGCTTGTTACTGACCTGTGCAGTTGGTTCCATTTCCCTCATATCCATCTTTACAAGTGCATTTGTAAGATCCCAAGGTATTGTTACACTCAGCATTTACATCACAATCATGTTTTCCTTCAGTGCATTCGTTGGTATCTAAATGAACAAAAAACAGTTTTGTTTTCTGGTCATTCCTTTCTGTCACATGACAGGTATCATCGAGAAAATAGAGACTATGATATGTTGCAATTGGTTACGTGTGCAGTCAGTTCCATTTCCTTGAATTCCATCTTTATACGAGCAATTGTGAGATCTTGGGGTATAGTTACACTTAGTATTTACATCACAGTTTTGTGTTCCGATCATACACTCATCTAGATCTAGAACACGAAAAGGAAAATAATGTAAATGAGACCGTTTCTCTAACTAATCTGAAAAACTGAAGATAACAGACGGAGTATGAATATGTCAGAACTAGTTACCAGTGCATTTAGTTCCATTTCCTTGAAATCCATCTTTACACGTGCACTTGTAAGATCCCAGGGTATTGTTACATTCAGCATTCACATCACAACCGTGTGTTCCGTTCAAACACTCATCTATGTCTTAGACAACAAAATGAATATCATTAGTATATGAAGGTTATTTTTTACTTGCTCTGGCTGCACGAATTTTCGTATTCACGCGATCGTTTCCTGTTGTCAGATAAGAATACTTACCAGTACAGTTTGTCTTATTTCCCTGGTATCCTTTCTTGCACCTGCAGGAGTACGATCCAATGGTGTTGTTGCATGTGGTATTACCCTCACAGCTATGTTTACCAGACAAGCACTCGTCTATGTCTACAAAAGGAAAGAGAAGACGATGGACTTTATCTAAGCTGAGAAAGATTTAAAGATTTTAATTTTTTTATGTTCTTATCTAGATATGGGGCCACGTCTGATCTTTGCGTAAACTTTGTACTCAGTTCTATTGACATTTGCTTCGTTAAAAAGGAAACTGTTCGCATAGATGGTGGGTAAGAAACCGCGTCTAAGAAAAATTGAGACTGAATGAGATAAAAAACAAAAATGAGCGATGAATCCCATTTCAAGATGAACCATGAGAAGCAAAAGAGTTGTTCATATGTAAGTCCTCTTTTGTATTTTGAATAACTTATGCCATTCTGGATTATTCTTCTCGCAAGCTATGAAAGGCAAAGGCTTTTACCTGCGATGTTCTGTGACTATCAAACTATTGAGGTGTTTGCGGTTGTTTGGTATTCATCCATTTCAAATAAGTCTGCCCAATCAGCTAAAATAACTTCAATTTGAGAGAGAGGCCTGCGGAGCTTATCACTTACGCATCATTTTTCTGCCTAACTAAAAATACAAGATTCCTTACCCTCATCACAATCATGGCCTTTAAATCCAGATCCACTAACACGGAAACAGTGATAATCTGTGTCTGTAAACCTAGCTTGGCATGTTGCGTTATTCTTGCAAGGATTTTGCGTACAAGCATTCTAAACATCTTCTAAATTTTCAAATTTAATTACATATTTAATGATTAAAATAATAATGTACCTGAACACGAGCCTCCATCGCCAGTGTATCCTTCCTTGCAGGTACAGTAATAGGAACCCACAGTGTTGGTACAGTATGCATTGAAGTCACAGGCATTGTTTCCACTGATGCATTCATCATGATCTTGTTGGGGAGTGAAAAAGAAAAAAGTAAAATTTAATCAACATTAATTTAGCAGGGAAACAGTACATTGTACTAAGTTGACAATCATGGCCACATAACACAAAAAGAATGTTTCTATTTTCTTCCAACAAAATGAACAATGCCTGCAATATTAACCCTTTAAGCCCTAAGAGTGACTGGCATCTAATTTCTCCATACCATATCAGCCCTGAATCAAACATTAAGGTCACAAGAATAAAGGAAATGATCACCAACTAAAGAAACCTCTTGATTGTCAAACAAATTCTCCTTGTCAGCACCTTAGTAAATGTACAGAGAAAAGTATGGAGAATATGCATACTGATGTTAGGGTGCAAAGGGTTTAAAGCAAGAATATTTTTCAAAACTTTATAAAAGTGTAGTGTGGTTAAACCCTGTCTATTTGCTTGTATTTTTTCCCTCTTGGGTATTTTTTTTTCTTTTAAATATACAGCTGAAACTGCGCAATGCATTGTTTTCAGGATTTTTTACATCTTAAAGCAACCAAGGACGCTACCAAAAAAAGCGACAATTCAAACACACAATGAAAGCTACAACGGGTTAAATGTGAATTACCTTCCAAATTCATATCACAGTAAACCAACACTGTTTTCCCAGTGCCAGATGGATCCAGCCAGTAATTGTTGCTTGGTGTGTCTTTCCCTTCGCTTGATGTTATTTCTCGGCATGAACGTGCTGGTAACTCCGGTATCGAACCCAAAGGAGCTGGTACGGGTAAAAATGTTGAAAATAAAGTATTCGTAAGCGCAGATGGAAAGGAAAAAGTGAAAAGCACGAGAGAATAGAATTAAGCTCGAATTCCATTCACTTGAATGTCCTTCTTTGGTTGTGAAATATTTCAACTTTCTGTCAAGCACAACCCTCTGGGGAGACAGGACCCCTCTCGCCTAAACCCCTCGTTCGAGCTTCCAATTCTTCAAAGTTCTTTACTGACCCTAAGCTTCTTGTAGAAATAACACAATCATTTGGTGTCAATGTTTATAGAGCTGCTTTTTTAAAAATAAGTTAAAAAAATATTTAAACTTAAAGGAAAAAAGAAAAGGATGAAATTTTCTATTTTGATAGAGAACTTGATACCAACGGGCGCGGGAGATTGGAAAACACGGACTGTAAGCAGCATGATTTTTATTCAAAGTGCATGGTTGAGTACTTACCTCTTCCGTTTAAACGGCGAACATAAAACCACGCTGGGTCTGAGCGGAAATTCTCGGGTCTTGCATCCTTTGTGCGGTTGTTTAATTCGCAGATCTGTTCTTTTCTGTTGAAATTATAGCTCTGGCAGACAATTTCCCTTTCACATAAGATATCACAGATGTGAGGAGCCGCCACCGCCATTCTCTTAAAAGCGAAACCTTTGAGAGCCATGCCACGAATGTTTATTTCTATCCTGCATTGATCCTCAGCGATTACAAGGTTGGTGACCGAGACACAGACAAGAAAATAACGAAATATCCAAGGCATTTTTCCTGAAAAACGAAATTCATTGAGAGGTACGGGCCGGGTATTACGACATCAATGAATGAACCTGTTTCTTAAGGTTGACTGAGAACAGTGGATAGTTAGAATAGAAACCCCCTTTCTGTCATAAACTTATTTAAGAGAAACATGATTCGCTTTAAAATAATCTTAAAATGATAGAGTTTTCGAAGCAAAGTGATGTTTTCTTTTGTATGAACTCAAATATTCGTAAACAGGTCAAAGATTTAAATCACATTAATTTTCCATCAGTTGAGTTTGATTCTCTTCGAATTCGTTGTATTCTTTCAGCGAAAGAAGAGTTAGATTACAGTACTACTCTATTTACTTCTGTGTGATGAATTTGAGCGACGATCTATTTAGTTTTGAATATCCTCTCGGTTCACTTTTTGTGGGAAAAGTCGAAAACGTTTTACGTTAGAATTAACACAAAAACAAAACTTGTGGACAGCTGCATACTGAATAACTAGACTGTTTTCAGGTTTAGCGTTGTCCATTAACGCCCTCAGTTTTAAGAGCATCCCGTACTTCGGTTAGCAATAGCATTTCTTCAGGAAAATTAAGTATTGAGTTAGATCTCTTGGTATTAAGTTGATTTCTTCTCGCAGATGATTTTAGTCAGAGGTGGTGTCGTCGGTGAGGATTTCAGCATTCACAAAATGAGAGAACCTTTTGGTAAGGCGTTGTACATTTGGTGTTCTCCCACAAAAAGAGACGTTTTTGTGAGGTGAGAGCATGGAACTGTAAAAGCCTTTTTCAGTGCAGCACTTTTTCAATCCAAACTGTTGAGGACAAATATTAATAACACGGATGAATAGTTTTCGGTCCTTAGCGTCTATGATGAAATTTTTGTTTCCTTTTCTCGGAAGAATTGATCGCGCTTCCCTTAAAAATTGCTATTTGTCTCATTGAAAACCCCAAATGTTAATCATAATCAGGTATTTTTCATAACAATAACTGACCACAAGACCGCCCTTAAGTTATGACAACTTTATTGTGGAGCGGACAAAGCTCCTTGCGACTCAGTGTCTTTATTCAAAAACTAATCTACCCATCCTAAAAACCCTCCAGAACCAAATAACGTACAAAAGATAATTACCCTTACCAGGTGCTTTTAATAAAGTGATTTCATTCCTACTGTCATGGCTCAGTTGTAGATCACTTTGGTAAAGAACCTATATTTAATAGCCGAGAAACAAACCACCCACTCAGTGTCTTTATTCAAAAACTAATCTACCCATCCTAAAAACCCTTCAGAACCAAATAACGTAGAAGATAATTACCCTTACCAGGTGCTTTTAATAAAGTGATTTCATTCCTACTTTCATGGCTCAGTTGTAGATCACATTGGTAAAGAACCCTTACTTAGTAGCCGAAAACAAACAAACCACCTTTGGGGCAAATTATTCATAACAGTTTTTTAATAACTTGCATGTGATCTCTTTAGTGATACCAAATGAAATCTACTGAACGCATGAGACTCGCCGACAGATGTTGTTTTACTTGCTATGGCGATATCGCTTCATGCAGGTTATTATTATTCTGCCTAAAACAAGGGGACAAATATATTTGGAATAGTTGCTTTTTTGTTCTGTTCTGCTTTCTTTGTTTGTTAATTTTATTTTTCTTTCTCGCGGTAAAACAAGTTTTTTCAATCGGTACAAACAGATAAGAAGTCTATGCTATGCTTTGATATACGAATCTTTACGAAAAATATATAAGCGATAGGAGTTTTACAAAATTGGTAATTGTCCAAACTAATTAATTATACATGTAGACATCTTATCGATATTCAGCGCTCGAAGGAAGAATCAGCTTATAAAAAGTTTCTAAGATTCATGCCGTTTAGGGTGCATCAATTTAAAAGCATACGGACTATTGTGGATACGTTTAAGTGATTTAAACCGGAAATACACGAATCTTCTGATTAAGATTTTGTGAAATTTGAACAAAGCTTAAGATCAACTTTAGAGCCAATTTGTGACAAAGAGCCACGTAACATGTTTCGGCGAAAAGTTTAAAGAACTGCTTTTTTTTTTAATCGTCATGTGGCCCATAAGAATTAATTTTTTGTGACGAAACCGTAGAAAAGCTGTGTCAAGTTTTATATTGATCCGGCCGAGCTTTTTCAGTCAAGTTTAAATAAACCTCTCACCTTCTTTTTAAAATGCAAAAGTCTGTCACTAGTCATCTTATCCATCTTTTGGAATCGAAAAGTTAAAAATGTTCATGAACAGCATTGCAGAGACGTGAATAATTACCCTCAGGTAAACCTTCGCTTTAGGCTTCTTCAAAAACTATTTCCCTAAAACTTCATCCGTTTGTACTCATCTTGCTTCAAAAAGTTGGATTGCAAAATGGCAAAATATTCACGAACCTCTTGTAAAATGTATTTGTTATCCAATACTATTGCGCGAAGAGTGAGTATTGAGACGAAATAATTAATTATACCAATACTAGGAGAAGAGTCTTGTGCGAATATTTCAATAAAGTTAATAAAGATAACAAAAGAGTATTAAAATGCGCTCGTAAACTTCAAAATATTACTCTGACTATGAATAAGACATTATTGTAGGAAAATCTTACCTTGTCCTTCTGGAATTAGTGAAGTCAAACCGGTGAGAACGAAGCTTTAGAGTACAAAGAGAATGTAAAAAAATAAAGCCCGTTATAATTTTAGCAAACAGCTACAGTGAGTTTTTGATAAACAAAACTTAATTAGTTTCTTTGGAATGTAGTTGGTTGGTGAAACTCCATTATACTTAATTCATATTAATGGTTTTTATACAGTTGCATAGAGGAAGTTGTTATTTAAAAGTTTATCTATTCTGGCTTAATGATGTCCGTGCAAGTGTAACATATGACACAAAGCTACATGAAGACTGTTTATCAAATGTTTATACGCTCCTTCGTCCGCCCACATTTGATGGAATATTAATGACCCGAAATTTTTGGAACGTTAAAGAAGGATTTAAATTATCTCGTGGGACCAGTTTTCAAGTGGTCAAGTTTCAGAAGCAGATCACTTCCACCCTAACCCCCCCCCCCCTTGCCGCCTCTAATTCAGACCCTATGAGTTTGTTGTACAGCGGGTTTCACGAGCAATGGCCAAGGTGATGAAAAGCCCCGTCCATGCTTCACTTCACGTCTTTTCAAAGACCTTTTGCCCGAAGTTAGACTTTTTTTTATTGTGAAACATTTATCGCTTCCTTTCTGCAGGGGACTGTCATCATGGGAACCGACTTGTTTCAGTTGTGTTCAAACTGTGCAAGCGAATAATAAGCCCCATCGACATGACAAGTTTTTGTAAAACCACACACGACAAAATCCACGAATATTACAGTGTATTTTGACTTTAGCTTGAAAGTGCTTAAGCCCCATATCACGCTTTTTTTATTCTCACACTTATCCATATTTCCACTTCAATAATAATCACTGATCTATAACCATATATAGTCGAAGGTGGCAAGAAGCTAAGCTAAATTCTACAGTTTTACGACTTGAGAGATAATGGTTGCTTGGCGTCTTTTCACGAATCTTTGCTCTACAATCTTGTTGTAAAGATCAAAAATTTCATCTCATACTCGGGACAAAGCTTTTAAGGAATGACATGAGTCGAAAAAATGCCTCTGATGTTAGGAGAATCTGGAAAAGTGTGGCAACAGTCATGTCCCTGAAATTTCTTCAGCACATATAAGTTATCACACACTGCAAGACCCCAACCCCCGCACCCGCTTCTGTAAATTTCGGTAAATTTGCTGGACACATCCAAAAATGTCTTTTAATTATTGAGAATGTTTTGGAGAGTTAATAGAGACACAAACTGCCTCTTATATCTGCAATTCACCATTCTTTACGCCTGTGTTCGAGGACATTCTACGGCCATGTGAGTCGTAGGTGAATCTTCCGTCTCTATCCAAGGGAGGCAACGTTGAGAAGGTTGAGAAAGTAAGGCAGGAGCAGAGACTGAAAGGATAAGGAAGCAAAAAACAAAAAAACCGAAAACCGAAAACCAAAAACGAAGGTCGGGAAATTGATATAGTGAACGTGTGGATTCTCGTATTTTCGGTGAAATATATTTTCCACGTTCTTTTCCTTAATTTCCTTAAGTGCAACTACCTAAAGAACCATTACTGACATCTAGGAATCAATTTATTAATTTTTAATATAATGTAATTTAAATTGATACTACTGACTAAAAACTCACGGAAATGATAGTTGTTATTACAATTACACCTTTCTCCTCCTTTTTATGAGGAAGAGCTTGAGAGCCTCCTAGAAAGTTACTCTAAACGTTGATAAAAACATACTAATCTAACAAGTTAATACAGTTAAGTTTATGTCATCACCTTAGCATATATAACCACTTTTACACACTGCTTTCTGAAAAGGAAAACAGAACCTAAATGACTGAATCTCATTTTAGAATTCGTTAGTCCCCACTTAATTAATCAACATCTGGAAACACATTACTTAAAGAGGCCACATCGACAATTTGGCATCAACCCTGGGCGATTTTTTTCAGTCACTTTACAGGATTCCGCTAGAAGTGAAGCTGAACCCTTTTTCAATTGACTGGGAATCCTAAAACCAAAACTAAAACAATAAAAAATGATGTATTCCAATAATAAAAACCATAAAACACCAAACGTATCACAAAATAGTAAAACACACTTTTCGCGAACAGTTTGCAACCGGCGCCGGTCGCGGTACAAAAATACAGCCTGTTGAAAATCATTCTTAAATATATGTAATGATTGAAGTGCAGAAAAATATGAAATACTATTTTCACAACATTTTCTCTACGAAATACTTACTAGTCCTCATTACCTGCATGTTATTTGTTAATTAGTTCTCAATTAATGCACATGTCCATCTGATAAATTGCTCAGAAAAGAGCCGGAAAAGGAACAAAAACAGCAGTTTTTATGGGAGCGTGATCCTTATGTCAGGAGATGCTCACAAAAAAAAAATATTCCAGAAAACTATGTTTGTAAATCTAAAATCTGAACTCAAAAACAAATGACTTTAATTCCTCAGGTTGCACCGTTTGGCCAACAATTTAAAGTGCTCAGTAACTGACCTTGAATATTAAACAAAATATTATTCAATTCCGGAGTTTAAAGACTAATCAGCCTTCAAAACAGAATTAGCCTCACACGTTAGAGAAAGTGCTGCCAAGGGCATGTCACTGAAGAAACGTGATGATCACTCTACCATGTCCATACCTATTAAAACAACATTCATTCTGCTGATTCGTCCCACTGTTAAAAGATCCACCCCCTCCTCCACAAGAAAACTGTTCATTAGCTCCACCATTCCCTCCAGAGTAACCTCCACCGCCTCCAGCTCCGCCGTTACCTCCTCGTAAACCACCGCCACCTCCACGTAAACCACCGCCACCTCCAAACCCACCCCTTCCACTTCCACCCTCTCCTCCCTGAAGATATCCTTGACCTCCTTGACCAGAAGAGTTCCAAGCACTTTGTCCATTACTGTAGAAGCCGCCGCCGCCACCACCTACAATAAAAAAAAACTGAGAAGCAGTTGTCCCATAAATGGCTTCTATTTGATTACTTACTTAAGAGCGTTTAAACGACGATTCGCAATATTATCAACTTAGTGCACTTCTCAATTTTTAGAAATTTATTCAAAAATATTTTTGGTAGTCAATTGCTAGAAATAGAACAGCTTATCAAGACAAAAGAAATGTACATGAAGTAATGCGTAGGATTTTTTAAAAAACTGATATGCCTTCGAGAAAAGAAAAACTTCAAAGTTGGAATTAGTAATTTCAATAATTAAGTTCTGATAAATATTACTGTCGTCCTCTTGTCCTGGTGGATTGAACCTACTGATTATTTGGTTTTTTCTTCTTTCTCCGCGTACCTGAATATTTTGTACTGGCGTTTCCTCCATTTCCGTTGCTTCCTCCTGAACCCAATGGAAAGTTATACCCTCCATTCCCTGTTGTGTTTATGGACGCATCTCATCCTGGATGTTGTTCCAATACATTTTTAATTCCTCCTCCACCTCCAGCTATAATCAAAGACTTGTTGTTTTCTTTCACTACAAATGTACCTCCTCCACCTCCGGCAGTTTTTGGGTTTCCATTCCCTTTTTCCCCTTTTTGACCAACAAGTACATGAATGATCTCATCTTTGGTCAAATTAAAGTTTCCAATCATTCGTGCCCCTTTTCCTCCGGTTTTGATAAAACTGTTCTCACTGTACCCCCCTGAGGCTCCTATTGCTTCTATTCTGTATTTACCAGTGCGTGGCACAGTCCACAGTTGAATACCGCTGGACACTGTTACTTGTCCGTTATGGTCTTGATCTTTGTAATGACTACCAATCGACTTTGGACCCTCTGATCCAATCTTACCAAGATTTGTAAACACAGCTGTAAATCCTGCATAAAACCATAAAATAAAAGTAATGTTGTTGGTAAGAAATTGTCAGATTTTTTTTTGCCATTACTAATGGTACTATTACGAGGAAATGTTCTTGTAGTTACGTAAATCATTAAATCACCGAAAAAATGGAATAGAAACGTTAGTCACTTGGAGTGTTCGAACAAGTCGTACTGTGCATTTTCCGACGCTTGCTCACGTTTGTATTTTTAGAGAGTAGAAATTCTCGATAGTCGGGCATTGACTTACTTCATTACATCTAAAGATTACATTCGACAATAACATATTGATTGCCGACCAGAATCAAAATGGTGTTTTTGAATACCGACATGATACTTTCAAAAACTGTACGGTTGAGCCATCACGAGGTTTTGTTGTTAGGGAATCTAAAAATCTCAAGAGAAGACAAGGTTTCCTTCCCAATCCCACAATTAGCGTAGTTTTTCTCGTCAAATTATTCCAGTTTGTGGTTCGGCGATCACACGTGACAGTGAAAATTTTCAAATGATTACAACAAGTTGTCCAGGATTGTATTGGTTCTTCGCCCTGTTATTGGTTCAGAAAACTCGCGTCAACTTGTAGCAGCTCGATTGTGATTGAGATGACACACAGCAAACAATATCCAAGCGCTCGCTTTTGAACAGGAAATGAAGTATTATCTGGTATAAATTACTCGTTACAAGAGGTACCTCTCAATCGTTATTGTCATTCAGGCCTTACCTGGTACACAGCCATACAGCTCTACCCTCATTGATATCCAGTCCTGCCACTCTACTGGTTTAAAACGAATGTAACGCGCTGTGATTGGTGGGTTAAGGTCGTGATAAACCACGGTATTCTGATCAATGTTTCCAGCAAAAACCTTTGAAGTAACAACATAAGAGGTTTCCATTAAATCTTTGATAAGAATCAATTTTATGAATAACAGTTATTACGATGCGAAAACAGTCCCCCAACTCATTCATACACCATTCCTCTAGTCGTTCCTCTTAGGGGCCGCGATATTATACAATTATTACTGGCGGTGCGTTGGCAAAACCCCTGCCAATGATCATCCAAAAATACTTCTTTTCCTGTTTAAACGGGAATCAATTCACAACAAATCAATTTTACCTTCATTGTGTTTTGTTCTGGGACTGTGTAATTGTAGAACACTTCTGTATCGTTGCCGTACTGCAGGATGTACTCTGTAACCCACTCCCTCTTGGGTCCATTACTTCCCTGTGTGGCCACACGTGTCACTATAGTGTGCAGAATAACCAGATCAACTTGCAGCCACTGATCCGTATCATCATTTTCAGCTGCCCAAGATCCCTCTCTGTCAGGATTTATAACATGAAGTCTGCTCTGACTGGCGGAGTGGTTAGAGTCTCTCTCTGAAGAGGCGCTTATTTGTCCGTCAGAGATTTCACCGCTTTGCATGCCGAGAAATCTTCCACATTCTGTTTACGAAAGGTTAGCAGAAACAAATATAATTTATCTACAGCAGCGAAATAAAAGCAGCTATGAGATCATGAGGCAATTAATCAAGGGTAGTTCACACTGAGCTAAGAAATGTCGTTAACACAATCACAGAAACTTTCAACGAAATGAAAAACCTTAAAGAGCGCCTACGAGCAGATCAACTGTAATTTCTACAGTGATTATCAGCTTTAGAGGAAAGCCATTTTCCTTACCTTTCACGCATCCATACAATTCCACTCTCATTGATATCTCACTTATCCACTTCACTGGTAGAAAACGTATGTACCTTGCTGTGATTGGTGGATTGAGGTCGTGATAAACAACACTGTTCTTGTCTTTGTTTCCGTCAAATTCCTGCATCATAATAGATGTGAAATAAATGTTGAGTGTTTTTATTCAAAATGCGCGGTACGTGCCCGCTTCGTATACATAATAATTTTTTTAAATGAAATCTATATAATTATATTATGCAATTTTTTTCGCTGGGTAAATAGTGAAATATCTCACGAGCGATTTGATTCATGAAATTCATCCCATGCCACCCTACGGTAAAATTAAGTTGAAATTTTTCTGCAAATATCTATCTGAGGGTAATCAAAAAACTGGATCAAGATGAGATTTGTACCTAGGCCAAGAAAATGGTAAATTTATGAAATTTTCATACATCGTAACAATTTTCTTGAAAAACTGCCGACTCATGCATCATAACAAATCGAGAAACGAAGCTGATCTGATTGCAAAGAGGATTTTTTGTCCTGGTAAACTACTCAAAGAAGACATTGGGAAGTTTAAGTTGAGGAATGAACTTGGCTTTGTGTACAATGAGCAGCTCATGTTTTAGAACCCTTCCCCACCTCTGATGAGTTTTACCTTTGATATGGTTTGTCCTTGTTCCGTGTAGTTTTGAAATCTCACTCCATAGTTGCTGTATTGTAGCTTGTACTTCTTCACCCATTTGTTATGTTTATGGGATCCCTGTGTTGCTACTCGTGTTACTTCAGTGTTTTGAGCCCTGAGATCGAGCTGAAGCCACTGATAAATATCATTCTCATCAGCTATCCAAGTCGTCCCTGTGTGATGTAATCTTACAATTTTCGCGTTATTCTCTTTTTGGGACGAGAAACTTATCTGCCCATTAGTGATTGCACCACTTTCCATACCAAGTGTTCCAAGACAACGTAAATCTATTTTAAAACAAAAGGAAACCTAAAATAATCAAATAAAAAAAGAGAGTCGCAACATCTTAATATACCTTAAATTGCTCACACGCCATTGGTAGATATTTTCCATTTTACATAATCAAGTACATTTTGACTTCTGCCCACATCAGGTGTATTTTGTTAATGAGAAAATATCTCCTTAGTTCTGATTATATGTTTGTGAGTAAACGTTGTTGCGAAGAGCTTGGTGTATAATCTTTCATTTTAACAGATCAAGAGCATCAGGTCTCTTCATTTATGTTATCAAGCATTTTCCCACATAAAACTTTGAAAGCCCACAATATATAGAAATCTCGTTTTAATTATTTTTTCTGCCAATTGTTGGATTAATTGATGACGTTCATCCTTTATCCGAAATGAGTTGATGTAAACCCAAAACGGGCGAACGTTTTTAAAGCGGTGTTATTATGTCGGTCGCTCATGATAAACAACAGATATCAGTTTGACTGTGTTACGAAAACGTGTCTACTTGCTCGTGGGTCAGAATACTTCTAAAACATTCAACGAACCTGACTAGAATAATGCTTGATCAACCTTTAAGGTAAAGGTCTTTCTAGAAATTCCCAATTACATATAGAAACTTGATTATAGGGAATTACGCAAGGCTATTTTTTGCCGATGAGGCTTTCATAGTTAGCTTATTATGGAACTTCTTGAACCTTAGAAAAGGTATTTAAGAGTGACACTTTAATACTTGGCATGCGTACAAAAGCTTTTTGAGCGGGGAGGTATCATTTTCATGAAAATTTCAATTACTGGAATAAACCAGTTTGTTGCCGCTACCAGCGATGCTGAGTTCCGAGACCAAAAGGTCCTTTAAAAAAGATGCTCTTAACAGACAGCTAATTCGGTTTTTGAAGCGTAGAATTGTAATAAATGTATCATTTAAATTTTAATTAAATATTCCTTTCTTTCAATGTTGAAATGGGCTTCTAGATTGGGCTCGCACTTTAAAATTACCTCTGATGTTGTAAACCTGAAATGCATTGGCGTCCCCAAGACCACACTTCTTAGATTCCCTAAGTTTTTTAATTTTCTGCGGTGTAGTAGCATCTGCTGAACACGTGTCATTATTCTCAACTGCAAATAACCTGTAACCTGCTCTAATTACAGCCACTGCGCACATTGAAATGAAGCTCCCAGGCTGTGCAGGGTAAATTCCATTCAAGATAGGATCGGACCCAGTCAATTCATGGGTTAAACGATTTGTACCATCCAATTTGTAGCATCCAACACTTTTATGTCCTGAAAGAGTAAACAGCAAGTAGAGCCGTACAACATTGTAACTATCAACTAGACCGGGTAACAAAAATGTAAATAGAGGGGGTAAGTTTCAAAAGAAACTATGGTGCTACGTCGGTAACGAACCGCCGTAAAGAGTTTCAAGCTGAAGTTCCGAGCGTTAGCTCTTCGTCAGAGCGAAGGACGAAGAGATAAGAAGCATGGTGACCTATATTTTTTTTTTGTAGTTTTTGAAACAGACATTGGTAAGGAACATTGAAGGAAAAAATTGTTCGAAATTTTTTTTTTTCTGAGGAATCACCTGAGGTCGTCTCATATTCACTTCAGAGATCATTATAGTGTTCTTTTCAAGAAACATTATTTGCATGTGTATTTTATTTTGTCATTCACACTTTAGATCAATGTCGGTCTTGATCAGAGCAACCTCGCACCTACCCCTCCCCAAACCCAACCACAGTCAACTCATAAACAGCTTGAGTTAATGTTGGGTCAGGGGAGGGGTAGGTGTACAGTTCCACGTTGCTTACACTTTTTCAAATTTTTCGGATTTTTCATGATCTGTAATAGAAACTTCCTCCAGAAAAGAAAAAAACGGCCCAAAATTTTTTCTACCTTTCAATCCAAAAATGAAAAAGTTCCAGTAAGTAGGAAGTTGATAGGAATAGGGTTTTCGATTGATTTTGCTGTTATGTCAGTTCCCTTGGGTTATCGGAAAATTCCCCTCTCAAATATTTCGAATAGAATCCAGTAACAGGTCTGCAGCAAGTGAAGTATGCAAAAAGCAGTTCTCTGCAGAAGTCGTGGTCTTCTCGAAAGGCAAATGATTGCTTCCACAAAACACAAAGAAACGCCTATCCACAAAATTAAAATGAAATCGTGTTTCACCATCACACATCACATAAAATGGATGTATAAGCGACAATTCGCCTTTAATTTAAGCAAATTTTATTGAAACAGAAGCTTTAGCAAGATTTCCTTAAAACATAACATTCCAATATGCACGGAATTCTTTGTAACAGAAAACAGCAGCATAAATAATAACTGCCGCTTTGTTTTAGAGAAGTATGGGGTTATACGTAAATATTTGCAAAACTTTTTAGGGCGACTAAATCTAAATCACGGGGATCCATAATTCCAGCCTTGCGGGGCACTGCGGTTGTAGCATGGATAACTTGGTATAAAATGTTTAGTACACTCATACCCTTAATGTAATAGACATGATTGATTTGCTTTCCTCCTTTACCACCAGGCGGACATTGCTGTGATTGGTTATACTTGTGGAAGGTCGTTATGGCCGAAGCACTGGCTTGGCATCGTCCACCATCCTGAACCGCAAAGATGTGAAATCTTTGCCTCTCGGCAGCACGAAAACATTTGTCGATGGAATCATTCCTTGTCGTGTAGTTACCATCCAGGATATCATCTTTTCCTTCCAATGTTTCTATGGCAGGACTGGTTGTATTGTCTTTGAAGCAACCAATTGACTCGTAGCGATTTGATGCTATTAAATAAAATTTCAAAGTTTTCGTCAAACCTTGAATGAGACGGTCACTGTTCTTACTATGATTTTCTTCTGCCATTTGTCGGCACACTCTCTGAGGTATCTTGTTAAATATTTGATTACGAATTACTCCTTTTGTTCACACGTGATCTAACCAGGATTCACCAACTAGATAGCAGCTCAGAACTTCTTCCTTAGTGCATAAAATCTATCCCTTTGGCGGGCGCCACTCGAGACAAAATGAAACTGAAACTCCGGAACCAAATGAATTGTCATCCGCCATGTCTTTGATGAAAGTGTAAAGATATGAATTCATGAAAAGATTAAATATTTGAATACTAACTATATTGCCTCTTTCCCCTTTTTTTTTTTTTAATACGCCCTGAAAATGGACGCGTGATCTAGCGCCTAATGCAACTCTAAAACAAATGCGTCCCAAATGGTAGCACAGTTCACAGCATGCAACAATAACTATAGCTACTTACCTAAATTGACACACTTGTATTTGACTTCCAAGTATTTAAATGTGCCAGGGCATGGATCACTAAAAACTGAATTAACTGGATGCAGCTCGCAACTAGCTTCTTCGTTGCACTTCATCCGCACAATGACAAGAGAGTTCTTAGCTCTGCAGTTTGTATTGTTAACTTTGGTCTGGTTACAAGTGTTTGAGTCCAGTAAAGAATTAAGAAAGATGTTTTTTTGTCTTGTCACGAGCGTAAGACGAAGAAAAAATTCTGAGTCACCCTGCAATTTTGTTGCAGGGTGACTCGTGCCGGCGTCCGTTCAACCGATAACTTACACATCGCCGATACTTCGCTTCATGTCTAATGCAGCCAAGTTTACATCAATTGGTTTTACTTTTTTTATTGTGAAAACATTGTTTGGTACCTTGGCTTCTGACTGACCTGTGCATTTGGTTCCATTTCCCTCATATCCATCTTCAAAGGTGCAGTTATAAGATCCCAAGGTATTGTTACACTCAGCATTCACATCACAGTCGTGATTTCCCATAGTGCATTCGTTGGTATCTAAATCAACAAAAAACAGTTCTGTTTTCTGGTCATTCCTTTCTGTCACATGACAGGTATCATCGACAAAATAGAGAGTATGGTATGTTGCAACTGATTACGTGTGCAGTTGGTTCCATTTCCTTTAATTCGATCTTTAAACGTGCAATTTAAGACCTCAGGGTATTGTTATACTTAGTATTTACATCACAGTCGTGTGTTCAGTTCATACACTCATCTAGAACAAGAACTCGAAAAAGAAAATAATTTTAATTAGACCGTTTTTCTAACTAACCTGAAAAACTGAAGGTTAAAGACGGAGTACGAATATGTCAGAACTAGTTACCTGTGCATTTGGTTCCATTTCCTTGAAATCCATCTTTACACGTGCACTTATAAGATCCCAGGGTATTGTTACACTCAGCATTCACATCACAACCGTGTGTTCCGTTCAAACACTCATCTATGTCTGAGACAACAAAATGAATATCATTAGAATGTGAAGGTTATTTTGACTTGCTTTGGCTGCACGAATTTTCGTATTCACGTGAACGTTTCCTGTTGTCAGATAAGAATACTTACCTGTACAGTTTTTGTTATTTCCCTGATATCCTTTCTTGCACTTGCATGAGTACGATCCAAAGGTGTTATTGCACGTGGTATTACCCTCACAGCTATGTTTACCAGAAAAGCACTCGTCTATGTCTATAAGAGGAAAAGAAGACGATGGACTTTATCTGAGTTTGTCTGCTTAAAGATTTTCATTGTTTTATGTCTTTATCTAGACATGGGATCACGTCTGATCTTTGCGTAAACTTTGTACTCAGTTTTATTGACATTCGCTTCGTAAGAAAGGAAACCGAGAGATTACAGACTGTTCGCGTAGATGGTGGGTAAGAAACCGCGTCAAAGAAAATTGAGACTGAATGAGTTAAAAAACAAAAATGATTGAAAAATCCCTTTCCAAGATGAACCATGAGAAGCAACAGAGTTGTTCGTATGTAAGTCCTCTTTTGTATTTTGAATAACTTGTGCCAGGCAAAGGCTTTCACCAGCGATTTTCTGTGACTATCAAACTACTGAGGTGTTCGCGATTGTTCGGTACTCATCCCTTTCAAATAAGTCTTCCCAATCACCTAGAAGAACTTCAATGTGAGGGAGAGTCGTGCAGAGCTTATCACTTATACATTACGTTTCTGCCTTAATAAAAATATAAGATTCCTTACCCTCATCACAATCATGGCCTTTAAATCCAGATCCATTAACACACAAACACTGATAGTCCCTGTCTGTAAACCCAGCTTGGCATGTTGCGTTATTCTTGCAAGGATTTTGCTTACAAGCATTCTAAGAAAGGAAAGGAAGAGATAAATTTTAAATGATATTTTTGCAGGCATGATAGTTTCCTTGCATGTATTCCTTTGTTCCGTTGCAAGCGGGTAAAATTAACGGGTTAGGGAGGCTAGGGTATCCCTTGGTCCGGTATTAAAGCTTTCTCGGACAATGAATATTACTTTCAGCCCATAGAGTTCATCCTCACCTCTGCTCCGCGGTAAACACAACTTTCGTTTTCCACCAGGTCTTGATCGTGTTCAATAGTCGCGTTATTCAGATCACACTTGTGTTTTCCAGACGACTGTTTTATCTCACAGAAGTTATAACTGACGCAGTCAGGTTCCAGGTAGCATTGAAACATGCAGAGATCCCCGTTAACGACGTCAATTGTTCGAACCGTGTGATTCTCCAACCGGAAGCCAAGTTTAGGAAAACTGGTAAACTTTAAATTGCGGCAATTGCCTAGAGAAAGAATCTACTAAGTTAGAAAGTTGCTTTGTGGTACTAGGAACTTTTACTTAAACTGGAACTTTAGAGCAGTGTTACTCCTGAATCATTGCTCTAATTTGAATTTTGGTTTTCTGCCTTGCGTATAACACCAGTCGAGTGATTTTAAATATTGTTCTGAATGATAGAGGCATTTCTAACTTCTTTTTGATGCGATCACCTATTATGATCGATCGATAAATCGACGCTGAAGTCTACAATCAAGCCGTAGAGTAATTCGTATCTATCACGAAATGATGGTGTTAATTGTTATGTGGCGTGACTGCAGATTTCGACCATACTGAGTATTATGAAAGCAAAGCGAGAGATGATTAAACTCGCTGACGTATAATTCATTCTGTATATTAAGAACTTTTTTACCAACCCTTTTCATACTATTTAGATCCTAGATTTTATCTCTAAAAATATAACAAAAGTTTTACATCCATGGTGTGCATTAACAATAGCTAGGGGGCGAACTGACTGAAATTTACCCTCGAGCATGAGTATTATGAAGGCGTAATTGAGTATAACAGGAACAGTAAATCCTAAAATGTTACATTTTGGTCGAGTGAAATAGAAATACGATGAAAGGAATCATGCGACTGCTTTTAAGAATTTGATGTGCAAGTAGTAATTGACAACAAAACTTGAAAAGCGATAGGAAATACGACGCCGCATGCTGTACTAACGGTTTTTTGTCAAATTCGTTTTTCTGGAATTTTTCGTTCAAGCCATGGGGTAAAGTCTGCATTTTCACATCATCTTCTTTAAGAGCGTGTTTTCGAAAATTTCCGTTTTCGATGGACAACTTTATTATCCAGATTGGTGTTGACGGTAAGATAAACTGTAAGAATAAATTTTCTTTTTAAATTTACTGCGCTAAATGAAAGTGAGGACTCAAAGCTAGGTGTTGAATATCGAGCCTGAGGAAAAATTTTCATGTCAGTCAAAACAAGATGTCTGCATCAATTAATGATGAATTCCTTTTCACAAATACATCCTCTGTAGGGAACACGTCCGTGGTTTTCCATCAGACAGAATCTACATTAAGCTAATTACTTTCCTGTATTCGAAAAATACAATCAAACAATTTTATTTCCTTCAAAGCAAAAAAGCGTTAAAATCTTTTTGTGATCATTAAAATGTGCTGACGTCACTGTTTTAAAATAATTTTCGATCTTGTTTCGCCATACTGACGCGGACGATGGACATTCATTTATTTTGCTTGAGTTTGTCAAAATCTCGTGATCATTATTGCATGAAATAACTGGCAGATTTGCTCTTGCAAGGTTTTGAAAACCTGTTCTTAGCTCACAGTGAAACCGACCAAATTAAAGTTGCTTTGATAGCAGATAGTTTAAAAACGGTCTGTTTTGAGACTCGTGTCACATTTGCAAAGCAAGGTGGTGTTTGCCACCTTTGTTCTCGCGCTTTTAGAAACTTAAAACCTGACGGCAGTTTTTTTGAAAATTAAATACTCTGAGAAACTCCACGAGTGGACGGTCAACAATCTAAATTTTGATCAAACAGGACTGCGTAAAAATTGTTTAACAAATTTTTTTCCTTGAGAACCACCTGTTTGGGTTGAAAAGCCCCTTTTAGCAAGTATAATGATTGTATGTGTGTATTTATGTATATATTCATGTACAACTTCCTTTCTGCAGAGGCTTCACGCAATCCACAAAGTCCTCAATTTATAGGATTGAAATATTTGAATCAACTTAAGGATCAACTTTAGAGCCAGATTTTACTGAAAGGGCCAAGTTTTGATGCAAATAACATGTTTCAGCCCAAAGTAAAAAATTCTGTTGCTTTTTCCTCTTTTTTTAATCAATTCTTTTCCACGAAACACTATTTCTAGTCGAAAAGACTGTATTACATAACTTGAAAAGTTGTACTTCTGTGTCAAGGTTTCATTTGATCCAGCCGCGCCATTTCAGTTGAGTTCAACAAAACTTTCCACTTGTTTTAAAATTCGAAGATCTGCCTGTAGATATCTTATCCTTTGTGCCGCATCAAAAAGTCGAGAACGTTTATTGAAAACATTGCAGAGACCTGATTATTATTTTGAAGTAAAACTTATGAAAATATGATCGTTGTCTTATGCCTATCTAGAGCGAAACTTGGTCAAAATTAGTTTATTTTCTTAAATATTTCGGGAAGAAGTTGGTGTGGATATCTCAAGGCTTAGTTATGTTTATAAGGATGATAAAAATGTAACGTAAAGATTCGGTAAACTTTTAAATAGAACTCAGACATGAGCTAGGAGGAAACCGTAGGAAAATCTCACCTTGTCCTTCTGGTATTAGAGAAGCCAAAACGGTGAAAACAAAGCAATAGAATACAAACAGCATGTTCCCACTAATCGCCCGCTTTAATTCCAACGAACAGCTTAAGTGAGATCTTCTACCTTATGCCGGGGAACATCACTCAAATTGAGACAGCTGTAGTTAAATATGCGTTCAAATACTCTACACTCATTACTTTGGGCAGGAGATTGTCACCATAGCAACCGACTCGTTTCTGTGCAAGCCAATAATTAACCATATCTACGAAGATGAGTTTTATATATAAAGGGGGTAAGGTTCTAAAGAAACTGTGGTGCTGCGTTCGTGGGAGAGTATAAAAGGGTAGTTAAGTGTGAAAAACTGAGTTGAAAACGTGATGTGGCCACCTAAAGAGTTTAGAGGTTAACGTTTCGAGCATTAGCCCTTCGTCAGAGCGATTGGAGGAATAGTGAGTTGTGTTGGGTTTATATGCAACAAATAGAGCTACGCTATTGGTGGGAATATGGTGATGAGAAAACAAGAATAAATTAGCTGAATGAAAAGCGCTCCTTGATACCGTGGGGATTAAGAGTGCAGATTTGGAAGATAAAATTTTGTTCCAGAGTTTTGCAGCTTCCAAACTGCCTAGCTGTAGGGGAAGACCGCAAACTGCCATATGCTGTTTAGAATGATTAGGGAGATTACGGTGTCTAGAAACTGGTTTGGATGTGTCCTTGTCATTTCTTTCTACGTAGCGAAGGTGTTCTCGGAATCGGTCACCTAGTCGTCTTCCTGTTTCACCAATTTATAACCTTTTTGCAATAAAGCAAGTTACGCAGTAAATGACATTAGCGGAGGTGCACGTAAAGCCGCAAAACTCTGGAACAAAAATTCATCTTCCAAATCGGTACCCTCTATCCCAACAAACGCTTTTCATTCAATTAATTTATTTTTGTTTTCTCTTTACACGTGCACTCGTAAGATCCCTGAGTATTGTCACAAACAGCATTCACATCACAGTCGCGTGCTCCATCAGTATATTCTCTTCGTACATTCGGCAGCTACTAGTACTACACGACTGAGTCCTTATAAACATTTAAAAAGTATCTTAGAACATTCCTGAAGCTTACAACACAACTATTTTGGTAGTATTGTAGCGGAGCTCGCAGAGCGTAGCCCCATAATTATACAAAATAGAAGTAACCCATCAAGCCGAAAAAATTTGGATGTACGACCGTACGAGCGTACGACCGTACGAGCGTACGACCGTACGAGCGTACGACCGTACAAGGTGCTACTTTTAACATGCGTGGTCAAGTGTACCGCGGGCACGCCAGCGCCACGGCTTTGTTCAGTAGTCCAGTGGTCAGTGCACTGGGCTCTGAGTCGGACGACCTGGGTTCTAGTCCTGGCCGGGGCAAGGCGTTGTGCCCTTGAGGCGGGCGGGAAAAAAAATGCGAGCTCCGCTTTTAGGCTTGGCTAAATCTATACATTATCATGACTACGTGACCTAATAGGATGTTCCAGAAAGTTTCATGGTATGACAGTAGAATGTTCGTGGATGCATGTTAGCATGGCGTATCAAGTTGCCTGTGCAGTTGGTTCCGTTTCCTTGAAATCCATCTCTAAATGTGCAGTTGTGAGATCCCAAGGTATTTTTACACTAAACATTCACATCACAGTCGTGTGTTGTGTCATGCAGCACATTCGTTTATATCTAGAACACGGAAATGAATATCATGTTAATGAGACCCTTTCTTTACGCAATGCAGGTGTTGCACTCGTCTTGTATGAATCTTACTCTGCTAGTGATCCTGTAAGAGGCCCTCATGTTGTTACACGTGGCATTAATACGACAACCATGCAGACTTATTTCAAATTCGTCAACCGGCCGACGATAAGCGTGAAAAAATACAATTGTTTCGTCTCTTCTTTCTCCACACTGTTGAGCGGCAATGTTATGCAACAGCAACAATTTTGACAGCAGAAACAGCACGATGGAAAAAGAGGACTTATGACCAGCCATTTTAAGTTTTTCACTTTTGTGACATCTGAATAAATAAGATCAATCATCTTTTCCTTTCGTGGAACAGATGTGAACTGGAAACGTTTTCAGTCGTGGAGCACAAAAGCGTACCAAAGTGCACAAAATACTGCAATACTGAATTTCAAAAAGATGTTAGAGCTGATTAAAAATTTTTTTCCCTAAGAAAAATCATCTGAACAAGTAATCCATTTAACCTTTCCTAGCCTGGTCTTTGATGACGAGAAAATTCAGGTCCAGATGTTAATACTGTTCGAGAATATATGTGGGAAAATGGCGGCCAAAACCTACAGTGACAATGTGGTTTCTTGTAACATATTGGAAATTCAGCAAGAAACGGATAGTAAACTTCAACTATTGAGGTGTGCATTAAGCTCAAATTTGACCGGTATAGCTATTCCCAGTTTCAAACTTAAGTATTATTTAAAAAAATATAGATTTTAAACTAACGGACATAGACACTGTACACTGATAACGAGTAGCAGTTGTTTCTCTGTTATACTAGCTCGTAACACAGTTTTCTCGGGGTTTGAATCACTTTTTGCATAATTTTCCTTGCCGAACATTACTGCAGTATGAAAAAATGATTGGCGGCCACCGAGTTTCAGTTGTCAACAGGACATGCCCCAGGCACACTCTCTGCCATTATACTATTTCTTCAGGAGTTCTTTTTTTGTCAAAAGAGTAAATTGATACGGAAGACCCTTAAATTACATAACAAAACGTTTTGTTGAAAGTGATGAAAATTTAATGACCACAAGGAATCAATTCAAGGTCGAACCCAAATCTATCAGAAAATTTTTTTTCTTGTCTTTTTACATCATGCACAGGATGACAATGGTCATTATCTATACCAATACCAATCTTTCGGGAGCTGATTTGAAGCTGATTTAATAAATAAATTAGAGATATCTTAACCTAAAGAGATATGTGTTGTAGTCTTCCTGTTTTTATTCCATCACGACATGAAACCTTTGTCACAGTTTTTTCAACCAATGACGTTAGCTTCCCTCAAAACAGGTAAAAAGGAAAGTATTTACAATACTGCAGATTGTTTTTGCGCTATAATTGAAAAAATCATGCCCAAAACTTCTTCGGCTACGTGTGTGAGAGAGAGCCAGTAGTTTATTTTTCTAAAGAAATCATGCATTTATAAATAATTCAGACACATGAAATCAATTAGGGACACTAGGTCTTATTGGAAGTATTACGAAAGTGAAACACGACAGGTGTTTGAAGAACAAGTGCAAAGAAGATTAGGCAGTAGGCACAAATAAACATATTCTAGAAAATGCGGTTTGTAAATTTAAACTCTGAACTAAAAAGGAACGACTTTGATATCTAAAGGTTGCGCTGGTTAACCTACACCTTGAACCCTTAACAACAAAACCTGAAGTATGAGAAAATAACCAATAAGCTAGGGACTTTAAAAACAAGCAACAATCAGCCTTTAAAACAGAATTTCCGCTAAAAACTAGGAGAAGTGCTGCCATCTTCATTAAAGAAATGCTATTGAAAAAATTGTAAATAGCTGAAGCTACAAAGATTCATCTGGCCGCTTGGCATTAAATTGTGTTAGCCGTTCCTCCGATCTTCAGGGAATTAGTTAATGGTTCAGGTGATAGCCTTTTATCTGTCATATACCGTATTTCTTCACCTACAAGCCGAGCGATTTTTCAGTATTTGACACAAAAGTTTGAAAATTTTTTCACAAGAAACGGGGTTCGGCTTATAGCCGAGGGTTTGGGATTCAAAACAATTACAAATTTTAATGTTAATGCGAAATGACCGTAAATTTCGTGACTGCAGCGCTCTTTACGTGTGCGCTTTTAAATTGACATGATAACAACGTATTTCTGACCACCAATCAGATTCTTTGCTTCCCACGCATTGAAAGACGATCTCACTCAACTCGGCAAAAGCTCTCCTCATCGCACATTACTAATGAAATATTTGGTCTCTCTGCTGTGAAAGTCACTCCATCGCTTGCTCGTCTAGTTCGGGACACTTGGGAGTGAAACGGCCTATTTTTGCACGTTTTGCCGAAATCTTAAGCTTGCCAGAAAGAATAGTCGCCGAGTCTCGTCTCCAGCGTCGCACCATGGACTCGCTAAGTCCATAATCTCAAGCGATTTCCGAGCTGTTTTCTACAGCTTCGGCTTCCGCGATAACTTTTATCCTGAAAGCTATAGTTTACAAAAAGCGGCGTGCTTCTGGCATGATGAGAAAAATAACAATGAAGAAAGAGATACTCGATTGAAATGTTTGTCAGGCTACAGTAACTGTTGTGTTTCTGCAGTCGCGTAGTAGTATTTACATCTTCACTGATTCGCCTTTTTTTCTTTTGGGTTTATTCTCATTCATTAGCTTTTGTGTTCATTGAGCCATTTCCCAATTTTTCCGTGAAAAATGGCGAGTTTCCCTAATGGTCGCGGGTCGCGTGTCGCGGGTTTTAAAAAAGTCGCGGGTTTTGAAAAAAGTCGCGGGTTTTGGAAAAAGTCGCGGGTTTTGAAAAAGTCGCGGGTTTTGAAAAAAGTCGCGGTTTTTCTATAGCATGCCTATAAAAGAAAGTTAAAGCACTGGAAAAGCATTGGAAATAAAAAAAACCTAGTTAACAACAACAACAAAATAGTAATAAAAACAAACAATACAGGAAATCAACCAACTATTATCAAAACTTTCCCGTAGGGTGATGTTGTTGCATTTTGAGCAGAGTCGAATTTTGCACTGGAAAATTTTTTTTTTGAAACTCAAATAAATGTGACAAGTTTTGTAGACCCACATTTACCTGTATATATCTTTACCAAAACACAACAAGTTTTCTCATATTTGGCATAAAATGTTATAAATTTGTGAAAGCACTATGCAATAATGACAACAACTTACCCCATGTACTGTCAAAATAACTATCTTGAAGTTAAGTACGTTAGCCAAAGCAGAAATCACCATGTCAGTCACATAATTCTTCTTAAGCTTTTCCAGTGCTTCCAGCCAGGTTTTCGGCTTCACTGTGTCCTGGAAGTCGACCTCACACAAGAAATCGAATCTAAATTTTCAACGCACCGTACATTGCTCTTGTTGTTGCTTTCAATTAAGGTTTTTTCACACAATTACAATTTGTTTAAGCTCGTATATATGCGTTTTTTTTGTAAACATAGCAATATAATTTTCTCAACTGAAATCAAAGCTAAGTTTTGAACCGTCTAAAAAATTCTCATCAAATTCGTACACCACCGCTGTCATTGTAGCCCACAAAAGTTTTTAAAAGTTTAGTAATTAATGCTATCATAAATGCAACCTCCTGTCTTGGCGCTCACCGTGGTTGCCTCGTTTGCTCGTTCGGTTCTTGTCCAGATGTGAGCGTAGAACGCTTTTGGGAACTTTTGAGAACCCCTAAGAAGCTAGCGTTGCTCATATATATATATATATATATATATATATATATATATATATATATATATATATATATATATATATATATATATATATATATATATTTTTTTTTTTTTGGCAGCCGAGTACAAGCTTTACGTAAGCTTACTTACATCAATTTGATGGTTCTCGAGGTGCTGGAAAACGAGCTTCTTGACTTGTTCTCTCTCCAGGCTCAGTTGGTGGGCTGCCGCCGTACAAAAACAATCGCCATCACCTCTCGGATCGAAGAAAATAAAAAAACCCCATTTCTTTAGTCGCTGACGAAGCTTAAACATTCCTTGCTGACTCTCCATTCTAGAATGCGTAATTTTACAATGCACCGTCGCACACTATCATCCGGGCTCTTGCTTTTCAGATCAAAAGGCGGGAAAACCGAAGGTGCATTCCATTTTTACAGTCTGATCAGTGGGACTAACCAAGATAAGCTATTGCAAAATTGAACATTTTCTGATGAAATCAGGCCAATCGGTCGGAATGGTCTTTGCATTCCGTTCCTCAGTGCCACGTGTGTACTAACCAGTTTATGGAAATGGAAAGGTAAATTCCGATACGATCAGGGCAACCAGTCAAACGATGCATTTTATTAACACTAATTTCAAACATTGGCTTTAATTTTATGGACCTTTCTTTGCATCATCATCAATTTAAATTATGCTTTTTTACAGCATCGTTATTTAAAGATGCCTTTATTTCGAGAAAATCTACCTCGCCGTCAGAGTCAGTTGACATATTGTCATTCAGTTGATTGAAAACATCTTTAGATTCGTAAATTTAACGGTGCTGAACGTGGCTGTTTTATTTTGTGAAATTTTAACGCACTGGCTTGAAATTCACTACGAAATAGTTCTTATAAACACACGCAAATTCGCGTTAATTAAATAAATAAATGTAAACTTAACTTTGCGAAAATTCGCATTAACGCGTAGATTTTGTTCTTCGTTATATTCCTATAATGCAATCTTCTGAAAACCCGCGACTTTTTCAAAACCCGCGACTTTTTCAAAACCCGCGACTTTTTCAAAACCCGCGACTTTTTCAAAACCCGCGACTTTTTTAAAACCCGCGACCCGCGACCCGCGACCCGCGACCCGCGACCCGCGACCCGCGACCCGCGACCATTAGGGAAACTCTCAAATGGCCGGCTATAATCAAGAATTTCGCTCTCGGCTTATAGCCGATGTTTTTGCTTTTTCTTTTGGATAACACGAGTCTGTTGGAAGGTCTCTAACTTTTAGGTTCTCGGCTCATAGCCGAGGTCGGCTTATAGGTGAAGAAATACGGTACCAAACAAATAAAATTAGGCTGACCAAAATCTCTCTAAAAGTGCTTAAATGATTTGAGTCCAAAGGAAAATTTAACTGTTCCCTATTACTTTATCTATCGCTTTTCTGTCGAAAATCTGCTATCCGGGTTTGGAAGCCGAACTTTGCAAAACCAGGCAAAACCACATCGCCATGCTTTGAAAAATCTAACTTAAGTCACAGACATGCGGGAGGTAATAAGACCCGTCAAGTTAAGTGACAAACAAATTCCGATGTTTTAATGGATCTTAGTAAAGTCAAATAGACATGCGGGAGATTGCAAGACCGGTCAATGTTTTGCTAGATCTTACTAAACTCACAAATACATACAAGAAGTTTCAAGACCTGTGCAGAAGTCATAAACACATCCCTATATTTTGCTAGGTCTTATGAAAGTCAAAATGACATACGGAAGGTTACAAAACCTGTCAATGTTAGTCGTAAACACATCTCCATGTTTTGCTAGATTTCATTACATTCACAAAGGCATGTGGGAGGTTACAAGACCTGTGCTAGAGTCACAAACAAATCCCAATGGTTTCCAAGATTAAACTAAACACACAAAGGCATGCGTGAGGTTGCAAGACCTGTCGAGTTGAGTCACAAACACATCCCGATGTTTTGCAAGATCTGTCAAGGAAACCATTGCAGCTAATAAAAGAATCTTTTGATCGGCGTCTAACAGTATGCTCTTTATTTTGCTACACATAGCCGTAGCGATTAAAATTCCGTTCTTTTAGGGACTCACAATAAGCTTTAGTACATTGAAATAACTTAAAAATTTTATTTTCATCTAAAATGCATAATTTACAGCAATAATAATTAGCGGAATAAACTTAAATACTCAGAAGTAGCGGGGAGCTCAATTTTCTGGCAACCTTCAAGTTAAAAATTGGAATGATTTTAAATTCAGGTAAGCAGACACTAACATCCCGTGATTTGAGTCTTTTGAGAAATGATGGTGAGTTACCAAAAGATCTTCTGATGGCTGTAGTGAAATCAGAAACAGCACAAGCAAAAAGAGATAAGTCGATGATCTCCTGGCAAGGAGATTCTCTAAGGAAATTAATAAGCCAAAAACACGCTTCTTGCCCTCAATTTGTCATCATCTCCAGAACTCAGTTCAAGATTACTCTATGCTGTATCATGAAAGCAGACCCTAATTCATCATTTTGAATATTCCCATTACCTATTTGTAGGATAATGTACTGGTATCGTTGGAAGAAGTTACATTTAAATCCCCTCAAGGGGCTAGAGAGAATGTTAATCCAGAGTTCCCTGCATTCAAAAACTAAATGATGACATGGCTGTTAAATAAGAATTAGTGCAAGATGAGTTTCAAATATTTCAAAGCCATGTTTCATTACCAACAAAGCGAGATGCTCAAAATGACCCTCTCACCTCTAAGATTGAAAATCTAACTCTCCTAGCTAGTTATCAAAGATTTCTTTGTGGGTTACCCATGGGAAATTTTATATCAAAATCTGAACAACATTGTTACTTTGTAGTTATCTTCAATATTAACAGCAGTTTGTTGATGGTGTGTTAAAATGCAGACTATACGCCCTTATCACATCTGATAGTGAGAGATTTTGAAAATCTTCATAACGGGGAAAAATAACATTAAAACATGCTTTCATGATAGATTTCCATTTTTTTCTCTTGTACTCAAGTGAGATGCCATATTTCACCTCCAATCTTCTGAGCCTACTCTGGTCATATTTCATGAAGTATCCTTCAGTCACTTGTTCTGTTTTTGAAATAAAGACTTGGAAAGTGTTAAGTACTCTACACATGTAAAACATGATAAATAACCACTATGAAATATTTGTCCTGTGACACAATCTGACAAATTGCAAAGCTCCTATTTCAAATTGAGAAAATGAAAACAGATTCTATCAGTCAGCTAGTTTAAGCAGCTATAATTGGAATAATTCTCTCCCTCAGAAATTAGAACAAACTTTTGTGTTGCAAAGAAGTCAATATTACATTTGCAGCATTGATACATGTCTTCATCTTTAGCCTTTGTTATTGTAATTGTTGCTGCTGCTGAAGGCGGTGGACATTTTCAAGGAATGCATCTAAATCCACACCCTGGGAATCTAGAGAAAAAAAAACACAATGAAAAGAAAATAATATTGAAAATATTATTTTCAAATTTCCCATTATACTATGTCAGCAGTTCAAAGTATTACCTCAATTTCCTCTTTTTAATTATTCTGTTACCTGCTTGAGGCAGAGTTTACACAGAAACAAACAAGCAAATTTAGTTTGCCAGTGAACACTTTTGGGAATCATTTGATTGGTAATTTAAGTATTTCAGCTTGACATGGAACCAGTAATATAACAAGCTACCTTAATAAACTGATTCAAAAAAATGTTTGGATTTCTTTAACTGTTACTTGCAGCAATCAAAACATCATCAACAATACCTGGTTTTTCTGGATCACGACCAACATATGGCGTAATTGTATCTAAGGAAAAATTATAACAAGATTTGGCAACTGAATTAGGCTTGCTGTCCAATTACTATTAACAAGACAATCATAAATAAAAAACATCTTTATCATGTTTCATGTGTCTGAGTGGGAGCACTGATAAACAAATTATCATTAAGATACATTTCAGCTTGAATGTTATCATAAGTAAATGACTGTAGATTTTTGTATGATTCTGATTACAAATAATTATGGTTACTTTACAGAGGGACATAAAATCTTGCAATATACAATCACTAACTAAAGACAATCATACAATCATGGAGACATATTAATTATTTCTATTCTGGCGAATGATTGCTCTGGTTCTGGTAATTCCACGCCCATAACTTTCTAAAATTGCATCTTTACGTGATTTATCTGAGCTTCTGTTGTGTTCTCACTTGATAACAACCCCATTACAATTACATTTATAATTATGAATGAACACGATCATTTTTTCACCAGTAGGAGCTAAGCCTTAGTAAAAGAGTAACCCTTTTTGTACTTTACTCCTGTTTGGTGCAGTTCATGTAAAACAAAAGAAAAACACAATTAAGTTCAAACAAAGCTCACCTTTTTTTGATTTTAACTCAGCTTCCAATTTTCTCCATTCTGCAAGTGAAATATTCACAACTTAAGTTGATTTTCAGTGAAGGTACATATTATTGAGGTTATTTGAGACAAGGGTGCTGATGAAATCTATTTTCATGTTTGGACTAGTAATGTTTTATTTGAAGTTTGTTAATAAGTTTAAGTAAAAAAAAAAATTTAAATTACAGAATGATATCTCTACTGAATGTTTTGATCTGACAGAGGTATTTACAACAAAAAACAAGCTCACAACAAAACCAGTCATGTAAAAAAAAAGGGCACTCTTTCACATGTCTTTACCATTTTTGAGATCAGAAAAACTGAGAAATAACAGCAACACAAAGTTCTACTAAAAAATTCCAAATCTTTCCTGTACATTTTAATAGCTCTGAATTAATAAAAGATCACTTACAATAACAATCATTAAAATGAAAGATTCTTTAAATACCTTACCTTTTTGTAAAAAATCTACATTCTTTTTAAATTCCTGATCTGCAGGACTTGCATTTGGATCTCTTTTAAGAGAGGAGTGGGAGCTGTTACCATTCACATGTGATGTACTAGGAGACCCTGATCTTGGAGGTCTGCAATATGAAGATAATCCTTCACTTTATTATCTTTAATAATTTCATTTTCCAGATCAGGACAAGTGCATGGGGCCATGACCACAGACTTACCCCCTTAGAGTGATTCATCGAGAAAAAGGGACAGGCAAAGTCCATTATTTAGTAGAAAACCTGTCATAAACGAGGGAAAAACAGTTGGACTGAACTTTCATTTTATTTGGTTCCGTATAAAATATTACAGCTTTGCGTAATTTAATTAAACAGTTGTTCCTCCCATTGCCAATAAATAAATGGTGAGCATCAATAGACTCATGAACTCTCTTCGACGAGCAAGAACTCTAAAAGCGTGCCATTTAAGTTAACTTGCCTGGACTCATAAAATAAACTGCATGATAGCTAATAGTGAATCACTTACTGTCTCCAATTCTGATCCAAGTGCCGCTCCACCGGGACTCTATTTCCTACACAGGGCAAGGTTAAGAACATGAATATCTTTCGTCAAAGTGCTATATTCGCAAGATATAGAAATCATTGAGCTAAAATGATGCCAAATTACCTTTCCTTCTTCCGTGTGACATGCCAGATGCCGCCATTTTGTTTAGCGTTCCAGATATCGCGGGCGCTTTCATAGTCACGCTATTCATCAAGACGAGGCTGAGTCGTCCTGTCATGTGACGTCTAATGCAGACCTCCTTTCGTCCATCCTCACTACCTGTCCACCAGGTTAGGATGAGGTATGCATTAATCAAGAATGTCAGTAAATCTGGAAAAAGTTCAACTTCCATTTCAAGCTAAGGCAAACTTTCATTGTTCAAATGACCGAACGTTTCTATCCCGTCCCGTCCCGTCCTTAAGGAGCCCGATCCCCAAATTTCTCTGTAAGTAAGCGGCTGACTTCCGCCTCACATCAGAAGCCTTAGGCGACAGAAATCCCTCGCGATGAGAGGGCTAGAAATGCAATCGAATTTAAACCTTATTCCTCTTCTATTTTAGTGTCAGTGTCTAGATTCTTACGTTGTATATGCATGCATCCATATCTTTGTGTTAGACAATTAAAATTCCTAATTGCCATGTTTACAGGAAAGCTGGTCTTGCAGAACTTTCAGAGGGCCTGAGAACCAAGACTGAAATGAACATAGCTAGTTTGTTTTCACGCGGATCTTGCCATTTGCACGATCTGAAATCAGGCATAATAAGCATGGCATAGATGAATTAGTAAAACCGTATTTGAATCGGTGTCGGAACTTGATGTTAATCGACACAAATTTGTAATAGAAATAAGGCTTCAAAGGTCTTAAGAATTCTGAAATATTTCAGAGCAAATCCCTGTGTTTTTGCTTCCGGTTGAAATTCAATGCACTGCGTCACTTGAACCTAGGAAACAAGCCACCCTTGCCAACCTTTCTTTCATCTACAAAGGTTACAGTGTACGCCTTTCTCAGTGGGTGACTTTTTTAATATATATAACTAATAATTGTTAAAGAGAAGTTTTGTTGTACCAAATTTTACCCGATATTTTGACTAGTACCGCTAAATTAGTATATGAATGCTGGGATAGGTTTAGCCACGTGACGTCATCGGAAGGGATCGCCATGTTGGATTTATGAAGCGCTCAAGACGATTGAGTCTAGAAATCTTTGAAATTTGATGAGGGGTTTTACAGATACATGAGGGACAACGCGTTAAAATGCCAAAAGAAGAGGAGAAGGAATACCTTAAGATACTGGGAGTGGATAAATATTCACCTGAAAGTAGGTTTTTCCGTGGTTATGTTACCCTATTTACCACAGTACATCCTACAAGCGATTCACTATCCTGGAACTTCCGAGTTGAAGTGGGCGATGGAATACACGCTCGTTGAATAATTTTAGGCTAGCATATAGTTAGATTTACTCCACAGAAAATGTATTTGAATTTGTAATTTGTTGGTTTTCGTAATATAAGACGGTTTACCTTATATCGCCGATTATTTTTCAGATGAATTCGAAATCAAACGAGCATATAAGAAACTTGCACTCCGATTTCACCCTGACAAGGTAAAGTTACGCTATATAGAATTTCAGTTGTGCAGTTGTTGTTACTTTCTTTTTTCAGCAAAAGTACTTCACTTCTTCTTAAAATTTTAACTTTACGTCTGCTATTTAGTATTGACATTCCAGCATTCTCTGGTACTTTCTCTTTGCCAAGTTGATAATTTAGTCTCACTCTGTTGACCTTGCTTTCACTTTTCAGAACCAGAGCGACTTCTCGGCAAGCAACTCTAAAAAGCAGTTCGATGAAATCAGCAAAGCTTTTGAATCTCTCACTTTAGGTAACAGCGATTTTAACTTTGCATTCATTTATTTGCAACGACAGATCATGGTAGTGTCATTAATTTAGTAGTTCTGTTAATATGACTTTCTAATTTTGTATCTGGCCAGAATTGCGTGCCTTCCAATCATGTACGACTATTAAGTTTCAGACAGCGAGATCTTTGTAGGATTTGCGTGATGTCTCTTCCTTTTTCTCTTTTACACAGAGTACAGAAACGATACAAATCAACCAGACTACGATCAGGTAAAATTTATGTGATCTGTTTTATTTAAACTTAAGAGTTCTCAGAAAGAATTCTTTATGATGTATACCATTTTACACAAGATACAGTTACATGGAAAATTAAGGATTTGTATTTTTCTTTAGATTTTCTTTGACTTTCTACGCGATATCTTTGACTGGAGAGAAGGTAAGAGAATTTGCAAATTGCTTCCTTTGTCGCTGTTTTAAGTGTAACGTTTGGTTTTATACAGGTTTGGCTTTACCGTACTTAATTAACACAATGTCATCCCTGCTACTAACAATCTACGATTGACACGTAAACACTACACAAACCTAAACCGGAATCGGTTAACCCACTTATTGTGTAAATACAAACAAGCCATTCCTATTTTTTACAGTTGTCTTGATAAAAACGTTGGTTAACTCCAGAACGGGGATTTTTTCCCCTCACTGTTATTGTAATGGAGGCTTTAGGAATCTAGATAAAGCAACTAGTTGTAAGATTTCCAAGTACCGTTCACCTATACAGTATGAAGACCATGCAAGTTTTATTCTTGAGCTGGTTTCAGTGAGTTATCAAGTTTTTAAAAAAATAACTGACTGTAAAATGCCATTACATGTATGGTTCTTCAACTGGTTTGTTTATGTAACAACTAGATGTTATGCCAATTTGTTTTGGTGCTTTTGTGCTCATTTGAGATAATAGGAGCTTGACACTTTGACAATAGTTATTATCATCAGTAATTGATTGAAAATAGGTGTGAGGGCCATTTATCAATTTAGGGAATAATTAAACTTACAATTTGTTTTGTTCTTCTCTAGATGCAGAAGGAGCTGGAACTAGTAACTTTCTTACATATTTCTGTGGTTCTAAGCAGCACCCATGTTCCTCTGATGGAGACTTCGATTCAAGGTGAGAATTAAGTAGTATTCTTATTGGTCATCTGTATTTTTGTAGCTGTTTTTTTTTCTTTTACAAGAATAGTTTACCTTTTGCAGTAGACAACTGCTTTTTTTTTATTGCTCCTTACAGTTCTGTAATAGAAAAGTGACTTCTCCTTGTAAACTGTGCTCCATTTTTTAAGTTCCTTGTGTGAATTCACATTGCACAGAAACAAATTTCTATACTTTATAGTCATTTCTATTCTTTTCACTGGCTTTGTGATGTTTTGTGGATATTGCACATGCTGATTGCCTTTGAGAATGTTTACTGAAATGTTACATTACATACTTTGCTCATGAAACAGATACCAAGATACTGAAGATGACGAGGACGTTGATGGAGAGGGTGACTTGGATAGTATCATGGAGATCATTAAGGTAACACTTTGTCCAATAAAGCTTAGTGCTTCTGTTAGTTGGTAATTGATCAGTTACTTCTTAAGTATAATTTTTTATCATTGACTGAGTTGATTGTAAATTGGCCACTGTAAAGAGTTACAAACCTGATATTTGAGTGTTAGCCCTTCATCACGCTTGAAATATCAGCTCTGTAACTCTTTACAGTGGCCAAATGTATGTTATTCAACTGAGTTGAGAGTACCAAATTACCCTGTTATACTCTCAAACTGATGCAGCACCAGTTTCTTTAAAAACTTACCCCCCTTCTAAAGTGCTTGGGTTACACAAGATTGATGACAGAACCTACATCCTGTTTCACCTCAGAGTTACTACTTTTGCTTTTTTTCAGTTTTCATTATGTGTTATATTTATTGATCTCTCAGCCTTTCCACTATTTCTTATACTTAAATTTGTTATTGAACCCCTTTCACCAATTATTTTTATCCATTAAAAAGCTGACAGCTTATGGAAAATTAAAATTTTTGGAAATATTTCTGTCTAAATATGAGATTTTATTCTGATTTTGTCTAAGTGGTTCTTCAAAGTTCCTAAATTCTAAGGGTCTCTCTTACATTGTTTATTTTAGAATCGCAAAAAGAAAGGAAAACATGTTCCTGAAGAGTTCAAAGAAGAAAATGTAAGTTTTTGAAATAACTAACATTGTTCTTGTTTTTGTAAACTTTCATTGCATTAACTTGGAAAATTGTTGTGTTTTTAGTTGATGGATATGAAGAGTAAATTAAATCAACACAAAGAAGACATGAAGAGAGATGCTACTAAAAAGGTAATGAATGGTTGTTAGTATGTTTTTTGCTTGAAAACTTACAGCCCTGAATTGAGAAGAAAGTTATCACCATCAAGGTGTTATGTGGAAACATTATTATGTCTTCTGGATGGTCAGATTTGAAATGAGAGGGAGATTAATGTGATTCCAAATGTGGATCTCTCTCTGACCAGGAAAAAACTTGGTGTGGCCTAAAAAGGTGAAGTCTGTACTCAAGCCTATTGGCCCACCCAGCTAAACCTTATCCTGGTTTCCATGTAGCATAAAGTGACTAGGAGTATTACCACTCCTCCCTGGATGAAATGCCAGTCCATCCAAAGGTTACCCCCCAGCATTTTATCAGGCTTCCCAGACAATTCGCCAGTGCTATACTCCTGGGAAGAGAGAGGCACTGTGAAAGTCAAGTGTATTGCCCAAGAATACAACACATTGACCCGTCCAGTATTTGAATCTGGAACTCTCAACCCAGGGATCAGTGCACTGACCTTTAGGCCATTGCCTCTCTCAATGTGGCCTTCTACACCGCCATCTGCCATTGACTAACACTGATCATCCCAGCCTGTATATTCATTTGTCCAACAAGTTGTGACTTCTCAGAATTTTCTTGCTCATCTGTTCTATACTTTCCTTTTACATTAACTTGTATGGTAAAGATTTTCAAATTGTAGTCTTCTCTATAAATATCTTGTCCTTTGAAATTTTCAGCAGTCAAGCAAGAAAGGGAAGATGCCTGTACCTGTTGCAAAGGTTGGTATCTAGTGTGTAACAGAATTTTGGTTATATGCTGGCAGTGCTTTAAATCTGCAGTTATTAAATGTGTCGTGTTTATTAATAATGTTTATCAACTTCATTCTCAGCCAAAACCTAAGAGCAAGAAACAACTGCAAGCTGAGCAACGACGGAGAGAAAAAGTTAGTAGTTGTTGTTTCATATATTTTGTTTTATGCATAGTAGTATGCCTTGTCATATGTTTTTTTCTAGTTTTGAAAATTACATACCCTTAATTAAGTCTTCAGACTTTTCAGTGTGTTTGAAAAGCTGTTCTCTGGAATTATTTTGCATTGTAGGAAATGGAGAAGATTGCAGTGGAATTAGAAGAGAAGCGAAAAGAGGAAGTGGAAAAAGAGAAACAAAGGAAACAGGTGAGTAGGTTTGGATATGATTGTGTTTTGGAACATGTGTAATAGATAAGGTATCAATCAGCCAGAGAGAGAAGCTACTAGGCAATAGCTCGATAGTGTGTCCCATACTTTTCATTAAAAACTCAAACTTCCTATGCATTTATAGCTTGAGGTTGAGAAACAGAAAAGGCTGGAAGAAGAGAGAATTAAAGCACAGAATGAGGAGAGGAAAAGGCGGGAAAAGTAAGATTATATTGTTTGTCTGCTTTTAGGAAATTTCTGTAGAACTACTGTTGTTATGTTGAAGGTTATTTTTCCAGTGGTTAAAATTGACATATGTTTTCTGTTTTGTTAGCACATTGAATGTAATATAGTTTTTACATGTATGCAGAGATTTCCTCCTCATTCAGGAGATAGTTGAACATGGAACTGTATTCCCCTGCAAAATTCAATTGAAGCCATTTTGTACAGGGCTGAGTATTTTTTTCCTGTGTTCATTTAAAAAAATCCTAAGATTAAAAGAGAGTGAAGTTGTTAGCTATTCAGTGTATTTACAGAACTTTGGGCTTTGCTGAATGAGAATTGATCAACAGTTTGTTTGTTAGTTTTTTTTTTGTCCCACGCATGACACTCTTTTTTATTTATCTCTCTTTCTTATATGACTGAGCTGTCCATCTTTCCTAACTCAATTCTGGAAAACCACAAAATTGAATGGTGTGAGGGTCATATCCTTTTAGGGACTCAGATTTTTTTTATCTTTGTCTATGATCATGACCACCGTAGGGAACAAAAGGAGCGGGAAAGACAGCAAAAACTTGAGCAAGAGAAAGAGGAGAAAAGACGTCGTCAGCAGGAGGAGGAGAAAAAACGAAGAGAAGAAGAAGAAAAAAGGAAGAAAGCTGAAAAAGAAAAAGCAGAGAAGGAAAAGGCTGCAAGAAAGGTTCATGATTTTGTTACACAAATTAAATGTCATTGCAAGTTATCTCGAATCAGTTAAATCAACAGCCTGAATTCATTAGTCTGATAAGATTGTTATTCATCTTTTGCATGAGTTTTCTAACATACCAGTTTGATATCTACTGGGTTTGATATCTTGCAAATGGTACCATGCTTTGACCTACAGTGAATAATTTAGGGTTTACTGGAATTTGTCAGATTTTTATCAGCTGATACAAGGTACAGCATTTGATGACTTTCATAAACTGGCATTAATTCCCAAAACATCTTATAAATACTTGCAAATTGGTTCACCAAACCCACAGCATTTAACCTTACATGAGAATTAATAGTACATCAACTTCACTAGTATTTTTTTTATTCTGCAGGCTGCCCAACAGGCTGCAAAAGGTATGATTGTGAATTTGGCAAAGCATTTAATAAGCTTATTATGTATGGGTTTTTAAAATTTGTTTGCATTTTTTTGGTTTTTTAACTCTTAGGTGAATTACTTTCATTTTTCAAGGCTGTAATTAATGATTGTTTTATTTTTAGAAAAAGAAGACAAAGAGAAGGCGGCAAACAAAAATCAGGTGAATGTTGAACTTATCAGTTTCATTTTCTTCTTATCTTCCATCCAAAGCTCTGAATTAGATACAGATTAGAGTAATGTTAAATATTTCATGAGTGTCTAAAGAATTTTACATTCATCCACACTTAACTGTGCATTTATCTGTAGTTCAGTTATGGATAAAAAGTCTGGATGTTTTAATAGGTGGCAAACTGAGTGCTCTGCATTGACAAAGCAACAATTTTTTTAAAAAATATAACAGCAGTGGCAATAAAAAATGAGATAGTTGTGAAACAAATTAAAATAAACCTTTGAAAGAGAGATTTTGTTTATTTAAGGAAGAGTGAGTGAGTAAAGTTACCATGTCATATTCATAAAATTTTGGGGGGAAGAGAAGGAAATTTTTTAGCACATGAGAACCATGAGCTCTAGTTATCTGCTACAGCTGTAATGATTCTGGCAGTCCTTCAGACATAATCAATTATGCTGTACACTATCATTTTTACTGCGACAGAACATGAAGAGACTACAACAGCAGCAGAGAACAGATCAGCAACAATATCCAAGAGAAATACCACCAAGGTTCCAAAAGAAAATGAAACAACAGCAACAACAATCACAGTATCAAACACCTTCACAACAAATGCAGCAACAACAATCACTTCCACAACAAACCAAACCTCAACCAAAACAGCCTCCTGCAGGTGACTAGTAGTAAAAAGAACAGTGAGGTAGAATTGTAGAAAATTATTTTCTTTGACTGCATAGGTGTCTGGTTTTTAATTAAGGAAAAAAAGGCTTGGTGTTAAGAACAATATGGACACATTTATATCAAAACTTGGGCTACCTACTGGAAATACATGTAGATGTTCCTATTTGAATCCTTATTTTTCAATATTTTCCATGAACAAATTTGATTTTGAAGACTCAACCTGATCAGTTTGATGAAGGAATTATCATATTTGTTATTCAGTTAAAGACTTAAGCTCATTATGCAAGTGATAATTATTGTCTACATATAAAACACAAATTATGACATGTGATAGTGGGCCTTCAACTGTCTGATAATTCTTTTTTGTTAGTTAACAAGAAGAAGGATCCTAATCGTTTTGGACCAAAAGAATTTGCAGACATGATAGAACCAGTGGATGACTCAGGCTGGTCACAATCTGCCCCTGTGAAGGGGTCAGGCTGGGGTAATTCACTGGAAACTTGGGAAGATGCAGACAAGTGGGGAAGTGAGGATCGACAGTGGGGAGATAAGGAAGGGACATGGGATAAACTTGTTGTGGATGAAGGAGATAAAGACACTTGGCCATCTGTAGGATCAAAAGGAGCAATAGGTGATAAGATAAAGACTTCCCCCTTGGATGCTGGCTCTGAAAAGGGTCAGTATTCAGCAGAATCTTCTCCTAAAACTTCTGTTTCTTCTATTTCTACTGCACTTATCTCTGACAATTCAAGTTCTGCTCAAGGAAATGTCAACACTAGTATGGACAAAAAGTCTTTGCCGACTAGTAATTGGCATGGGACTTCAACAACATCATCTGAGAACTGGGATGTCATTGATGAATCTATTGATCAAGCTATTGATGCTGCTGAAGCAGCAACGGCAAAAGATAATGGAGGACTTGGGGCAGGCTGGGGTGGAGTGACCAAGGGGGGATTTGGGGGGTTAATAGGGAATGGTTCAAACTGGGAAAGTAGCACAGATGCAAAGGACTCAGTGTCGTTAGGGCGCAGTCATGACCCAGGAAAAGGAGAGCTTGTGAACACTTCATATGTATCTGAGACTCCAAGCTGGAGCAAAACACCTGGAAAGGCTGTCAAGCCTAAAGTGCCAACAACATCAACAGTGGTTACTAGTAATCTGACAGCCTCATGGGGTGGTACACCTGCTGAGACTGATACTAAATGGACTGAACCTCACTCTACTTCGGATGGACTCACAAATTCCAAGTCTAGTAAACCACCTATTTTGGACTCTAATTCTGTGGCCAAATCAAGTGGAGACATTGAATCTGAACAAACTGTAACTTCAACTTCTGCTACTAAACCTTCATCTGGCTGGGGTGAAGTACCTGTGTCTAATTCATCTAAATGGGGATCTTCTGTAGATATCACAGGTACCTCTTGTTGGGACAATGTAGTGTCAAAATCAGACACAACTTCTGATCTTAAAACCGTGAGTAGCAGCAAAGTTTCACAGTGGTTAGAAAGTACAGGAGTGTCACTTGCAGATTTAGAATGGGGACAAGAAAATTTGGATAATGATGAAGGATCTGAGGGATCTCTAGATGGGTGGACCACAGCATCTAAAAGAAATAGGGTAAGAAATGTCTCCTACTTGAATTTGACTACTACAGTCAAATCCCGTTAACTTGAACCTTCAAGAAAAATTGAAAAAGGTTTGATTTAATGGGAATTTGAGTTATTGAGAAATGAAGATAAAGGCACTGTAGTTTAATGTATCCTAAACCAAGGAAACCTGAACTGGACTGACATGTTTTTGTAATGTGGAAAAACAACAAATGTTACAGGGCTGTTTCAAAATAATTTCATTTAATGTTTTGGACTGCAGTACACGTTTGTCTCAAGTTCATATGTATCATCACTCTTAATGCTTTTCTCCTGTCACTACACTTTATTATGGAAATTCTGGCTGGTTGCTTATGAGAAATAATTATCATTACTCTGAAAATGTTTTAGGCTCCCAAACCAGCTAATGACTCAAATGCGTGGATGAACAGATCTCTCAAACAACTGTTAGACATGGGTTTCAAGGTGAGTGATCTCCTATGCATATTCATGCAGTTGATGCGTGTTAATCTTATTTGAGAACTTGAGAACATTCTTTTCGAAATATGCACGGGTTTTCAAATGTATTTCCAAGGTGTAGAACTAAATAAAGTACAGACAATTTTGATTGTCTCAGCTGAAATGGTTTCCTTTTACCATTATGTTTCTTATTTTGCGCAGCAAGAGGATGCTGAAAAAGCTTTGAAGGCAAATCATATGAACATCGAGAGTGCAATAGGTATGATTCTCAGTTATTATTTTATTATAGGGTCTCTTTTAATGTAAAAGTTCAGAATTGGTTTGCAGTTCTTGAAAAATCCAGTGGGTTAATGTTTAAGAAGATTTTCGTGGGGAATTCCACTTGAAAACGTTTGAAATAGGTAAAGTGAATTTATAAAAAAGGAAAATTATGAAGGGGATCGAAATTCTGGAATAGGTGATAAGCAAGTTGTGACCAGCCACAGATTGTCTGCCTATGTTTCTTACACCAATCCATTTGTGGCTCAATTGGTTTTTGCGTATTCCTTTCCCAATATATACTCCACCACTCTCCCTTCCATAGTATAGAACTTTATCCCACACCACATTCAGTTCTCCAGACGTTACGCTTTTTTATTTCAAAGATATGTGAACAGATTCTCCCAACTGCTTACCTTAGAGTTTTGCGATGGCCGGTGTTAAGAATTTGGTATATCAAAACAATATCACCCAACTGATAGATAAGAGTTAATTAACTGATTTTGATCAGAAGGTCAGACATAACATTCATAACGTTATCTGTTGCCGTGCTTTCAGGGGACCTACTTGCCATGAACATGAGTGAAAACAGGGAACAGTCTGTATCAGTTCCAAGTGGAAAACTCCAAGAGCCTGATCCTGCAGAAGCAGCAAGAATCCAACAGCAACAGCAGCAAGGTCAAGGTAAACTAAACCGCAAACAACGAAGGAAACTTCAACAGCAACAGCAAGCCGAGCAACAAACTCTTGAATCAAAAACTGAACAAAGGCAAGGACAAAATGAGGTCGCGGTTGCAAAGTCTGTGACTCAAGTCAGTGAATCTGTTACTAAACCTGCCAATGAACAACAAAACAAGACTTCAGAAACTCAATCAACTTCTAAAACGGATGAAGTACAACAAGACTCTAAAACAAAAACTTCCACGAGCACAACAAAACCTGAAAAACCTCCATCATCTGTAGCTGGGGCAGTAAAGCCCACAAATGGGCAATCGCAATTGCCTAGCAACGGCAAAAGATCTGGTCCACCAGTAGTACCTCCTGCCCCAGGCCCAGGGGTACAGGGCTCATTGAGACCAACACTTGCTCATCCATTACTTCATCCTCAGTTTGTACAACAGTTACATCTGCAGCAGCTGAGAATGGCTCAGGGAGGTCTTCTTCAGCCTCCATTCACCCCTCAGCAGTTTGCTATGCTGCAGCAGATAGCTCAACTTCAGCTCGTTCAACAGCGCCTGGCTGCACAGTCTGTTGCTCAGCAACACTTAGGACAGAAACAACAGGTAGTGCCTCAACAACAATTGTATCAACAGCAACAGCAGATTGCACTCATGATTGCTCAGATGCAACAGCAAGTTCTGCAGCAGCAGCCTGGGCTGGCCGGGAGACATCCTGCATTGCCGTTTACTGCAGTACAACAACAACAACAGCAGCAATCTCTACTGCAACAGCAGCAGCAACCGCAGTCACCTAATGCACAACAGAAGGGCAATAAAGCCGCAACCAATGACAAACCAGCAACAGAGGCACCAACGAGCAAGACAGCAGACACTGTTAAGTCTCAGCCCAGCGAACCATCTGCTGTTTCTCCTGTGACATCAGAAGAACAACCCAAGCAACCTTCCCCTGTTACTCAGTCTAGGCTCACACAGTGGAAGCAGCCATTGTTACATGAACCTTCATCAGCACCAGTGACTCAGTCCTCCGTCACTAGCAGCACACCAGCCTCAGTGGACTCCAAAGCTCAGACAATATCAGCTCCTTCACAATCATCTTCAGGTGTGCTAACCAGTGTCGTATCAGCTCCATCCATTTCAACCAGTGACCTATCTGATTCCTCAGCTCCAAACAGCAACAATGTTTCTCCACGGGCACGAATTCCTGATCCAGTTTCAAGCAGGTGGGGTGTGGACGCTGGTCCCAAGCTGTCTGCTGACCCACCTGAATTTAAACCAGGTGTACCATGGCGCCCTGCTCCAAAATCTGACAAAAGAGATGAAGTGAGAGATAGTGTTTCTCCCAACACCGTAGAAAGCTCCAGTCGTCCATCTTCCACTATTGACTCCTCATCAGATAGCTGGTCGAATTTGGGAAACCAAACTGTCAGTGCGCCCAGCAGCGTACAACTTGGAAGCAATGTAAAGGTAGCAGACAATGTTGTCACTACCATTGCAAGTTCTTCCTTCTCAGGACTGTTGATCAATAACCATACATTCGAGTCAAGTCAAATCGACTTTGGCGTAGGCTCAACCCCATGGCTAGGCAATAAAGCCCCTGCCCCACCTGCACAAGCGACAAGTAGATCTGCAGGATCCAGTGCTGCATCACTGTTGAGACCTCCCCCTGGGTTGGGATCTGACACCACTTTACCTGAATCCCCTCTCTTTGACGAAGAGCCCCCTGCTTGGTTGAAAAGCTTAATAGATGGTTCCAGTCTTGGAGGTGATAAAACCCAGCCTGAGTTTCAGTTCAGTCGCTTTGGGTTTGCGAACAGTTCAACACCATGGAGTCCAAGAGATAGCAGTACGCAGCCGTTTAGTCCTTTGACACCCAACCCTCAACCTTGGGCTGCTGTCGGGGGTCCTGCTCCTACTCTGTCATCGTCGGCATCATCTATAACTATGGCAACAAGTGAAAACCGTAGTGGAAGTGTGAGCACAACCGAGCCATCATCTTTGCAAAACTCAGGGATCATCTGGTCAACGAATCAACCCATACCGAGTGCTGAGGAGAAGCTATCAGGGAATTTACCTGGGACTTCTGTCCCCCCTGTATCTGCATCTAGCGGTGTTGCTCCTTCTAGAACTGCTGTCAATTCCATGTCAACTTGGCTGGTACTGCGCAATTTGTCACCAAGGGTGAGTTTTGCTCTTACGTTGTCGAGTCCATTAAAATCCTTTCTTTTATCTGAAAGCCAGTTAAGGCAATGTAATGGAAAATTCTTGGCAACTATCTTTTTTCCCCACAGAGACAAGTCATAATATTAGTATCATGAGTGAGTAGCCATACAGTCTGGTCTAGTTCCTTACGTGATTAACATGACATTTCTTACCATATCACCCACTCTCTTAGCAGATACATCGTAAAAAAAAGCAAATGTTACTGTCGATTGAATATTTATCTGCTGTATCGAAGAATTAGCAGAAAGAGGAACTTATGACAATCGTTTAATGATCTTGTCTCGCTTGCAGATGGATCCCAAGACCCTCCGTCCTATGTGCGAGAGGCATGGGCCACTGCTCACGTTTCAGTTGAATCTTCGCCATGGGAACAGCTTGATCCGTTACGGCAGCATGGAAGAAGCGGCAAAAGCGAGGGCAGCGTTGAATGGCATGATGCTGGTTGGCTCCCAGGTGGCAGCAGACTTCGCTACAGACAGTGACATCGGTAGCTTCTTTGAGCAAACCATGGATTGGAGTGCAAACCCATTTCCCAGCAACACGTACGGTAATCAGTGGTCCTTTCAGAACGTGCTTGGTTCTGCGGCAACTTCGGACAATATTCAATCTACAACCAAAGCACCGATTGGCAAGGTTCCACCCGGAGTATCAAGCACTGAACAGCCCATCCCAAAAGTAAATAACCCCACTCCTGGAATGCAGTGGGGATCTACAATAGGGACACTGCCCTCGCCCTCGCAAGGCCTTGTTACTGGCGAACAGTCCAAGGTCAATGCCCCCAGCCCTCAGTGGGTAATCGGCTCACAGGGAAGCGAACAGCCTGGGGCAAAGCCTAACACTGCAGCTCCCAGTGTACCATGGGGTAGTGCACATGGACACGCACCAGCACCGTCTTACTTGTGGGGTACAGGCCCTTCGCAGCAAGCAGCCCTTGGGGGGAACTTTTCCCAAGTACCCAGTATGTGGTCCTTTCCAGCTGGAGTCCCACGTGATGTGGAGCCTCAGTCAGGATCAGGAGACGGGCTTGTAAGCCCTTCCATGACGACATTCCTTCCCCCTGGCCTGCTGAACGGAGGGGGAGATTCAGTCTGAACTGTGATCATGAACTAAGAATCACAATGCATCAGCGTTTTTCTTTTTGTAGTTTTATCGCTTACATGTGCGTTTGTTTCATGTGTTGTTATGTGTGCGTTGGCCCTGAAAATGGGTCTTCTGTGTATCTACATTAATGTTTCAATATTGATTAAAATCTCATGCTATACGAAGAAACTCGTCTTTGGTTTTGACTTAGCAACGAAGTTATTAAAACAAGCAAGAAATTAAACAAAAGAACAACACATTGCGGAGGTGGGGAGGGGGGCTTTTAACACTTATGATATTCATGACATGCACAGTCGCTCATGCACTGTTTCGCCTTGGCGAAGGGCTAACGCTCGAAACGTCAGTTTTGAAACTCTTTATGTTGGCTAATTTACGTTATCAACTTAGTTGATGATACCAAATTACCTTGTTATACTCTCCCACCCACGCGGCAGCATAGTTTCATCAGAAACTCACCTCCTTTACTAATCAGCGAGTTCTTCATTTCGATACGTCATCTGTAGAGTCCCATTATTGAAGGCCACCCTTTCTTCCTGCTCCCAGAGATTGGAGAACTATAATCTAGTGCAAAGCTTAAGCTTAATACACTTCTGATCTACACACAGCCAGCGTTGTTCGCTCAAAATCCTTACTAAAATGCACGAACTGCTCGGTGTATTCTACACAAAGCATCCTTTTCAGAGTTCGGTTACTTATTACTAAAGGAGCTGTAATAGATTCAAGTATTTTATTGTTCAAACTCATTCTTCACAAAGCGATTTTGAATTGTGGATGGATGTATTGGATACTACGATTACAAAATATTTTACTTAACTATATTCCGAATTTACGTTAAATAATGTACAATGCCGGGTTCTCCGCAGAATAAATACATCGAACATTTTTATTCTATGTTTTTTGCTCAGAGACTCTGTTGGAGCGTAAAAGGATGATGACTCGGACAAGGATTTTTTACTTCAAACATTTCTTCAAAAATAACATACATATATATATATTTCATGTTCATCTCCCATTAACAATGGAAAAATATCAAATAACACCTTGATACTCGAGTCAAAGTATTCTTTACCACCGTAACAATATAACACAAACAAGTTTGAGTGTCACGCAAGGTTAACATGAGAAAAAGAGCGAGAGAGAGAGAGAGAGAGAGAGAGAGAGAGAGAAAAGTGGAAAGGGGATAGGGTGTCACGATGCAACGTAAGTAGCTATGGGGAACATTTCTATTAAGAGACAGTCCCAAGTCTCCAAGTCTTCTTGAACTTGAGCTACGACCAGAGGAGTCTGTAAGCTTTAAGTTAATAAGAGGTGAAAAGTATTAAAAAAAAGAGAAAGATAATCTATGCGAGGGGTTCTTTTTGAGAGAAGTACGTTTGAAACACAGGCTCGCTCTTACACGAGGCCATAGCGTTGTATGTGTGCATGAGAAGGCGCGGAAAGCGGGAGCTGAAGTAACGCATGTAACCATCAGGAACAGTGCCGAGCGCTTCCTTCACGTGATCAGGTAATTCACGGTAATGATGTTTCTGTCAAAATAAATAACAACGATACAAAATTAAAATTTATGAAAGCTAATAGACCTAGATGCAAAAGGAACTAGCGAGAAGTACCCCATCAGGTTTCTTTTTTGTATGTGTACTACATACACATTACAGTGAAGTCTCGTAACACGCAGAGGAACTTACAGAGAGAAGATGTAAATATTCTTTTCTTTACGAAAGATCTCCGTGCTAAAGGAGAAGTCGTTATTTCAACTTGCATTTATTTCTTTCGACGAAGAAAGGGGATAAATGTGTTGAACTGAGCCTAAACTGAGATCTTCTCCATCTCTTCAGGACAGAAAATAACCAAAACTGAAGCAGCAGACACCATCATTACGCTTACCTTGTTCCGCATAGCGCGTAAAAGATCCCTAACATGAGAGCCTTTGTAAGTCCTAAATTTGCGAAGATCTGTAAAAAGATAAAACAAAACTTATAAGCATCGATCTGAAGCAACAGATCACTGAGATGGAACCAGCTGCTAGCAAACCTTTTTCGTTTCCAGTTTCTTTCATTGTACTCACCTTCTTGTAGTTCGCTTCCTAAGTGTACTTTCCAGTCCCCTCGCACCACAGGAATGGAATCCTTTTGTAATAACACTAATAGATCTGATTCTTCGGACTCTTTCTCAATTCGATCACTGACATCCTGGAATAAAATAACAAGAACACGTCAAAACTGTATTCTTTGCAACGTGGCTGATAACATCGACGTGTTCTTGTTCAGGGAGGTGGGGTAGGACTTCATATAATTGTCACGATCATACACGAAGTATCTAAGGGTAGGCGATTGCAAAGGAGTTTGTTCCTACCTGAAAGAATGCAAGCTGTTTTTCTCTGCTCCAGAAGAATGGATGCTTCAGGATTTCTTTCGCTGAAGGTCTACAAAAATTAGAATTATTTTTTAAATGATATTTTTCAATTCTGCAGATTCCAAGGGAAGACATCAGAGATGATGAAACAGAAAACTAAAAAAAACATATTACTGCTTAGCATTCCCCGGTAATATCTAAGTAAAATATCCAAGTTCACAACGGGGTCAATATTCAGCCATAATGGACTCAAGGTTGTTCGGTCATCTTTACATGGTCAAGAGAAGACACAAGATATGTTGCTCTTGCCCGAAAACAGTATGGAATTACGAGAGGAAATGAAAGACCCATATTTCACGATCGGTAACTGATAAGAACAAAGGATTCACTTAATCCATCCACTCACGTTGCCAGCCATTAGAGATAGTACGTTAACTTTTATACACCATCTTGACCAAAATATTCCTTACCTCTCCGAAGGACAGGGTTTTAACATCATTCTTATTAAATCTTTAGCTTCTGTGACCACTGCAAAAGAAGGGAAAGAAAATTCACGCATATGTAACAAAAACAGAAACAACCTTAGAAATGACATAAAAGAAAAAAGGTGTCCAGAAAAATTTTGATGAGCGTATGGAACGGCCAAAGCAAAGAGTACACATGCTTGTACAGTTGTCATTAAATGTATAGAAGGTTACATTCTGAGATTTCTAAAACAGTCACTTTATTTCACTACTCCTGTTTCTTGATCCAAATCCATATTACTTAATTGAAACAGTAGAATTTGAAGTCAATTTCCAAATAATCTCATCAAACACTATAATGGTTGAAGTTTCTTACATTCACAATTAATTATCTTCTCTACATCAAAATCTCCCGCTACTATGTTAGCTTGCCGTCTGTACTGATCACCAAACGGATGGAGACCTCCACTTAACACGTAGTAAAAAACACAACCCGAAGAAAAGATGTCCACAGAACATTTCTAGAGAGAGAAAAGACATCAATTACAAAGTTAAATAAGAGTGTTTGAGTTGTGTGAAACTTGCCTGAGATTAGAGAGCGATTTTTAATCGAGTTCTTGAAAACTAAAGCCGATGGAAGAACTAGATGGCCTTTCCAGCCACCATACCATTCAAATTTTTAAAACCTCCTGGGCTTAGTTGTTCGAAGGGTGAATAACGATATTCACTAGACAAATGGCTATCCAGTGGATGGTGCAGTACGTTTTGTTGACACTTATCCACTGGATAGCGATTTATAGGCTATAGCGTTATCTGCCCTTGAGCAACTGGGGCCTGAATGATGAAATGGGAGGGGGGGAGGAGCTTTTAGCCAGAGAGTGGGGAGAATTGAGACATCCTTGGTTTACCTTCAACCAGGTGTATTTAGAGGAATGCATAGAGAATAAAATCTTGAGCGTTCTTCAATGACGGGACTACTCGTTATCTCTCTAAAATGATCGTAATTATGCATTCAGTTACCATTTTGTTGTCAGGTTTAAACATCTCAGGCGCTATCCAGCCGTCTGTACCTATAGCACCTGTTTGACAAGTGGCCGAGTTCCGCCCGTACGCCAGTTTCTTACAAAGCCCAAAGTCAGATATCATGGCCTTCACTTCACCGCTCACGGATCGCTTAGAAATAAGAACATTGTGTGGTTTGATGTCCCGATGAACTGAAATAGAAAATATATTTATCAATTGTTTGACAAGAGGCCAAATCATTAAAGACAGAGTTTGCTTATTTAAAGTTTCACCCACAGATTAGTCAGTCATATCTACAATTGACAATGTCACTCACTGGCTGTAATCGAGTAAACAATACTACGCTCATTTCCAGAAAGAGACCAAAATATTCACCGTTGCAAATCAGTTCATATCAGAATCGCAAAATTATACTAACTCACGAACTTTTAATGTTTGTGTTTATTTGTCATGTGTTATTTAATCATGTAATCATTCTAAAATATTTTATTTATTTTCATCTATTTATCAATTTTACTTTTTGGAGCAGAAAGTTTATATGTAAATATTTTTATAAATAAATGTATATATACATATATAGCAACTTCAAGCTTTATCTAACCTTTAGCTCCAAGAAAAGTTAACCAGCACTTTCTCCTGACATAACTCAGGTAATTGTTAACATCCAAAAGGGACAAAAAGTAACCAGATCACAAGAGGTTCACAAGATCAGATTCTTACCAATGTTAAGAGAATGAAGATGAGTGAGTCCAGACATGGCTTGATTCAGTACAGTTACAGGTGTTAGTCCATGGCGCTCAAAAGTCGGATCTTCAACATACTGAAAAAAGAAAAGAGCTCTATATTTACTGATATTTCATCACGTCATTAGAATGAAGGACGCTTCCCAAAATTTGAAGTTGATATAGGCCTACCTCCTGAAGGGTAGCTTCACATAATTCCAAGGCGATATAGCGAAATTGCTGATCCTCTTCCTAAAATTACATGTAAAGATAAAAAATTATTAATCATTTAACATTATCCCTAAATAAATAGCCGATACAGAGACTAATTCCTCCTTCCTAACTCAAAGGTACGATTTTTTCCTAAAATATTGCAAATGTACAGTGATGCATCTTTTCACAAAGATAAAGTGATTTTTGATTGGTTCTGTAGTTTTTGGGTCAAGCATTGTCTTAGCATTATCACGCTTCAAACTTACGGATGCCTTTCAGACATCGTTAGCTTAATAAATGACGCGCAGAAGACGCGCTTGAGAGTCAAACGGTTTACAGGTGACTTACCGTACAGAAATACCGAATTACATTTGGATGGGCATCTGATTCACGTAATAGATCCACCTAGACAAAAAAGTAATAAAAAGAGATTAATTTATTGTAGATATATGAAAATCACCAAAATACCGGTGCAGCGCTCTACCAACTGAGCTAACAAGCCAACTGGGACATGTCTGTGCACTGCATATATATCCCAGCTGGATTGTTAGCTCAGTTGGTAGAGCGCTGCACCGGTATCGCAAAGGTCATGGGTTCAAATCCCGTACGGGCCTGAATTTTTTTCAGGTCTTATTTCAACAACTAGTTCAGTAGTGTTTATAGCTGCGCGGATCTCTTATATCCAGATCTATTTATTTTCATCGAAAGCTACCTAACTCTATGTTTCTGTCAAATGTTACCACTTTCCTCTCTATTGAAACCTCTTAAAATGTCACAATGACGTCATGAAATGGATCCTGAAAATGACAAACCTCTCTATCGGCAAAAGTGAAACATTCTGGTAAAATGCGTTTAACTGCGGCATCGCGGCCATCAAATTTACCCCTGAAAAAACAAAACACGAGTCAAATAAAGTTAGATAGAAGTTTGTCCCAACACACTCAAATGAAGATAAAGTTCTCCCAGCTTGTGAGGAAAAAAACAGAAAACGACTTACTTGTAGACAACTGTTCCTTCGCAGCCTCGACCAAGAACGTTCTTAAGAGAGAAGGAGATCTTTCCCACAGACACTAACCTACCTGTTGCGCAAAAGAAAAAATTAGCAAGATTCGCCAGCAAAATTATCTTTCACTTTTTCTGCCATTTAACGTTTAACCTGTTACTTGTAAAATGTTGGCAAAATTCTAAGGAAACACTGATTGATTTCTCTTTTGTCCCATATTTGTAACAATTAGATGACGACTCCTTACCAGCAATTTACAATATGTAACATCTCCCTATGATATCAGTACAAAGTTTGGCAAAAAGGTGATGAGAGAATTCTTAAAGCAAAACTTAAAATCATAGGAACAGTAAGGAGAGTGGAAGACTGGGAGTCAAAGGATTTATTTAGTGCTTCGACAGTCAGATTAAAATTCCTCATTTTCTTCTCTTTTGCCACTCAAGACACTATGCACCAGACCCACAACGTATATGAAGTTAGTTCTTGCTAACAGGTCCTTGTGACCCATGGTTAGAGCATCTACCAATGGTAGGGAAAGTTATCAGAAAAACACTAATTCTGCCAGGAGACAACTTAAGGTGGAATTTTCATTTATTCAAGCTGAACTTACTTAAAACCTCAGGTGATTGCTCTGCATTTTGCTCATGGACTCTTTGGGATGATGAAGATGATGATGATGAGGAAGGGGGTGAAGATCTTTTTGATGAAACAGCAGACTGTCTTGTTGACCTCTGCAAGGCAAAGATAAAATATAAACATGTTACTAAAGCTTGGGCTAGTTTTAAAAAAATTGCCACAAAGACCAGATGAATATCTTTGATATACATAACATTTGAAAATCCTAGTGCAATGTATGCCTTTCAATGTTTTAGATACAATTGCAAATCACACTGCATGTAACACTATGAGTACCTCAATAAAAAACACAACTAGTAAGACCACAGGTATTCCAATAGTGGCTATAATGGTGTATAGCAGTCGCTGGTGAATTTTCATCATCTCAAACATCTCCTGTTGATGTCGTCTGTCTTCCTCTCTAGCATTTGTCTTTTCAATTCTCTTTGGCGTCATCTTCATGTTGTGTAGATGATGATGATGCATGTACATTGGCATCAGTTTATCAGGAATGTGAGTGATATGCAATTGAGGGTTGGCAACAAGTGGAACTTGATGGTGTCCCAGAAGCAATGCAGCTTTGGGTTCCAACACTTTGGGCTGCTGTACAGGCCGCCGCACTGGAGGGGAAATGTTTGCAGAATGTTCTCTAGCAGATACTGCATCACTGGACTTGGTTGGATTTACTGTTTTAGGAACACCTGATCTTGGGCCTTCAATCAATAAAACTTTTGCCTGGAAAAAAAAATAAGAGATGTAAACTTGCTGTATCAAGTATTTGAATATTAAAAGGAATTCTTGCAATCATTGCAGCCAATACCTCAACTAATGGCGATCCTTCTTCAACCAGTGATGGAAGAGCATACAATCCCCCAGCGTGTTCCCCAATGTACAATGTTGGCCTACAGGAGAAGAAAATGATACACCTCAATACCAAATACATATAGCATGCACTGGGTTCTCAAGGGCATTTGAAGTAGGCACCTGCCCAACCTGAAATAGGTGGCTGCAAAAAAGGAAGAGGAAATGAAGAGTGAAGCCAATAGAAAGTTAACACTGAATGTTATGCATATTCTCCATACTGTTCTCTATACATTTCCTAAGGTGCAGACAAGGAAAGTTTGCTTAAAAGTCAAAAGCTCCTTGATCGTGATCATTTCCTTTATTCATCTTATTATTGTAAGGAGAAATTAGATGCAAATCACTCTTAGGGGTCAAATATTTAAATAAGAAGCTACAAGCTCAGAATTCCTGTTAACTTCACTTACTGTAGAACTATTTCTCCACCATCTCCAAGGAAAGTGTTTTGGTGTGAAGAGCTTGAAGTGTTTGCCCCAATAAGATGTTTCAATGTCTCTTTAGCTATGTGATTGACTTTAACTTTTAGCAAGGCTTCATTGTCCATTCTGTAAATTCCCACTACAGGGGAGCCATAATTCTTGGTCCACAAAATTTCTCCTGAAAGAAAAGAATAAAACAGAATGATATTTAACAGTCACTTACAAACAAACCCACTAAAATGAGGTTATCTAGTAAATACTGATTCAATCCTAACTATACTGACTCTGCTATTTATCACATATGCCTAGATAAAATGTATTTTACACATCAACTGTACAAAATAACCCTCCTTAAAAATTGAGATACTTGTTGGGGGAATTTGTGGTAGAGGAAGTTTAGCTTAATAACTTATTTTCATGTGAGGAGAATTCCTTTCATCATACATACCTGTTGATGCGTCCATGGTAACCATGAAACCATCAGAACTAGAACACATATGATGAAGATCTAACAAAAAAGATTCACACCATAGATAATAAAATTCAGAAAATCAACATGATTGTAATAATGGTCACGCTCTGATATGGCAAGAACGACAAGAATACTTCTGCTCATATAAAGCCTGATTAGATGTTAATACTTTGACTTGAGTGCCTAATATAACTCATTTCAATTAAAAGCTATTCTCAATATCCAATCAGACTCAATATGGGTAAAAATATTCTAACTTGCATTCTCAAATTCTTACAGCATAAACATCTGTAACTGTGCTGAAAAATTAAAGGGCTGTTACTGAGTAGAAAAACTTTGGGGCCTGATTCCATTTGACAAATTGATTACCGTAGTCAACATCTTGGGCAAGATGTGAAGAATAATCATGAAATGTAGCATTCCATCTGCAATAAAATTAAAAACATAAACTGCAGGTTAGACAGAGATGTCTAAAATCAAGTAAAATAAAGTAACTTGTTATCTCTTCCATTTCACCATCCAAGATATACAGGCACAAATGCTACACACCTTTTTTCTCTGCTTTTGCTGTCATACATGGTTATCATATATTCTATGAAAAGGCAGAAAAAAAAAATTACTTATTTTTTTAACAATACTTAATTCTTACAAAATTGATGCCCTCTTAAACTAGTTATTTCATAATCTTTATTGAAATTAAAGTTTCAAGAGAACTGTCTAGTTTAAATTATAATTTGTGACAAGTGTACCAGTTATGAAACCATCTTGAAATAAATCATCTTCTTAATTTGCAAGAATATTGAACAGATGTAACTTGGAGAAATAAAATGTAGATCAATCAATGTACCTGTTCTACCAAGAAATACTGGAGCCCTCTTATTGGACATCATGGGGCAAACAGTCTCTGTTCCATCCAGCTTTAAGGTTTGTTGTTTTATCCCAGTGTCCAGGTCAATAGCGTACCAAACATCTGTTTTACGACCTATAGTAAAAATAATTTTTTTTACAACACATGAAATAATCAATAGCAGAAGATGAAGAGCAGAATGGACAAATAAAAAATTCCAGACAGTTTTATAAACAGTAAAATGAAAATGCCAATGACTTGCAGGTTGAAATGATATGTCAAGAGATAACTACATTTGAATGTATGATAACCAATCATTGATCATAGAAATGAATATTCTTTCAATAAATTAACTTACCTGTGTAGAGAATTCCATCAGAACTTCGACAAGGAGATGCCCGCACTAACTCAGGTATTGTAAATGGCAGTTTCTGATATACAGTAAGAATGAATTTAATTTACTTCTTTTTATTTATTTGGGTGCAAAACAAAGTTGAGATCTTGTTGTTTTTAAAATTGGCGTATCTGCAGATTTAAAATGAATTTCATTTTCCTGTAAAATAGTTTACCAGTAATGATAACTAAGGTTTAGGTTTAGATATTACAGAAAATTAATATAAAAATGTTTTCTTTTTGAGTTTGTAATAAATTCCTCTGAACCAATCAGCTAAGACTTGAATTATTATTTTAGATAATAATCATTATTAACTTCTGGTAAATACTAAGCTATATATGTATATAAATAATAGAACGTTCCTATACCTTGAGACCATCATGAGCACTACCAAAGGCATATAAACTACCATCTTTTGGATCAGGGATGAATATTGCACTAAAAACAAAAAAACACAAAAATCAATCACAGATTTTAAGAATAGCCATATAGCTCTATTCCAAATTAATAAGTTGCACTGGACCACATTATGTGTAATTTGAAGGTTATTTTGATTTTTGATGTGCTAGTTTTGGACCTGTTAGCATGGCATGACTACAAGTGAGTGTGTTAGAAGGAAACAATGATCTTACCCTGGGCAAAGAAATACTGGTGTCTGTATTACAGCATCTACAAAGAAGAAAATAATTTGAAAAATTAGCATTAACATTTCCTTTTAAATAAGTTACAAGTTAGAATTTGGTGTTAGATCAAGATAGCGACTTCTATCTGATAAGTTTGAATATTCTCATTACCCGTTTGCTGAATAACGTATGGATATCGTAGGCAGAAGTTACATGTTAATCACTGTTGGGGGTTAAAGGGTTAATGCACAGGTTAACTATACTCTGTATCTTAAACCTTATTTGTCATGACTCTGTAAAAGAAAGACAATGCACAACAATATAATTGTCTTTCTGGAAGCCCAGTTTTAGAATATGCTCTAGCAAGTGAAATTTTATAAAATGGGTGTCATCAAACAATCGTTGATTGACCAAATCAAACATCAGAGATGTGTGTTCTTGTTGATTCCCTTTCATGTAGAGATTTGGCTTTTAAAGTGACAAGCTACACTAAATGGAAAAGCAAACCTTGATTAAGAAAAAAATTTTTTTAAAAGGTCATTTCCTTTTGGTGCAAAATTCCAGGCTGAAATTATGACTTCTGTATTCTGGGGTAATTTTCCTCCAGAAAAAATATATAAGGACATTATATGAATTAAAAGATATTTACAGGTGCTTGGTTATATCTTATTGAGCAAAACTTCTGATTTCAAAACATAAGAGGTAATTTAAAATGTAAACATCTGTAAAATTTACTGCACCAGAAACCTTTTGTTGCATTTTGCTTATATTCCAAACACTTTGTCTGTATGAAGCAGTGAAAAGCGTTAATTTTAATTTCAAATCTCTTTAATGTGTATTTTTGTGAGCGATCCAAGATAAAATTTCATTATAAAAATCATCCCAGCTCAAACAAATTTGTCTAGATGTGTGTTTAGCTGTATGAAAGATAACAGAATATATCAGAATCACATGGAAGATAAATTCAGAAAAACAGCTGGTAGGAGAATATTAAAATCAGAAGTGTCTTTAAAACGATCCAGACTAATCAATGAATAAATAATGTCTTGTATTATTCCAAAACAATAAAAAAGGATAATAAATTCATATTGCATCACACCTCCTCCTAAAATAAAGAAAACTTTCTCCCCGTTCATCGATTTGTAATTGTGAAAAACACCACGAGTTGAGCTGAGAAGATCTGAGAATGAACACGGCGAAATTTCCACTCATTCTGGAATAAATAAATGTAAAAAGCTATTACCAAATCTTTGATTGTATTCGAAAAGAATTTTGCAAAACGCTATCGAACCGAGTTACTTGTTTAATCGTACTAACGAAAAAAAAAATGAACAGAAACTACGACGAAGAGCAGATGTAATAGAATACTTCAGTTGAGTAAAGAGAACCGTGAACTTCTCAAACACGTAGCTAGAGATCGCGATCTGATGTAAGAACCTGTAGCACACTGTATACATGAACAACCAAATCTAAGCTATCAATCGTCGTGGTAAAACCCTCTACATTGCTTTAATACTGTCGCTAAATGTTTTCCTTACTATATGAAAATATCAGAACATTTCCTCGTAAGATGAAGTCACTGACTTGAAAGGACGAGCGATTAAAAGTAGAATAAAACTTCCGGTGTAATAAACACAGAACAGCTGATATCTCTCACAAATTTCTGATACGATGAATTTATTGTCACCTTCTTTAAGCGACCACCGAACATCTCCAGTCTGTTTCTTCACTGCATGCATTGTCCCATCCAACGTTGATATGAATAGTAAAGACTCTGGTACACTCAAAGTACGAGCCTATGAGGAAAACAAATGTATGAGTTTCAAGTTCGATTCTCAAAATATAATTTGTCCATGAAAACTACAGGTCGATTTTTAACCTTACTTCTTCAGATGCAACCACTGAATGCCAAGAAACAAACAAAATCAGACCCAAATACAAGCCAAATATTGTACATCTGCTCATTTTTCCTGACTTGTGCTATCCGATTAACAAAGCAAGGTCGAGTTTGGGATACTCGTGTTTCTCGTAAATATCCGTGTTCCTTTCCCAGCGTGTTGTTCGACGCTCGTGACGTCCTTGAAGCTCATTGGTTTAAATTTAACGTCATATTTTTCGGCCATTTTGGTCGGCCATGTTGCAGACTACCTTTTTCATCACCGAGGGGAGGCATTGGGATTTTCGGTTTTGCGGTTTTGGCTATTTTTAAGATCGGTTTCTCGGTTTTGGTGTTCATTGCGGTTTTCGGATTTTCCTTTTTTTTAGCATTTGATTTTCGGTTTTCGCGAAAAATACTAACGGGTTTTCGGATTTGATATCCGAGGGGAGGGGAGAGTACGGCTACACGTATGGCTAAGCATGGAACATTACCAGAGTTTCTTTATCAACGCCACCTCGAAGTTGGTAACCAAGTTACAGGCCACACGTGATTGATTGATTCTTAGTTGGTAAATGGAAATGTTAAATTAGGCATTTTCGATGAAACTTTCCAGAGCTATAGCTTTTTGCGACTGAAAAACTACAATCCTATAGAGGACTTTTGCGCGAATTTCCTTAATTTAACTGGGCTCCACTACCAGCTGCTGAGTTTGCAGAGACCAAGCTCGAGGTCGTCGAGAGACCAGCTGTTAGTTTAAGCAGATAGGAGAAGACAATGCCAAGTCCAAGGCATTCATAAAATCCTGTAATGAAATTAGTGTAGTTTAATCTGTATGCTCCACTTGTCACCACTGTATCGGATTGATCAGGGATGTGAAAATGTATCGGTTGTGACAGTTTTGTATGCGGTTTTCGGTTTTGATCGAATTTGTTTTCGGTTTTTCGGTTTTGGATGATTTTTCTACGGTGTTGCGGTTTCTAATAGGCCCCGATGCCCCCCTCCATCACCCGTTGAGAAAAATTTTTTGATGAAAGAATTGCTTGAAGAAATTTAAAGTATGAGAAAAGACAGACAAAGAAATCAGTAACCTATCTTTTGATTCTCCGTGGGCTTCCAGGAACCTAAACTTGGGCTGGGATATAAGATTCCCCTCCCACCCATCCCCTGGAAAATGGTGATTTTGCATTCGTACGTCTATGTACGTGAGAGTCTGGAAGCCAATGTTTTGCCGCTGGCTTTGTTTTCTGTCCCATTCACTCGGGTCACGGAGTCGATAAACTTGACGAGGAAAAATTGCAATTTCAATGGTAATTATCGCCTCATGGCGGGTAACTGTTTAATTAGGAAGAGCACAGAGGGCTGGTGAAGTAGAGGAGAGCAATGAGTGCAAAAAAGCCGCCACCCCGACCACCCTTACCACGAACAACGACCGCGAGAAGTGGCCAGCCAACCGGAGTAGCTCCTGAAAGATCGATTCGAAATGCATTTGCTTCGATCTCTATTCGTTACAGTTCTAGCAATAAGGAGTTAGATTCTGACGAAGAAATATCCATCGAACGTAAAGAAAACAGAGAGAGCCATGATAGAAATGATTCCCGACTGCGAATCGAAGGTGAAAATGAAGAGGATGGTTTCTGTAAAGTGACAGTGGAAGATTACGAACAGCTTGAGAGCGTCGACCCTTCTCGTCAGGAAGTTGACAAACATACTGAAGCGATTTCAAATGCGAAAAAGAGCTCGTCGGAAGCTGGCTTGAAATTAGCTAGTAAGAGCCACTCTACTCAAGAGCTGAGAGCGACCTCAGAAAAGCGGTCGATAGTTCAGAAACAAAGTACGTGGCCGAGTTATTTGCGATCAGAAGACTCTGATTCGGTCATAATGAAGTTCCTGCGTGGTCGAGGAGATCAGGGAAACGAACCGAAGTCTGAACCCGCAAAAGAAGGCCTTTCGCTTCCAGAACAAGAGATAAAAGAGGAAAACGATGTCGGATCGATTCCCTCCAAAACTCATGTTGATGAAGATTTACAAAGCAAATTAACAGTGGACAGACCAAGATCAAGGTCTCCGTCACCTTTTCGTCGTAAATTGAATCGAGATCGTCAAGATGAAAACACCCGTGGAGGTGCCGAACAGGAAAAGCCGAAAAGCTCAGCTGGCATTTCTTTATCATCTCTGTTGGCGAGTTTAGCGAAAGATGAAGCGCACGTTGAGCCTGAAGAAATTATTTCGGATACCGAAGAAAATGAAAGTAGCGCAGACATAAACTCTGAAATTCAATCTTCTTCAGACTTGTCTTTCAATTTAAACCATTTTGAGGAGACCAGAAACACAAAAGCTGGTAGTGATGTACGACATTTACCGCACCCTACGGTGGACAAATCCCCTCATTTCGCCAATTTTTGTTTTTGCTCTTTAATAGTTTATATCTACTTCATCACATCATCTCCTCCGTTTATGTCTGGGGTAGTGCTTGGAGGTTTACTGACATATTTAGGGGGATGTGCATTTCTTTGGCTGTTTTGTCCAGTGGACTCCATTGCTGAACGATACGAAAAAGAACTAATGGAATATGAACAAAGACTAGCAAGAACCCCCACGCTTGATTACAAATCTACTGATCCTGGGTTACTTTTAGAGAGAAACAAATTAGAGGCAAGTATTCAAGTTTGCATTTATCAAAAACATTCTTCGTGACAGGAAAAGGAAAATCTCCCAAACCGATTTTTCACTTGCCCATTTTTTTCTGGAAGTGTATTCGTCACTTTCATGTTACTTTCTACGCCTTAAGCGTGTGTTTGTACAGTTACGTTTACCATCGAGTTTAGGAAGTCTGATATTCTATAGGAACATAACATTTTAAAATTATGTCGCGGTAAATTTTTAATGATGTTATTCGAATTTCTACAATCTTGTCGTACTATGTATATTGATGCAATTGGCCAATGATATAGATAGAACCTTGATTTTATTGTCAGACCTTGTGGTCAAGTTTTGAAAAAATGGATGGTGTAGCTTTGATGCATCAAAATTGAAGCAAAATACCCTCAGGCAGACATACAAGGAAAACTTTCTTTGCTCAATGAAATAAATATAGTTTATCTAACAGATTAATCATTAGATATTACTTTTATTGATCAGAGAAATGACGTCATAAATTGTACAAAGCTGTTAAGTGGCTTTATTTTGAAGTGTACTTTACATAAACAATGTTTTTATCATTTGAATTAACATTTTGTTTATTTTGTAAAATTTCAGTCCAGATCTTTCTTTTTACGTTTGTTTTTTTTTAAATCTCCTAGGGCTGGATGTTTAAGTCATTTGATTACATCCCAGACAAGTTTGAATTCAGTGCCGAGACTATTCCAGTCTTTGCCTCCTTAAATGTAACAAACTTAAAACTGTCACATCCTCATGTGGAAGATTCTGGAAAGAAGTTTGACCCGCGATCCATTGAAGAGGGAGCAAGTGTATCATTCTCAAAGCATGAACACTATGATTTAACTGGAAGCAAAGTTTCACTTTTACCAGCATCAATGACAATGAAGAAAGTATGGAGTCGAAAGTTTCCAATCTGCCTTGCTCTTGAAAAGCTAGGAACACATTCTGAAGATGTCTCTTGTTTTAGCAAAAGTGCTGATGAAGAAAGTGGTGCAAAGGAGAGCATCAAAATCAAGGAACAAGATTCTTTAGATGATGTTGGTGTGCTTTACTTATTTGCAAGGACTGGCAGGGAGAAAGAAGATTGGTATAATCACCTGTGCAGACTTCTTAATGACAATTCTGGAAACTCTTCTGACCTGGAGACCCCACCATTGTGTTCATATCCCCAATACATGGCTAAACTCATCGCTCAGCCTTCCCAACAGTCAGAAATTGCATGGGTTAATGTCATGTTTGGGAGAGTATTTTGGGATGTATGGCATGACAAGTATTGGACTAACAAGATCAAGGAACGCTTTGAAAACAAGCTTGCCAAGATGAAGAAACCCTCCTTCATCCGGGACATCTCAATTTCTGATCTTAACCTTGGCCAAAGTCTTCCAGTTATAACAAAGACATCTTCTCCAAAGGTTGAGCATGATGGTACATGGGTTGATTTAGAAGTGACTTACAGTGGAGGCTTGATCCTTACTTTTGAAGGCCATTTAAATATAGAAGGGTACTTGAGTTACTTTTTAAGCCTTGGAAACAGTGAGCATGCAGAGCTTGAAATGGCAGAGCTGTCTAGGAAATATGAAAATCTTGACAAAGAAAGTTTGGGCGCAGCTGAACTTGATAATGACTCAGGATCTGAGAGTCCACCTGACAGTGACTCTGACTTTGAATCACCAGAATCTGACTTTGAAGAGTTTATGATCAAGCCTCTTGGAACTGTGCAGAGTGGAAGAGAGAAGCTGGAAGATATTCCTCAGAGTGAAAGCTCTGACTCCTTCACCTTGAGCAGTTTTGATGGTGATGAAGAGCTTCTGGAAAGCAAGGATCCTTTATCTCTGAGTAATGCAACTGATGCAGAAGAAGGAAATTCTTCTTTGGAAAAGAGCACTCAACCAAGAAGGAGACAACTGTCTTCTCAGAAACAGAGTTCAAGTGAGGAACTATCAGATAAAGGCTTGCTCACTGAAGTTCTTCCTGAGAAGACATCAGAAAGTGCCCCTAGTACTCCAATGAAAAAACTTTTAGGTCTTTCTACTAAGAATGGACCAAAGCGCAAAATCTTAAGTGTAATTGAACGGCTGGCAAAATCTAAGTGGGTGAAGAAGGCAGCGGAGACTGGCATTGTCAAGAGAGCAGCTGAGAGGTTTTCTAATCTGCCAATTATTTTGTCAGTGGAGGTATTAACAGTCAAAGGAACTCTTGCACTGAACATTCCCCCACCTCCTACAAACAGGCTGTGGTATGTTGTAATCAACTGCATTAAATTTTCTCCTGTTTTTCTCCTTTCCATATATTTTTCAGTGTGTTAGACTGCCAATAGCAAGGTAATTCTCTCTTTCCACTGAGTCTTTGTGCCAATTCACTGGTATGAAAACATATTTGATATAAGTCCAGCTTTACATGGTTATTGTTGATTTCCATGTATTAGGAAAGTGAAAGAAAAGCTTTATGGAAAGGGAATAATTAATTTGGAACTTAAAGATGTTTCAAACAGTAGGTGACTCTACATTCAGTAAATTTAATCTATTGCTACATGCCAACAAACTCAACAAATTTTTAGTGAACTTGGAGATTCTTAAAGAGGAGTGTTACTTACTGTTATGAGAGTAAATGTATAGTTTTAACACACTTGGAGGAAAATCAACTGTGACACAATATTGTAGAAAAAATTATTTTCATAATTTAAATAGATTACCAGTTGGTAAATAAGATGCAAAACAAAATATGATAATTAACTTTATTATTATTTTTACCTGTTAAAACATTAAATTATGTAGTAAAATCTGATCTAGAAGCTGTGGAAGAAGCACTAGTTTTGAGATTTTGAAGAACATTTTAGACTTTATCTGTTCATGGGGTGTAATAATTTTCAGTTTGCATTCAATTCAAATTTGATACATTGTTGCAGGTATGGTTTCCGGGGGAGTCCCATGTTGTTTGTCTCTGCAAGACCAAAGCTTGGTGAACGTCAAGTCAAACTCACCCATGTTACTGACTGGATTGAAAAAAAGTTGAAACAAGAGTTTAAGGTAAGTATTTTTAAATGGAAATTTGTGAATAGATGTTACATGTAAATTACCAAGTTAGAGAAAAATTAAGAGAGCAGGTGAAGTTCTGCAACAAACAGCTATAAGTCTGGGCTTACTCATAGAGCTAAGTACAGACCTAATGGATGTATGGATTATTGTTTCCACCCATATGTGGTATGATAGTCAATAGCAATCCAACCCTGCCTTTCATACCCATCCCCGCAAGTCAGCTTCATTAGCAGGAGGGACAGCCATTCTGTAGATTGGAGAGGTGCATTGTCATTGTAAAGTATCAAAGAAGATTGATTAATATTTGATTAAAGTGTACTTGGGCTGACATGCCAAGTGGCTTTTCTGACTTGTGCTTCAAGCTTAATTTTGTCTTGTTGTCACCCTTGCTGTTTTTTTATTGTTGCCTTTAACCTCACTTTGGACTGCATCCCTCTGGTTTTTGTGTATTATCTTACAGTTTTCAAATTGTCTTTGCATAATTTCTTTGCTTGTTTTTTTGTAATGTGTTTCAGAACATGTTTGTCCTTCCCAACATGGAAGATCTTCCAATTAGGCTCATGAATTCAGGACTAGAGGAACAGTTCCCGCATTGGTGACAGACTGATTACAGAGCTTGTAAAATATCACTGTTTTCAAGAGCATTAAAAAATGTCTCCTTTGATTAAAACAAGAGCCACCTAGACACTGACATGTCAATGTTGCCCTTGGCGCATTGAGAATAGGTTATGTTTCAGAAAATCTTTAAGATCTGCGGAGAGAATGACTTCATTTTGAGTGATCAGAAGACAGCTTTAAGCTGGTATCAAATATTTTCTAGATTTACAGTGGTTGCCACTTGTTCCATTATACATAACTTAAATGTGTGAAAAGTATAATAATCATATTTGAGGAAGTGGGGGGTTGAGAAGTATAGCATATAATATTTTAATTATTTCTATTCTTGTTATTAATCAAAGCTCTCAACATTTCATGATGAATGCTCATTCAAATTTTAAGAATTAAATTAATATGAATATGTATTACAGAAAGTTTAGGTGTGTTTAAAGTCTTTTTGTGTATTTTTATGTAATATTTTTCAATGTACAGATCTGTAGTCTGCTATTGTCATTTGTTTCATGTAGGGCTGTTTTCTCAGAGTACACTTGTAATGGGCAGCTAGTATTTAATTTTAGATAGCATAATATGTAACTTCAGTTATAGCTACTGAAGGTTGTTGTCCACAGCCAGTAGCCTCTTGTCTTTGTCTTTTTGTTTATTTGAGGTGGTCTTGATGTAATGTTTTGATTGGCTGTAATTTCAAAGTGACCATTTTCAAATTGACAGAAATTCAGCAATGTATTCAGACTGACAATGGACGTTTAACCTGTTAACTCCAAGATCTGATTTGTAATTCTCCCCTCTAGCTGCCACACATTTCTTTGTAAATTGGTTACAAGAATTTGATGTTAGATAGAGATAACTTTGTGATAAGTTTAAGTATTCACATTACCTGTTTGCTGGTGAATGTATGGATATTGTAGGGAATATTCGTGTTAATCATTTCTGAGAGTTAAAGGATTAAGAGTTGCAAACCCCAGACAGGTTCAAGTGTTGTGTGATTCTTCTAAAAGATAAGCATTTTGTTAGTTCAGTAACAAGCAATTGTAAATAAGTGATGTTTTTTTTTTTAATAAATGCATTTTATAGTGCTGCCATTTCCTTTCTGCAAATTGTAAACAGTAAAAGTAATTAAATGTTGGTAGGAAACTACAGAGAGTACTTTAAGAATGAATTAAAATGACTAAGTGGCATCTGGGCTTTAGAATTAACGAATTACTTTAAATCTGCGAGGAAAGAAATTTTAGAATAGAATCCTATTCGATATTTTACATGGTAAAAACAAAGTTATGATTTATGAGACTTAATATGAAAATGATCATCAAGGGTGGATTACTCTAAAGTTCTAAAAGTAACTACCCTTTGAATGTAATGATATATTTTTAAGGTTGCTAGCTAATTGCAGAATGGAGCAATATTAAAAATGTTTTTCCTTTTCAACAAATGATCTAAATTAAAAAATTCTTCAATCTCTGAGATTTTCAACTATATCAGTTGGAAAAAAAGGCCAGAATAAACTAATTTATTTGTTTCATTTGAATGACACTGTCAGGTTTCATCTGACTTCTTCTGAATTTTAGTTTTACTCTCAAGAATGACTACTTAATAGTACAAAGTATTTTGCGTAGGGTTAGGGTTTTCTCATAATATGTTAATTGGTTTAGTTTTAATGTAAAAATGTATTGTGTGGTAAAGCTTCCAATATTATTGTGTATAGTAAATAAAGTATGAATAACTTTTGAACAAAGGAAAGCTGTTACATTATTTTGTCTGAGGAATACCACACAATTAAAGCTCATTAAATTAGACTTCAAGCTTGATAATTTTAATTTCACAACTCTGATCATAATAGAAAACTTGATTTGCTGGCTTGGTCACTTCACTGCAGGAAATGTTGTGTTCATCTGCAAACCAAACAAAATACTCTACCTCAGAATTATAATTTTTTCAAAGAACATTTTTAAAATTAAGGACAATTGTATACTTATCATAATAAAAATGTTTTAATTTTACTAATGGAATCAAATGAAGTTACCTTTACTTACAAAGGCAATTAAGGAACAATTCATATGTTTGCAGATTCCTGATGGTTGAAGCAATGAAAGCTACAGGTTTCCCCCTTTTATCGCCACCAGTACTACAACAGATGCACATGTTAAAACATTAGTTAACTTTCCCAAGTAATGACATTTTTATGGACAAAGTAAATTTGTCTGAGAAGCTACCATGACAAAAAAAAATACTAACTTGATCGATACTTACCTTAAGAGTAGATGCAAAGTTCTCACTAATGCTGGGGTCAACTCACTATCATAAATAACATCTATTAAAGAAATTAAAAACAGTTTTGTTTTTAAAAGCACAATTTATAGTGAAGAAAACCCAAACAAACTCATGCTTTTTAGTCATACAAGAGCTAAAAGGCAAACCCAACTGCTTTTGATGTGCTTTGACCTGAACCTTTGTCTTCCAATTTGATGGCAGGTTTTTTTGATGGGAAGAACTTTTCATCTCCATAACTATTACACATACTTTTCACAAATTCATTATTTGGTCCTAAAAGATTTTCAATTTTGATAAGTCACCACTGTGTCTGTTATTTGTAAACCAGTATAAAAGAATTCATCAGATTACACTTAATGTGGTGTCATGCAAGATTAAAACAATTGTCTGATTTAAGATGGTGCACTGAAACCTCAGGATGAGCACTCATGGCTACAAGGCATTGATGTAAGTGATCCTTGGTTTCCTTTATCATATAGAAGAAGCTGAAGGAGTAAGTGACCAAGAGAGCAGCATAGTGCAGCTGTTGTGGCCTTGTGAGGCCTCATCAACATGGCTTAAATTGCCTTATTGGACAGAAAAGAACTTCACATAGTGCCAACACCAAAGTCACCTGAGTGTACATTCTGTGGATTTAGCATCACCTAATCATCATCCCCCACCACAGCCACACCCCATGAGTGTCCTACACTTAAGAGAAAGTGTACCATATTTCCCTATACATACCAGCAGCTAAAATAATCCCAGTTGAAAATCTCCTCAAATCACTCTTCTTTAAAGTTGTCCAGTCTAATTTACAAATGTCAACTTGAGTGTCCCAAGAATGATTGGCACAGTCTTCAATTAAGTGCCTTATCTGACTTGAAGGATGTCTTGAATAGCAAGCAATGAAATCTGAAGCACAACTTGACAGGTCATGAATATCTTCGCTTTCAGAATAGTCTGATAAACATGCCATACACTGTGGTGTTTTGTCAAACTTGTGTAAAGTTATTTCCATATCAGGTGTCTTGCTGGTAGTCACTCCAGAGTCTTGCTGAGAAGTTATATCTCTGTGATGTGAGTAGCCATGATTATCTTGATTCCTGAGAGCCAATCCTTTCCAATGTTTATGCATGTCACTCTCTGTGTGAGACTCACAAGTCCTTTTGTTATTTAAATATGGTAATTCACTGTCTGCTTGGCTTATGACAAATCCATTCAGTTCAAGGTTGCTTTGAAGTGCTTTGAACACTTCATTATGGCAGTCACTGAATATGTACTGGCTTGGTGAACTCATGGAGCAAATAGAAAGTCCTGTAAGTCCAGTACCACAGCCCAGCTCTATGATGGATCTGAAAAGTAACACCAAAGAAAATGAATGGCAAATGGAAGAATTGAAACTGGGAACTATGAAACCCTTTAAGAATGATTTGTACAACCCCAACTACCCAGTCTTCCTGACGAATGAAGCAACTGACTGTAAAACTACTCCAGCCTAAAAAGATGGGTTACTACAGTTGGTGACCCTGTCATATTTCATGCTGTTTCCCTAACAGTTTGCAAGATTTATTTTAATGTCAAAAGCAATGCAGCAATGTCAAAATGAGTTGTCAAGTGTACAGCACAATTGCCATACATGCCAGGATTTAAGCCAAATCTCTAGCACACTTATCATTGGTACAACTAGCATATCCCCCAAGCCCTCTGAATATTTATTACTGCCAAAAACTAAAGACATTAAGATGGCATCAAGACTGCCAAGCCTGCATAATGATTTTCATTTTTAAAATAACCATCTTTTTCATGGAATAAACTGCAATTTTAACTTGCAGTTCATGTCCTTGGTCTTTTTCTTAATCTGAAGCCAAGCATACAGTTACCTGTCTTGAAATAGGGAAGGGTTTTCTAGTGCCCACTCAGCAAGGTATTCTCCTGCCTGTGATATCAGTCATTCCAAAAGAAAATCAAATGTAAACATTTTGATAATACAACCCTTAGATATTAGCTCCTACCCTTCCACCCCTGTAGAATTTTTGGAGAGTGACCTACTCATAGTTCTCACTTTAATAGGGACACTGCTGAAACAGTTAACACCATACTAGGAGTTGAAAATTAAATAGAAGTAGATGAATAAATAAATAATTAAATAAAAGAGAAAATTAGTTACATGCCAAATCTTATATCTACATTAGAAAATTACCATTTACAAGATTTAATCTACATCAAAACCATGACTTAGATACAGTGAATAAAAATGAGAACAATTATCATAATGTTCTGATCATGGATCTAATGGTGGACATAAAACCACTAGTGAGCAGAAAAGTATCTGTTGTTACTGGTAACATTTTTCCTCTGAGTTCTTACCCCTATGGCTTTTATAAAAATCCAGCTACGTCTTACTATAACAGTCCACCTTGATACATTCCCGGATACATAAAATTACCACCAGTAATTATGATATTATCTTAGAGGAAAACTCACCATCCAGGTACTAAGTCCTGTTGTTCCTTTAGAGATAAACTGTTGAGTTTCTTCAAGGGTTAACAAGGCCCCACATGGCTAAAAAAGTGATCAAAGGTTAAACCATTTAATGTTATGGTTTATTTGGCATGAAGAGGCCAGTGGTAAGCTATTTCCCCCTTCTATGGAAATTGTTAGTCTGCTGAAGGTTGCCTCAATTAGGCTCCTCTTAAAATGTCAGGCCTAACAGATCACAGGTTTTAGGAATAATTTACCCAATCACATGCTAAATACTCTCACTGAGAATATTCTTGATCACACACCTAATTCTTATGGTTGTACATAGAACTTTCCCTATCTGATGCAGAACGTACGACACCAGAAGTCCTTCACAAGGGTAAAAACTGTCACCCAACTTTCTACTTATAAATGGCTTACAACATTAAAAATGACTTAAATTTTGTCTTAAAAGGGGTTGCCTTTTCCAAAATGCCCCAGAGGAACAAGGGTCCTTGAACCAATTTACATGGGTGGTGCCTTTTGTATATCATAGTAACACACATACTATAACTTTCTTAGACCTTGGCATGTATGTGTATGTCAATTTTGATGGCAAGGTTCCCACATTACCCCATGCTTCATTAAGGGTACAGTTCTCAGATAAAAGAAAGGTAGCACCACAGTTTCTTTAAAAAATTACCCCCACGACAAAAACAGATTACCTCTGGGACCAAGGCTTTGTCTTAGAATAGCATGGGGTTGAATGGAAATCTTTCGTTTTAGATGATTGTCCCCAATACTTTTCTGAATGAACCTCACCAGTACATATGTTTTAAAGCACTTGTTATCCAGGTGTTCTGCTTTACCACACACATCTCCGTATGCTTCATAGAGTTCATCCGCGATCTCGATACACCTGTCCTCACATAACTTCAGCATGCGTTTCAGAAACAGTCTTTGGTACGATACCGAAGGAGCATACGACGATTCTGCAGTGAAGAAATAAGTCTGAAAAATAATTAAATATTTCAATGGCTAATTCAAATACGCAAAAAAAAATTGAAATCGATCGATGTATGAGACAAACCATGCATAGGATTTTTCTCTGTTTTTCCAAGTCGAGACTTGCCTGCTCAAGTGTCTGAAAAATCAATAACATTGAGAATAAAATTGTTTAAATCAACCGAAGAGATTCCTGTACAACCCCATACTTCATTATACATGACAGTTGCGCGATGAACGACAACAGTGGCTTAAAAAGTTTTTTAAGTTTGGGAAAAAATGCCTTGTTATATAAGAGTAGTTTAAATTAAGTTGTCAGTAAGTCATCTCGCCCGAAGTTATGCTGCCCGAAAATAAAGATATGCCGCCTAAGATTTTCAGTCGTGTCACCACTGACTCTTTCTGCAAAATAATCTTACTTTCCAAAGAAATAATTTCAACGGAGCCATTTGTAAGTACTGCTTCTGAATAACATCAAGGTTCAAAAGGCTGAAGCCGTCCGCCATGTTGGATGCTATGACAGAGTGGGACCTGAAACCAAGTCAAGTACGGTATTCGGCCATCTTGGCGGTGTCAGCGTTAGGGATGTGAGTAGATTCCTGCACAATCCTCGGCCATCTTTCTATTATTGCACCTTCAAAAGCTGCTCTTTATATCAAATTATTTTTTTAATTATATCACGGTGCATATTAGATTGGTTTTTTGCTAATTTTGCCGTGAATTTTGTCGGTCTTTAGGGGTCGCAGAAGTCGCTCGCGCTCTCCAGCACCTCGCAAAGACAAAGAAAAGAAGCGAACTACTAGTACCCGTGGCCGGAGTCCAGTAAAGTCAAGTAAGGCTAAGACTAAGGCTAAAAGCAAAGGGGATTCAAGCAAAGTGACTGCCAAAAACGGCACAGATAAAGGAAGTAGCCGTCGAAGTCGTTTATCAAGCAGGTGACTTGTTTGAGACCTTTCTGAATGCTTTTTACCTCTGTTCATTGAATATTGCTGATTTAACCGTAACCTTATGCCACACATCAGTTTCATTATGTATACAAAGCTATGATCAATGTAGTTTCAATTTGGCAGCAACCATTTTGCTATATGTATTATTGTTTGTTTACCATATGTGACCTGCGCAAATCAAAGATGTGTTCGCATGTTGTTTAGAGCTGACATGTGGAAATTTTAGAATGGCAACAAAGACGTTGTCTCGGTCATTATTTATGAGATATGAGTGCATATTAATCATTGTAAGCCAGGTTGGCTCGTGTGCTCTCTTATATACCTCGCTGACCAAACCATGGTAACATCATTCGCCTCCAACTGTGTTTCACACTTACCTAATGCTTAGCTCTGAAAATTATGAAAAAACTTAGGGAAAGGTTCAACCCAAAGTTTTTCAGCATTGATAAGATACTAATAATGATGTCATTATTAGTGTACACATTCTATGTGGTTATGCTCAAATGTGCTTCAGTTGCTATTTCTCTGACATGTCAAATAGAGGAGAGATTTTGTGAATCTGGTGTCCATCTTTAAGATTCATTTCACAAAGAATCCTGTTTATTGCCATTAGTATGCATTAGACCTAATATGAAAAATCTGATTGGTCAAGAGCATTCAATCACTAGACTAAAGCAAGGGAAGTTGACTTACTAAATGTAGTATCTGCAGTGGGTATTGGATTTATCATGTCAAGTTCAAAGCCTGCCTAGAATCCAAGCCCACCACCTTTTTGCTTTTTTTTTCACATGATATCATGTGTGGCCTCATTGAAATATTGCTTATTTTCATGATTGTGTTGTTATCAGTTCATCATCCAGCTCTGGCAGTTCTAGCACTAGTCGCAGCTCCAGTTCAGGGTCAAGCAGCAGCAGAAGTAGTAGCAGCAGTAGTAGTGGATCAAGTCATAGTGGGTCTAGTCGCAGTAGTAGTGGATCAAGTAGCAGCAGTAGTAGTAAGGATATCAAAGTATTTTCTTGGAAACAGATATGCACAGTGTTTGTCTCATTCACACACCTCAGTAGACCTATCTCATGTTAAAAAAAAAATTCAATCATTTATTATCCAGTATCATGAGAGTGATGAATCAAATGGACCATCCACGTGTAGCTGAGTGGATAAGCCTAGGAGTCCTTTCATACTTCAATTATTTTAAACCCACTACATTACTGAGTGATTCTATCACGATAGAGTCTTGCTTGTAGTAGTAGTAGTCATAGTGGGTCCAGTCGCAGTAGTAGTGGATCAAGTAGCAGCAGTAGTCATAAGGATATCAAAGTATTTTCTTGGAAACATATGCACAGTGTTTGTCTCATTCACACACCTCAGTAGACCTATCTCGTGTTAAAAAAAAATTCAATCATTTATTATCCAGTATCATGAGAGTGATGAATCAAAGGTACCATCCACGTGTAGCTGAGTGGATAAGCCTAGGAGTCCTTTCATACTTGAATTATTTTAAACCCACTACATTACTGAGTGATTCTGAATGATTGGTTTGTGAACTTTTTACTACTGCTTTGAAATCCAAGTTCCATTGAGTATGTGGAGCACTACAAGTCTCATAGTGAGAAAACCACTAACCCTCTTATCCCCTCCAGATAGTCTTTTTCAGTTTTGAATATTCAAAGATATTCTATGAATTTCTGACAAGTAATTTAATGTTTGTGAAAATGAGATTGCACTCAAAAATTACCCAGAGCTGAATTAGGACTTTAAAAAAATCAGCATACTCCTCTGCAGCTCATAAACTTTTTAATGTTGTTGTTCATAAAAGTAAATACTTGTACATCTTCTTACTAGGCATCCATAATGACTTTTTTTCTTTTGTTTTCTTTTCTGTAGATAATGAAAAGGGGAAAGCTCCCAAGACTAAAAAAGAAGTGAAGGAAAAGGAGACCAAAGAAGTGAAAGAAGTAACAAAGGAACCCAAAGAAGTCAAAGATAAAGCCCTCCCCCCTCCTCCTAAACCGAAATCACCCAAAGTCTCTCCTCCCCCAAAATCACCGAAGAAATCGCCAAAGAAATCACCAAAGAAATCACCAGTCCCCAAGTCACCCACCCCGCCGCCACGCACTCGGCCCACGCGGCGATCAGTTTCCAAATCCGTGTCCAAGTCTCCTAGTCCTGTGAAGCGTGGACCTCGCGCCCGTTCATCGTCGTCTTCGGCTTCTTCACGCTCACCTAGAAGACGCAAAAGAAGCCCAACCCCCAAACCGGCCAAGCTTTACGTGGCACATCTTACACGCAACGTCACGAAGGATCACGTTTTCGAGATATTTAGCGTATACGGTCACGTTAAGTCAGTAGACTTACCCATGGATCGTTTTAACTTTATGCCCAGGGGATTTGCATACGTGGAATATGACGAGGCGGACGATGCAGACACTGCCTTGAAACATATGGATGGCGGGCAGATTGATGGACAAGAAATAACTGCACAGATGGTGCTTCCCATAAGGCCACGCGACGTTAGACCCGCTCGCCGTCCCAGTCCACCCCCGAGGCGCCGTCCGATGCCAGCTTGGAGGAGGTCACCGCCTGCACGATTCCGTGGCTCGTTTAGAGCGGGTAGACGATCGCGTTCTCCGTCTCCAAGGCGCAGGTCTCGCTCGAAATCACGGAGCAGAAGTCGATCACCACCAAGGCGACGGAGATACAGCCGATCTAGTTCGAGTTCATCGCGATGATAAGGACATTGCTTTTTTTAAGGAGAGAAACAGTGTAGAAATACTTTTAAATACCACTAGCTGCATTACTGGGGTGAAATTCTTTCAACACCTCGAGGTTTCTTCAACGAAAGGACGTTTTTGCAAAGACATTTCTATTATTTTTCTTTCGTCTCGTATTTTAAAACGGTACATTTTCCTTCCAGACAGTCGAACAATGCCAACATGGCATTTCAATTTGTCTCTCTCAGAATTTGGAATAGAGTCATAAGTTTGTTGTCAGTTTCTTTCATAACGTTCAAGTATAAGACCCAGGTCTTTGCTATTTTGCTGAAATAAAGAGTCAATCATGATCTGGATGTACTTTGATTAGATTATGAGGTGCCCATGAGACTCATGGTTGACTCGACAGTTTTTCAGTGGCTCTAATATTGTGCGACTGGTTCTTCTGTACAGCATTACTAGAAAATTAGATATTTTTTAAAGGGGCACTCTTTCGAATCTTCCCTTCCTCTGATGAGTTTTGTTTGCTCGTGTTTGGTTTTTTGTTTGGGTTTTCTTTTTTGTTACTAATGGTTGTATCAGAAAGAGAGCTCGATAGAATTTCGTTGATTAACTGTGTACGCTTTGCATGAATTCAAGGATGCCTTTGGACTTATTGGCTTGATATGTACGATTTTGTTTGTTAATTGCGTCCATGGAGAACAAGATGGGTAGTCCTTGTTATTTATCATGGTGCATCCTTTGTGTGAGGCTGGCGCAAAATAAGAACATTGTATCACGATGACCCTCTCTTGTGCGTCTCAGGTGAACCTTTGAATGTAGGAAGGAGTTGACACTATTGTTTTAACCATTTGTTTGCTTGGTTACCTTTAGCTTTACCTTCCAAAAGCAGAAAACGACGGAGAACTCCGGGACTTTCTCGAATGCTTACAACAGTTGTTTTCATTAGTTACTTTTAAAAAGAATTAAGATATTCAAGAAGACACAATAACATTCATTGTTACGGTGCAAAGCAAGCACTGCAAAGAGAGTTGAATTGCGTGAACAAACCATTTGCTGACCGAGGTAACATCAAAGGATTAGTTTCGAGCCAGGACAAAAAGCGAATCCAGATAGATGAGCTATAAAATCCCTGCAGTCAGTCATCCGCGCCTAATTCTGGTTTGCCTTACTGGTCAAAATGCTGTCAAATCTTACATCGCGTGACAGTGATTTCGGTCACGGAATTTGCTCAGATTACCTCAGCAACTTTGCCTTTGATTGAATTCTGCTCAAAGGTTTTTTTTTCATCTTTTTATTCACTTATTACTCGGGCTTTCCAAAGGAAACGCCCGAGTTGAAATTCTTTTTTTTTTTTCCCTCGTTTACTTATGAAAGTTAGTGAAACTTACTATATCTGACAGAGAAACCTGGGAACTAGAGTAACTACGCCTGGCTAATTTTGCTTCACGATTGTTCTTCGATTAATCATGGCGTTGAAAACGATCACTGTGTTTTGTGGTTCCAGCTCAGGAAGTGACCCAAGGTTCGAGGAGAGCGCGAGAGGTACTTCTCTTCTGTGGAAATTCGAATAATTTTTGTCTATGGTTAGACTTGTGATCAAACGCGCACACTACCAAATAAGTTGGAACGTACAATGTTGTGAAAAGCCAAGAAATGGCTGCAATTGTCAGAGATTAATTCAAATAAATATCTGCAAATTTCATGAAGAATAGCCTAATCCTCTGACCGTTTCAGCTTGCTTGCTTAAACTCCTTACTTGCATATCTGAGGATAAGAAGAAAATCAAGGTAACATTTTCTGCACAGCCTCATCCTGTTGTAAAACAAAGCTGTACGTACTGTTCAGATACTGTCCCAAAGAGAATTGTATGCGTATTGCATACAGTATGAGTATGTGCAGAAATTTTAGCCAAATCAATTGTTGTTGATTTTTAACTTTCATTTGAAATTCTCACGTGGTTTTGATATCTGCAGCTCTTGGTCATTGCTTAGCAAAGAATAAGATCAATCTCATTTATGGTGGCGGTTCTGTTGGGCTTATGGGTACTGTGGCTAAAACTGTTGCTGAAGGTGGATGTGAAGTTACTGGATTTCTTCCTGAGTTCTTTATTGAAAGAGGTAAGCCACCATGGATATGTTTACCAACCAAAATGAACCTTAGTACCCCAATGTGAAAAGTTAGGTGTAATAGTGTCAAATAAAATGGAATTCGAATTAACCAATTGTGTTGTTGAGTTGTATGTATATATTGAGGCTGATGAATATCATATTTGAATGCTGACACTGGAGGAAATTACAATTACCAGGAGTATCTTTAACTTACAGACTTTGCTGACTTTAGTCTTAAAAATTATTCTTGGTCAAGCATTACATAGAGCCATTTGGGATAATTTTCAACTGCAGATCCTAAAGATTTAGAAGGCATCGGCAAGACAGTACTTGTTCAAGATATGCATACAAGGAAGAGAAAGATGTTAGAGCAGGTACCAACAATAATATAATCATGATAACTTTCAATGAACTAAAAGCATGGTGGCCCTATGGCAAGGGCTCCAGAGGCACAATAAATTCGGGATATTAGGGATAACCTCTCATACAGCACCTTCTCAGTCCAAGGGAAGACTCTATTGGGTGTGCCACTTGCATTTTTTGGAGCATCACAATAACCCTGGATGAATTTAATTTCTTACATTATTAACTATCCTAAATCAGAAATTTGTGTATTTTCAGGCTGATGCCTTGATAGCTTTACCTGGGGGCTTTGGAACATTTGAGGAATTACTGGAAATGATCACATGGTAACAAACTAATGTTAAGACTTAAATTAGATTATCTACTGCCTAAGAAGACTGTTAACAAAAATATATAATCTTCTTGTTGTTTCTCCTCTGAATCATTTTTCAAAAATGATGCAACTGTTGTTGAAAGCATTCTTTAATCTGTTTATTTTAATTATTTTTTTTCTCTTATTCCTTTGTCAGGTATCAACTTGGACTTCATGATAAACCAATAGGATTGTTAAATGTGGCCAATTACTGGGGAAGTTTTTTAGAATGGGTATGTTGAAGAGTCTCCTCTCACACTGATATACAAAAATCAATTTTGTTTAATTTGCTCAAACACTCTTCACTGTTTCATCAGCAAGCTAGAAATTGTTAGAAGAAAAGAAAAGAAAAGTACTTCTTCACTTTTGTTGCTCCTTTCCCCACTTAACCATAGACACAAAATCCTTTAAAACCCCCTAAATAATTTTATTTCTCACCATCTTCATTACAATTGTTATCAGTGTAGTTATATACCTACACAACTATTTGTGTTTTTTCCTTAACTTTAGATTCAGAATGCAGTCAGGACAGGTTTTGTGTATGGTGAGAACAAAGACATTCTCTTAGTTGCTGAAGATTGTGATACACTTTTGACTAAGCTGCAAGAGCGTGCTTCCAGTGAAGAAAAAACTTTCAAAAAATTACCTGCTAAATAAGTTTGTATGTTATTGCCTATTGAATAAATATTTGTCATTTTGACCAGTTTTCCTTTTTTTACTTTCAAAAATGAAATGTAAATCATAGATTGGTAATTGAACCAGGCTGAAAAAGTTGTCAAACATCCTTCCTCCCACATCCCCCTTAAATTGCACCCCTCACCACACCAACCAAACCTTAGTTTAGACCTTTTTCGTTAGGATACTTGATGTTAGTTACACAACGAAGAAAAACTAAATAACAACATGGCGGCGCGAAAGGTTAGAAAAAGAAGTAGCAACGGTCTTGATAACACCGCTAAAACTGAAGAAGACCTCTCGGGTAAAGCTAAAGGAAACGGCGAAGAAAGCTTGTACTTTAAAAAAGGTTATAAGAATATTTCAAACGTCACACCAAACAAAAGAGCTAAACTTACAATCCACAAGAATCACATTATGAATCAACTTGGTAGGTTGTTTTACATCAGACCTTGTGAAGAATTGGCCCACAAACTCTTAGGGAAATTGCTTTATCGCATCCTTGATAATGGAGAAGTGTTATGCGGAAGAATAGTTGAGACAGAGGCTTACTTGGGTGTGGTTGATAAAGCTTGCCATGCTTATGGTGGTAAGAAAACTGAACGGTGTGAACCACTGTACATGGCTCCAGGAACAGCGTATGTTTATTTTATATATGGAATATATCATTGTTTGAACATCTCCTGTCAAGAGCCTGGTGCTTGTGTGTTAATCAGAGCTTTGGAGCCGCTCCAAGGTGGGTGAACAAAGCAACCCTCTTTCCACAACAACACTATTTGTCACGCGATCGATAGTCTCGCTAATTGAGAAAGCTTTTATATCGTTTTCAGTTTCCTGGAATGCAACATGCAATCTTCAAAAGCAGGGAAATTGTAATGTAATGGAAAGTGCACATGTTCCAAAAGAAGTTGAAATGAGTATACATACGAAATTGTAATGGAAGGCGAAATTGTTTACGAAATTACTACATCTCCTTTATCCACTGGCCGAGTCTCCCATCTACAGATCAACATTTCTACAGACACCATGTCTGCAAAGTTGCTGGCCCATTTCTCACGCAAGTAAAAAAATGGTTACTTTAGTTTTAATAGTTTTAGTAAGGGTGAGAGACTCGAAGGTGAAAAGTGTAAGAAAGGCTTAAAACAGTAATTTTCTTCTAATTATATGCATATGTTATTTCTTTTTAGGATTAAGTTCTATGAAATCATTCAGAGGGGTACGACGAAAGGATGGAGGTAGCAAGCTGAAAGACTTTGAACTGGGCAACGGACCTTCCAAGCTCTGTCAAGCATTTTGTATTGAGAAGGCTAATCTCAATAAAGAAGACATGGCATTTTCCGAAAGATTCTGGCTTGAGGATGACAAAAATTCTCATGGAAGTCAACTTACAATAGTGAAATCAACAAGAATAGGCTTAAATTCCTGTGGACCTGAGTGGGCTCTGAAACCACTTAGGTTCTACATATTAGGAAATAAGTGTGTAAGTGTTAGGGACAAGAAAGCTGAATCCAAAATCCTTCCTTGAACGTACTAAAGAAAAGTTTTAATGCATTTTATCTTTTCCCAATTTGCTGTTGATTGAGGTGCTGGGCTCAGTTTTAATACCAAACTTTTTCCACAGCTGAACCTAATGCCTTGAATTCACTCTTGGAGTGAAAGAGCTCAGCAGTTTCTGGGATGAAGAATATCTGTTGAGATTGCATTATGTACAAAGGAGTGACATAAAGAGTAAACATAGACTTAGGTGTAGTAGGTAGACTAGGCTTGTATGAAATAAATTATTGAGTGGAAAAAAAAGAAAATCAAAAATTGTTCTGAGCTGACTAGTGTACGCTAAATTATCCTTAATCTTCTTTATATCTAAAAATTGATTAAAAATTGTCTCAAAAAGCCAGATTTGATTTGTCGGGACTATAACCATATAGTCATTTATCATTGGCCTCCTTCAAATGAATACTGTGATCATTTTTCAATAAAATTTACAAGTCTGCCATTATCAAAAACTATTTGATGGAGCATTTAAAAAAAATTTTGAAAAAATCCCCAATTTTGGAAACTGAGGGTTGATTGATGCAGTTTGGAATTAAGATAACTAAGAGAAACTAGAAGAGAAAATACGCATTTTCAGTATAAATAAGATACTCTTGGCTGTGGACTGAAAGAGGTATGCAATTGAATTGTAATATTGACTTTGCCTTCACTCATAGCACTCTGGATTTCATAATTAAAGATTTTAAAACTTTAGGATTTTCATTTGATAAAATTGTATGTTGTATTTCTATTATGCATCTCAGAGAAAATTAAAAATTTCCTCACTTGCTCCAATAAAAACTACATTGTACCATTAATTTTAAAATAGTTAGCAAGTTATTGTGTATTTGTGGACACAATGTTGACTGAAATGTGAATTACTAAAAACTGTTTTGAAGCTAATCAAAGTAGATAAGCACTCCAGTGGGTGGTTCTGGTTTTTGTTCCTCTTTCTTATCAGATGCTAGTCCCTGTCTTTCATCTTTATTGTGAACAACAAGCTTCATCTTTCCCTAACAACACAAAATAAAACTAGTAAGCAAGGTTTTAAGATGTCACACCAGCCTGTTGGCTCATTCTGCTGCACCTCATCCCAGTTCATGAGACAGGAGGCAAAATGGAGCTCTGCTAAAGGAATTGTGTCATAAGGGCTATATATTGCTCAACATTCTATCAAGTTTCCCTGAAAATCCCTGACAGTTTCCACAGCCCTTTCATTCCCTTGAAAATCACCCTGACTAGGATTTCAAACTGAATCCTTCAAATGGTATTTAACCCCTTAACCCTCAAGATACAATGAGTAATTCTCCCTCTTCACTCCCTCAAATTTCCTTGTAAGTTACACATGAGAATATGATGCTATATCAAGATAACACCATCTTGCTGATGAGTTTATCTTTTCCTCGTAACCTGTTTAAAAGATAACATATTGGAATTGCAAGGAGAGGTTGTGTTTTAATCACTTCTGGTACTTGCAGGGTTAACAGGCCACTCTTAGCCTTAGACATACACCAGCCCTGTACACTTACATGTTATGGCCCAAATTTGCAATGGCTTAGTTACCAAAGACCCAAACTGTTCAAACACAAAATTGCTGTAAATCAACAATGTGTCATTACCTGTTTTAACAATTCACTTCCAACTGTCAACATAACTTACCTGATATTTTCCCCACATTGCAAAGATGTTACTCAGCTTCTCCCCAGGATCCAAGCATCTGTGAACTATAAAAAGGAATAGAAATGGCAGTACCAGGTACCTTGTTTAAATGTGATAACAACTCTGATCTCTAATTTACATACAATTGTACACAATGTTTTCTGGAAGGCAAAAAATAATCAATATATTCTTAAGTTAACAATGATAAAATACCAGTATATAAAATGAACAAGGCACACAAAAGGAAAAAATAATGCATCTGATAGTTTGGATACATACATGTTCCAAAAAAAAAAAAAACAAGCAAACTTACAAGACAGAATAACCAAATAAACTGAATGTTTGACATGAATGAAATATTTAAATCAACCCTATGGAGGGACTGGCTTTTGGTGTAAGTATGTTGCCAAATATAGTTTGTTGGAACAAAATGATGTTACGGTGTATTATTGCTAACAAAACATGATCATAACTATTAGTTGAGTCTCACCAGAACCATCTACTGATTCCTCCCACATTTCCAACACTGAAGCATCAATCTGCCCTCCAACAAAACTTCTGTGCCTTGTGTATTGCCTGCACAAAAGTAAAACAAAATCTTGATCTAACAAGTAAACTGATCATTAGTAGAGATAATATCAAGATAACACCATCTAACTGATAAGTTCATCAGTTTCCATCAACTTTCAGTTTTGTGTTTTGCTGAGAAATAATAATATTGTCAGGATTTTATATACATGGTGTTTTATCCCTACTTGGAGCCTTTAATCAACCAGGCTATGGTTTGTCTTTAAGTTCTAGAATACAATGTCCAGATTTCTCTTCAATGGTACAGGTATTCAAAAAGACATTTTCATTCTCTACAATATGCTTCAAAGAAGGACAAGTTACTTACCGCATAACATCAGAAATTAGGAAACCTGGTTCTACCTTGCAGGTCTGAAAATTAACAAACATTATCAACATCATTATCATAACAATAGTTGTTTGTTACTAAATGTGACATGATCCTTGAGCATCTCAAAAACTGACCCATTCTTTTACTACTTTTTCTTCTTACCTTAAATGTCTTGTCAGGTTTAAAGACCTTTAACACTGTCATATCCCCAGTGATAGGTTCTTTGAGTAAACTGCCAGTCTATATCCAATAAATAGGAATTTTTTTCAAATCAATTTACAGGGCAAACCAACTAAAGAAGTAAGAACTATTTGGAATATTTTCAACTAAAGTGAATTACATGTCAAAATGATTTTAGCACATTTTTTTGGTCTAGATATATCATTACAATCTTTAAACTTACAATTACAAGAGGACAGAATTCAGCAAAGTTTAACTACAACATGTACATGCACTCACTCACCCAGTCCATCATTTTCTGTTTGATCTCATTCAATGCTGTGGCCACGGGAATGGGATGAAACTACACCAGAAAGCAAACAAAATAAACCATGAAATATTAAAACTGGTTTAAAAACTTCAAAACTATGGAAAAACAAATTTGAACCAGTCAACTGTTGAATGAAATTTTGGAAATGGTCCACAAACATTATATCTAGGGCATCAAGTTTGACAAAAATCATAATTATTTTTAACTCGTTGAGAAAACTTACTAGTTAATATTGATAACTTAATAGAGACTGTTTTGCAGAGATATGGGTTTCAGCATTTAACCCTCCTCAGTTATGATAGTAAGAACAATTAATATTATTAACATATTAATTGTAACTTGCCTCATTTGTTCCATTGTATGCTGTCATTTCAGGTCCTGTGACACACTGAGCTGAAAAATGCAACAATCTTTCTTAGTGTGGTGTTTTAATATAATTGCTCTGGTGACTGAAGAGATGGGCATGCTCTGATAGGTCAAAAAATGCATCACATCTTGCTATAATCACCTTGCTTAAGATGATTATGGCAGGAGTGATGAATTTGAAAATGGCTGCCTTGAGTTTTGTCAGAGTGACAAAGGAAGTGATGAGCATGATAAAGAAAATTCATTTAATTTCCCAAGAGCACTAAAGCTGCTATTAAGTTGGTGGTAACACTTTTCAAAAGAAAGATATGAAGTTTTTGCTGATTGTGTTAAATGAACCTTTCAAATTCTAGTGGAAACTGGCTCTTAAGCTTGATACAAGTAATCAAACAAATGTAACACAATGATTTCAACATCAAAACAAATATTTACAACAGAATTCAAAACCACATAACCATTTATACTGTTCTATATTGAATGATCCCCTTGACTTTGTCTTGTGGGTTATTCAACAATATTCACTTTGCCATTGGTGAATAATTGTTAACTAGTATAAGAGTCCAGTGTGTGACCCACTTTGTCATCATATCTCTAAAAAAATCTAATATCAAAGGTAGTCTACATTTATTTTAGTCACAATTGACCCAAAAATTACCCATTTGAGGTTAATGAAAATTCCCATCTACTAGGAAAAATATCAATATTCATTATAAAAATATCATGGTATTTATCCTTTCACTGATTAGAAGATTTTTACTGTGATGAGCTTGAGCATCTCATCACTATCTCCAGTCAGTCAGCTTATCACTGCCGGTGGGTCCTCAGTCATTGATTATCATCTAGTTCAATCACCTCTCATTCATTTACTAGCATTCAGTTTTCCACAGCCTGATCCTACCTGGAAACCATCCAAATTTTCCTTTGTAAAGTCCTGGCCACCTTTAAAACAAAAAAACAAGAAATTTACAATTCACTAACTTTTCATGATAATACAGCTGTCTCCAGTTCTTGTCCTTCTTATCTTTGCTTACTCAAACCCTTTACACCCTAGCATCAGTATTCATATTCTCTATACTCTGAAAAGGAGAAATTGTTTAACAATCAAGAGCTCCTTTAGTGAGTGATCATTTTGTTTATTAAGATTGTGACGTTAATCTCTGATTCATGGGAGATATTGTAAGGAGAAATTAGATACTAGTCACTCTTGAGGATCAAAGGGATAAAAAGGATTTTGCTGAAACCTCAATACCACAGTTAATTTTCTTGATTATCAAGTTCATCACTGAAAACATCACAATTATACATTCTATTTGTTTCATTCATAGTTTTCTTCAATGAACATATTGAGTTATTATTCTTACCATGCTAAGTCAAGTTCACAAACACTATTTGAAAATAATCCCTATAAGAAAAGAAACACATGAATTCAATGACTAATCATAAAAAATTAAATATTAATTGCTAGTTTAACAAAGTTTTGATAAAGAAAAATACTATTCAGTTTGACTTACTGGAAGCCATAAATTGCCAGCTTTCAATCCAATTACCAGAACTTCTTCACTCTGTCTTAAATTTAATTCTGAGGAATTAAATTGAAATGTAGTAATTACCACCTGTTATAATCCCACCATTTAGCATCTTGGTATCATCCTACTTGTAAATAAATTTGATATTCATAAGAAATAATCAACCAAAAAACAAGAAATGTAACAAATTGTCATATTGCGAAGGCCTCCCAAAAACCCTTCATAGTTGTTTCCTAGACATGTTGTGATACAAGCAAAGTGGAGCAAGCCAGGTTTGACAAGCACAATATCACCATTTTTTGGGGGGAGGGGGGTGAGGAGGTTTGAATGTGTAATTAAAGCACAAACCAATGTTTTTCAAATAAACTTATGATTACCAGTGCTTTCATGGAAAGAGACAATTCCTACAGATTGAAAGAGCTGAAATTCTTTAGCAACAAAATACTTTGATCCAAATTAACACAAACTACTCTATTAAGCTCTTTGCTTCAATCCCTTCATTTTCACAGTACAGCAAACACTTCATAAGTACTGGTAAATATATCAAATACACGAGTGTGCTCTTTACCAAAGTCAACAGTCTGATGGTAATCAATCTTGGCATTAAATGAAACTGCTAAGAATTCCTCATCTGGTACAGGCAACCCTTGGAATGACTGTAAATATAAACATGTATACAGGAATGTTGCATTATATCAATAATCATTTAATTCATTGTTTATTAAAACAATTTTAAAAAGTCATGCAGTTTAAGTTCATGAGTTCAGTTACAATACTATTGTAGAGGCACAATTAGGAAGCAAAACTGAACATTTGAATTTACCTCAACAAATGCTTGTTTTTCTTTCTCAATATGTGTTTTTAGTTTCTCCTCCCACTTTTCTTTCTGTCTTTCTGATGGAGCTAAAAACTTGTAGATTTGTGTAGGGGTCCCAAGAATAAACACTGTAATAAAAAGGGAAAATAGGGATTAATAGTTTTAATAATGTAATATTATTAAAAAAAATTGAAAATAAATTTTTCATTAATGAACCAACAAAGCATTACATTTGTGTATTACCTGGTAAGTAATAGTTTACTACATTCAAATAAACTTATTTAAGGAAATTCAATCCATTAGTTTTAACACTAAAATACCTTGTTTTATACTCACTCTTAGTGTCTGGAAATGTGATAAAGTGCTAATATCTAGATGTATCTGATAGATTACTTTCATGGTGTTTACCATCAGTATGTATATTCTCCATACTGTTCTCCATACATTTCCAAAGAGGCTGACAAGGAGGATTTGTTTATCAATGAAGAGCAGCAGCTTTAGTTAGTGATCATTATCTCAATTCTCATGACTTTCATGTTTGATTCAGGGGTGATATTGTAAGGAGAAATTAGAAAATAGTCATTCTTGAGGGCTGAAGGATTCAATGCTATCTTAAATTGTAGAGTATTTGTTTTTGACCTGAGTGAAATTAAAAGCATTTTAAATAATTAAAAATCAATCTTTTATCAACTAGAAGAGTAACTTAATAACAAATGCTGTGGTTAAAACTGATGAGAAGTAAATGAATGTAAAATAACTGACAGGGCAGGTTTAACTTACTCTTATCTGGTGGATTTGTATAATATGCACTGGGTGATGTTACCCAGGCCTGGACGAGGGAAACACTGTCCTTCAGTTTATAAGTTTTCTTTCCTGTTATACGATTTTCTGACGCCTGTAAGAAAATGTACTAAGTTTAGCAAAATCTTCAAAACTTATGTACTTGAATACAGCTAGGCCAAAGTAAAATGGACTTGAAAAGTAATCTCCTTCTGAAAGTGACTAATAGTTGTTAATAACAATTTTAGAGTTCTGCATACCTCTATGGTAACAAGAAGAGATTTTCATCTTGAATTCTTTCCAAAAAAACTTGAATTTAATTTAATATCCACACACTTGCCAAACAATATTAAGTTACTTACCACCGCAACCAATAAGACATTGTTAAATAAGAAAAGATATCTGCAAGACAAGACCACATTCACCTGAGTGTAACATTTATCAAATATATAACATTTATTTCAATAACTAAAAGTAATTTTCAGCTGTTCATAGACCATAACAAATAAATAGGTCAAGTGCTTGGAGTTGCAATGTAAAATTCTTGGAAATCTTGAGCAAACAAAGAAAAACTTGTTGTTTTAGGCTGGCCCTTAAGGACAAAGAGAATAGTTAGTTCATAGAACTAAAAAAATGAGAAATAAAAACTTAACTACAGCTCCCTGACCTTTCAACTGTTTCATGGACCATTCCTCCATCGTTAGAACCTGTGGCTTTCTTAGTTACACGTTCAACTTCACCCTCATAAATATATGTGCTAAGAAAGAATTAGAAATTGGCATTAACATTGTATTCACATGGAATCATTTTGTCACTGAAGATTTAACTTGAAAAAATTTATTTATTAATACATTCAACAGCATGTTTTTTTTACATGTACCTGGTGATAAATGTTTCCCCTAAGGACGCAGAGTCTGTTTCACTGTCACTGTCGCTACTATCACCATTGTGAAATCGAGGAAGAGTACTAGGTGACCGTGTGTCTGCATGTACTCGGGAGAGCTTTGGAGATGTCTGAATTTCAATGCTGTCCATCAGGGGAAGTGAGATTCTATTGAAGGGAAAATTCCCATATACCATTAACTGTTACTGAAAGTGAAAGTTCTATGCACCAATAAGGAGTTTCTTAGTTCACAGTTTGAAATCACCAGACATTGTTGAAAATAACTAATATATGTTTGAGTGTGATGCTTGACAGGTAATCAGCAATTTGAGTTTTCTTCTTTGATATGTCTCAAGTTGATGACTAATACTATTGACTAACAATTCACTGAACAAATGTACAGAGAAAAAACTTTTTTTTCAGTATCTGTGGGGTTTATACTACAACAATTATTCACCTCAGTGTTGGTGAAATTGGTGGATAATTACCTCGCCACTTTGGTAAATAATTGTTAAATGTTTTTGGCTATTTCTAACCTTTTAAGTGTTTTAGATATACTTGTCATCTGGTCTTTTTCATGTTTCCTATGGAACAAAATGGAATTAATGATTAACTTTATGCCTAAAGTAACCAATGCGTTTTCTACAATTTCACTCAAATGTACAGGTCAAGTTAAACAAGAAGCAATACACTGATGCTTACCTAAGGCGCACAGAACCATACAGCTTTCCTGAAAATATACCCCAAAAAAATTTAATCCAAGAATATTAAATGTAAATAACGTTAGTTAATATAGACTTGGTCCTGTTCTAAGATAACTTATGATCATGAAGTCACCTGTAGAATACTGTGTGGCAGCTGGTCGAATAAGATTCTGGAAAAAAAAAAATTCAAATCAATGGTGGGACTAATTAAGGACAATCCAGAAATTTAATGATGACTAATACAGCTGCTGATACAATTTAAATCAAGGAATACTTATTAAAAAAAAAAAATGGTGAAAAGCACTATTTTGATTTTACCCACCAATTCATCATTAGGAAAGCTCTTCATTACTTCAACAACTTTTGTTTCATTCTCTATTTGACGGATGTGTTCATTTAAGGCCTCTGCAGTCTAAACATTAAAAGTAAAAGTAGATCTGAGGAACATCAAGCCTTGATGTATATTAAAACTTGTACAGCATTTATTAAATATTGAACATAGTAAACTGAAGATAAACCTTTAATGTTTGTAGAATCAAGTTTAATATATCACTGGACTGACCATGGATAAAAAAAGTATTGTTAACAAAGGATGAGCTTCATTAAGTTACCTTCTGGGCTTTGCTCTGAGCGTCGTTCAAATTCTCATAATCTGGGTGATCCTAAAATTGATAAAAACCAAACAAACAAACAAACAAACAAACTACAAGTAAGTAAAGAATGTAATAATGAAATTAAACAGCACATCACTTCATAATTTTCATTACACTTAACTGGTGTATACTGATATACTTACTGGTAACTCTCAACCAACAATATATAAGGTATATCTCACCTCACGTGTTCTTTTCACCAATTCTTTCAATATCAGTTCATATCTGGGAACTCTCTGACAATATATAAATTACACCAGCCATTAATTATAAGAAATTGGCCACAAAACCTACCTACTACAAGACGTATTTCCAAAATAAGGTGTCTTAAAAGAGAGTATATAAAAACAATCATACAGGTGTCATAGTGTGAATTTATCAAGTAGTCAAAGGATATTACCTGTATTGGCATAAGTAACAATGAATCAAGGGTATGATTGCAGCTGACCTGGGAAAAGAAGTCAATGTAAGCATTATAATAGAGATTAAAATAACACCATCCCAAAAAATAATTACATCAACTCAATATGAAGTTAGGATCCTTATCTTGAGTACAGATAAATTTAAGGTATGTTTAAATCAACTAAAACATTACTTAACAAGTGAGTGTCTCACCTTGGCCAAAAAATTTCTGAACTTCTCATTGTTTTTTTCTAATTTCATTTTCACCTAGACGTCACAGAACATTAATTGTTAGTAATCATATATCGAACTTCATAATATATTTCTCTTAATCACAAACATTAATGGAAATTGATAAGAGAAAGCTGAAATTAAAGGCAAAATAATTGACACATTTCAATCTACATTGAACATTTGAAAACTTTTCCAAAATAGAGCAATTGATTCCCCATATTCTTATTTCAACGGATCAATATTAGTATCTGGGCAACTGCCTACCTACCCCTCCCCTAACCCAACATTAACCCTAAATTGTTATCAATTGACTCTTGTTGAGTTAGGGGAGGGGTAGGTGGGCAGTTGCCCAGATAATGATATTGATCCATTTCAACCCATCTTCCCTCTACCATTTATGCACTTTGACCTCTGCAAATGTCCAGAATTGAATTGGGAAAGGGAGCATTGCTTCAGAGTCAGGCAAATTTCAGATTGCATTTAATTTGGGATAGCCATAAAATGAAAAAAAAAAAGAAAAAAAAAAAAAAAGGTCAGGACTGATTTGAAACATTCTCAACCAAAGAAAAAAATAAACCACTCCTGATCCTAAGACAGTACACATAATTATTCATAATCTTATTATCAAATGACCTGTACGGCCCCACATGTAAACCCATAAAAAAACCATTGTGAAAGCTGACATATGTAGGAGCCAACCAGTTGATGTGAGCTGTAACTGAAAGAGCTATGCATAGTTGGTATCCTCCAGCTCAGTCAATAAGCACATATTATGACTTTCATACCTCATTCCCTCTCTTCCTTGACTTGAAATATGGTTCAAACATCATCAAATAGGAAAACTGCATGACAAAAGTCAAAGGTCAGACTACAATTTTTTAACAAAACTAATTTCAAGCTTATTATCTAACTAAATGTAGACTCTGTTCACAGGGAAAAGTCTTCCCTTGTAATTCTTGAAAGATCATCACATACCATTTCTACAAGAACATCTCCAATCAAAGTTGTATTGACATCCCAGAAAGCCAAACGCGTTTGTAGTTTAGCAACCAACTCTTTACTAATGGACTCTAAGGACTGAAATAAATTAAAGAAATTCAATTGAATTTGTTGTTGTTTTTGACATTGTTTTTGCAAATAGTTTTCAGCCTCTGTGTATGTTCTTGATCAGCAAGCAAGACAAAAATAAATAGGCGAATACTTTTTCAAGATTATTACCTAACCTTACTAGTACTACGTGGAGGAGATTTCACGAGTCTTACCTCTGCATTGGAAAAAATTTTCTTTACATCTTCATCAGAAATAATGCGAAGTTTCCTGAGAGGCCTAATGTAATGCTGCAAAGAAAGCAACAGTTGTTAATAACTCAAATATTCCTCCTTAGCATTCAAGTTGTGAGAAATATATCAAATACTACTGTTAAAAAATAAAGTATGATGTATTTGAGAAAAACCAATAGAAAACATTAATATAATAAGTAATCAGTTCTATTTTAATTTTAATTATCATAAACTGTCAAAAATAATATATTTTTTAAAATAAATTATTTGACCAACAGAATTATCAGTTTCTTATGAACAATTTAAAATACAAACCCCAGAAAGGAGATTTAATCCATTGAAGTAAGACACCTCAGATGTCAAGAGTTCCTAGAAGAAACACAATTTCATTATGTCACTGACCCAAAAAACATTCTGTTTTAATCAAATTTACTAGAAACACAGAGAAATTGTTTATTACTGACATTAAGTAATGAATTTAATGCTTGTAATTATCAGTGAGCAGCTTATAAACTAGCAGTTTACAAATTAATAATTCCACAAAATCTTGGTCTGAACACTTTTTTTTTTTAATGTATTCTGCAAGTGTGTCCTGGTAGAAGTAACAAGCCTCAAAACAAGAAAATTTTAAATTAAATAACATGTACCATTGCAGCTCTTGTTCTTTTTCGTTCCTCTGATTCTATGGTCAAAAACAAAATAAGAGATAAATGGTTGAGACACTTCACAATTTCTTTTTGGCAACCTTGAGAGGGTAAATTTCTCAGTACTTCTGCTACTGTTACAGGTAAGCACTGGCATTATGATAACTTGTGTAGAACTCAAAATCACCATCATCTCCCACAATATATGTGAAAATATACTAAGTCACATCCATAGAGAAAAATCCTTTCCAAGAGCCTGTCTGACCTGAGTGATAATACTACAAAATCAACTGAATAAAGGGGGTAATTTTCTAAAGAAACTGTAGTGCTGTGTCGGTGAGAGAGTATAGCAGGGTAATTTAGTATTTTCAACTGAGTTGAAAACATAAATTAGCCTTTGTAAAGAGTTTAAAAGCTGACATTATGAGCGTAAGTCCTTTGTTAGAGCAAATGATGAAGGGCTAACACTCCAAATGCCAGCTTTGAAACTCTTACTCAACTCAGTTGATAATCCTAAATTATCGTACAAAATCAACTGTTACTCATAATCACAGAATAAAACCTTTTACAAGACATTTAAACAGTCCAATTGTATTACCTTCCTCTCCCTGTCCCATTTGTTCAGCAATTATATTCAGTCCATGAAAAGACGTCAAAGCACCAGGACTGAGATTACCACCATTAAGTGAATCAGATCTGTTCAGTTCATTATTATGATTAGCATCAGGCTGTCTGTCTTCCATGTCCTTGCACTGATCATCTGTTCCATTAGCCTCTGATGTCAGCTTGGTTCGATCATTTTCTAAATCTTCCAGAACTTTTGAGTTCCCCTCCGAGGTTGGTGAAGGTAAGTCCTGCCTAATAAGGAACAGAGAACTGCATTGGTTTGATTTACTTTCCTTGGGCAATATTGCTTTCACTGGTAGTGGCAGGTAATAGTTAGGGTGAATTTGAACCCTGGAACTTTAACAATATTTCAGCCTCTGAGTTTAATTACAACCACCAACTCCGCATTTCAAATGGTTGATTCTGCTTCAATCAAAACAGTACTAAATTACATTCCTTTTCTGTCACTTTCATGAAAACAAAGTTAATGTGAAACCTAATGTCTAAACAAGCTCTTTGTTATCTGCCACTAAAAAATGCAATAAACTTGCTAAAAATGGCTTGTTATTAACTTTGATTTACCAATTTCCAATTTCACTTGAATCTTTCTCAACAAAATTCCCTGGAAAACAACCAGCCTGATGATAACAAAAAAAGAAAAAAATCAACATTGCATCCTTTTTTTTATTTTTTAACCATACAAGGATTAATATAAGTCCTACTATTTCATGAACTAAAATGCAAGCAGTAGTGCAGTAGATATCGGGGAATATCACAGACACATTTTTTAATATATGAACAATACCTGATAACCTCTGTAACGGATGCCACGGTACCAACCATCTTGATACTTCTTCACCACAAAAACAATATCCCCCTAACAGTAGATAAAATATATCATTGTTGTTCATTACAGTGAAGTCATCTGTGACTTACAACTGAGGAGATGCTTGATAACATGGAATGCATTTGCTACATAGAGTGTTAAAGAAAGGATAACTAGTAAAATTTTTACCTTCAGTAGAGCTATTTCATCTTTTTTTGATGGTTCAAAGTCCCAAACAGCAATAAACTGTTCAAGATTCCTGCCAAAAAATCAGAAAAGAAAATTTATCATTTAATTGATGACAAAATACCAGCAAATTTTAAATTTTGACATTTTACATATCTCGTAAAAAAAGTGATATGAAAAAATCTAATTAAATGCTCAACTGTCAATAGTTGCTTAACCACTTAGGAAGAAAAGAAATAGCTAATTACAAATGAAATTATGGCACTTTAAAATGAACAGCCAACAAAAACCGAAAGAAATAACATTTCCACTATCTTTTAAAATATAAATTTAAGTCTTCTCGTATTCTGCATCAAAATTCAGTGAATTACAACTTCTACGAAGATTTATTTTTGTTCGATTTATGAAAGCAGAGTTCAAAACCAATTGGTGCGGGACGTCTGGAATTAAGAGGGGCTTCATCTCTCCTTGAAGGGTAACTAAAAGAAAAGTTATACCTCGTGTTTCAGCTGAGGACTTCATGGTAATTATTTCTCCACCCAAAATTAAAAGGGATAAAAGTACAATAAACATGTTTACAGGGAACAGTTGGTGGCCATTATCGTTAAAATGATATCCTTTGTTGTGCTCAGCTGATATATATCAATGCAATGGCATTTTAAAAGCTTTAACCAGCTGAAGATCAACAATTCTTGTTTAAGCCTCCAACTCTTCCGCTTTCTTTTCATTCACATTCAAACATGTCTGTACTAGTTCTCAAACCTTGATAACCTTGACTGATCCGTGTCCAATCGTTCGTGATCCATCGATGACCAGTTTAGATTTCAGCAGCGCTCTGTAATGTGGCAGCTGTGATTCTTGACGATTCTAAACAAAACTTCCACTTAGGGACGTAAAAAAAAACTCCACGTTTAAGCTGCAGTGACAGGCACAAGCACTTCCAAAGTGTTTACAGTGCACAGAGTCCTTCACAGTTCCAAACTTCGATGAGTTAAGGAAGAAGACGTCGTGACCAGTATCATGTATCAAATATCATGATTGACTGCGAGTGACTAGCCAAACAGAGCGTGAGTGATCGATCTTACAATCTCGACTCTGAGTAGAATCAAAATGTCTTGGTAACATTCGATGTGAGTTAACAATTCGCAAACAAATCATTCAAGGAGAAATCGATCAAAATCTTGAAGTACTGAAGCCGGAAAAATAAATATTGTCTTCGGACAAGTTCTTCAAAATTCGCGGTGAAAGTACATCAGTGAAGGAATGTGAAAAACTTCACTTTCGGAAATTCCCGACTTCTCACGACAATGAAAACCGAAATTATGCGGAGCCGCAATCGTTTATTCTGCATGACGTCATTAAAATTATCATTTCCGTTCAGATGATAACCCACTCCAAAAGGTTAAGGTTTGCAAATAGTCATTAATTTCAATGCTTAATTTTAATTTCTATTCATCGGGAAAAAAAAGAGCCCTTATGATTTTTACGGCTTATAGGAGACCCTCCGAGTGTGTAGCAAGCGACCGAAAACGCCAACAAAGAATGGTTTGCCTTGTGTCGTGTGAGAAAGGGTTATTCAATCTTTTTTTCACTTTCGGTTTTCAAAACCACGAAGTAACTGTTAGAGGAATACTTCAACACTCACACTTCAAACTGAAATGTGTTTTTTTCTGTCTTTATCAAAATACCAGAGCCGTTAGCACCCAATCATTGGTAACAGTTCAGATGTTTCCAGAAAAATCGTTGAAATTCTTGAAGACCACAAAATAATGCTGAAAATATAGCGAAACAATAAAACGGAAGCTACATTTATTCCCGACGTTTTTCAATCAGACGGAAGCTTTGTATCGGATTTAAAGAAACAATGTCTTATTGCTAATAAAGCCATTAAAGTTCCGGTTGTAAACAGCCTTGTTCGGGGTTCTAGGTGTGCCGTCGAAAGGTTTAATGGTCGAAAATGTACTTAATTATATAAACACGTGTGTAACTTATAAATGTTCGATAAAAAAATACCACTTTTAGCTCAAAAATATTTCTTGCCACTGAGTCCGAGACAATTTACAAGACAGAAATCGGAATAAAACGGTACTTGAGTTGTTACAGAAACTTTATTCATCATTCTTTGATACAAGGTGACAATAAATCTATTGATTTGATATTCCTTACATGAATTTCTTTTTGGTTTTGAATTTCTTACTTTGGGCAGGCAAAATTTGCTTCGTACTTCCCCGAGAAATTTGCTTTTTACCCCCTCACCCCCCCCCCCCCACCATTCGTCTTTTCAAATTTCTAAAAGCTCTTAGCCTGGGTGGTATAAAAAAAATTATTCAAAGCGCAGATTTTAAGACCGACAGTTAAAACTATAGGCCTAAAACATAGTTAAAGCTATGATTACTTTACAGTTCCTCATGAATATCGAGTAGGCTATCCGTCAGAGGAGGCACGTCATTAACATTACCAGCGATAATCTGAGCTTTCTCCTTACCACTCAGGTAAGCTCCTTGCAAATACCCGTACCATTCTTCGCTGGTCGCTTCTCCCGCGAAATACAGTCGACCCAGTTTTCTCCCGAGGTTTTTGAAATCCTGTGAGGTTGTACCAACCACAGGTTCACTATACGAACCTTGTGCGAACTCATCTTTGGACCAGCGATGATAAAATATTGCTGATAAAACAAAACAGAAAGTACAATACAATTTGAAAGGCGAGTAGACGCAAGTAACAGTTGAGCCAATACAACAATTCAGGTCTCTTGAGAAGGAGAGAGACGGAGACAGAGAGGAGAAGCGCGCGTGGTAAAGAGAGCAAGCAAAACTTTTTAAAGTTCCTCTTTGTTATTGATGATGCTTTACTCAACAGTGATAAATAATCACAAATAAAAACCCCCTTCAAAAAAGTTGTTACTCAGTTTTCAAAAACAGTTTTTCGCTTTCAGAGATTCCCCAAACATTTTTGCTGGAAATAAAGCTCGCATGTTTACATACCTGATGGATTAGGAATTTCCTCTCCATAAATCTTTTTCAATGTAGTCATAATCTCAGCTTTTGTTTCCTCGTCTGTTTGTTTCTCAATCCTTCTTCCTTCATCTCCAGTTACAGTAATCAGTAAAATTCCACTCCCACTTGGCAACATTCCCGGTCTGTCCAAATCCTGGAGTATAGGGAAGTAGCCGCGCGTTTTAGAAGCGTGTAAAATATATTCATGATCATCCCAGAATTTTCTTGGAAACTTCAAAAAAATTTTCGTATACACGGACATGGGGTTTTTGTAAATTGCCTCTTGCTTCCACTCTGGGAGGGGAGGGTCAAAGGTGATAGTGTCACTGGCTAAGACTCCAGAGCTGAATGTGCAGAGAACGTAGTCCGCTACAAAAGTTTTGTTCCTTTTTGTTTGAACCTCCACCGAGTCACTAAAGTAAGATATCTTTTCAACGGTTTCCCGGAGCAAGATATGTTTTTCTAAGGGTATGTACAGATCTTCATACAGAGACCATAATCCTCTTGAGTCTGAAACAAAAAAGTCTCTCCCTCGACTGAAAAGCTGATAAAATGAAACTAACTCAGGTGGCTTGGCATGCTCAAAGTCAAGTCTCGAATATTCAAGCACTTTTTCAATCGGTTGACGACTTTTCCATCCCATTAACTGTAAGCCAACCCGAGCTGGAATGTCAGGTAGGTTGTTGTCTTTTCTGGCTTTCTGGAAATTTTCTAATTTTTTTTCAATTTCAACGTCAAATCTACGCACAATTTCCCAGTCTGTGATGTCTCGGCCGTTCTCGTCTCTGTAAGAAATCAAATTAAGTTAATTTAGGGTTGGGGTTGTTAACAGGTGGGCTTAGATTACCCAACCCAAGGTTAGTGTGAAATCTGACTTCAGATGTGATAGCTTCAAAGGAAAATTCAGTTTGTTTCTTTTTGACCATGATTTGACGATTGCATGCCCTAAAAAAATAGAGAAAATCATACCGAAAACGCTTTTGAACAGAGGAATAATTAAACCCGAATTAAATTTTAACCCTGGTTTAACGCTAATCAGCCTTCGAACAACTGGGACCTGCAGAAGAATTTCCGATGAAATTTGGGGTTTTTCATCGTTTTCTGTGACGTGTGCGCTTCATAAGAAAAATTTTGTACTATCTGCCCTCTTTAGCGGCAAACTAACTAGTTATACCCACGGGTTAACTTCTTTTATACTCGTATAAAATATGATACGTTGACCTAAATCGCACTACCAGTCTCTCGGCTTCCGTGAAATGATAAAATGAAGAGCCCTGCGAGCGAATTTAACCTTCCACAAAGCCAGTTTCAACCAACCTCATGATGACGTCAGAATAATTACACCAAACACCTCCAATACTTGTTTCTTCCTTCCGTTTTGTCAGAGGTGCCGAATCTTCGTCGTCCAGTAAATGAAGCCAGTTTGCACCAGTCTCTATGGTTAGACCTTCAAACTGGATGTCGTGAATTCTTCCACCAATGTATTCTCGGCCCTCGATCACGTAGAAATCTGTGATGTTGTTGTCTATTAGGATCACGCCTGACAAACCTGCTCCAAGCACGAGTACTTTCGCTTTGTGTTTACTCTCGACCGATATCGTGGTACTCAGGAAAAGCAAATAGATGATTGTCAATGGACTCAAAAAAGTTTCCTTCCACTCCGTCATGGTTGTTTAATAAGCTAGGTAAATAAAAAATAAAATTATAATCGCGGCATGAATCTGCGAGAGCCTTGAAATACTTCCGTGCTATATACGCGGTATTTAGATAACGGCGTATTATGATACTAACACAGTCTATAGACTGTACGATTTTACGCTACAATCTGCGTCCGCGTACATACTGTAAGATTTTAAGCCGTTAACTAACAGCGTAAAATCTCTCAGTATGTACATATACCGATTGGAATAAATTACGTCGTTAGTCACTGGTGTAAAATCATACAGTGTATGTATTACCGACTGAAATAAATTACGACGTTAATTACTGAATCTTCTAACCTTAAACAATTATTAAATCTCTCTGGCTTGTACGTTGGTGGGAACCGTGCCTATAGACTACACACCATCAAAATACACATGGATGTGAAGACAACGATCAAATTGAATTCTCAGCAGTTATATCCTGAGAAGGTCGGAAGAATGTGTTGTCATTAGTGCAAGAGATTATGCAATAATATCTCTTGATTGGTGACTTTCGTTTTGAAATATACGCGGAGCTTTGAAATTCCTGGTCTGGGTTAGAAATTAAAGGCATTGGAAATTGGGCGAAGGTCTCTAACTGATCACTCAAGTGTAAGTAATTTATGTATTTTTATCTTTCCTTATGTTCTTTATAATTCAGTGCTAATTTTCAATTGAGTTACAACGGATATTGCTGTCCAGATTTTAGATGTCTTTTCCAAAATTGGTTGTAATCGACTCAATTCTAATTACATCAACACCAAAAATCTTTATGTTATTACGTAGACAATTCAAACCTTACCTTCATTAAAATTTCATGCAAATGATTATGAGCCAAGTAGATTCTCTAAAAAGACCCTGAAGAAAGATAAATAACGTGTGTCTATACAAAGTAAGGAAAATTTTGCCACATTACTGCACAACAGTAAAGTACGATTGGAAAAAAAATCAATTTTTCCCCCCGTCGCTCGCGCTCGGCTAAACTTGGTTGTCATGAAACGTAACTCGCGAGCGTACCAAACATACTTGACATGTGACGTAGCTATTACGCAGATACAGGAGCCCTTTACCGCGTGCTTCTGGTACACGTTGATGCTAATCGTTTTCATGGAGGCTCCGCTTGAATAAATTTCTTGACAAAATCTTCAGTCTTCGACCCTTGGCCACTGGCATGGATGAAAACAACGATAACCACAAAACTGGTAAAAATAACTTTTAAAAAACTTGAAAAGCACCTGCCTGGATGAACTGGTCAGCGGAAACTCTAAAAAAGTGGTTATTTTTAGAAGCATGCATCGCCGTTTGTTGTAGTTATTACGGAAAGAAACAGGTTTTCCACTTTGTAGATGACCACTGTCTTTGTTGGAGTTTCTTTCAGTGATTTGAACTGCGGAGTCTCGAAAGAAGTTTCATTGACTGGTGTTACCGTTTTCATATTTCCATGTTGTTCAACACGTCTTTGTTGCCAAGTTCGCCAAATACGACAACAACTTCGCCAACCCCCATTTTAAACGAACTTTCTCCAGTTGCAGTCGATGAGCAGATTTTCTTCCAAACCGCCGCTGCTCGCGGAATTTCGGGTATCTTTGTGTGGTTATCTTTAATTATAACCTGCCATCAGGTGAGGAATAGTTAAATTTGAAAGAAAAGTATTTACAAGATACACGAAACGAAAGTGTACATTGAATTCCTACGCGAACTAGCGGTTGTATTTGTAATATGGTTTTGCCGATTTCTCCTCTCATATCGGAACCAATTTTTCTAAGTCAAAAAATCTTGGACTCAAAATCTGCCCATTTTATTACAGCAAGACCCAAACTTCAAACTCCAACTTGCATCAATGTACAAGTTTGGAAGGGGCATGACCTATTGTTGTTTTCATGTCTTTTCTCATCACTAGGAGTGACTCTCAACTCCTCTACAATGTTGGGAAGACTCTTGAAATCCATTTTTACGTTAGATTTGTTGTTTTCTATTAGAAAATTTTAGGCTTTATTTAGATCTTTGTTTAGATCGTCTGTAGTCGCAGCGAGTTTTGACAACTGATAAATTTCAAACCAATTTCCTTTCTACAATCACCCGCAGTGAGTAGTGAAACTTCAGTTACGTTATTTCATATGTCGCGAACGATTCTGTTTAAAGAGAGTACAGCTGCATGTGCTTGCAACATAGATCATTTGAAAGGTAAAAATATAAAACGACTATCAAAGATAAATTATCGGTGATTTTTTGAGGATGAATCGTACAACTGAGAAACGTTTATCTGACACTCAAATCAATGTAATAAATATTTCCTCTTCAAACTATGACATTGTATTTCTTGTATTACTAAGAATAAAATTATGATTAAGTATTGCATGCCAGGATTGCTGGTTGTCACAGATAGCTTGTGAATGGCAAAGACAGCTTGTAAATAAGGTCTTTCATTTTCAGTAATTAAAATTGACATTAATGAAAATCCCTTTAGAAGAGAAGTATTCTCCGGAAACCATATGCTTTGATTCATCTCTAATGTTAGTGAATATATTCAAATACTAACTACTTACTGCATTTTGAGATTTCCAAAAGATAACCTATTCCTTTGAAAATTGTCTTTTAAAATTGTGCAGGAAGTGTGTTTTGTTTATGATTGTAGGTTGATGTTTTAACTCATTCTATCTTGCAGATTTATCAACATTTAAGGTATTACACTAACCCAAATGAGCAGAGGTGGATTGTGAGAATCCTGTTTATTGTTCCTATCTATGCATTTGATTCCTGGTTGAGCTTGTTATTTTTTGAACAGTCATATTATGTCTACTTTGACAGTATCAGGGATTGTTATGAAGGTACTTAACATTTTTTAATTTATCTTACCAATGTAATGCCAGCTTCTGAAAACAATAGCTTATCAAAACACACCATAGAATGAATAACTGTCTTAATACTTCCAAACATGACAACAAAGATGTAACAGTCTAAACTATGGAAAAATGTATGTTCTTTGATCATGTTCCTTTTTTTTTGGTGGAATGAAAATCATGATCTTTACTTGTTATTGTATATTATCCCTATGATAAAATCAAGTGAATTGTAGACTACTCACTGAGCCTGCATGTTGAGAATATGAAGTAATTGGGTCAGTCTTTAACCCTTAAACTCCCAAGATCCAATTGTCAATTCTCCCTTCTAGCTACTACACATTTCTTTGTAAGTTAGTTGTGAGGATTTTATGGTAGATCAAGAAAACGACTTCTACCCAATAAGTTTGGGTATTCTCATTACCTGTTTGCTGGATAATGAATGGATATTATAGGGAGAAGTTACATGTTAATCACTTCTGGGAGTTAAAGGGTTAAAGAAACTGTGGTGCTGCATCAGTAGGGGATATAACAAGATTTCATCAGAGATTGCAATTGTGACATGCATTCTGCGTGTGGCCAGGATAGGCAATGTTGAAAGCATTGATTGATTTAATAGAGAAAGATAGATGCTGATTGAGCTCTGTCATGGGAAGAGTTAAAATTGACACCTGATAAATATTCTTTGGTCACTAGTGCAGTAGCATTTTATTTTGTTATATTTGGTGTCCTTGAGAAACTTACTTAGGAAAACCACATAGCAACCATCTTTTGCCTTTTACAGAGTGATTTTAACAAGATATACACAATCCTTATAAAAAGGAGTGCAAACATCTCACAAAGCAGCCCTGTTATTGTCATAATTGATGTAAATAACTGTTAAGAGCTCATTACTTTAGGAAGAACGTACAGTTTTCTATATTTAATTTCTGTCTTGGGTAAAAATGTTGATTGCCAAAATCTTCTGACCAGAATAGAAAATGATTGTCAGCTAAGGGGTAACATGAAGGTGGTTGTGAATAGAATTTCCTTTGGCTTTTGTGGTGTGGCTGTTATTCCAGTCTTTTGAAATTGGTTGTCTTTTTTTTTCAGCATTTGTTATCTACAACTTCTTGAGTTTGTGTTACGAATATTTGGGAGGTGAGATGTCAATCCTAAGTGAGATAAGAGGACGACCAATCAAGTAAGTGAATCATCACAGACTGGCAGATTTTACATAAATTGTTGGCCTTGTGGTATTTTTTAGCCACAAGAGTATATTATTAGGGATACTAAATTTGTCTGTATGTTGCCTTAATTGATGGCTCAGAAAATGCCAGTGATGTTCTTTAAAAGGCATGCAAAGTATTTCATGACATGCTTTTGGAATATTTGAAATTTCTTAGAGCACGCAAGTCATATCATTCACCAAAATGAGTGTTGGCACTTAAATGAACAAAACATAATTATGTGAATTTGGCAAACATTTTAACTGTTATCATAACATGAAGCTGTGTAGCATTAGGTAACTGGAATATCAAGGACTGTGAGTGCACTGAACAAGTTGGAATGTTACTTAATCACATTGCCTAAACTTTTTTTAGCTCTTAATCATTGTTTGTCTTTTCAATAGATAAGCTGCTTTTACTGGAATTTTTCCATGAGTTCTTTTTCATGATCCTCTTTTTTTTTTCAGAGCCAGTTGGTTATGGTGCACATGTTGTTTAACAGGATGTCAATATACAATAGTGTTCTTAAGATTCTGTAAACAGGTGAGGTCTGATATATCACCTTAGATAAAATGTCCTAAGTTGTTGTTTTTTTTAAATTTTATTTCTAATTTTGTTGCACTGTTAGGAAAATATAGATATAACAATTATAAAAATTATAACAAACAAGAAATATGATTGATAGATTTCTTGCCTTCTTTACCTTTGACTTTGGAAGAAATAGTCACTGTAGTTGCGATTAGATGTGATGGGTTACTAATGAAAGTTCTCTGGCTTCAAGGAATTGAGAGATTTATTTCTCTTCTTTTATCCTGAAGCTTAGTATTCTGAGATACAGAATTAAGACACCCTTTTTGTCTTCTTTTTGGCACTACTGAATGCAAAATTCAATTTCATTTCTTTTTTTGTATCAATGATACCTAGATTTCGGTACCCTTTTTTTTTTTTGACACTCACGGGTGAACTTGTGCTTACAGATATCATTGAAAATTCTTACCATGGTAGTTGTTAGGAGAAGCCCTCTTGCTTTTGGAGCTTCTCTCTGACAGGGTAGGAGCTGGTAAAGTTACCACCTGGATTTTTAAGGGGACTCGTGTTAATTGCTCTTCAGTGATTGTTGTTGTTGTTAGTTTTTTTTTTTTCTGCATGCTACTTTTGAAACTTAGATTAGAACCAGGTACATGTTCTATATGCTGTCAGTTTGTATCGGCCTAACAACAAAATGATGTGATTTCATGATTGACTCATGTCCCTCCAGGCCACTCTTCAGTACTGTGTCATAAAACCCATCATGGCAGTCATTACACTCATTCTTCAGCCACTTGGTTACTACTCTGATGGAGACTGGAGGTAATCACAGTCATGTGACTGTATTTGTCTTATATTTTAGGTTTGATTTAAATTACAAAAAAAGAAACTGTTTGATAAAAGTGTTCTGTTAACAATTCCTTAGATCTTTGTCCCAAAAATTGATATTGCTAAGATAAATATTGTTTAAAATAGCACACTTTTGTAACCAGTATACTTAAATATAACTAGCTTTTGCATCAGGCATTCAAATTGCCACCAAGTTGAAGGGGAAGCTGTTTAACCACTGACGTGGGTGTGATGCTTCCAAACACCCACCTCCTATTCCATTTATCAGGGTGCCTGCTTTGTGTGTTTTTAAAATCCTTCCTAGTACTAAGATGGGCAAATTGATTAGTGAACAGGCATAGATTTTTTGTTGATATGAAAAGAAATAAAAGAAAAAAGTTGAAATAAAAGATATTTCACCAAGAAGTATCATGTTAGGGTTGTGTGATTATGAGCTTATGGTCATTTGTGTTAGTAATTAGTACCATCACCATCTGGTATTCAGAGTATGAGACTCACTCAAATATCTCTTGGTTGTAGGCTTTTTTACTAAGGGTGAATAAATGGTGAACTATTAATCTGCTTAGGAAGTACATCAGTCCAGTAGATTAATCATGTTTAGATTATTAAACTGTTTTTATTGTTGTATTTCAGAGCTGACCGTGGCTATCTGTATATCACAATAGTGTACAACATCACAGTATCACTGGCTCTGTATGCATTGTTTCTGTTCTATCAAGCCACACGAGATCTTCTTAGTCCTTACTATCCTGTGCTGAAGTTTTTTACCATAAAGTCAGTTATTTTTCTTTCTTTTTGGCAAGGTAAGAGTAATTTCTATCAACGCCTTTTAAAAGTATATCTGGATGACCGTGTTTTAAGATTCAAAGATTTATTAGCCTTAACTAAATTATCGACAATGAATGCCGCCATTTTGAATCTTGCTGAGCAACCTGGCCGCACATATCTGACGTAATTAAGTCACAGTCCTCTTTTTCCATCCATGGGCGATCTGTTTGAACTTTACACAGCCATACAGAAGTGATTCTTGCCAGAGAAAAAAAAAAGACAACAAAAACGATGTTGTACAAAATTTTTGTTTCCTCAGGTGTTCTACTAGCTGTGCTAGAAAAGGCGGGAGCCATCAGAACATATCGTGACTTATCCGCTGGCACAATTGCTGCCGGATATCAGAACTTTGTGGTCTGCATAGAAATGTTCTTCGCTGCCATTGCTCTCAGGCACGCCTTCCCTTACTCGATTTATCGCCATCAGAGAAAACTTGACGAGCGAGGGCAAGGAATCGCGTTGAAAAGTATCTCTAGAAATCTAAGACAAACGATAAATCCTAAAGACATTGTAGATGATGCGATTCACAACTTCTCCAGATCTTATCAGCATTACGCAAACGCGCAGAATCTAAAAACTTTCAACGAGGAAAGCACTGTGCAAGCGAATTCTGTAACTTCATATCGAAGTACTGTTGTGGAAAACTTGGATTCAATTAAACCTGGAATGCAAATCACAGTTCTTGATGGCCATGGATACAGATACGATAATGAGAATTCCACGCTACTTGCGTCTGACGAGGAATTTTAGTATTTGTTACCTCTTAACTGTGGTATTCGGCAAGCACCAAAATGAAAAGAAAAAGAAGAAAGAAAAGAAGAGAGGAGAACGAAGAAAAAAAGAAGAACATTTTAAGTAAAATTTGACTTGGAAAAATATGAGGAAATGGAGAGTGAAGCCAATCTTTTGGCGAGGTTTGAGGATTCGAGTACGCCTTGGCCATCCTTGTTTAATACGATGAACAAGACGTATTGAGTAAGAAAAGAAAAAAGCGGTCTGAAAATTAATGAACCTCCTGATTCAGGGGGCTCATGAGCAAAAAAAAAAAATGGATTGCGGTTCGCAAGCGTTTATTTTCGTCCCATTCAAAAGAGAAGGTTAATACTGTCTTTTTGTAACAACATCTAGAAGACCTATAGCATGATATCCTTAACTCGATAATCTGAGGTGAGAGCACCTTTTTTGTTTACTACAAAGAATTGAACCGTTCGAACAAAAAAGGCTTTAAGGCAGTCTTCTCTCTGATAAAAAATAAAGTGTGGACTTGGGAAACATTTTCACAATCTAAGTTTCTTGCGTAAACTTTTAACTGTTGTAGATGATTCCATCCGATCATAATTATTTTGTTTCGTTAAATATGTATGATTATTGATGGTTAATTACAACTCCATCCAGACTATTCCATTAAGATCTAAAAAAAATAGTGAACAGAATCAGTTGTAATAAAGTGATGAATGAAAAATTTCTCCGCAACCAGCGAGCAAGCAAAGTATCTAAAATTTTTGCAGTTTAGTTTTTTCTCCGAAACTAACTTGTTTTGTAAATATGACAGATTGAATCTGTAGATGTAATGTTTGTTTGTTTACGTTACTTAAGATTGAAACTAGTTTGTTATATTGTTTACACCAGAAATCTACTTTTAGTGATGATATTGTAAGTCAGAAGACGCGAGTGCTTAAGTTTGCAGCGTAAAAAATAATTTAAGGCAGTTTTTAAGACATTCATTGCTTTGTCATTCATCTTGCTCGGTATAAATGATGTGCGTTTTGGCTAAGCATCAAATGTCTTTTGTACATTTTGTCTCAAACATTTAAATTGTAAATTTATTTTAAAGCTATTGTTATTTATTCATACCAGTACCATTCAATTCATTTATGTAGATGTATTTTTCCGCTCAGAAAAGTTGATGTAAATATTGCTTTCATTGTAACTGAATAAAAATAACTAAGTGTTTTAATACTGAAATGGTGCCCTTAAGAATATTGAACGTCCTTGTTCAGCATTGTGGTTCGATTTGTGTTCATACCGTGCAACGGCTCCAGCAAAACTCCGACATCTTACAGTAAATAAGCGGTTGAAATCCGTGCACGCTGGTAAATAGAGCTTATCGCAGCCGTACAAAAATTGATTCGTAAACTTGTTTCTCGATATTGAGGACGATAACGATGATGAAGCGTTCTTGTGATAGCGATGATGGAAAAATTTTAAAATTAGACTACGAGATCCTCCTTCTCGGCGAAGTCCGTTGCGCGGGTTAAAAAAAATCAGCAAAGAAAAAAGTTGATGTCAGCGCGCCGCATGAAACTCTGCACCTTAGTCTCAGAGTTCCAAGTGGTGCGCAAGGATCATTTTTCCGCTCATGTTTTTTACTCGCGCAACGGACTTCACCGAAAAGGTGGGACTGCTCGTAGTCTAGTACAATGATAATGGTCATTCTATTTGTTGAAGGTATCGCAAGCTAACTCACGTAAACTAAATTAAAAATTACATAAAAGTTATGGAAAAGGTGCGAACGGGCAACCTAACAACAAAAACTACATCGCAAAATTAAGAAAAAATTCTTATTTTATTGAATTAAAAGTTATAGAAAACAAAACAATGCTAATGAACAAAAACTATGAAAGGCTATATCGATACTTTGGGAACGTAATAAGCTGAATGCTCAGGGAACAGATCTATGTCTAGTAAGCTTTAGCATTATTAATGCCACTTTATCACACAAGGTACTTTCAAAATGAATTTCGCAATGCAAGCTACATGCTGTAATGTTTCCACGTCACAGTCTATCTTGATTTTCATGCTTTTAAGTTGAAACAGTGACCATTCCTATTTAGGCGTCGCGAAAGAACTAAGCAAATATTTTTAAGTAAGGCAAACAAGGAAAGAATTAAAAAAACTAATTTCCAATTCAACACATGCAATTAATTCAATTAATTTCTCAGGACATTCCATGTGGCTGGAAATCTTCGTATTAAACTATTTGGCTTCTTTTTATTGGATAAAACACTTGTTGTTTAAACCAAATTCAAAGTTCCGCTTTAGTGTTTTCAGCTCGGTATTGTTTGGATCAAACTTCAGTCCGTACAGGCAAACCCTTAGTCCATCTGTGAATTTTTTATGATCAAGATGAGTTGAGGCAGCTTTGAGAAAAGTTTTGATTGCCACTTCTCTTCCGGGATAGGACGAAATAAGTGTCATCGCTGTCACCTCTTGCGTTTCCATAGCAACAAGGAAGTCCTTACATGCGCCATTGTAATTCTCATCGAGCAAGTGCAGATTACCGCGTGCCACAAGATCTCCGACGACTGGTGCGCCCGATCGAATGACTGACGTCAGGTCTTCGATAGCTTCTGGAAATCGCCTGAGCCTTTCATAACATTTAGAACGCATGCGCAGAATCTCCTTCAGCTGACCATCACACGTCGCGGCTGCAGCAACCGTGAAGAATCCCAAGGCATTGTCATTTTGATTGACGTTAGTATGATAGTTCGCCTTATCCATAGCTTCTTTAGACAGGATTTCCCTCTGCTCCTGATTTAATGCTTTGGCAGCGAAGTTCAAGGCTTCAGGATCGATGTCGGCCAGTTCTCGAAATTTTGCTGCCGAAATTTCAACTTCATTGAGTTTCATGTGGACGAGTCCACTTCGGCTGAGTATCGATACATCTTCGGAAGACAGTCGTTTGGTGATGTCGAGCTCCTCGATGGCTTTTCGGTATTCTTCAAAGATTATGAGGCCGTCGGCGTAAAGGCTGTGGTAAGAAGCTACGTCACTGTTTATTTGAACCAATAAATCACAGAGCTTCAATATAAATTTGGAACGGAAACCTTGTGTCAGGTAATGAGAAAACAGCATTTGGACACAGTCTTCAAGGGTTCCCACCACAAGATTCTTCTGATTATCAGGAAGTGAAAGGATGAAAGTCTTAAGTGCTTGAGAGTTGAGAAGTAACGCCAATAGTAAGTCATTGTAGCTCGCTTTCCGGTTGTTTTTCAGGATAAAGAGATGACCTCTCACACAGAGCACCTCAACACGATTTGGTTTTTTAATAAGCACTGAATTCAGGTCTGCGATGGCCAAATCGAGCTGACCCTTCAACATTCTACACTTTGCTCGCCACACGTAAGATTCCAAGGCTTTGATTGGAGAGGAGGCGATGGCTATGGAAAAATATCCTTCTATTGTTGCATCTCCTAGGTGAGCGTTAAATCTCTGTACGCCCTCGCAATGCGACTCGCGCGTTAAACGCGCACGGTCTTTGTCAGTTAATCTCAACATTGCGCTTGCAAGTTTCTCTTCTCCTATCGTTTTCAAAAGGGAACAGATGTCTTCCAGTGCATCAGCTGTTCTGTTTCGCCTCATTTTCAATACAGCAAGATGTAGCGTTGCTAAATAGTCATCGGGATTGTTTGTAATTAAGCGAACAAGAATTGCTTGCGCTTCATCCATCTTACACAGCGACTGCAATATTTCCACAAACACATGATGACACTCGAAGTCCGTGGGAAACGCGCGCGTTAACACGTTACCTAAAGTGACGAGCGAGTCGTCCTCGCACAAGCCTCGACTCTGGGAGTGTTTCTTGGGGGTCGTTACTAAGTATTCCTTGATTTGATTCTTCAGTGTTTCTTGCTCACAGTCGGGTAATTCTTTTATCCAGGTGACTGTGGCACAAATAGAGATCCCGCTTGCTGCTGTCAGATCTTTAGCCGCCTTGCCAAGATCTCCACTCAAGAGCAAAACAAAGGCGCGCCCACAAAGCGCTTGGACAAAACTTGGCTGGATGTCGAGGGTCATGTTAAAGTCTGCAAAGGCGTTACTCAAGTCAGCGGTTTTCATGTGACAAAACGCACGAGTGTAATAAGCTTTGGAACACATTGGGCGGAGCGTAAGTACTAAGTCAAGCGCGCTGATTGCCGCAGTATCTTTGTCTTGAAGCTTTAAGCACTCCGCAGCATTAACTAAGGCATCAACGTTGTTATTGTCCAGGAGATACAACATCCTGTACATTTGCGCTGCTCTATCCAGGATGTCAGCGGTATTTTTGGCGTCAACTGCACATGGGCTTTTCAATCTGACTTTAAGGCGGTAACGGGTTAAGACCTCAGATGAGATCTTTTTAGCGAGAGCAGTAATGTTATCTTGTTGTTGATGGGGCAAGGAAAGTATTGTGATCTGCGTGATATCCTCATCAATGGCTGCCGCACAAAGATAATCATTTAAGGCAGATTCGCTTTCCTCCAGAGCCAAGTAGCACTGTGCCCTTTGAAGCAACAGCTCAACCACCTCCGGCGTTTCTCTTTTCCCTAGTGACGTTATGTGATCTAGTCCATCGGACAAAAGGACGACAGCTTGCTTGTGTTGATTTAGTTTGATCATGTGACTTGCACAGTCGCCGATAGTAGACGAATCTTCCGGATTTAACCCAACAACGATGCGGTCAGTTTTGATTAACAAAAATCTCTCCTCCTCGCTGAAGTTTTTTGACTTTTTAGCAAGAGTAGCAATGAACTCATAGAGCGCTTCTAAAACGGATGGAAGGAGTTTTACCCCAATTTCCTTAATGCAGGTTAAACCAGCATTAAAATCTTTGTCGCACGCGACGATCATATCCTGTACAGCAAACTTCTTTTCCTTCAGGAGAATGTAGGCTATTGCGCGATGAACCAGAAAGAAAACTACATCAATCTGATTGGAAAATATCTTCACGGCATCGGCACACGTCGTTACGGCATCAAAATATTTTTTGCTCCGCATCTGTAGTCGAAGTTTTGTGGACCACGCTACACGGCTGTCCGGGCGTAAACCGTTAGACGTAATCAGATCACAAATTTGATCAAGAGAGACTGTGAGCCCCGAATTTAATAAACTTCCAGAATCATCTCCACATATGCACCAATCCTCTAAGGTACATAGAACCGTACGTAAAGCGTTTGGTGGCAAAGCGACCATATGATTCTTCACAAGACCAGGCTCCAAAGCGTACGCCTTGCAGAAATGGATAACAGCTTCTTCGGTTCGCTGTTTTCTGAGATCTTGATCGCCCAATGATATGTAAGAAAGTGCTTGTCTCACATTGTCATCCATAGTAGATCTTCTTCTTGGCTGAATTTCAGAGTCGCTGAGGAGAAAAAAGGATTACATGGATTCGTTAGCTATATTTACAACGAAGTCAATGCTAAATTTGTTTAGCTAGCTAAGACAGGTAATCTGTCCAAAGTCCTAAATCATGGCCGGTATTTCCCCGTCTACTTTAGGTGCGGATTACGAGCACCATGTATGTCACTATTTCTGAGTCATCGTTAACCCTAAATCCCCAAGGGAGACTGTCATCGACTTTCCCCTCTTACAATATTACTGACTTTTACAAAAATACTAAAAGAAATGATCCCAGCTAAGGAGGGTCTTGAATAATAAGAGAAAAGTTAACAACGAAACTGTGATGCTGTGTTGCTGGTCGGTTTTACAAGATAAATTAGTTTGATCAGAGTTGATTATGTAAAATGGCCCCCTTGTAGAGCTTCTAAAGCTGACGTTTCGAGCGTTAGCCCTACGCTCTGCTAACGCTCAGAACGAAAAAGAAAAAAGATTTACCCAAAATACTTTTTGATGAGCTTGAAAAACTGTCTTCGTTTCTTTAACAAGAAAAACAGCAGGTATGGGTGAACGGCAGAAGGCGGTCAAGGAATCTATCGCAACCGCGGCCGCGAAGCTCGCATTTATCTCTGAGGGAAAAAAATGCTCCTCTAAAATGTGAAACGAAGCGCGCGAATACTTGCGACAAAGCGACGGCTTAGAAAGGGTACGAGAGTACAAAGAAAAGAAACAATAACAGTTTAAAATAGCTTTCGTGCTAGTTTATACTTGATCCACTGTACCACACACCTTTTAAATCTTATTATACAATTATATCAAAATAACAGCATAATCTTTTTGGCGCGCGTCAGCTTAACTCTATCTGTCGCGTGCTCATTTTTAGATCAATTTTAAGTGCGAACTGCCTTTTGTTTCGTCTGAAAACGAAGGAAGGAAGCAGAGAGACTGCCAAAACCAGTTCCCTTTCTTCCTCTCTTGTCTTCTCCGCAATCAAGAACAGATTTTATTTCCTGGCACGAAAAGCCTTTCGTGATAAAAGAGCATGATTTCGCCTGATTTAATACCAAAATAAATGAACATTATCAGTAAGCCGACAAAAAGATGGTTTTTCTATTTTGACTGATTAATGGATTAACGTTTTTATCAGAGGAAACAAGCAAGAACAGAAAAACACGATAGGAAACCAACCGGAGCCAAGGAGTCGCCTGAAGGAATCAGTAGTATACAACAATCGATTCAAGCAACAGATATCGTTATTTACACTCTGTAGGATAATTGTGCGTGCGGAAAATGTAAACAGCACCAGCACAACTAAGCAGATAAGCTAGAACATACCCAGACTGAACTCCTTATCTCTAATACCTCCAAGGACTGAATCTTAATAAGCACGCGCGATAACCTTGAACACATACCGATATCACAAACGCGCCCCTTTTAACAGTTCCCTTGTCAGCAAGGCCCCCACGCTAGATCGACACGAAAAATTAAGAGTGTCTTAGATTTAAAACAAACGTAATCGCATCCGCTCTATATCTTTAAGAGCTTCCCCAGAACAATTCACCTAGGTTAAGATGGTATTTAGGAACAGGAAGTAAATTGAATAATATTAGATTTTCAATAAGCAGAGAGGATTCTTGTCGGCTCCAGTAAAGGGCTTATTCAATGAAAAATTTCTTATACGTCCGGATTAAAAGAAAGGACTACGTCCGCTAATGGAGAAACAAAAGCGGTGATGACAATTGCTGACCTAAAATAATTTTTATGCTCACTTTTCCTGTCAACACATGAAGCCAATGCCTTAATTTAAACATCGACCATTGCTTTTCACCTGATCATTGGCACACGACACAAATTGATCCCATTTTTAAAACAATTGTCGGAGTTTTTGTGTTTTGCATTGTTCCATGCTGATGAATCATCATTGTACACTGTTTAAGTTCATTGAAAGAATTACGCAACTTCTCTCACTAAAGCACATATCAGTGAACTGGTAAACATGTTTCTTTTTCAGTTCGAGGGTGCTCCGCCTTGCATGCCTTCTCTTACTGTCTGTCACCGTCAACATGAAGATTACACTGTGGTACATTTTGCGGGTTTTAGTCAATAGAGGTAACAATGGCGCCCCTTACCCTCATGCAATTAACTACTAGTTGATGCTTTTAACACCAACGATAGTGTAGACTTAAACGATAAATTCGCGAAATCTACGATTTAAACTGGAATAGAACTGTTTCTTGTGAACTTGAAAACGTTGTTCATTCTTTCATCGTCGTCCTCTAATGAATCACCTGAAAGCGTTTCGAGCACCGATTGCAAATTTTCTTCAGCTATTTCCTAGGCTGAAAAGTTCTGTCGCATTTCGGCAAAGGATAGACCTCACAGTACTGGAGATACTAAACAAATCTACAATGAGCGACATTCGGTCTAGAAAGATAACTTTTCTTGATACACCTCAGGTTTGACGTGAATGAGCAGATGTTGACAACCTTAAAAGTCACGCGATCGCAGTCACGCCTATTTTCAGAGAAACATTCGCGACGTACCTTTCTATTCAAGTGATAACTCTTCCGCTTCGAACAAATCCTTTTAGTCTACTCTCCTTCAAATGCGGCGCTGGTGTTCTCTATTTCTAAAGTGGCCTCACAAGCAGAACTTTATTAAATGTTGGAATGTTGTGAACTTTGACCAGTTGAGGCACCCGTGATGTCTGGCGCATTAACAGGGTGAAAGAAATTTACCAGAGGTAGAACCACTGAAATCACAGGCAGACTAGGCGAATTTTGATAAAACAAAAAAAATACTTGCTTTAGGAAAGCTACCGGTTTTTTTAAACTCGACTTTAACCTAATCACCTCGAACAAAAACACTTGTGTTGTAACGCTAGAAATCGATAAAAATACAGACACGGAACATTACACGGGATGTTGACAGTTAACCTATGTGTATTAAGTACTTTGAAGAACGGGCACAGCGTAAAAGCTCAATACATACATAAACAGAACCACTGACATTAACAATAACAAATGCATGCAGCCTATTCGCGTGCTTCGAAGACAAAACAATTTTTCTTCTTAAAACTCGAAGCAGATAATTGCTTATAAAACATCCTATTTATCAATAGTTTGAGGGCCATTCCAGAGATAATTGAAAATTTGATTTGAAAGCAATACTTATAAAAGAGTTTTTGGGAGATAAAAATTGTGTTAGTTTTTAGACACCGACTGAGACTCTTAGACAAACATGAAGACAGGCTGGTCAATCGGTTGATATTGTTAAAGACTTACCTCAATTAAGAGCGGGAAAAAATCCCAACTGTCTCTAGGATTTTGTTTTGCCAATCATGAACGGGGAGGTTGACAAGATATTGATCTGAAGCGGAAAGGCCTCAGAACGATTCAAATAAGGAGAAAATTACTCTTGTTTTGGCAAGCACTGAGTTTGAGTAAGCTTGTCCCCGATTTGATTCATTGAAGGTAAATTTTCAATGCAAGGAATTTAAACTCCCACATAGCATAACAACGCATATGACAGATAATACCACAATCCTGATTGTTTGAATAAGTTTTCTATTGGTCAATCAAACATGACAAGGCGTGGGAACGCTGAATCGCAATTGGCTGACCCCTTTACATCAACTGTTAGCTGATCTGCGCGGGAAATCTGTCGAGTGAAGGTATTTCCGCGAAGGAAAATTTTGAGGTTATGTGCATAGCCGCCGTAGGTCTGCTTGCGAGTGAAGCCACATGTGTGTGTGTGTTTTTCTACCTTATTAAAAATCATCTAAAATGGACGAATACGAGAATTTGAAGTGATCATTGAATGTTTACAAATTACGGCATTCTAAGGACTTACTGTTCATCTACTCGGTTTTGTCGCAAGTACTTCAAACAGCACAGCAAACAGAGATCCATTAGCTACAGCTTTCGGTTACTTTTATTCGAGGACGGAAGTCCGAGAATTGGCGTCTCTGTCATTTATATCTGGTTCTGAAGTATTTATTACGAAATATGACATTGGATTATGTTTAAACAATAAATGATATTTCCTCGCTAAGCTGTTTTCGGTAAACCTTCAATAACAGAAGACGATTTGTGACAATACTTATTTGTTTAAAACAAGCAACTACAGATAGTAAAACTGTCAAGAAGGTATTAAACCTATTCAATTCACTGTGTGCCGAACACGCAATGACAACATTCACGTTCACATGGAAAACAGCTTCCCATTCAGTTATGCGAGCAAATTCCTAAACGAAATTACTTGCTCATTTTTAACAAAGGTTAAAGAGATCATTGTTGCACTTAAATTATAAGAAAGCTCGCAAGGGACGGGTGAATACTTGTCGATAAGCTGACATCTGTACTTACACTTAGAAGATTAAGCCGGAAGCGCTTTATCGTCAACTTTTGCTTTTTTACCAAGGATTTTATGGAAATATGCCCGTTTTTAATTTACCTTCTTTTCAGACCCTCGTTATTGCGTTTCAGCCGATTGATTATTTATATTCTTTAGTCCAATAATAATCAAAACGTAATTTCTCCTAACATCGATCGCAGTTAATTAACAAAGAGTATGTAACGATGTAAAGTTCTGCCGGTTTTGTGAGTGCTTGACCAGCGGAAACGTGACTACCGCGAGAGGCCTAAGACCTAAATTGAGAACCGCTGATTCGGGGTAATAAGCTCGCACTACCCCTCCCCTCTCAGAGGAGGGTAGGGAGGACTGCTACACCGCCCCCCCTCAAAAAAATCAAGACAAAACAAACAAAAAAGAAAAGAAAAAATGAATCGCTGCGCAGGCTAATGAGAATGCGAAAGGGCTAGACTGAAATTCATTTCTATTGAGTCGTAGAAACACAGTTTCATACAAAAGGTACATTTTTAATCCCCCCCCCCACCTCCCGTTTCCTGTTGTCTCAATGTTTCAACTTGCGACAACTTGACACTTATTTTAACTTGTGGCTCTACCCCAAAGGAGAAAAGGTCTCAGAAAAGCAATTTGTATTTTAATGATTGAGATCCAAAATCTGAGGGGTTGATTTGAGAAAAGAAAGGAATCATGATCGCTTGGTATTAAAAAGCAAATTCAAAACTTAGGACAGATTCATTATTAAAGATGATAATCGAAAGATTTTTACCGGTGCCAAATTTGTTCAACTTACACAATTATAAAGCTCACGCACGCTTACCGATCGACATATATTTTAATTAGATTATGGAAAAATGATTAAATATACACGTATTTTTTTAAATATCTTAATTGAAAATACATCGTCGTCTCCATCGGCAAATTTAAGGTATAAGAGGAAGAACTCAAACGAACTGTTCTCTGTCACGAACCAAAACCCGAAACATGGTACATCTGATTCTTGTCACGCGCGCATGTCGCGAGCAAACGTAATGCGATGTTGTGAAACTGTCCTCGACAAAAGAAGAGAAGTAAGATCTAAGTGCTTTGGATACACCACGATGTATGATCAACGGATGTATTCATTTGTTCTACGAGTGCTGATGCAATCCAATACCGGAAACTCATTGGAAAAAAAATGCCATCCTGTGACTGAACAGTGGAACCGCGCTAACTCGAACCACCGTGAACTCGTAGATCTGATTAATCATTAGATCAATATCAGTATCTGGGTAACAGCCCACCTACCCCTCCCCTAACCCAACAACAGTCAATTGATAGTAAGTTAGAGTTACTGTTGGGTTAGGGGAGGGGTAGGTGGACAGTTGCCCAAATACTGATATTGATCCTATCAGCTCACTAGAACCCCCGCCAACTCGAACCATACATGACTCCCTTGGGTATTCGAGTTGGTGAATTTGCCTCCGATACCATTTGACCTTTAATCCTTGATTAGAAACTTGGTGTTAATTCCAGGTAATAGTATTTCTTAATCTCAAAAACTTTTCCAATTAAAACATCGATTAAGGGAAATTTTCATGTTTTTCAGCTGAGCGATCCATTCTTCATCAATTCACTGGTTTGATTCAAGGCGAGATAGGTCCCTGCTATATGGGTACAAAGAGAAACAGGGCAACCCAAATGCTGACAAGGCAATTTTTTAAAAGTATTATCAGGTATTGTACCATCATTTTCACTGCCAGTCAAAATACAGAAGCTCCAACATCACCTTGCCCAACATTCAGCAACAAGTTCCTCTTACGTGGAGTTAAGTTTACGTTTCAATTTGTTGTTAATCTAAATGCATTTAAATTGTAAGTGTTCTAGAGAAAAGTTACATATTCATTACAAATGGGAAGTAAAGTTTTAACTTCTAATTCATTACCCGAAATAGCAGTTTCATTAATTGTCTCGACCCTTAAAAAAAAGCATCCACAACTCGCAATAGGATTCTGGGTTGTTAAGTAGGGAAGGGAGAGCAGGAAAGTTAAAAAAACAGCAGTCAAGGTATAAATTTGATTCTCTTCTATTTTGGGCAAAAACTTTATTTGTAACTGGTTGCATGCAAGGACACCCGAGGGATCTTCCATCTAACACGGTACATTTCACAGCACACAAAGGAAAGCTAGGTAAATGAGGGGACTACCAGCAGTTCTCTTTCTCCAGGTAGTCCGCCATGCCAGCCAAAAGAAATAAAACAACAAGACTGTGACAAAACAAACTCCTTAAGTGAAGCAAAGAAATTTTTCCATCAATGTCAATTAACTAAATTAATAAAGACTGCTTGAGGTCTAGATGGATGGATCTTATTATTGATCATATCAATGGTTATTTTCACACAATCTCAAGACATAAAAAAAGCTTCAAAATATTATGAAAACATCTTTATACAGATTCTAACATTACATTTGTAGTTATTTCTTCTTTTGATAATGACTGCCAGTCAAAAAAAGTTACCTGAAGACAAAAAAGTGCATACCGTGTAGCATCAAATTCAAACTTAAAAAAAAAAATCTCCAAATAGACTGTCTTCCTACATAAAAAAAAAAAAAACTAATTTCTACGTCTTGACATGTGTCGAATAGCTGTTATTCCCAATCTTTTTTAATATCAAATCCCCATTCCCACTCAAGGTAACAGTTCTTGTCATCATCAATAAACCTGCTCTTTGATGTGTAATGGGCTCGAGCCAACATTCCCTTGGGTGCTTCATCAAATGGAGTTAAGTATTCTTGAGGATCTGGTTTCGGACCATAACTTCCTACCATCAAGCTACTTTTGTCAACTGAAACACAAAGGGGAAAGTAAAAGAATGTTCACAATTGGATGATCAGTAAACAATAACAAAATGCCAACAAATATCTCTTTAATGTGGCATAAGTTCAGGTGTGAAATTGTGCCTAATACAGGTGCCAATGCACCTAAATTTTTCACTTTGGCAACCAAATCCTCAAAATTAGTCACCAAATTGGTGACTAGAATACTTCATCATAACCTTACCTAGAGATATAGTGAATTAAAAAGATTTGCAAAGATAAATTCGCAGCAAACTTCCACGTTAAGTTTGTTTCCAAAATACAGCACATGTATCTCGATCAATGACTAGACACCATCTTGGATTTTGGTGAGCCTGAACTTTGTATATCATCCATTCTAGTGTCCACTTTGTAGCATGTTAAATTAAAGACCTTTTTCCTAACTTAATTTTTGAGGGTCTATCTAGAATGCTGACCATATAAAAAAGTTTTGTTTGTCTTCAAAAATGGTGACCAACTTTTTTTTAACTGGCTACCACTATGAAAAATTTAGGAGCCAAGTGGCTATCAGAAAAAAAAATATTAATTTCATGTCCTGAAATTAGTAATAGATTAAGTTATTTCCTCATAAATCTTAATCTACCATAATGTTGACCTACACTTACCTCTTATACCTTTCCTGTAGGTCACTTGATGAAATTTAAGACCAGCCACAATTTCACGTACCACCTGGAAAATTTTTTTAAAAAAACAATGATTTGTAACTAAGATCTTACAATGGGCACAAGTTATATTGGAAAAAGTGATTCATCCAACCACATGGAATGCATCAGCAATAACGCACACTTCTACAGACTAGAATGATCAACTAATCCTGGGGTTTTTCCAATAAATAAAACCTGTGGAATTCACTGCTGCATATCTTTAATTTCACCCACTAAAAAAAAAAAAAAAAGAAACTTGGATTGCAAAAGATGCATTTTTTGTTTCAAAGCAGGAGGTTTGTTTGCAATTATAAGCAGAAGAAACTCAGAAAACATCTAAAGTGCAAATACTTTGCAATTGTGAATCAAAAACTGATGTACAAATAGAAAACAAGAGAATCTGGTTTGGTCAGGCAAAGGAAGGTGAGGATCATAGCATCAAAATTTGAGAACATTCAAGAGCATGCGCATTGATGCAGACAGGATATTGTATAATATTGTTTTTGTAGACTGCCTGTTCAAAGTGTTATGTATTATGTGATTTTGGATGGTTACCATCATTCTGGATCTTTCTGTGACTTTTTGGGAGTTTCTAAGAACATGCTGACTCAAATTTCAGTAGCCTTTAACCATATGTCCTTTCAGAGGACTCTTGTGTGAAACTAAGGCAGCAGGTTAACATGTCAGCTCATGGAAGATTTTGATTAGAAATAAAATGACAAGTTAAACAACTGTTATGAAGGAGACTAATATTTAATGAACATTTGCCAAAGTTAAACAGCGTAGACTCCATTTGAAGCCAGTTTGTTCTGAAGGGAACTTATTCTCCAGTAAGTGCCCTACTGAGGTAGCCACCTATAGAGTGTACTTCAAATCTTATTGAAAACAGTGCAAGTCACATACAAAAGTTCAAGAGGATGCTACCACTCCATTCCTATTTTGAAATCCCAAGTGAAAGCCCCCAGCAAATTCTTGAGCCAGTTTAATCAAAAGCTATTTTAAAACTAGATGCTGTGACATTCATTTTCAGGATGCTAGCTGCAGCATGAATATTTTTATTGATGAAATTAAGTAAGAGACAATTAAGCATGTATTTCAAAATAAAGGTGTAGCTATCATTGAGTCCTTGTTTACAGTATTGTTAACATTTAAGCTTTTAAGCATTTTCCAGCTTTCTTATCTCTAAGCTGTCTGTCAAGCCTAACATCAGTATACATGTTCTCCATAGTAACTCTAATCATCTCCTTAGGTGCTGACAAGGTGCTGACAAGGTGCTACTTACAACATTTTCCACTATTTGACATCTTAAAGTCCAATAGAGTACTCCCTTTCTAGCAGGAATTTCATATTAACATCAAGTAAAATCAAGAGCTTGTCAAGTTTCAGATCCTTTCTTTAATTCTCAAGAGCCTGATGTTTGATTTAGCTGGAATATCTTATTAAGAAATTTGATGCAAGACAATCTCCCAATATCAAGGAGTTCAAAGGGTTAAGAAGACATTATGGGATTATTTTGGTGGACCAAACAAACTAACATAAAATGGTATGGCAGATAGTCAGCACTTATTAGATCTTGGGAGTGAAAGGGTTAAGAGACATTAGCTTTGGAGGAGGACCATATAAAATTGTGCTTCAGCACAAGCCTTTCTTCAAAGTGTGAGGCCTTGACCAATGCAAGCTAGAGAGAGGTCTGCAGAGAGGGGACACTGAAGATGATGACCTGCAAGGATGATATTGTTTTCCAAATCTAGCCCCTAGAAAGGAGTCAGTATTTTGGAAACTTGATCATTAGCCAATTGAATTTGACAATAGTATAATCAATAAGGCAGAAAATCTCATGGAGCAAGGATTTTTATCCAAGAGATTGATATAAATTGAGTGATAACACCAAAAGAGAGCTGCAAAAAAACCCTGCTAGTTGTGCCTAGCTAGTGAGTGATCTTTCAACTCAGGATATGGATCTGTAAGACTAAGTATGGATGGAAAAATTCAATTGTCAAAGTCAAATCACGATGAAAGCTGCAGATAAGTATTGTTGGTCATGTGGGAAGTAGTACAGTCTATTAAGCCTGCAAGCAAGTTCTCATTACAAGCACTGTAACACAAGCATTTCTTTGCTTGCAAGGTCTGAGTCCTTGAGTTAATTGAACCTTTTTACCTGCCCTGATCTCAACAGTGTGGGATTCCTGGGCCATAATTAACTCCAATGTGTTATTCATTTTCTACCCTCTGTTTTTCTGATTTCTCTGATTTAAGCTAATGCAAAAAAATCCCCTGCATTGTGCTATTTACAACATTTTCCACTATTTGACATCTTAAAGTCCAATAGAGTACTCCCTTTCTAGCAGGAATTTCATATCAACATTTCCTTTGTCTTAATGTAAAACATAACAGAGACAAGGCGGAAATAAAAACTTGTAGAATTTCCTTATTACATGACATTCTGCAGTCAGAAAATTGCACATAACTTTCAGTCTAGACAATAGTAACTCTAAAAACATGGATGACACAAAAACAATGATTCAAAGATAAATCTATCTGAGTAAATTGTTGACATCAAAAGGATCATTACTAAACAAAAGTCTGCTTTTCAAATAGGGTGAAGAATAATTAACTTTCAAAATTGACTCTCACAATGATTTCTACTGATGAGCTCATGTCGAGTACAATTTAGCTCGTAAATTTACGAATCTCTATCACCAAAAAACGCAGACTGAGCGCAAAAGAAGAAGGAAATGGCAAAATCACAACTGATTGAAAAGGCATACTTGAACACTCTTTAATTAATACAAGACTGAAACTGCCATTACTTAAATGTAACAAGTACGATATAACAGCACGGTTCTGCCATTTTAGTACAATGTCAACACTAATATGCAGGAATTTACCTTGAATGTTATTTTGATTTTGTAACTGGCCCCTTCTTTGATGACTATTGGTTTTTCTTTAAGTTTGCTCAGGTCTCCTGCAAAACCAAAGGTGAACACAACAGAGACTTAAGCTGGTCGGATCGCTCGAAATTAGAAGCTTCCTCTTCATGATAGTTACTTCACCGTAGTTCTGATCAGCTGGTAAATTTTGTCACGCACAATGCGCTACATTAGGGCCACAAAAGGTCGGAAGAACAGACGTTATGAATAAGAATAGACCATTCCAAAGCAGAGACGGAACCAAAAAGGACATTCCAGGATTACGGTTGTGAAAAGAGCAAGATACAAACCTGTGAGATCTAACTCGATATCGGGACGACCTTCCACGATCACTGACATTTTTAAGACCTTCACGTTGGGACCACCTTCATCAGCTAGAAAACAGAGGGTCAAAAATATCCTTATATCAGGATCAGAAAAATAACTACCCAATATTGAAAAATGTAATGATCACTTTCTCTTGGGATACCTGCTGCCCCCGCACCGGCGAGTAACATTTGCTTGTACCTAACCAAAGACTCGTCATCCGCGTCCAACGTTTGAATTTCTTGCAAAGTTTTCTGAGCGGGAGGCTTGTAACCCGGGGTTTCTTCTGGTTCTTCGTCTTCAACTGGGGTTGGAACTTCTTCTTCTTCAGCCATGGTAAGTTCAGTCGAGCTAATATATTTATATTTCCTGATAGACTTTCACAACCATTTACCTCCAGCTCTCTTCTCAGAATATAGTAGAACCACCCCATGACGTCAGAGCTTTAGTACAACCAATCATTTGCGTTTTCATATCAAGCTCGACGAACAACCAATGAAAAGTCTTTTTCGATTGGGAGGCAGTAATGTTCTTCTCGAGTGTCTTTGCACATCGTCCACGTTGCTTATGTAGTTACCAAAGGCTCCAGCCTGAAATGTTTTTACTAACTGAAGTCATTCTGACAAGCTTAGCATCTATGAAAGGAGACGGCAAGATTTAGGGATAATGAGCATGAAACATGATCCGATCGCCGACAAAATTTAACATGAGGAGATGAGATGTCACGAGGAAACTGCACGCTTTCCAACGGATATTTTCATGTCCCGAAATTCTAATAAGCCAAGAATGAACATCAAGGAACTGTTAAATGCGAAATTTTATGAAGCAACTTCTGAACCACACTGATGTACTCGTGTAGAAATTGACTTCAATTCTGAGCCTCCTTCATAATTTTCATTCAGGGACTTTTGGCGGGGAGGGGGGGGGGGGTTATTGTGAGACATCAGAAGAAACCGTCATAAGCGCGAAAAACATGGAGAACGGAAAGCATATTGAGATAAATAATCATAGTGGGAAGAACCACAATGGACGTTCTGCGGAAGAGGTTACACAGAACGTCTGTTTTTTGGCACAGGGTCTGACGGATTAAATGATATCCATATCGCTGTGGATTTAGACATTACTAATATGACCCAATATTACGTGACAAACCCTCATAGGAAATCCTCTCCTCATTTGTCTACTTTGAAACACAAGGAAGTGGTCACTCAACTGAATGACGCACAATGATCAGCCAATTTATTGACCAAGAATTTGATTGTGCCGTTTTCTTTGTTTGATTAGCGATTCTTTCGAGAAAATTCTCGAGTGACGCCAATTAGCAGCTCGAATTGCAATAAGGAAATCCTTCAAAACGGTTACTTAATGTCTGAGAGAACCCTTAGAGGAAGGGGAAGATGGGGGACTGTTAAATAGTGGATTGTTAAATCCGGGTGGTAAGAAAAATGTTGGTTGTAAAACAATGAAACAATTGATGTGCAGCCAGGGTAGAACCTTTAATCTTGTTTGGGAAACTCCTGTTAAAAAAAGCCTTGAATAAATGAAGAAGGAACCCTCTTGATGCAAAATACTAAACCAAACAATACTCTTTTATTTAATGAGGAATTTTTAATTGAAAGCTTTTTTTCACTTTTTTTCTGTTAAATTAAACCTTCACACCGATAATTGCCATAAATAAAATAAAACAATTTATAAGCCAGGTGGTGAGAGGTTTATTTTGAGTGTGAGTTGAAGAAACTTCCAAAAAAAAGATTTGAAAACCTATTAACTATTCGAAAATACACAAGAGTTTAAAACATATTACCTAACCAGAGGTCACAGAATATAATGCTGGGAAAGAGAAGTAAGTAAAAGTCTTTCACAGTGATGTGGTTCAGAGATGATTATTCCTAAATTTTATGCTCTTAACTTATCTTAGTGCGACGAAAGCTTAATTAAATGGAGTCCTGAACAAATGAGTTCATCAAAAAGATGCAGCAGGAAAGTCTTCAACTAGGAAAACATTTTCTTGCAAATCACTGAGCAATATTAATTTCTTTTGTCGGACTAGGATAGTCTAGAACTCAAAAAACAGCTCCTAATAGTTTGGAGTTGAACTTTCAAAATGGTTGGCCACAGTTGTATTTTGTTTTTTGGAAAAAGTTCATTACATTCTCTTACATTAAGAAATCATCTGCAGCTCAAATTTAAAAACCCGATAAGACAATTTAGAGCTCATCTTTGGTTGCCTCTGTTCCATCAGTTTCTTCCTCAGCACCTTCAGACTCGTCACCTTCACCCTCAGGCTCTTCACCCTCCATACCCTCCCCTTCTTCTTCTGGGGCTGGTTCTTCACCTTCTGTGGGTTCTTGGTTTACTTTACCATCAGATTCAAGAAACTTGACAAAATCATCAAGAGTTCTGCCACCCTTGTAATCTACAATCTGATACAGAAAAAAAGAAGCATTTTTATGACATAGGAGATTCTAAGGGGAATGACTGCATCTCACAAAATAAGGCTCAGATCAATTTCAGCTAAGATTTCCCAAACATAAATTAGAAAAAGATCAAATGCAGTCTTTTGGCACTTGTAAAGATGATCTTTACAATCAAAAGGAAATTAGACAGTCCACAATCTTAAACACTATTCTCCAGATGGTCATAAGCATCTCTGCTTGTTTGGAATGACCACAAGGCATTGCTGTTACACTTAGGTTAACAAACTTCTCAGAGACAATTTATTACAAAGCAAAACTATATTGATAATTATAGCAAGTAAATACAAATTTGTTTTCAGAATGTTTCCTACCTCATCACTATCTTTAGGGAAGTATTTAAGAGTAGGAAAGCTTTGAATCTTAACACTCTCTACTTCATTGGCTGTGGAGTCCATCTTGGCAACGACAATATCATCACGGTCTTTAAACTTCTCTCCAAGTTCATCCCAGATTGGAGCTAATTTCTTACAATGACCACACCATGGGGCATCTGTTATGGCACAGAAAAAACAAATAATGTTAATAGCGGAGCTTGCAGAGCGTAGCCCCATAATTATACAAAATAGTAGTAACCCATCAAGCTGAAAAAATTTGGATGTACAACTGTACAACCATACAAGGTGCTACTTTTAACATGCGTGGTCAACTGTACCATGGGTACACCAACGCCACAGCTTTGTTCAGTAGTCTAGTGGTCTCCAAGTCGGACAACCCGGGTTCTGGTCCTGGCCAGGGCAAGGCATTGTGCCCTTGAGATGTCGGGAAAAAAAATGTGAGCTCTGCTTTTAGGCTTGGCTAAATCTATACATTAGCCTTTACTGACTCTTAGCAGGATTAATGTAACACAATAGCAGGTGGAGCTAAAAAAATCAATGACACAAAACAAGGCTTAGAGCCTGGTTTGACTAACACAAGGCAGATAAGTTGCCCATTTACAAGATTAGTATAACCCATTAATTCCCAGAAATTATTAACATATTACTTCTCCCTATGATATCCATTTTATCATTCACAGGGCGTGAAATTGCACCTAATACAGGCGCCAATGCACCTAAATTTTTCACTTCCAAACCAAATCCTGAAAGTTAGTCGCCAAATTGGCGACCAGAACGTTTTATCATAACCTTACCAAGAGATATAGTGAATTAAAAAGATTTGCAAAGATAAATCTGCCACAAACTTCCTCGTTAAGTTTGTTTCCAAAACGTAGCTTATGCATCTCGAGCAATAACTAGACACTATCTTGGATTTAGATGAGCCTGAACGTTGTATATCATCCATCCTAGTGTCCACTTTGTAGCACGCTAAAGATCTCTTCCCTAACTTAATTTTGGAGGGTCTATCTAGAATGTTGACAGCGTAAAGAAAGATTTTGTTTGTCTTTGAAAATGGCGACCAACTTTTTTGAATTGGCTACCACTTTGAAGAATTTAGGAGCCAGGTGGCTATCAGAAAAAAAAAATTAATTTCACGCCCTGATTCAGCAAACAAATAATGAATATAGCTAAAAATAATCAGGTATAATTTATTATCTTGATCAAACATCAAATCCTCGCAACTTGTTTATATGGAAATGTGTTACAGCCAGAGTAGGTAACTAACAATAGATCTAACACGAAAGGTTTAAGAACCCAACTTGGTGCATTAAGATCATAAATCCAGTCTTTTCACTGCTTGGGCACCTTATCAAGCTGGCATGACCTCCAACAGAGACCGTAGTCTTACATGCAAACCGAACACAAGGGCACTTTTAACAAAATCCTAGGAATAACATAAAAAGAACATCACTTACAGAATTCTACTAGAACAGCCTTGGTTTTGTCCTTGACTACTTCATCGAAGTTCTTTCCAACCAGGACCTTGACAGGTTTGGCATCCCAATCCTCTGGGATTTCTTGACTGAGTAAATGAGGCTGAAAATTAAATGCAAACAGAATAAGAAAACTCTGTCACCAGACAAAGACAGAGGTGGTAGTTGTTACATTACCATCAACATCAAATCCCAACAACCAAAAGTGGGAGGGTGAAAAATTGTTCTTTCTAAGAGCACTTCCCCCTTACTTCTTCCTTACAAAAGTGTTCAATGCTTCACCCTACGAAAGATAGCTTAAATTTACCTCACAATTTCATTACACTTTCAAACAAAAGGCAAGGGGAATTAAGAAACTAAAATCATTCTATCACAACAATCTACAATAGTCACTTGTTATCAATTCCATGAGTATAAGTAGCTTGCATAGCTCAATAATGAGCAGTTGTAAATTAAGAAAACAAGAAAGGAAACATGAGCCTGCCTTTTTGATAAGTTTTCAACAACTAATAGATTTGAACTAACACAATTAGATTATTAGGATTCGATTTCTATGCATAACATTCAATTTGGGCTTTGCCCTCAGCAACTATCACAAGACAGTAATCTCAAACCCATGATGTAATTGTTTATATCTCTCCAGATTCTCAGATCCAGTGAACCATAACTTTCAGATCTTGAAAGATTGAAGGATAATTAATCAAGCCAGTAGATTTATGAACATTAACATCACTTACAGCTTAGAAAGAAATCATTACCTTGAGTGATCCATCAAGAACTGAGGAGACAAAAGCCTTGACATTCTCAGTAGTAACTTCAGTGGTTTCGGCCTTGTATTTTGTCATATCATCCTCTGCCAAGTTGATCAGCCGGACAGTTGGGATTTCCTTAGTATCAATTCCAAAGAATTCTGAGATACGGCTGTTGTCTTCAATATTAGTGTCAACAAGCACAAAGAGAACTTGTCCTTTGAATTCCTTGGCTGCGGCTGAAAATGCTTCCTGGATGGCCTGGAAATCTTCAGCCTCTTTGCTTGCAAAGAGCAGAACATGCTTCTTAATATCTCCTCCAAAGATCTTTGGTGCATTCTAGAAGAAGATAAAATGGTGATTAGTTTTACTTTCATAGCCATAACACTAAGGGTGCCTCGTAATAGTTGGGAATGACTAGCCACAAGGTTTAACTCAAATGACTTCTTTTGTTTGTATAAGATCTCCCCAGTTTTATGGACAATTTTGACAATACAGCCACAATTTAATATTTCAATGTATAGTTACTTCACATATCTTATGGGGTACCCTAAGTCTGAAATGAACATTTCTTCATCAAAAAAAGGCCCTATGGAGTCCAGATCTAACTTTTTTAATATTTTACTGCTCTATTGTATTAAAACCCAGAAGTGATGGCAACAGAAGGCTTATTAAGGGGAGTTTATAGACACAAACACATCATGATTTAAGATCTTACCTCATCATTGAATTCTGTCACAAGAGGCAGTTGGTTTCCTTTGACAAACTTGATGATATCTTCAGATTTGTGTTCTCCATCATAGTCAGCACGTCCTTCATCAAACTAACACAAGAACAAAAAACACTGACTCAGAGAAGATTCCCACAAAGCAACTGAATAACAATTTAACAGAAATTATCATGGACTGGTTCTCAGATTAGACTGAAATTAAACTTGGACTCATTGTGCATTTGGACCTCAACAAAGCCCCATCAAATTCCTGCATGACTAAACCTTTGAAGGAATTCCAAAGTATTTAAAATTCTCTGAATGTTTAGCTTGAGAAGCACCCTTCAAAATTTCAATTCCAACACTAAGTAATACCTATGCATATACGTTGTCCAGTGGTAAACAAGAATATCCTGGTTTCTTTAGTATTGCACAATCAAATGTGTAGCTTTTCTTCCCAGATGGGAAGGCCATTTATCCTACATTATCATCACCACAGAACATCATAACAAAACCACTTCATTAAGGTCTCTCAATATTTCACATGAAGACTCAAAAATCCAGCTGAACAAGCCCTTGATTTAAACTATTACAGCTGGAGGTGGGCAGCGGAGGAGTCTAAGTATATGTATATTTTTTTTAGATCAAAACACATTGCTAAGCATTACCTTCTTAAAGAGAACCACATTTTCTGCAACATTGTGTTCTTTAGCAATATCTGCGTCATGTACGATTCCGAACTGAATGTCATCCATACCCTGGGCAGCCGCAACGAAAGCCTTAGCAGCATCAGATTCCTTGTCAGCGTAAAAACCAACAACAACAACATCACTCTTTTCTTTAAATTCCTTGACTTCATCTGCTGTTGTTAGTTCTACTGCTGGGGGTCCTGTTTTCTTTTTCAACCAAGTGATTATTTCAGATTCTGTGCGGCCACCTGTTGAAAGGAAATCCAAATATTGGGATTATGTCTACAAAATGTTCTCCTAAACAATACTTTGGATCTTAATATTACAGACAAAAGTTCAAAACATAACCAAATCAAGTTTATGTGGGCAAGTTTTTCTTTCTAGCCAGGAACACATTTTGAAGAGACTTTTCAACTGATAGAAGTGTTGAGTTGGTTAATTCTCATTGGTCCAAAAAAAAAAAGATCAAAGGATGAATCTAATTTACATTAATCTTTTTCAAAAAAAAGGAACAAAGGATAGATGGGTTAGTGTAAAAATTTGGCAATGATGAATCATCACTTAGCGAGGATGGTCCATCATGTAAACTATCATCTCATATTACTCATCTAAAGTGAAACTTATGTTTGATGTCAGCTGCTACTTTACAATTTTTCCTGTTCTAGAAGACGAGTAAGACTTAAACTGCTCTCGCTACTGAAATGTGTTAAGTTGAAAAAGTAGATAATTACTGTACAGTTCTAGACGAAAAGCTAAAAAATTAGGCCGAATTTTCAACCTCTAATAAACACAATTTTCATTGTTTCTGTACTTCACGCTAATTTGATATTACAGGCCTCGTAAGTTGAACAAAGAATCTAACAAGTAAGATCGTTTTCACATAAAAATTTTTGCAATGAACACCGTGTTTGTTCAGCTAAGACAAGAACCTTTTGTATTTCCAGTATTTTCGGAGACAACAAAAGATTTACGAACATTTTCGTAGAGGCCGGAAACCCAATGAAAAAAAAAAGAGCAAGTGATAAATGTTATGAAAATGACTAATTACAATGAAAATTGATTATCGCTGCCAACGACCTAAATCAAAATACTTACATTTTCAAGAAAAACATGGAAATTAGCAATAAATATTTCAGAAGTCTGTTAATAACATGGATGCACGTGTAGTAGTACAAGTCTGCGCGTTTCGTTCGCGAATTACGACTTGAAAACATTGGCTTCACTTCAAACTAACCAGAATACTCCACCGGTTTTCCCGATCTAAAGAACTTGAGGGTAGGATATCCCTGGACTTGGTACTTTTCACCGAGTTTAGTTTCTTTAGTGGCGTCAACTTTAGCAAGCTTGATGGCCGACCCTTCTTCCTTGAGTTTCGTCGCTGCTTTGGCATATTCAGGGGCAAGAGCTTTGCAATGTCCACACCACGGTGCATCTAAAAAGAAAAAAATACGCATGAGATAAACTTGTGATCTTATCGTGTTTGTAAAGTGACCATATAACAAACTCTCGCTCACAACATGTACGCTAACTTACAAAATTCAACAAGAATATGCTCATTGTCGCTTATGGCTTGATCAAAAACAGCTTCGGTCAAGACTAAGACATTTTCTTCTTCTTCGATGTCTGCTCCAAATGAAAGAGCCACAAAACTGAGGAAAAATGTTAGATAAAACTTCATCGTGGAAAGATTCTCGTAGTCACCCAATCGTACGACTGTTCAATTTCTAGAACTTGGAGTAAAGAGGGAAAATACGTGGAACCTCAAACCGGAAATAACTTTACATACCCGTCGTGTCTTGCTGTGATTGGCTGAGAGGATAGAGCCCGCAAACTGCAGTCACGGAAGTTAAATCGAATTGAATAGTGACACGTCTGTGGCAAAGTAGAGAAGAAATTTACTTAATTTGGTTGATACCAGCTGAATTCACACGTAAGTTGTGGACAAAAAAATTGTCAGGACCAAAATTGCTAATGAACAAAAGAATTCTTGTGAAATTCATGGTAACCTAAGCGATGCACCAACTAGTAACAGAATCGGAAGCAACCTTATTTCACATATCTGTATATTTTCTTTATCTTACGTCGGATTGCAAGGGAAAATAGTATGATGAATTTCCCACCCCACAACAACTAACACATTATAAGTGTATATTCACGCGGGCGAAGAGGTCTTAGTTTCTGTAATTGTTTAACCGGTGAATTCTATGTAATAAGAAACTAATTCTAAAACTTAAAAATTCATAAGTACATGACAGGCCCTCTCATCAGAAATGCACTCGATCAGTTTTCGTTTTAAATGAAGTTTAAACACAGCTGTTTTACCCTGCTCTTTTTCACCCGATCATGAATAGAGTTAGGAAAATATTAATTAAACAAAAGGCTCTCGTGCTGTTTTAGTGAGAAATCGAGATGACAAATGATTTATGCGTTAAACATGAATTTTTTTTTATTCGTTGAACCAAACTCCTTTTTTTAAGTCCTCTGTTAGTGATAAATAATTCAAAAAAATCTACTTGAGAAACGCGTTTTCACATAAAAAAGGCAACGAGCCCTTTAATTTTATTCCTCCACATATTTTTTTCTTGTTCATTAAGTCGAAATATTGATACTCAGAACAAAAGGTTTTGTTTATTTTGATTAAAAGACAGCCTGAAGTTGTTCAGAAAACGATAAGCACTACTCCAGATCAAATCGTTATCGAAAGCCTTGATTCGTCTGTCCTTATTTAGATTTAATCGTCACGGTCAAGCCCTTATGAATCGTGTTAGCAATAATCAGCATATTTTTCGGTTTTATGGAGGGAGCATTACCAGAGTCACGATTTTTTAGGTCTCTGATATTGTTTTCCAGTTCTGTCCATGGTTCACTGTAATGTCTTGGCGGAAGAAGGTTACCGCGGTACTGAGTTGTTCTTCGTCTTAAGGACTGGGCATACCGGAAGTAAAGATCACGTTGGTCTCATTTCAGAATAACCCATGACGTGAGGAATCTGGGAAGAAGGTAGTTTTATGACCGAAATAATACTTTGAAAATTTGTTTGGAGAAAATTCCAGTTCAGAATTTAGCAATAGGACATTCTATTCCCTAAGGCAAACCTTGTTTAACTTCGTTTCAACTTAAATTTAGACACTTCGCTCCATGATTCTCAGCGAGATGATTTCATATCGGGGAGTGAGGGGAAATATATCCATAAGAAAGAACTCCGCAGCAAGAGTTAATTGTTGTCATCGACTGCAGCTGTATATGAGTGGGGTAAAAAAGGAAACCCGGACTTAAGCAACAACATAGCAAACATTAAACGAAACAAGATCATGAAGTGAAAGTTTCAGAAAGCCGTTATTTGCTCTTGACACGCGTGTTCTCACATTGACAGTGGTAAGTAAGAGGAGGAGCTGGAGCAAGGGATTCGGTCGAAATATAAGGGCCTATGAATTATTACTTTCCCTTGACAAAGGAGAAAGGGGAACATGCTCTGTAGGATTCTTTATTTGCCGTGCCCTTGCGCAGAAATAACGAGAGACATATTTCTTAGATTTCAGCGGAAAAGACAACATAGAACTGAGGTCTGAAAAATTTCATCACAGCCGATGTCAGGAGCTCATTGTTCCTACCGATGTTCACTGCTCCAACTTTGAAAGAGAGCAAAATTTATGTATGATAACCGGGTTATTCCTCATTTCCTCTCACCTTCGTTTTTTTATTATCCTAACAACGTTTTTTTGGATGAGAAAAGGTGTTCTAACGAAGCGATCAATAAGAAACCTGCACATATACATAAACTAATCTTAAACTGATCTATTTTTAACGATGCAAGGAATTTCAATTTCCGTTTTTTAATGATCGAACCACAAACGACTAATGTTTTGACCTAAATTACGATTAGATTACATGTAACGCTTTTGTTTTTTTAAAAAACTTCAATGCAATACACCTGCTTGAAAGAGTAGAACAATCCGTTGATGGAAGGGAAAATGAAAACAATCGAAAGAGTAAAGTCCTCGCTCAAAATCTCTTCCATTTCCAGTAAAATTGAACAATTTTCCAGGGAAATGCCTCAGAGTTTCCACCGATTATTCCACTACAATTGTGAAATAAAAAATGTAATCCAATTAAATAGTAATAAGAAAATAATGACGCTGTCGCTATGATGTTTTATTTCCGTTAGATAAGCGTTGTAACGGTCCCTTAAATTATCAATAATCTCTCGAGCGGTCTCGAAGATGAAATATGTAAACAAAGCTGAAAATGAAAGCAAATAAGACATTCCTGCAACTTTTCATCACTCTTGCCTTTGCTTCATATATTTGTCATTATTGTTGTTATTAAAAATTCTTTGCTACCTTGGGAGCTGTCAATGGATTGTAAAATAACGTTGGAATATCACCGATGAAGGAAAGAAATAACTGGATTACCAGCAATGGAAGAAAAATCAAATTGCGAAGTATAAATCACAAGCATTATAAAGGCTTCTTCTATAAGGAAAACCGGTATTTGCCATTCATAAACTAATGCAGAAGCAAATCAGATCGCTTTTTACATCTTCAAATTGTTTACGTAGATTGGGAGCATGGTATACATCTTTATTAATTCTATAAAAAATGATGTCGTTAGCCGCAGATTCTGCCAAACTGCAAAGAAAAATATTTTGAAAATTGTTCGTGTACGGCATGCCAAAAAGGTATGGAAATGCATATGGTTTTCAAGCATTTAAGGATGAAACTCATCTAGATCGTTGGCACCGCTACAAAATATTCCGGAAGCATTTTGAAGGCCAGACTAGCTTCCAAAATTTTTATATAATAGATGCAGATACACTGAATAAATAAACATATTGACTAGGAGGCCTGAAATTGTTTTTTCCTATATAATTTAAAATGGTCATTGCTGTAATTTCAGTCCAAAAAAATTAAATGTCACATAGAGTTTTGAGGAATTGTCGTAAGCGAATCGAATCATATCTATAGACATTTATCAGAGGGTGCATTCAGCTTACGATTTACTGCAGCATAAAACCTTTACACCTGTAGCTATCGATTACTATTCGTTTGTCGTTGATCCGCTCTCTGATTGGTTCATTTTTCATGTTAATTGCTCACTTGCGTTGACTTTGTCTGTGCTGTCCAATGAAACAGCTCCGAATTTAAAAACCTTTGCACGAACATCAGGCATAATAGAGAGCGACCGTGTAAGAAGATCGAAAGCTGAAGCGAAAGACGAGCTTCAGAAAGCTTGAAAATTCAATTTCTGGCGAACCATGGACAGAACACAGATGTTGAAAACCGTGGAAAGCTTGAGAGACCAGCTGAGAATTTCGCGTTTGCCGGTTTCTATATGCAGCAACGAGTAAGTAAACCATGATCTTGTCATTTAAATTTGTAAATCACAAGTTTATATCATGAAGCGAATATTAATTTGGGAGACGGTCTACGTACGCCGTTTATCGTTTTCCTTTTAAATTTTCGCTAAAGAATTGTGCCAGTAAGTTATTTTTTGCGACTTAAATATCCACAAAGTTTCATGCAGCGAATATATTTGGCTAAATAGTGTGTTTTCATAGAAGAAATCGGTTTATGGGCGGTTTTTTTCGACGGCTTTAACATAGCGAAATGCTTAATCTTTACTACGGCTGAATCACCGAAATCAGTGTTCAGAGATTAAATCAAAACTGTCTGTGTCATTCCCAAGAAAACAGTTGAATTTTCCGACTATTTTTTTAATTTCTCCGTGTGGTTAAATGGACATGTGCCCTTTTTTTAAGTCAGGGATACCACAAGCCGAACTAGGAGTGAAACCTTGCTGCAACCTGCGTTAACAAAGCCTTTCAAGAGACAGGTTGAATTTACTTTGTGTTTATGAAAATCGCGTTTTGCCTTGAAACTCTTCTTAACTAAAATCCTTGAGGAGGACAGCTGAAAAATATATCACTCTAATTGAGAAGAAAACCCCTCGAAGAGACCTTCATTTTCACCGAGCGCTTCTCATCGACACGTTCGAATCGCGATAACATGAATCCTTCACGCGCTTTTCTTCAGAACGGGTGAACTTTACAATCCTTTTAGTGATTGACACTTCTTTTTTAATTATTCCTTTCAGGTTAAAGGAGTATTGCACACAAAATGGCACAAAAGATCCCCTTATTCATCCACCAGAAAGACGGGAAAATCCATTCGCGGAAAAACCGAAATGTACCATACTTTAACAAACGGAAAAAACGGGTGAATCGCCAGAAGAGAGGATAGAAGTTTTTCAGTCTCAAATTAACGAATTTTTAGCCAGCTATTGCATTGTTGTCATGGAGGAGTTTTAAATTAAGCTCAGGGTGGACATTCGGTAACACTGGTCATGCATCTTTTGCATGGACTTTAACATTACTGATGATTTGAGAAAGAGATCTATTTGTGTGATGACCATTTTCGACGAGGAGTAATTAATGTTCCTGTATCCATCCTTGACATAATCGAATATATGATACATATGCCTGTTTTTCTGCCCTCAGCTGTTGTTTGTTTTACATAACTTCATTGAATTATGAATTTGAAATTGTTTCTGTCCTTCATGTAAACAGTGGACATCCCGTCGGATGTGAGAAAACATGGTCGATGTCTACTCAACGTTGAAAGTAAAAAGATCTAGTACTCCTGATAACTTGAAATGAATATTAGTTAGAGTATTTGTAGTAATTCTTATTCTGAAACAACCTGATCAACAATTCACAAAATCCAACCTATTCAGGTTTGCATTTCAATTTCACAACTATTTCAGTTAGCAGGTGGGAGTTACTTTACGAATAAACTTCACTGAATCAGGGCTATTTTTTTCTTACATTATAATAACAAAAGACAGATGTGGTTTTACTGCCATTTAAGAAAAGAAAGTAATTGTAAGAAGCATTATTGTCTGGACTCCAGTTGGGTTCCGGCAGAAATAATCAAGAATTGCTGGATTGTAGATTTATACAAATATATAACTTAAAGTAACAAAGCAGCGAAAATTAGGCAACATGTATCCCCTTTAAATTTACGCCTTTGCTAAGATCGGAGCCGTTAGCTAACGAGTGGTCAGTTATGACTAAAACGTAGACAAAACAGCCCGTTTTTTCAGCTGACGCTCGTCTTGGGTTTGGACAAGACTTTAAGTTTACGTGCACCATGTGGAAATCGCCATTTTTACATTCTTGGAGTTAAAGAACATATCATTGTGGAGCCACCTTGAATCTTTTCCCAAGTCAAACAAAATTTTCATCTCAAAATACGCTTGTTTCCTTAAAGTTGGTGTGTAATAAAAACATTAACGAACACAATCTCTTACAGGTCATGAATTTTTAGGAAATCTGAGAAACAGATGGATCCAATCATCATAACTTTTTTGCTTACACGTTTTAGGTTCGTGTTCGGTTAAGTCGTAATCATGTTGAATCTACCATGAAATGGTCATGGCAAATTACCTCCATTACCTTCTCCACCTAGGAATATCTCACTAATTTCCGACGATCAAATCAGTCAGTTTATCAAAATCATTCTTACAACCTCTGAGCAGGGTTAGTTTCTTCCGCGAAGTGTAAATTATTTCTAGATCTTTACAGATAAGGCGGATTTTTAAATAAACTTTTTGCGTTTTCTCGAGCAAACTGAGGCCAAGAAAACTCGTATGGTTGCGCACCAAAGAGGGAGAAAATGTAAAGAAAATAGCTCTTGATCTTCTGGATAATACTTTTAAAAGGCAATTTTCTCAACTGAGCGTAAAATTTGAAAAAAGTGAAACTAAACTGGTTTTACTCGTTTAAGTCGCTTCCCTTAAAATGCAAACTGCGCTGGAATAAAGAAGAAAATCTCACAGAAAATGACAAAAAGCATAGTATTTAATTTAGTTATTGTCTGCTGAAGGTAAAGGCATAACTCAGAAGGGATAAAGTATCGGAATAATTTACGGCCTATAATCAGGCCTAATCATACTGGGAAAGAAGGTACTGATCGTTGACTACGTAAAATAATTGCCGTTAATAGTTCTCTTTTAAGGAATTAATTTTTTTAAAAAATATAGTTAAAGGAGAATTTATGAAGCTTGCTAAGTTTCCATAAAATTTACAGCTAAGAGCCAATTCTCCCCGCTCCCGCATTTACAAGAAAACTATGACACAATGACACAACTCCGGAAAAGGTCTCTTACTGGTTGCGGTGCACGCAAGATATTTTTCAGCTGAGCATCACCACTTAGAAAATATATTTGTACTTTCGTCGTCATAATGTTACATCAGCTGAGAAAGCTAGGAGGAAATGCTCTTGCTCAGTCAAGTTTGCGTTTCACGTTGCATGCGTGTATATCATGTAGGTACTCGCGTTCCTTCGTGTACATTTATCAAACTTATTGCAAGTTGCCGCAAAACGCTGCGTAAGCCATTAATCTTGTGCACTGCATTGCTGTAATTTATAACATTTTTCACGTCATTACAGTGATTTCAAAAGGTAATGTCGACTGCATTACTCGGCAAAAAACCAAGAAAATTCCTGCCTACAAAGAAATATCTCAACTTGCTGGGTATAGTGATTTCATTCTAACTATAAATCAGTTTTCTCTTTGTAGACAACCTTTTTATCTCTCGTGCCGCCTCCCATCGCACGCTGTCGCTCTTGTAATTTAATCTGTTCCACCAACTTCGCTTTGTCGTGCTTGGAGCGTTTCTGAAGGGGATCTTTCGCTTTTTTACTTCTGTCCACACCATCACATATCTTGCTCAACTTGTAACAAACTTCTTTTTCTGTGTTGACCTTATCAAGCCCTTTTAGGTACAGTTGTTCTATATCCTCTTCATGTTTCTCTGTGTAAAATATGAAGTTTGCCTTTGTAAAATTTCACCCTTTCAAATCTACATATCAATTCTCTTAACTGTCTTCCATGCATTTTCTATTATTTTTCTCTGACAATTTTGTGTTAAAAAAATTCCCAACTAGTTTAATATTATTCTTCCTTCTCATCACTTTAATGCATGCCATTGATGCATTAATTACTCCCGATAGTGAAAGTGTTAAATAGTAGTATTGATGAAATTCTGAGCCTGCAGTGGGATGGAGGGAAGGAGTAGTCTAACAGTCAATGTGTTGAACTCTGGATCAAAGGTTAGGGTTGAAGCTTTTGCACGCAAAATTTCACAACTGTTGTTTGGAAATTTTGCTCAGTTAAAGCTCAAAGTTGTAACTTCTAATTCATTAATGACTTACCCATGAAAAATTTACAGGCGTTGACAAGAGTTATTGGTGAATATCCATACTTTTTCAAATGTTTTGATCTACAAACATCCTCTATTGCTTCTACCACCTGCAGCTCTCTGGGATCTGAGCTCTTTTTTGCCAAAAACTTGTCTAGCTCTAGAACACAAAGTAAAGAACATTGTCATTTTTGTTTTTACTCATGTTACCTCTGAATAAAAATTTATAGAGGAAGGGAGAGGGCTAGCATCTACTTCTTTTTCCAAAATAAAGGCCTCCTATTACTCAAATACATGTAATACTTTTCAATTCAATTTTTTAATATTAAATTTGTTGTAGACTCATATGAAATATAATAAAATATAAAAAATTCAGTTTCATTTGGTAGATGTTGTAAACTGTACACGTTTTAGTAAATTGCATTAAATGTAGAGTGAAAAGTATTGTTTATTGATCCCTGTACATTAAAATATCAATAAAAATTTTCAATCATGGAAAAGCTAGCTTCTTGAGGCATATCAATGTAATTGAGCCATCTCTTAGTAATGGAGAAAAAATCAGTCATCTTACATAATTATCTGGTGCGCATTACTTGGCAGCATTCTACATCTGAAATCTGATTCCTTAATAACTTGACTGATATTTCCCTATGACCAAATTTGGTCAATATTTATTGAATATTGACTAATAGTAACAGATTAAAAAGTTTAAGAAACATACAAAGCTCACAGCAGTAAATAGAAAAAAATTGTACTAAAAATTTACCTTTCATAACAGCACTACAGGTCTCACAATAAACTCCTGACATGAAAGAGGTTAATTACACAAAAAACTCAAAATAAGAACTTGATCTAAAGTAACTAATTAATTGTAACCTTGGTATGGTTGAGAGTGAATTTTGGGTGAACAGCTTTTTCAAGATATGTATTTTTAGGTGATGTTAGTTTAGAATTTTTCTGCCTTCTTACTCCGCAGGGAATTTAATCAAAAAGTGATAAATTTTTCAAATGGAATGAAACAATATTAGCATGCAAAAGCTGCAAATGATCTACAGAGATTTTTATTTTTTGATTGTCTCAGAAGCCTCTAAAGAGTAATTGATGAACATGGAGAGCTTGGAGTAAGGGTTAGTGTCAAAGACAAACCTATGAAAAAGATAAACAAAAAAATGAAAAATACAGCCAGAGAGAGAGAGAGAAAGGGAGAGAGGAGGGAAAAACCACTTCTACAGCAAAAAAAAAAAGAAAATTAAAAAAAAGGTAGCCAGTTTGTGTGTTATTTTGTCAGCTTTTTTGATCCTCATAGACAAATTTGATTAAAGCACAAACCTTGAGATATATTTGGAGGCAATATTAATCCAGATATAGGAAGGCATAGCACTACAGCCAAAGTAATTCTACATAGAATGAACATTTTTGAACCTAAAAAAAAACATACAGAAACACAAGGTGTCAATGATGCTATGATCTGACACATGCCATTCAATAAGTTTCATAAATGTTCTGATTTCCTGACCAGATTTTGAATTGTATTTGGGTTGTACCTTTTGATTCAACTACTCAATTTTTTTTTTAATTTATGCAAGTATTAAAATGTTTCAGATTTACTCGTTTTTATCCTAACTCAAGAAAATAAACTATTAACATAAAATATTGTAAGACCTACAAAATTTGCTGTTACAAAAAAAGGGCAAAGATAGATGAAACAAAAAAAATTAAGAAAATATAAAATTAAAATTTAATTTAATTTAGAATTTAAATGCCTGGAATATTTGCATACCACTTAAATTATAGAGCAAAAGTTCCCCAACCCCTCTCTTTATTGCTAAATGTGAGGAAATTGAAATAACTCAGAAATATGTGATGTAAACGAATGTAACATAATTTTCGTGCAAAACTATCATCAAGCTAATGTTTTGTTAACTGAACTTTTTCTGGAGAGGTATGTAAGCAAGGTTGAATTTATAACAGAAGTGTTACTGAAAACTCGTGGCTTACAGACTTAAGTGATAAAAGAAAATAGTAACCGACCATCAGAAATTATTTTACGTCAAGGGTCAAAAGTGATTTCATTGATAGTTGTCACACTCAAAATTTATGCTCGTGCATATTTATCTAATTTATGTTTGACTTTCAACTGAGTTAATCATCTTCCAGCCCGTCAGCCAATGGGTATCGAACAACGCAGCCTCCAAACCAACGCGGCAATTTAAAAACAAAATCTTCAGCTGATAATCGTAAATTCAAGCCAAGCTTTTAAATATTGATCTTTAGCAAGATTAGGACAAAAAAAAGTGCTTAACAAAATAAGGGTATAATAGAGTAATCATTGATTAATGATGGTTAATAAAATAAGGGTATAATAAACAATACCGCCTTATTTAAGTAAGGGTCCATCTAGCGATTAGCGGAAAGATGACCATTGGAAAGCCAGTGAGCACTGAAATTGACCGCGAGAGCTTAAAAAATTAGCTAGTAGGACAATTAATAAACCTAGTCGCAAGGAAAATGATGAAGGTTGACGCTAACTGGCCTCAAACTCAACCTATTTCCCTTTGGAAATGAAAATAGTAAGAACACTATTACAATATATCAAGTATACTTTACCTGACTGAAAGCTATTTCATGTGCAATTTGAGAGCTGGACGAAGTGACACTCCGGAAGGAAATGCCATACACAAACCACCCAACAGGTCAGATGCCGCGTAACGTTAGTTATTTGATACGTTCATTGAATTCTTTGCTGACATTTGGAATAATCGATCTCAGAAAACAACTCGTTTGTACTAAGATTTGTAAACTTTGATCCCTGAATCCGCCTCATTAATTCTCAGACGAATAAAGATCACTCTCCTTCAGTTTTCTCGGATGTTTCGAGAAATTTGGTGGGTTTTTGGGATACTTGACTCCTCTCCTCTTCACTAACGCTCCTCCAGATACATAGAAAATCATCAAGGGCACAGCTCCCAAGACTGCACAAGGCCGAGAAAACCAAGAAAATCAGCGAAATTTTTTTCCATTTCCAAATGTAGCTCTCCTCCCAGCTTCAGGCACTTGTAAGGCCGATTGAGGTGCAGGATCCCTGTCATCCGTGCCAAAGTAGAACGCGTTGAATTGATATTTCTCCCACTGCGACATAGGCCTCCTTGATATGCAAGCCTCGTTTGTTGGTTATTTTTCCACCCATACGACGTGGACAGAATCCGAGGAGGTCAATGAAAATGATGTAGTAGTCTTATTAGGAATTAAACATTTATTTTGTGTTCAGATTTTAATTTCAATATCATAAAATTCAACTAGTAAGAAATTAAGGTAATCAAGACTCAGTATGGAGCTTGATAAATATTTTTAAAATTTGAACCTAAGAGGCATTTCTCCTTCCCGCGTTTGTGTCTATGCATTGACACATTTCCATATGGGCCTCTCATTGGTTGCTGCACCCAAAGAACATATCAAGGCTAGGCACAAACCAATCAGAAAATAGACATGGATCAATGACATGATAATGGAATGTTGCCTTTGTATTTCTCTTACCTTATCAAGTTTTGGATTTCAAGTTGCATGAAAGTGGAGACACATGCATTAACAAATGCATTCACTAAGTTAATGCAAGATTTTGTGTAAAGCAAAACTTCCTTTACCTTGCATGCTTGTGAAAAGTGTAGTAGTACCTTGTGAGATTTTTTACTCAAGATGGAAGTCATTTCAAAAGAAAATTACCTCTACTGCTTAGCATCAAGCCATTAAAAATTCCTGTCTAGAAGTAAACACATATATATTAATTTGCTGGGTAGACTATTTTTTTTGTGTTCAACTATAATTCAGTTTTCACTTCAAAAGATTTCTTATCATTCTCATCTTCAGCTCCTCCATTTTCTTCATCTTCACTATCTCCTCCTTCCTCTTCTTCTTCTTCTTCTTCTTCCTCATCATCGTCATCTCCTGTGCCTCCTCCCATCCCCTGCTGTCCCAGTTGTGATTTAATCTGCTCTGCCAGCCTCTCTGCAGCTCCAGGATCATTAATATCCACATTCATGCGATGAATACCATCATCGTCTTTTGAGGCTGATTCAGTCTTCACTTGCTGTGGCTGATTGTTGAAACGGTAATCAAGGGATTCTTTCTCCTTTTTACTTCTATCCACACCTTCACATGCTTTGGTCAGCTTGTAACAAACCTCTTGTTCTGTGTTATCAACCTTGTCCATCAACAACTTTTCTATGTCCTCTTCATATTTCTCTGTGTAAAAAAAAAAAAAAAAAAAAAAAAAAAAACTTGCCATTGCACAAAACATTAACCTTTTCACTTCCAACCCCAAATATCAATTCCCTCTCTACCTTTTTTATTACAGTATTAGCTCTCAAAAAACTGAGCCTAATGATGGCTGAATTGCACACTGTTGTCATTGTGTGTTTATTCTGTTCAAAGCTCAAGGCTATAACTTTTAATTCATCAGTGACTTACCTATTAAAAATCTGCAGGCTTTGACTGTAGTTGGTGGCGAATAATCATATTTTGAAAAATACTTTGTTTGGCAGATGTCTTCCATTGCTTCTACCACCTGCAGCTCTCTGGGATCTGAACTCTTTTTTTCCAACAACTTGTCTAGTTCTTAAACACAAAATAGAGACCATTATTATTTTTTGATGTTTGCCAATGTTACTGTTGTAGCTGAAAGAAATGGTGGCAGTAGGGAGGCTAGCAGGTCATTCTTTTTCCAAGATAAAGGACTCCTGTTATTGTAAAGGACCAAATTAGGCTAAAAATGTACCTTTCATAACAGCACTGCAGCCCTCACAAAAAATTCCTGAAAAAAAAAATAATGACAACAGAAAATCAAAATGGTAATTCTACATTTAACTGATTCACGGTAATCTAAGTATGACCAAGAGGAAATTTGGGTTCTACACATTTTTTCAGTACATTTACTTGATCTGGGTTGTTTAATTACGTGAGAAGTAAAGCTCAAAAGTGACATGGATTAAATAAATATAAGCATACAAGACCTATAGATGATTCATGGAACTTTTGATGGGTTTTCCAATAAAAATTACTGGCTGTTTACCTCAATGGTATATCTTGTCTTGAGGTTACTTTTTGAGATAATATTTGACAGCTGTTTTGCTTTTAATTGATCTATTTGAGAAGAATTTAAGCACACACCTTGGGACATATCTGATGGCAATTTTACTCCAGAAGTAGGAAGGCACATCACCACAGCTAGTACAATTCTACACAAAATATACATTTTTGAACCTAAAAGATATAAATAATCAAATATTACATCAATTTAATTTCTGAATTCTTCTGATTTCTTAACTTTGATTCAATTTTAATTCAACAGTTTGATACTGAAATAATTTTGTTTTCATTCATTTAACCAAGCAATACAGCATATAATTTTTTTCCTCAGAATGAAAAGTAACACATATAATTTATATTCATTATTTTAAATCAAATGCCTGGAATGTTTGCTTACCAGCTAAACTGGAAGCCAAATGTTTACCAAATTCTTGTTTTATGGCTACATATGTGGAGAATGAAATTACTTCAAAGCATAATTATGATGTAAGCAAGTACAATATATATTTCTTTCATTCTTAACTCCAATCTAACTAACACCATGTTATCTGCTGAGTTAATAACACAGACCTGGTTTGAAAGCAGATTTGAAATGATTAATTATTGAAAACTTGTGGCTTACAGACTTCTAGTTTAAAAGAAAATGAAAGAAATTCTACTGTAACCGACCATCGCGACCTTTTGAAGCAAAAGAGGTCAGACTGTTACATTTCAGAGATAGAATTTCGGCAATGGTCGCACACTCAAAATGTCTGCATGTGCACTTATCGGATGACAACTATGAATAAATGTAAACATCATTTAGTTAAATAATCTGCTCGCCAGCCAATGAGTGTAAAACACCGCAGCCTTTCAAAAACAAAATCTTCAGCTGATAGATCATGAATTCAAGCCAAGCTTTCAAATTATTGACTTTTTGGACGTTTTGGAAAAAAGACAAAAACCCTCAAGGATATAGTCAGTAAGAAACTTGTTTCAAATACAACTTATGGGTCCATCCAACAATCAGAACCATGAAAACCAAAAAGCCTGTACGCATTGTACCCGAGAGTAGTAAATAACATTTGCAAGCGGGTCACGAACTAGTCTCAAAGAAAAATATAAATCTGGGTTTATCGTGCCTAAAACTTTTAAACATCTCTCCCTTTGAAACAGAGTAGAGAAAGATAACATCACAAAATGTAAGGTATACATTACCTGCTCGAATCTTATTTCAGTTGCGATTAGAAGAGGGACGAGGTAACAATGAGCCAACAATAAGATTAGTTTATCGTGATTAAAGAATAAAAGGACAAATTTCACCAGGCGTTCCACGTGTTCTTGTGCGATGTACTGGTGTCTAGTTACAAGATTTCTATCCGAGATCTTGAACATATTATTTCATGGTAATATTTGTTCTCGTTCGACCCGAAATTCTTTATTTTATGTCGTTTTTACGCTAGATTTTCATCATGGCGGGTGTACAAGTAAAAGAGGGAGAATACACAACCACAATTTATGGGCTGGTGAGTGGTTTTTACCTGAAATGTATCTTACTGAAATGATGGCCTGTTGTTTATAGCGGTTGCTCGGGAACAAACATAATTTTGTAAATATTGGTGGGAACAGTGAAAATTCAACCAACTTAATCCATATTCTTTCGAGTAGCGGACTTTGTGATAATAGTTTGGTAATAGAGAAAAAAAACCCACACCAAATCATATGCATTCGTCCTAATAAAAAGCGGAGAAGATCGATATGTTCAACAACTTTCAAGTCTTTTCTCTGTGATCATACATGTACAATCTACTCCCGCTGCAGAACGCCGAAAATGTTTAACATTTGCTGATGCTACATGTATCTATTGTTGAATTTAGGATGTAATTAAGAGGGGGGTTGTTATCGTCAGTTTTCCATGAAAGATCAACAATTGGAGTAAGGATTTCCTCTCTACTTACTGTATATTGCTTCTGTGGCCTGGTCTTAGCTTCTGTGGCCTGGTCTTTGCTTCTGTGGCCTGGTCTTAGCTTCTGGCCTCTTTCATTCGTTTGAATAGAGTGCATAAGTCACTTGCACCATAGCTTTTGAAAGGGTAAATAACATTATCCATAAAATAAACGAAATATGACCTGTTAGTCTCAGCAACACAAATTCCTGCTCATCCTTCAAGTATTGATATGAATATCTGCAGATGATGTTATCGACATTTCAGACAACAAGACAGTGCCTGGTAGATGATGAAGTGTCATGTTTACCTTCACTTGTCCAATCAGCAATATTTTGTTGGGTCCCAGCTGTTTGAAAGACAGAGATCATTATTCACCAATGACATTTTGCTATATTTTGTGTGGCAGATAAAAAACCAAAAGTTCCATGAAGCAATACAAATTCTGTCACAGGAGCTGGAAAATCATCCAAAGGTATACTTCTGTTACTGAAACAGTAAGCTTTTAATGATGTTTTATTCATATACTTTAATTGGATCTATCATTCATGCATTGCATTCTCTTGATTAAATTTCAGTCAAGAGCAGCCCTTTCACTGCTAGGATACTGCTACTTTCAGGTTCAAAGCTTTGATGCAGCTGCTGACTGGTGAGTACTCAGCCAAGTTCTTCTATTTCTTAAACCACCAGCTGTTCTTAAATGCCAATTTTAGACTAAGGTGCTAATGGGTGGAAACAGAATTCATGCACAATATTGATAACAGGGTCAATAAAGTATAAAGTGATTGAGTTTTCTCTTTTGTTATTGTGGTGGATGTTATTTTACTCAAGTGACGTCATAAGTATTGAAGTGCTATCGGTAAGAGGCCTGAAGGGCTAGTCAATCAAAAGACTGTACTTAAAAGATTATGAAACAGTTTTTTGTTGTAACATTAATTAGATCTATGGAACTGCTGTCACCCTTTGAAAACATGGACACAGTCTTTAAAACCTTCAAAAGAATTACACTTCGTCCAATACCTGGGTGTATTGTCTAAGTCTCACTCCATTGAAGTAATAAGCCTTTTTTTATGTCCTACCACTGATGTTAATTGTGATATTTTTACAATGTTTGACTGGTCTTCATTTTGCAGTCATAGTTACTAGTAAGGTTGAATCTTGTTGTTTATAGCTATGGCCAACTGACACAGATTCATCCAGAGGTTGATGAATACAAAATGGCTTATGCTCAGGTTTGTGTTACTGACATTGAAGCATGATGTAAGTTTGGTGGACTGAAGTTATAGATGTCCAAGTTTGTTGGGTAGCATAATTGATTTAATCATTATACAGTCACAAAAGTTCTAGAAACTTATCTGTCAAAAATAAATTTTGTATTTCTTTTGCAGGCATTATATAAAGCATTTATGTATCCAGAGGCAATGAAAGCAACATTTCAAATTGAAAATCCTACATATCATGCAAAGGTACCTGATATTGTCTCCTTGTAACCTTTCACACCCTAAGATCAGTATGCATATTCCCCATGCAGTTGTCTTTAGATTTTCTGTGGTACTGACAAGATGAAATTGTTTAACAATCAAGAACTTCTCTAACTGGTGATGATTTTCTTTTATTGTCATGACCTTAACGTGTGATTCAGGGGTGATATTGTAAGGAGAAGTAAGATGTTAGTCACTTTTAGGGGTTAAAGGGTTAAAGAGCCAAGTTAAATTTAAGATCTTTAGAAGTCTGCAAGAATAACATGTTTTTGTTCTTGTGGGGTAACTATTGTCACTGTGGCTAAATTTATACAATTTCAAGTTGAAAAAGTGCTATGTAGTAGTAAAATTTGATATAATTCTGTCATGACTTTATTTTTTGTATCGCAGTAGTGTTTTACATGTTTGTGGTAATTATTTCTCCCCCTACAGGTACTGAAGCTCCAGGCAGCTATCAAATATGGAGAAGAGGATCTGCAGGGGGCAAAGGTGAAGCACAGCAGCATTAAATTAATAACAAACTTTTTTGTAACACAGACAGTTATCCACATCTCTCAAACCCTAATTGAATATTAGGCTAAAACTTATCCTAATCAAGTCACAAAATGACTTTGAGTCTATTGATTATCCTTAGAGGAGGTGCAGGTAAATATTGATTTATCACTGATAATTTGTGAAAATATTTTAGTCATAAAATGATCATGGAACATGTATTTTTATTCCAGAGTATGGTGGAGCAGTGTGCTGCAGATGATCCTGACACTGAAATCAATCTTGGATGTCTTCTCTACAAGGTAATGACATATTTGGAATGTACTTTATGCTTGAAATTATGAACGCATTGTTCAGTGCATCTTTTGATAACTAGTGAAAAGTACTGACATACATTCAAACCCTAAGCTGTAATCCTATTCCTAAGGCAATGTCTCTTGCCTAAAGCTGAGCCTCACCACTTGTCTGTCCATTGTTAAATTTTTTAGGAGGGAAGGTATTCAGAGGCATGCCAAAAGTTTCAGACAGCAATGAATATTCTTGGATATCAACCAGGTAGGAAATCTCTCATGACTTCAAATATCAAATGCAAGTTTTAGTTCTCTTGGGGTAGGGGGGAGATATAAGTCAAGTTTTTAAGGACAGTTGTAATTTAATTTATTTGTAATGTAAACGTTATTTTCTGAACTTGAAATAGAACTTTAAAGGATTGCCACGATGACCTCCTCTATTACTGTTGAACAGACTGTTGCTTTCATTGTTTTTCCTCTGTAGGGCAGGAAACCCTTCTGTTGTTTAATTGGCGAACAATTTAAGATCCATACTGTCCTCTCATGTGATTATCACTTGTCTCTTTTCAGATTTGTCGTACAACATAGCCCTATGTTTTTACAGCTTGAAGCAATATGCACCTGCGTTGAAGCACATTGCTGACATTATTGAACGTGGAATCAGAGAGCATCCAGGTTGGACAAACAATATCTCTTTCAAACTCATTTTTGCTGCATTATAAGGAACTTTATGTAATAATTATTGGCAGTTGAACTCTTGGCTGACATTTCCAATTGTTTACTTGTTTCATACTTATCATGACCATTTTGTTTATAAGAATATTTTTTATGTATTTGTGCTGATCTAACATTTCAGAACTAAGTGTCGGGATGACTACAGAGGGTATTGAAGTCAGAAGTGTGGGGAACACCAAGGTGAAATCATGTTTAGATTCTACATCTAGTTTATATACAATGATAGAACTTTTTTGTGTATTTTTGATAGTTATAGATGGGGACAAAAGAATCATTTTTTGTTGGGGAAGGGGGTGGTTGGTTGTATCTTTTCTTTGGGGAGACTGGGGTAGATGGTAAGATTGATGCATTGGTTTGAAGGGCATAAGAGAGTAAGTTGCCTGGAGACAACATCATTAAACATTTCAGTCCTAAGATCTAAGGATCAATTCTGAGTACTCTCTGACAAATATTTGCGATGGTTTCAGCAGCTCTAAAATTTGGTGTTAAATCAGACAATATTTTGATCTGACTTGCTTTTCATTGCACCTTATGACTTGAAAATGTTTCAGAAATTTAAGGATGAATTTCTTTTTGGTCACGTCAGAGAGCAAAAGTGGGAAATGATACATTTATACCAACTCTCCTGAATTATCCGGGAGTCTCCTGGATACAGGACCAATCTCCCGCTCTCCTGTATGGGTGACCAAAACTTCCACTTAAAAGGAAGTTTGGATCAGTTGCCCGCAAAAAAACTAAGATTTAAGCTCTATATGTTCCAAAATTCCAAAATTATCTGGCTTATGCTTGCATTACAGTTTCTGGCTTCATTTTCCTGTGTGAATGCACATTATTTGTTGCAAACAAAAAGAAGAGAGTTTCTTCTTTGTTACTCCTATAAAAATGAGAGTCTGATTGGATGAGTATTCAACCAATTGAAGTCCCTGACAGATAGATTGACGTTTTTCCCACAAAATTGCTTGTGGGGAGGGGGGGAGGGGGGGTCCAAATCAAAAAAGAACTGGGGGGGAGGGTACTGGTCCAAAAAAAAATCTCCAGATTTGAGATCTCCAGAGGTTGGCATCTCTGATGATATAATTTGTTTGAACACAATTTGCCCACTATCTTGTAATTATAATATTCATATTTCATTATAATATCATTTTTTAATAATGTTTTGCCCCAATTACAGGTGTTACACGAAACAGCTTTGATTGAAGCATTCAATCTTAAAGCAGGGATTGAATACCAGCTGAAAAACTGTAAGCTTCTTGTCATCTTTACTGGCAGTCTGAAAATTTTTGTCATCACAGAAATGAGCTGTGTGATGTTGAAAATTAATTTTAAAGTGATTCACCCTGCAAATTTTTTGTGGTTTGATTGAATGGGGGTGCCACATAATAAACTAGTTACAATGTATAATGTTGTAAAGAGTGCACTAACTGATTATGAATGATGGCTAATTTTTGTTGACTGTTGATTTTATTGCAGTTGACTCTGCACAGGAAGCCCTCACTGATATGCCTCCAAGAGCAGAAGAGGTTAGTGCAATGTTTTCATATACTTTACTTAGGAATGATATTTTTTAGACCCCTCTAGCATGGAAATGATTAATGGGATAAGAGAGAGAAAACTTTACTTGAGTTTAAAACAGTTTGAAATGAGTTATTAGTAAAAATGTTTATTAATATTAGGTTTGGCTGAAACTTATTTCACATCAAGTTGTAGGTAATATTTTGGTCTGATGTATTTTAATTTGGAAAATCCTCTGACATCTATAGATCTGAGCTACAATGTAGGTTAAAATTTGTTTCTGCTATGTACAACAAACTTAATTGTGGCTTAGAAAAATGTGTGCTTAACTCTACTGACAATTTCTTTATACAATTTCAAGGAACTGGACCCAGTAACTTTGCACAACCAAGCACTTATGAACATGGAGGCCAACCCAACTCAGGTGAAATGTTTTTCAGAATTTGGTAGTGTACATGTAAGTTTTTATGAACGAATTGGAGCAGTTCTTCTTTCTGTCCATAAATGGTTCTATAGAAATCAGAACATGTTTGGAGAGGTGAGTGGTCGGTTTGGGTTTGGAAAGAACCATGATAATTCCATTTTCATGTTTTTTGCAATACTGCAAACAATAGTGGTGTACAGTATAACTATAATTTCCTGTAATGGCAAACCATCTCAATCATGTATACAATCATTCTTATTACTTGTTTTCTTTCCTAGGGCTTTGAAAAGTTACAGTTTTTGTTACAGCAAAATCCATTTCCTCCAGGTTAGTTTTGACATAACTGAGAAATAAAAGTTTTGGGACTTACGGAAATTTTTTCAGTTGGAATTTGAATGTTTACTACTATCTCACTTAGTTAATCCCATTGTAATTTAATGATGTAGTGTTTATTGTTGACTAAAACTTGTACTTTGTTTTAAATATTTGATTTGAGTTTGCTGTGTCCTTTAGATTCCAGTGCTTGTATTTTGAAACTCTAGTATCACTGAGATTAATATCACCAATAAGTTATGATCTGTAAACAACATTATAACTACACAATACTGTTTCCATCCTTAAAAGCACAGTGTTCTTATTTTAAAAATGTAATATATTTATCTTTCTGGTGTTGTAGAAACATTTGGAAATCTTTTGTTATTATATGTGAAATACCAGGTAAGAGTACTTTTTTTTTGGATATCTGAAGAGAGTTAGATTTCTGATTTATTTGAGGAGGACTCAGAACAGGTCAAACAGATAGGTGGACAGTCAGACAGGCAAACAGTCAAACAGACAAACTGATCAGCAGATAGACACACACAGGTGGGAGGTGCATGGAGTATTCTACAAAACGGTCATAATGTGACAGGTTGGACCAGTGTTGTTTGACATATCATGGTCCCCCAGTCATATTTTAATTACACTAACTTGTATACTCTCTCTTAACTTAAAATACTTTGCTTTTTCTCTCTGTAGTATTTTGACCTGGCAGCTGATGTGTTGGCAGAGAATGCTCATTTGACATATAAGTTTCTCACCCCAGTAAGTGAATTAATTTTTCTTCATTTTGGTGCCCTGTCTTTCTTCCAAACCTCAACATGGCTTCTACCATTGTTTCTACATTAATTAAACATTTATTGATTAATTATTGGCTTTCTTCACTCTTTGAAAAACCTAAATGTTTGTCAATCTGAGAAAAGCACATATAATTTACTCTACTATTACTACTTGAGACACACTTCCTATCTTGGTGCAGCTCCCTGAGTAAATCCTGCTGTTTCAATAAAGAATTACTATGTGGTCATTTTGTTGTTTGCCTCTCCCTGACAGTATATGTATGACTTTCTGGATGCTATGATTACACAGCAAACATCTCCAGAAGAGGTTGGTATCATAAGCATTATTTAACCACATATTTGGAGGGCAGCCATGAAACAAAACCCTGAATCCTTTCAAAGAGTGTCTTAGCACTTACCCATGAGCTTTTGGCCCAACATGAACATGGCAAGGGGTCTGTGATGTATTGACTGAATCCCTTTGTATTCATTTTTCATGATTTGATAGCTTAAGTTAACTTACTGAACTTATCCTGTTATTGATTTGGGTTTTTTTTTCCAGGCATATCGCAAATTAGATGATATGGCTACAAAACAGACAGAAACTTTAAGAAAACTGACAAAACAGGTTAGTGATATAAAAAGCTGTTTGATCTCATGTTAATAATATTACAAGTAATAAGTATGATTATAAAGGAAAGTTTGATTTCCCTGTGAGGACTCTAAGTTCTCCAGCCTTGAGATTGGGAGTAGCTTGCTGTGGTAAGAGAATCAGCCTTTCACTGCTTAGCATAGTTTTGATTCCCAGATGTGACTAAAAATGTTGGTTTCATGTAAAGTTTTTTGTCATCCTTATGGTTAGTAAGAGTTTTTAGGTGCTTCCCCCTTTAAAAAACACATTCCAAATCCCAACTAAATTAATAGACAAACTCAAAGTTATTTAATGTTTGTGTAACTATTTGTGCTGTGTTGTTTGTGCATTGTTTTATAAAGGTTCAGGAAGCAAGGCAGAACCATGATGATGACACTGTGAAGAAAGCTGTCAATGAATATGATGAGGCATTGGAAAGGTACATGTACATAATAAATCATCGTTTTTGCCTATTTTTGCATTGTTTTCGTTGGCTGCTATTTGGTCCTTCACACAGTGTTGTTGTATTAGTGTTTGGAAATATATTTGTAAAGATAGTTTTCTTCTACTCATGGAGCTATATAGTTTTGCTTTCCACTTCTGTTCAGAAGCATGAGAGAATTTTTCTAAGGTGTACATTGGCCAAAAACTTGTAATTTGTTTTGTTATAGGTACATCCCTGTGTTAATGTCTCAAGCTAAGATCTACTGGGATCGTGATAATTATGCACAAGTCGAAAAGGTAAGAGTGAATTATGGCCCAACAAGTACAGTTGTTGACTGACAAGCGTCATGTGTAGGTCACATGGCATGGCGGATAGGGCAGTGGTCTAGTGATCTTTGACTCCACTCCTCCACCATTTTACTCATCGGATTTGTCCTCCATTGCCTGATTCAACTTCCTGCTTTAGCTTTGTCAGTAGCCACTTGATCTCCCTCTTTGCCAATTGGAAGTACAAATTGATCTATGCTTACTTGGAATTTTTATGCTGTTGAACTGGTTCACATCGCTTTCAAAAAGCCCCTTCAGGGGTGTGGAAAATAAACTTACTCTTACATGTAGGTGCCATATTTTATGGGGAGCTAGGTATGATGTGATCATTTGGATACTGTGGTAAATGTTATATAATACCAAGGCATAATTTAAAGGAGATTCATCACCATATCAGCATCTTGACAGAGTTTAGCTTAACCCTTTAACCCCTAAGAGTGACTGGCATCTAATTTCCCCTTACAATATCACCACTGAATCACACATTAATGTCATGAGAATAAAGGAAATGATCACCAACAGAACAAACTCTTGATTGTTAGACAAATTCTCCTTGTCAGCACCTTAGTAAATGTACAGAGAACAGTATGGAAAATATGTATACTGATGCAAGGCTGTAAAGGGGTTAAGTCTACCAAGTCTGTAATTTCCAATTTGTTTTAATCTTCTCCATCCTTAGCCATCCCCTTTTTATTACCTCTTTGGTGATTTCCGTTTGATCAAACTATCATTAATGGTCCCTCTCTAGTTTAAAGTTTAGTCTTGTAAGTTGATTAAAACGTCTCATACATCGTGATTTCCAGCTGTAGCCCCTTAAGGTAAGGTGAAAACCCAAATCAGAAGCAAAGTCGTTCTGATAGGACTGTATGTTGTCACTGAAAAGATTAACAAAAGAGACTTTATTGATTAAATTTTGATTATCTTTGCTTCATCTGCAGATATTTAGGAAGTCTGTGGAGTTTTGTAATGAGCACGAAGTTTGGAAACTAAACGTTGCTCACGTGCTATTCATGCAGGTAAAGTACTTTAGGTTCCACATGCAGAATTAAGAATTTCATAAAGAGGAGAACTCTACAAAAGTCTATTAAATATTCCAACTGATAGGAGGCCGACATACACTGTAATTTGAAAATTAAGGTAGAGGTGTTTTTTTCTCTCGTCGACAGGAAAATAAATATAAGGAAGCCGTGGGATTTTATGAACCGATTGTGAAGAAACATTACGATAATGTAAGTATTGTTATTAAAAAATTGCCAGTGATAAACAATGCTGATTAAAGTTCCCCGAAACTTAATAAATAATTTTTGAGGTGAACATTTCTGGAGTCTTGTTGACCTCATTCTCTGATCCTACGACAGGCCTTCGCTTGATTTAGAGAGAGTTTTAGTCTCTGTCAACTTAACCCCTTATTATTATTATTTTTTTTATCTTTTTTTTACGTTTAGATTCTGAGTGTGAGCGCCATAGTGCTGGCAAATCTTTGCGTGTCATACATTATGACCAGTGCGAATGAAGAGGTTTGTTTTTGTTTTTTCCATCGTCGTCTTTGTTGTTGTTGTTGTTGTTGTTGTTGTATTTTGCTCCAAGCATCTGTCAAATTACAATTGCGTAAGTTGTTCTTTTTTGTTCTCTTACAGGCAGAGGAACTAATGAGAAAGATTGAGAAGGAAGAGGTAAGATTTGAAAATGAGTAGTCTTGTTTGAGCTGATATTCGAAGGAACTTTCATTTAGAGTGTCTTCATTTACTTTTCTCTTTTTCAGGAACAAGTGGCCTATGATGATCCAGAGAAGAAGATTTATCATCTCTGTATAGTTAATCTTGTTATTGGGTGAGTTCAAGTTTGATTGTCTTAAATAACCCCGGGTAACGGTGCTTTGGTCCAAATAGCACCCGCTATCGTTTCAACCTGTCAGATATAAAACGGTGTCCAAACGGGTATTCGTCATTGATATTTATCTGCGCCGGCGCATGTTTTAATGAGGATTACTTGTAAGTTCGTGATGATATTTCGTTCGTTCGTATAAGTCATTGTAATTACTTTGCTCCGGTTTTAAGACGCCAAATCGACTCTCCCCTCCCACTTTTTTGAGTAAAACTGGGTTTTGTTTTTGCCTGATTAGACTACGAGCAGTCCTTCTTTTCGGCGAAGTCCATCGCGCATTATTAAAAAAAAAATCAGTCAAAAAAAAAGTGTTGTTAGCGCGCCGCGGTGAGCTCTTGGAGTGAGGCGCTCGATAATTAGGCTTTTTGAGTCGACTCACGCGACGGACTTTGCCGAAAAGGAGGGACTGCTCGTAGTCTTTGCCAGATTGGCTGAGAAGATAACATCGTTGGTGTAACTGGTCTGTTGCGCCTGTGTGTAGACTCGCTAAAAAAGAGCTAATGTAGGCTTGGAAGCTAGTGGAAAATGTTAAGTTAGACTATCCCCTCCAATGAGCTTCCCTTGTTTCTTTATCAGAACCTTATACTGTGCCAAGGGAAACTATGAGTTTGGGATTTCCAGGATAATGAAGAGTTTGGAGCCATATAATAAAAAGGTATATTACAATTTCACAAAAGTATTGATTTGCCGGTGTACCCAGGGTATTGTTGTTGTTGCTATTATTATTATTATTATTATTATTATTATTATTATTATTATTATTATATTGGTTCTTTCAGGTGTGAAGTTTTCTTGTGTTTCTTTTTCACAGCTGGGAACAGATACTTGGTTTTACGCTAAGAGATGTTTCCTGTCGCTTCTGGAAAACCTGGTGAGAAAACTGGTACTTTTATATGTTGAATCTGCAGGTTTTCGATGCTTCAATACAAAAGAAGTCTCTCAAGAGCTCTCCATATCGTCTTGATTGTGCACTTTCTTTATTTCATGTCTTTTTTGTTTCTTCACAGGCCAAACATATGATCATGTTACGGGATAGCGTGATTCAGGATATTATTCAGTTTCTGGAACACTGCGAAAGTAAGTTTCACTTCTGCATGAGTTGAGTGTTGCGAACTGAAGTTCTTCAGTTGGAACCGACATTGGACTGGACCTGGTTTTACAAGAACTACAATGTGATTTTTTAAAGTTTTTTTTTGTCACAGATAAAGTAGTTTTCAATTGACTGTCGTAAGTAATCTGGGATCGCTTTGGTTTTCTTTACTTCGCTCTGCGATTGATCTAGAAAACTCGCGTCACTCTCTCAATCAGTTGTTAATGGCAATGTTAGCTGCTCTTTCTTACATAGTTTCTGTACTTTTGGTATCCATATGAAAGAATATTTATGTTTTCCTATGTTTCTCGTCACAGCTTATGGCAAAAATGTACCTGCAGTGGTCGAACAACCATTAGAGGAAGAAAAAATGCATCCAGGAAAAAACACTGTTACATTTGAGGCCAGAGAATTAAAGAGCTTGTTCTTGCGTTTGATTTAAAATACTACAATAGAATGGTACCGTCGCAACATTTTTAAAAATGAATCCAGAAGGAGAAACTACGGACACCGCAGGAATGCACACACGATTTGGAAAGACTGACCCATGCAGCAGCTACCAAGCGCAGGAAAGGATTTTTTTCCCCGACCAAAGGTCAAAACAATTGCTATGTAAAAATGATATATAAAAATATTCATCTATCAGTGTAAATAACTATGCAGTTTCGGTGCACTCAAAGTTTTCTGCCCTGTGGAGTTCCCACTTGAGAAGTTAATGGAAAAATAGCCCAACAAACAAGTAGTCTTAAAACAACTAGTAATCACAAACTTACGTTTAAATAAAGTCTTCGAACTTTTGTATACTCTTGTGTGATGTTACGAATATTTAGTTTTGCATATAACACAGATGGAAGACGCGGTTGAGAATTTTCTAATTGTTTTAAACCTATAGTTTTTTGTGCATAGTAACCGTGCACAGACTTCGTGAGATATAACGTGTATAGCGGGCTCAGAACCCCCTAAAGCTCCATGGATAACCTCCTACCCGGCCCGCTGCTTTATCTTATCACGCAACACACTTTCACCATATAACTCGTAGTGCGACGCGATCATAGAACTAGCGGGAGAGGGATTCAGACTTCTTCTAAATTAGTGACGTAGAAGGCCTTTTGCAACCCACCTGAAAGTTCGTGCGCTTTAATTACGTAGAGATGCATTTACAAATTTAAATTGGCATTGAAACACGGAAGAGTTATTCAAATGAAGAAAGTACCTCCTTGCCTTTGTATTAACCAGCGCAAACTCCTTGTGCTCAAGGGCAATATGAACCAAGGCAGACAGGAAAGCTCGTATTTGAGCCACTTGCTTCTTTATCTTGCTACTTTCACCTTTAACTTCTTCCTCTAAAGTGTGCATAGGGTACCCTCCGAAAAAATATAGGAAAGGGTAGGGGGCAGTTGTACACTAAAACTATGAAAAGGTTCTCTTTTCAATCTTGCCGTATAGGAAGAGGCCCCTTTGATGGTTACAATGTGCCGGAAATTAATTAAACGCTTTATATAGTTGTGCCGCCAGGTCACCGCCGCTTTCAAGGCCCTCTACTGAAGTCTACTGAGCCGGTCTTTAAGCAAGCGCCCTTTTGCCGCCATTGTTGTCTTTGAGCGAGGCTCGCCGCCACATATCGACTTGGAAACGAGGCGGCAGTTGCAATCCCATAATTTCAACGCGTCGCTTGCGCTTACACGAGGACAGCTCAGCAAAATGGCCGCGAAGATGGACAAAGTCGACATGTCTTTGGACGATATCATCAAACAGAACAAGAAAACTACAAGAGGAGGAAGGAGAGGACGTGGAGGAAGAGGTAGAGGGAGGGGTGGACCAATAAGAAGTGGTAGAGGTCGCGGAATTACCAAGAATAGACCGACACCGTATTCAAGAGTGAGTGACAAAATATTTCTTCGAATTTCTATGTTGTTTCGACATTTTTGATATCACCGTTGCTAACTTGTTTTCTTTCTCTAGCCCAAACAATTACCAGACCGATGGCAGCATGATCTTTTTGATGGCGATAGTGGTTTCAGAGGAGGAAGGAACCGTAGCGGTGGTATTTCCACCGGCTGCAAACTTCACATTTCAAACTTGGATTTCGGTGTTTCAGATTCGGACATTCAGGTATTTGACGGTTTTTGTATTTCACTCATTATACCACAGATAGATCAGGCGATGTTTACTTGAGCGATAAACTTAGTTGAGAATGATACTTTCAAAATTGGCTTGAAGGAAGGGAGATAAAACATCAATATGCAAAATTTGAATTCGTACCACGACCTTTTTTCAACACATCACTTCATACAGCTCAAATAAAACGTCAAAGGAAAAAAAATCGTTAGGACACTATTATCCCAAACCCTTTGGTCCAGACTACTGGAAAGTTTTGCGAACTGATGAAATAACTAAAGAATTTTTGTACGAAACTCAAGGTTCGCTTCTGGTAATTTTTGTAAACTTGAAAATGTGCTTTGTTATTCTTGTTAAAATCTCTTTCTTGGCCCCTTTGATTGTTATGTCAGCAATCTTACAGATTTTACATCCGAAAAATTATTTGTGCGACTGATTGTCGATGAAATATTGGTGAATGACTATTGTTAAAGAAACAGACTCAAATAACATTACTTTATTATACATAAATTTGTGTACGTTTGACTTGTAGGAATTGTTCAGTGAGTTTGGAGATTTGAAGAAGGCCACAGTCCATTACGATGTTTCTGGTCGATCTCTAGGCACAGCTGAGGTTATTTTTCAACGACGTGAAGATGCGCAGCGTGCCATGAAACAGTATAATGGAGTTCCTCTTGATGGTAAAATATTTTTAATTTTTATTCATTGAGGCTGGTCAGCAAATCCTGGCTGGTAAGACCTCATCGTGCAGCCTTCAGTGACGACTTGGCCATTGAATGGGTTTGGTTACTGTTAAGGCTCATTCTTTCCAACACATGAAAAGCTGCCCTACTTCAGATGTTCCTCAGCATGCCTCTCCAGGTGTCAAAACATGGCCTTGGGTTCATTGTTTCATTCAGGAGCCATCTTGACCCCGCTACAGCTGTAGCTTGCAATGGAGCCATTCTGAGTTTTTCTGGTAATACTGAACATGATGTCTTCCTAGCTGCTTAGTTTGTTGCTGAATATATTAACCCTGTAACTCCTATAGGTGACCAGGACAGAATTTCTCCTTACATTATCAATACTATGTTAAGCAGCAAGTGATCAGAATCAAGAGGAATATCAATTAGGGGATTTATTTGATCCACTGCCAAATTTTCCAATCTAAAATTGTAAGAATTTTACAGCAAACTGTAAGGAGAATTACTACTGAGATCTTGGGAGTGTTAAGGGTTAACTTACAGGTAATCTTGTGAGGAGCCATACATCTCCTGTTGTCAAACATTCTGAATGTAGTAGAGTTATGTCATAATTTCAATTTATTTGAAAGTGTAAGGTTTATTGCTATCATTTTTGTTTTTTGGTAATGACAGCTAATCATGGTGTTAAACAAGAGATGTGTGGCTTTTTCTGCTTCTTGTTGCAAAGTGAAACATTGCTTGCTTGTTATTTTGTTTTCATAAAAATATTGCTCAGAAGTATGATTTATATTGCAAAGTGTTACCCCTTTGAGTGAGCAGAAAGGTGTTTACTGAAATGAAAAAGACCTGTTCAACACTAAAACTCAATAATTCCTTATTTCTTATACTTCAGTAGAAATTGCATGGAGTCTCTGCAATGAAAGCTGATGCACTCCTTTAACTTATTTTCATAGTGTATCAAATTGTGAAGTGCTCTTAAATATTTTTGTCTTTGTTGTAAAAATACAACATACAACTGGTGAAATATTTTAATTGCATGCAAAGGAATGGAGTGGCAGGTAGTAATCAGGAAGGCCAGGTTGTGCTTTTCATGCAGCTTAATCATCTGATGTTATTAGATAAATAATTGGTATGAATTTATAACACATATTTTACACTTTTGGTTGTGCATTGTAAGTCTTGTATTGCTTTTGTATTGTAGGAAGGGAAATGATTATTGAGTTGGTGACTGGTTCGTCAAATATTGGCAGTGGTGGTGGTGGAGGTGGTTTCCAAGGACAAGGGCAAAGGTACTGAATCATGAAATAGTGACCCATTTTTAGTTAATGCGTATAAGAATTCTGAAGGATGTTGCCAAAAGCTAAATTGATTATATGTATAATTGCATTCATCTATAGAAGGCGCCAACAATTTAATCAAAGCAGAGGTGGTAACAGTAGAAGAGGCAGAGGACGTGGTAGAGGAAGGGGAGGAAGAGGAGGTGGCTCTCAAAAGGCTAATGTTACAGCAGAAGATCTTGATGCTGAACTGGATGCTTATCATGAAGAGGTTTGATTATCTCCCTTGAATTTCCTTGCTTGTGTTTATTTATTCTAGATATCATTGTATTGTGAAATGTGTTAAGGCAACATGTGAGGCTAGATTTTGTTTCCTTTTTTAAGCTCTTAAATATTTACATTGTGATCTGTCTTGCTTTAATACTTTGGTGAAATGGAGTATTTTTGAGGGAAAACTTAAATACTTTTGTTCTTTGATATGCAGGGAGATGTAGACATGGATGATGAATAAGCAAACTTTCATCTCTCTCAAGCATGGATAAATACTTAAGAAACCAGACCTAAAACACGGACATTGGAGATTAAGCTCTTGAATATTTGCCAGTAAACATCTTGTTAACATATATGACACTATCAAATTGCTTTTTCAATTAATAAATTGTCAAAGGAATGTCTGAATTTTCCAAAAGTAATATTCTTCATGTCTTTCAGCCCAGGTTTTACTTTTTTTATGTCACTTGTCACTTATCTGCAATGTAATGTTTGGATACTTCAGGTAGTGAAGCCTAATCTCAGTGCTATTGTCTTGTTGTTAAAGGAGAAACTTTTAAGAAAGTGTTATTTTGATGAAGACTTTGTGATAAATTTGTTTGATGCTACTTTGTTCACAAGAACTTTAATGAACAAAAGTTATTGTGTATTGAAAAGTCACAAGTATTTTTAGCAAGTTTGGTCAGGATTTGTTTCAGTCATATAGTTCAATTTCTCATGAATATCAAATCCATACTTCTTCAATAATTAGTGTCCTCCAAGAAAAGAGTTGAACAGTGCCTTTGAAGTTTCCTTAATTTCTGTTTAGACTCCACATTTATAAGGATGTTAATGTTGTTAAGGGAAACACTTGTCAAAACAATTTTTTAACCTTGTTAAATAAATGTAGATATTTGCTTGTGCAAATTTTGTCTGATTGCTTTTCAACTGTAATTTGTCACACCTGTAGAACATTGTAAAAGTTTGTCTAATGTACATGACTTGGAAAAGAGAGTTGATAAGTGCAGCACTGAAGTGAATACAAGGAAACTTTTATTCAACTAGACCATGTCATGGATTTATTCAGACTTTAGGGGCTCTGAAGATACAATGTGTAGGTGGTCAAGTTTCCAATGCAGCTGTTTAGAACTTGTCGTACTTATGAATTAACATCCTGTTCATTGTAAGCTTATTCTAGTCAACATTTCAAGTTTAAGTAGTTGCCTTAAGTTATAGATCATTTTTATTCTTCAATCAGTGACCTATTGAAGTGGAATATTTTAATAACCTGATTTTTGAAGTTCCATTAGATCAAATTTGTTGTGATGTGTTAGATAAAAGTAATGTAATTCATGTACTTTCTCAGAGGATGGGAATTTTTAGTGTGAAATAAAGTGTTGTTTGTAGAAAATTTTCTCAGCATTTGAGTCACTGTGCTCATTTGGATGCTCTTGTGGGAAGGTTTAATTAACCCAGTATGCCTGAGGAGGTTGATAAACCTCTGGCTCTTGGATTCTTAGCCCAATGTCATTGCATTTAATAGGTAACAATTGAATTGATTTGAACTGTCACAATGTCTGAGCTAGAGAAAATTAATTGCTGTAATTGATAATTCAAAATCAGTAGTCCATGCGCTGAGATTTGCTTGCAGCAGCAGTCAGTTTTTCACATGGTGCTACTTGTGTACCAGCTTTGTCATTAATGCAGGAATTAATTTTGTCAGCCTGAATTTGTAGTTTATGCACTAGTAAACTTGAGGCCTCCACACCCTTACTTCAGTATGGATATCCTCCATACTGTTTTCTACACATTTCCCAAGGTGCTAGCAGGGCAAATTTGGGTAACAATCAAGCGCTTCTTTAGTTGGTGATCATTACCTCTGTTCTTGTAAGCTTAAAGTGATTTAGGGGTGATAGTATTCAGGGAGAAATTAGATGCTAGTTATTTTTTTGGGATATCATGTCATGTTCCTCTACGACAAAGAGGTAAATGTTCGAGAAGACCCTGGAGTTGAGTTTGCCTGTGAACAGCAATGACCAGCGGTATTCCATATTAGAGATGTAACTAATTATTACCTTGTTCAAAATGGCTCCAAAATATAAAAGTTATGATTACTGGAAACACGCTCTTAAATCGCCTAAATATATTGTGGCTCCAATGGTTGATCAGTCTGAACTACCATGGCGACTGCTGAGCCGCAGATATGGCGCACAACTGTGCTACACTCCAATGATTCACGCCGGTCTATTTGTGAAGGACGCGTTTTACAGAAGGGAATCTTTTCAGACATGTGAGGAAGACAGGCCTTTAATTGTTCAGGTATAATTCTCAATGCTGACTTATTTCACTGGCTTTTAGTTCTATAGTTGAAGCTATTTGCAAATCCATGCATTATTATGTTCCTTAACAAGCAACAAATGCGATGTAGTTGTTTGCATATTGGAATCAGCTGTTTTATTGACATGAAACCTACTAGATTGGTATTGTTTAAAGTACCGATCAGACCCAAATTTTAAAAAATACCAAGACCTCATCTGGTATTTTGTTCGTATATTTCACGCAAAATGCAATGATATACGATATACGCGAAAATTTCAAACGTGATTCAGCTTAAGTTTACAATGCCTTTTGTAATGGTTACTCGTTACTTTTCATTATCTTGTGAGTTTAAATTCTGTTATATTTTATTGCAGTTTTGTGCGAATGATCCAGAAATTTTCCTTCAAGCTGCAAAGTTAGTAGAACCTTATTGTGATGGAGTTGACCTGAACCTTGGCTGTCCACAGATAATAGCAAGAAGAGGTATACATATGCAGGAACTGGCCGTACACTGCTGATACAGTGGACAGATCAGAAGTGGAAAGTCAATTTTAAACTGATTGTTGGTTGTCTTGCTACCATAATTCTGGGAACTTTTCAAAGAAGTCTCAAATGTTGTGAAAGTTTGACTCAAACAACTTATAAAAATAAAATTAACTTTTCTATGTTTGTTTAAATCTTTTAGGTTGCTATGGTGCATTTTTACAAGATAAATGGGAATTGATAGCATCCATGGGTAAGATTTCACCAGTATGTCTGTGTGTCTGTTGAAATTTAATTTTTTCTTCCTTTGTGCATATTTGGCTTTGTTGTCTTTGCAGCTGTTGTAGTTGTGATAAAAGTTAATTTTGTGTCAGGGTTAAAAAAGGGGATAACAGGAATTGAGTGTGTTTTATTAAGCAATTAATGCACCATATTATAGGGATCTCATTGCCTTAGAGAGTCCAAATAGCAGCTATTTACCATACATATCAGAGTCTCTTCTTTGAAACAAGTAGTATATGCATGTATCTAATGGTTCTTTTTTCAGTTAAGAGTATTCCTTACTTTTATTGTTTGATTTTAGATCTAGTGCATCTGTCTCACATATGTTATATTTATTTTCATATTTAAGAGTGCATGTTTAATGTTTGAGTTGTACTTTCCTTTTCAGTGAGCCTACTCAATGAGAAGCTTTCAATTCCAATAAGTTGCAAAATCCGTGTGTTTGATGATTTGGGTAAAACTTTGGAATATGCAAAAATGTTAGAGAAAGCAGGCTGTCAGGTAATGCTTCAACTTTGTTCTCAAAATCTTTAATGCAAACTGTACTTGCCCATCAAGAGATGTTCCCCTGGGCTAGGTTGTTCAAAACATATTGAACTTAAGCTGGGGTTGGTGTAAAATTTTTTAATTTACTTTTATAGCTCTGCAAAGGGATTTCTTTTGTCTTTTCCTGCCAGTTTTAAGTCATATTGAGATAAAAACCAACAAAGCCTTTGCCTTTATACACACTTTCTACATGAAAAATTAAAAGTAAAGGTTGACTTTTGTTACTTCAACGTTAACCTCCTTCAAACAACCTGGCCCTCAACTAAAAGGACCTGCAGGTTTTTTAATTATCTCCATCAACCATCAGCATGCATTCTCTAAAAGAAGAAAAAACCCACCTGACCTAATGACCAGTCTTCTTTCCCAACTCAGGTTAAAATAAACACATTTTATCATAATTTAGATCTTCTATATTCCACTTGGACCTTTAAAAGTCTGCTACAGATTGATTGGTTTAGAATTCATTTCTTCAGGCTACAAAATACAGAAAGAAGATTGCCAAACTTGTACTAACAGATTTTACACTTCAGGCTGACCCCTGTCTATTTTTGTAGAACTCAATTTGTAAACTGTGCAACCTGCAGATGTTGACTTTTTAAGTGTAGTAGCACACTGTGACTTTATGCAATGTTGAATAAATTATATCCAATATTTCATTTTTACTTGACTTTGACTTGTAGCTGCTGACAGTTCATGGTCGCACAAGGGAACAGAAGGGACCTAATACTGGTCTTGCCAGTTGGGATGTTATTAAAGCAGTAAAGTTAGTGGAAATTAATTTAAATGTGTTTTTGTCTCTGATACTTGCAACACTCTAGTGTTCCATTTGAGGCTCTCAGAAGTGACAAAGAGGCTAAATTCAGAATTGATTCTAGAAGACAAACTTTCTCCCAAAACTTTGCACACATAATTCTTATCTCTTATTTAACAAAAATTATGATTTTGATTGATAGAGAAACTGTCTCAATCCCTGTGTTTGCCAATGGAAATATTCGCTATTTGCAAGATGTGGAGAAGTGCATGGAATGTACAGGAGTAGATGGTGTAATGACAGCAGGTTGGATTATTTCGTTGTGGCTCAGTAAAATAGATTTTAAAAATGTTAGTTTACTTTTTAGTTACAAAACAAAGTGATGACTTATGACTGTACATAGTCTCTCACTCCAATGGGCAAAACCTGACTTGACTCGTTTGGATCAATGGTAAATTGTAGTTGTGTCTGCTGATGATGCTCTTATTTTTGATGATCTACTTTGTGAAAGGTGATACAGAGGTTCAGTTTGTGTGCTTCTGCATTTTATGTCGTACTGAAGAAATGTAAAATGGTTTCCGTGTTTACATAGCCTGATGTAAACACACGGGAGGTTGGGAGAACACGAGTTAAGCGTAGGAAACCATGACGCAAAGCGGAGTGGTTTCCAGCTTATTGAGTGTTCTCCCAACCTCCTAAGTGTTTAGATTAGGTTATGTAAACATGGAAACCATTTTACATTTCTTTTATAAAATAACTAATGAGAGAGGAATGAAAACCGTGTTTACATACGCTCATGTGAAATGGTTTTATGGCCAATCAGAGCGTGCGTACTATTTGAATTATTTTATAAATGGTGGATGTTACTTTGAATGTATCTTAAACTAAGAACTCTTCAGTTTAAAACCTCTTTATATAAGGAACTGTTGTGTCATGTTTTTTTTTCCTTTTTTGTTGTAATTATTTGAAGTATGTTGAATGGATTCAAAGGGTAAGTATGCTTTAATGATTTTGATTCCAGAGGGTAATCTCAGCAATCCAGCACTCTTTAATGGTGAACACCCCCCAGTATGGGACATAACTGATGAGTACCTAGCACTGGTAAATGAACACCCTTGTCTGTTGTCTTACATCAGAGGTCATCTTTTTAGGATGTGGCGGATCATGTAAGTACAAGTTGTTCAATGAAATTGTTAGGAATGTTTTAAATAAATTTTATGTTACTCTTGTTATAATGTTGAATATCGAGCCTGGGCAAAACTAGAGTTTACCTCAACCCAAGTGTCTCAACCAATGCACAACAGGCTTTAGTTCAATGCTCAAGAGTGACTCACATATAGTTTCTCCTTACACTGTTGCCCCTGAATCACACCTCAAGGTAATGACAATAAACAAATTGATCACTTACTAAAGAAGCTTTTGTGTCAGCATCTGGGGAAAAGCATGGAGAATATGCCTATTGATGTTAGGATGGAAAGGACTAAGAAACACCACTTTAAAAGCTGAAGAATTTTTACATTTGGGTTAAGGTACATACATTTTTCCCAAAATCTCTCCAACTTTACAGACCCCTTGCAACCAGTTGCAGTGTTGTTAAGAAGTCTTTTTGATGTTTATTGAAGAAGCTTTGAAATACAGTTGAATTAAATATTGATAATAATCATTGTTGTTCAAAATTATTCTACCAATGAAATATTATATTAGAGATGTACATATATTATCAATGTTAAACAGTCTATCTTTTAAATAGGTTAGTAAATATGTAAAATGGTATAAATTTAAAGTGGCTTCCCCCTCATTTCTACTCCTTGCTGGCCATAAATGTTACTTCTATATACACAGTATACCATGATTAGGTTAAAATCCTTACACAAGTGAACTATACCACAACTTCAACCAACTAATGGCTACTATGCACTAGGTTCTTGATAAAGTGTAGTTTTTCAATTTTCTTTTAGTAGTTTCTCAAACAGTTTATTCTTCTCAATGTATTCACTAATTCATGTGCATGTTATGATAAGAAGCAGAGAGTGAACAATATTCTGGTGTTGAATACACAGGTACATGTGATAACACCAGCATCTAGAGAAAATGGGTTCTTCACAAAAAGTTGTAAAACATCACCTGCAGTGTGACTTATGCTTCTAATTGTGTTCTCAGTTAAGAGAACTTAGGATTTGCAGTACTCAAAACATCACTTGCTTATCAAAGGGGAAAGATTCTCCCCAATTAAATATTTCAAAGAAACTTCAGATGTTTCAGTAAAAAGGATTTTAAGACAGCTGAAGATATTTGATTTCAGGGAAGCTTTGATCCAATGAAACTACTCCAATTTTGCTCTAACTTTTTAAACTAATCAAGATATCTAGCAAACAAGGCAATGCATGAACGTCAAGTTTTCCTGTCTTGAAAAGTAATTTCTCATAGATCAAGTTTTGAGAAAATTTAAAGAGTTATTTTTTATTTAATGAATTATTGCCTGTAGGCAAAATATTGCAACTACCAGCATCAAGTTAGCCCAGGTGGTAGGGCCTGTATTGCATTTATTCTCGTGACAACAATCTATTTTGCAAGCCCAGCCATAACTTTTGCATTCTTTGTTGCTGCAATAACTTGCAGTTGCACAGTGCCTTGAGTACTGTATACGAAGAGTTCCATTTATGTATCCTTGGTTAATTTCCACTTTGGCGCAAACATCGTCATCCTCTCTGCAAACGTGTAGAGTTTTAACCTTATCACAGTCTTTCCACGAAGTTTCGGCATAACAGGTGTAGCATTGTAGACTTGATACTGCAGTTGGACCTGTTTAAAAAAGTCGTTATTATTTCTATGTCTTCAAAGTGTTGTTAAGCAAAGTCTACTGAACGACTGTTAGCCCATTTGCTTTCCGAACCCTTTTGCAAGAAGGATTTTAATAGACGCGTAAAACGATCTCATATATTTACGGTGAATTAACAGGATCGAGTCGCCCTGAAATGTAAGACGAATTAAACTAGAAATGCAGTCAATTACAACTGTTCTGCTATCAGGGAACCTTCTCTGGATACTGAATCTTGAAACCCTGAACTTAACTGAACCCTCTTCCCATCAGTCAGAACGAAAAAAATATCCAGGACTGGTAGAGTTAACAAGCAGTTTAGACAATCATTCACGAGGGTCATTTGTTTCCTCAGCTGCAAAGTCATTTGTTTTCTCAGCTGCCTCTGTCATGCCGTGAATTTCAATCAATCTATCTAAAATTAATTTGTTTCGTGTGGCTATCAAGTTCTAAGTTAGTAGGAAATAGGCTTCAGATGTAAGAAAGTCAGAAAAATTATAGCACTTTAGTATAAGTTTATATTTATAAGTATTAGTTTATATTTAGAAGTATTAGTTTACCAAGAACGCCGCGAATATGTCTATTGAGTAAAACACTTTTTGTTAATTCGAGAATTCACTTCAACAAACTCATTTGACATATTTTATGAGAATTGACAGAAAACTCAATTAACTCAAACTTGTTGTCTATACTCAGAAAAACAACAGCTTTTAAGACATGCTAAAACTCGAAAATGGCGTCATTTACAATGTCTCCTCTATTTGATTTCCAAAGAACACCTTATTTGTCCTTAAGTCTTTCTCACAAAATATAACTGATCGCTAAATATCTCTTATTTAAGCGATTAAAATCGGTAATCACTTGTGATGTAGACAGGGATATTCTTCGTGAAACGGATGGATAATTGAGCTTGTGTGTGACCTTGTGGACGTCACACAATCGCCTGTTTACTCGTAGATTTCCAGTAACTTTTCACTCTAACAACCTTCCTTGAAGTGGTTTTCCATCTCTGCCACGCGAAGTTTTTCTCTTAAACAAAGTTTACATTTTACTTTTAAGTCTTTACTCCATGGGCGGAAAAGTCAGTTCTGCTCTCGAAAATGAGATTTAAAAGCCGGTTTTGTTAATATTCATGTACCTTGCTTGGCAGAGTAACGTAATATGCTAATACAAAATTGCAACAAAACCATCTTGAAATGAGCGATAGTTTCGCGTGAGGTGGCAAAGGACTATCGGAAATAAAACACAATCAACCATATCAGGAATCGAAATTGTAGACTCTTAATTTGATTTAATTCAATCGGTAATTAAGTGTTATTGATCTCAGCTTTCTCTACTTCGTCGAACATGCTTACCGGAACTTTTCAGCTGTTAAATTTAGCGAGGCGAAATGATTTTGTTAGTCTAAATCACAGTTATATTTGTATGAAACGCGTTTAATAGCGAGAAGAGTAGAAGTTCTTGGCACACCTACCTGCGATACTTTCATTCTTGAGAAAAGACGAGAGGATGAAAACGGCGAGAAATAGCTTTATCCCTCTCCACGATTCCATTTCCACTCGTTTGAGTTCTATTCCTGCTTAGGGTAAAATATCTGACTTGTTGATACAAGAACCTCAATTCCTGGCCTCGCTGTCCTCTGAACTAGTTCAGTTCTGAGCGTGAATGTGCAAGTTCTTACGTCCAGTGAAATATGAGCCTCTTCTGAGCTCGTAATTAGTTTTAACGGGTTGCGTGATTATAACTGTAACTTGAGATGTTTCAAAAACTCTGCGCCATTTGCAGATTTCAAGCGCTTTTCAGTTGAAATCGCTAAGATTAACTACGGCAACGCGATTGTGAGCAGTAGATGAACATGTCACTTTCTTTCATCTAAGGCAGTGTATTTTCAATTTCAGTAATCCATCACATGTGACAGCTGTTGCCAAGTTTTAATTTTATCTGCCGTGATGAAACTTCATGTTTCCGGTGTGTTCACATTTTTTTCCTGTTGGTGCACAAATCTACCTCATGCTGTTGAAGCGCGTGAGTTTGAAGGGTGCTCGATCAGCATGACTAGAAACATTTCAACTGTGGGAGGGAAATTACGTGTAATAAAGTGGCTCATCCAACTAATCTGAACAATGGTCTCCTGTCAGGTTGTGCGCTTTTATTGCGGTTTCTTTTATCTCTCAGTGTTCGCTTGACTTCTCACAGTTCACACAGTTCTGCACAGTTCGAATCATATGTTTTTAGAAATTTTTGAAAAGTTTGTATATTTCTCGTCTTTTTTCCTCCTTACTTCGTAAGTCGATATTTTTGGCAAGGTTAATTCACGCCTTCTTGTGCTATCCTCTGTTAAGCCAATCGTTTAATTATTATTAGGTTTCCTTTTTTGCTTCTAATAATAATAGTGACGCGGAAACTACTGAAAATGAAAATTCGGTTTCTCGATGGATTGAACCTCTCAGAAAATCGCGGTTTTTTAGCGTAATGATGCAAATTAGCCATGTGACTTTGAAAAAAACAAGAAAAAACATAAAAGGAATCAATGATTTTGGTTTAAGCAAGGGGTTTTCACCATGGCAGACCAAGTTAAGAGAGGAACGGGGAAAGGCCCTAATTTCTGTTTCTATCACCCGCTAGGCTACCTCTTACCCAGTCCTACCAGAGTCTAGAGCATGTGTTGTCTAGTGTCATTGTTTATTCATACTAGTTTTCTTGTTTGTATTGGGTACGTCAAATTTTTTGGTGGAGTGTAAAACTGTGGTTTGAAATTTTAAACAGGTTTTTGGAATTTCTTCTGCCCAGTTCCAAAGACTGCTTTGATCATCAGTGCAAGAAATATGAGTTCGGGTTATTAGAATGGTTGACGATTTGGTGTATGTGGCGTGTCAAAATACTTTCGATGCATTCATCAAAGTACGAATGCTTTTAACATCAATGAAAGACAACCGATAATAATAGATTTTATCCCGATAATCGGTACGATTTGCGAGGAAGCCATTTTACTGCTATATCGATGTGTCTTGTTGAATGTGAATTACTGATAAGGTCTCTGTTGCTTTAGTTATAGCGTAGCCGACTGCAAAATAATATCTGGCTCTAGATCTCAAAATTTGTGATGTCTCACGCTTGTTATAAGTCTTTTTAAAACATCTTTTTCTCCTCGACAAGTGAGATCAAAATTCTACCAAAACGCTTTCGATATTGCTCACCTAAGCGACACACACGACCCTTATCACATAAATCCAGTGTACAGTCTCACAAATGAGCTCTGTCGGTTAGAGGGGATTCCAAACGCCTCATCAAACCTGGCTAAATTCGAAAATTTTCGGGAACTCGCATTTTCCTTTGTTTCGCGTTTGTGACAGTATTTAATGTTTCTTTGGTGATTAAAATCACTTCTGTCTTCGAGAGCGCTAATCTGGCTTTTAATCATGTGTAGCTGCTGGTAAATGTATTTGCACCTGCAGGGCTCTCATTTCATAAAGAAAATTAATAAGAAATAAAGTAGAACGAGGATGGAAGATGGAAATCTTTGCTGGTTCTGTCAAAATTCCGGGAAAATTTGAGAAGACAGCGTGTTTGACTCAGTTTTTTACATCCGGCAGAGGGATATATTCAAATATATTGTTCCTTAAAGCTGCATTAAACGGTCGTAACACTCAGTATTATTATAATAAATGTTTGTGCCAAATGTCAAAACGTGGCATCTTCAGCCAATTCCATTAAGAGAGAGACATTAGTATTTGCTTACCAAGCCACCACTAATTGAAATTTCAATTACACCTTCGAACGTTATTTCGCGACGCTCCTATCTGTCTGTCTGTGTTCTGTAAGTCGGAAAATATCATAAAAACGAGACTCAAATTTTATTTTAAAAAAAAATCAGGAAAAATTATTCTGTAAATCTTTTACTTCCTACCTTTCAAAGCAATGTTGGTAATTATTTTGTACCAGAGCATTTAAAGGTAGTTACAGCTTCCATATTTCCCATATTTGAAGAGAACACTAAAAGAACGCCATAAATAATGAAATGTTTATTTTAATTTGTTTTTACAACCGCCATTTTGCTTCAATTTTTCCGACGAAATATAATAGATGTGAATTTCTATATTTTAATAAACTGGCATTTCTCATTAGGGAACGTGTGGTTTGTGTGCTTGTTTTCCGAAAAAAATTGTTTTTGCAAATTTATGATAATGTACAGAATCATCTTCTATTAAAAAACTTCAGGCTGATAAGAAATGCGAGAGTAGTCGTAATGAATTTGTACATCTTTATTAGCCAATACAAACTGGGTTCTGTTATCTTAAAATTATCTTTATCATTTCCTTCATTCTTTTTACCCATGAGAAAAATCTCTTGCATCTTCCCTAACATGACATGCATTAGTATTGACTGTCGTCTCTAAAAAAAACTCGCTCAAACAAACCTAACATGTTTGTTATCAAGCGAATGCATGCTAAAATGGGTTTATTAAGGATTGATTGTTCTCAATGCCTTTGAGTAATGTTAATCTAAACTTTGCCGGTCATTTTCCACGAGATCAGCTTTCAGTTGTTTTTCATAATATTTATAGTTTAGTCTTTCCATTAATGAATAGAGAAATTGGCGTCAATGGTTTTGCTTTCGTTGCTTTTTTTCTCCACACCCCTCCCCACTCCCCGCCTCTCGCTTCACTCGAATCCAGTTCCTCCTCGGCCCTTTTCACCGGAGTCTGTCCACTGATTGCTCGCAGGAAAACAATCTTTTCTTGGAAGGGTTGCCATCGGCACTAAACGCTCTGTCCCATCCCCCCTGGGGCCTAAAAAGCCAATCTTGATCGAAGTCTTAGCCACGAGTAAAATCCCAACTTTTGAAAAGAATGGCTAACTATTTTTTGATAGCTATTTATTTACATGGTAATATATAGATTTAGGCAAGCCTAAAAGCGGAGCTCGCATCTTTCTTTCCCGCACGTCTCTTAAACAAAACTAAAGCCCCTACTATGGATAAAGTGCGGGGTAATATTAATGTATTTTCATTCGCAACTTCTCCGTGTCCGTGTAGAGGACTGATTATAAGATAGTGCCCGTGGTACAGTTGGCTGCGCATGCTAAAAGTAGCGCCTTGTGCGGTCGGTCGTACGGTCGTACATCCTAATTTTTTCGGTTTGATGGGTTACTACTTTTTTGTATAATAATGGGGCTACGCTCCGCGAGCTCCGCCATAACGGTTGTAGGTTAACAAAAGCGTAAAGCAATAAAAAAACCTCAAGGAAAGTACACATGACGTGACTAAGCACGGAATGCGTCAGTCATGATCAAGTCGTGATTAGTTTGTATTTCGCGTCTCTCGGTTGAACGCTTTAATTTTGAAACAAGGGTTGAAACCAATCCGTGATTGCTTTGTGTTTGCACCATACGTTCAGAAATCGGTTTAGAAAACTGGCACACCCCTTCTCACCACAAATCAGATGTAAAAAAAATCATGAGTCACATTTTCCAACACTTTGGAGGGTTTGACTGTTTCGCCTTGAGTTCTTATCGGCTCTCTTTGATATTTTCATGACTTATGATCATATTCAATCGAAATACGCTCTAATACCCGTTTTAAACCAGTTTACCCAAGACACTGAATTTTAAATTGTCAATCTAAAAATAAATTATGAATTCGAATGAGAAACGCAAGGATGCGATGATAAAAAACAAGGTTCCTGGCATTCGGACAGTTCCGTTACAGAAGTCTGTGTTACAGCAAGAGAGGTCACAGTGCCATTCATGTTCTTTGCATTCCTCGCCTGAACATGTTTCAGGAACATTGCAACCCATGGCGTAACTCACTTCCAGTTTTTCTGTTTCGGATCTAACCCACCTTGTTCGCTTAATCTTATAACAAATGTCTCCTTGGCGAGTGCACTCAACTGCTGTTAGATTTTCTCGGCAGTTACTCCATGATTCTGGTGAATAACATTTGTAACAGCGGAGCTTTTGTCCTTGTGTTTGTGACGACCTTTCTGTCAAGGAAGACGAGTAAAAGTTGTCAGATTGCTTCTGTCGTAATCTTTATTTAGAAAAAGTCGATTGAACAATGGACCCGAGCGCGGGAAAGTCATGAGCTGAGAAGTCATATTTGTCTTAATTTCCTCATTTTAAAAGTAATAATTTTCCAAGACAGACATCATATAGATGGTGTTAAATTTACGAACGTATGGGGTTTTGTTTCTGTTTTCTGTCATCCTGTACTCTTCTTTAACCACAGCAGATTAGTAGACGAACGTACTGTTATTAGGAATTATTACTCTCTCGGCCAGTTGAGAGGCAAAATTTCATTTACGATATGCTGTCAATGACAAACGGCTGTTCGCCATGGCAACTGCAAAACCCCCTGCTTAGTCCGACCCCACAGAAGAGCATAATGAGTTTGTTTACTTCGTTCATAATCTTTCACTGAATCAATCAAAGTCGTTTTCAAACAGTGTTCTCACACGGGTTGTTATCAGTGAAATTCGGTGCATTTGCAGTTTGGGTTCAAAAAGCATGCGTGTGCTCCTGTAAATCACGTGAACACCAGCAGGAGAAAGGACGGGCTTAATGCGATTTCTTTGCAAACAAAGCAGCTCCAAATTTTGGTACTTTCCTTCAGGGGCTTTTCGCATCCCACGTATTTCAAAGGATATGCAGTTTTATGGGGAAATCAGACTTGCTCATCAGCTACCAGATAGCGTCAGTCCGACAAATCTTCCTTTCTCTTTAATCCCCGGGTATCAGACAGCAACAGCAACTATTAAAATTTTGTTTTGATGAAAAAATAAAATGAAAAAAGTATAGAAAATATAGAATTAATTTTCGTTCTTCTAGGCGGAAGCACTTAAGCTACTGAAAAAATTAATGAAAGAAAATCAACGACTGAAGTAAACATGCCCTTACGTACCGATCGCCGACATGAGAGGAAGCAAGCGCATAACATTACATAACTTCTTCAAAAAAACAAGCTTGATCTTCGTTCGATGGTGAAATTTTCGGCAAAGTTGTAGAGGCGAATTGTTTTTTGGAACTTGATTTTCCTTGCTGACAGCTTTATTACGTTCAATATGCGTCTTAGTTCTTCATAACAAGTTAAAAACCTGTAAGAGACAGGTGGCAAGTTTTTTTAACTTGATTTGCCTTGCTGACAGCTTTATTACGTTCAATATGCATCTTAGTTCTTCATAACAAGTTAAAAACCTGTAAGAGACAGGTGGCGGTTAAGTCACTAATTTATTCAGTGACAAGAAATTTGAAGTGTTCGAGTATTTTCCGAGTCAGCCATCGAGGTATTTATTGACGTTCTAACGTTTATTTACTCTTCCTTCCTTTTAAAAGGGGGTCATTAAACCGAACATCGCTCTGTTGTTTAAATGAGAAATAAGATTTGAGTTCCCTTCTGTTTATTTAAAGCGTGTAGTCGAGGTTGTATGCAAACGAAAAAATGTCTTTTTTGGAACTTATGTGATGGTCAAAAGACACGTTTTTTTGTGTTTGGACAGTTTCTTATCGGACCTTCCAATAAGCCAATCTCATCCAAAGTTTTAGTTTTTATCAACCAATCACATTTGAAGTTGTGGTTTAAATCAACCGATCGGACTTTGTCAGTCTTTGAATGCAAATTTTCCCTTTCTTTCATAACTTGGCTATTCTTCTTCTCTCGGAAATTGTAATTTTTATGATTAACTGGTAATAAGACTTCCTGTCGTCCAATTAGGTCTGTAATCATACTCGTGATAAGCAAATCGGACTCCCGCTGCGCGGTCGTCCAATTTTGTTATCAATCGTATTATTAAAAAATAATTGGACACCACTCAGCCATATTACTCTTACTAAAAATTCGTAGGAAACTTTAAACGGATGCTTCCGATTTAGTGACGAATTGATTCCAAATTTCTGGGACTGTGTTGATTATTTTACCTCCGTAGACGTAACAAAAAGTATTTGTGCTTTTTTTTCCTTTTTCCAAAGGAGCGGGGACTGAAGTTATAAATTTTCATCGTTGTAAGCTCGTTTTTTCTTTCGAAAATGTAGTTTATTTTTTATTTCTTTTAATTCTATCAAAATAGTCAAAGCCGCACTTGGCCTATCTCCCTTTTTATCGCTTAAACATGAAAAAACAATCGTCGTTATCTTCGTAATTTTTATCTTAAGTCAATAAAGGCTTTTCTAATCGTTATAGTCAGTGGGTCAGTGACTTTGACATGTTTGATCTGTTTTCTGCCGATAAAAACGACCAAAAAAAAAAGATGACTAGCAACTGAGTCACTGCAGCAGAGTCCCTTATATCAAATCTTCAAGATGTTGACATTTGTCGTGAACATTTCACGTGAACTCGGTCCTAGGAAATTTCGCGAACCGGAAGACCATCAACTGTGCTCGAAAAACTCGTTGATGGTATGTACAAGCTTCACTGATGTAAGCTTTCGGTGTCGGAAAGTTGATTTGCATATAGTTTTGCGTACACGGTGTCATTTATTTTCAACCGGGTCAGGTGCGTAACGATCATTGAATTGATGTTTTATCTTGACATTAAAGCTAAAACTTTCGAAACAAGGACTTGTCTAATTTCATCTTTGTCGGTCTAGTAACTGTTAGTGCGGAAACATCATGCTAAGTATTTTCAATAACGGCGAAAATTTTGTCAGTAATCAAGATGAAATTGCTATGACTACGAATCAAATTCCAAGTTGGTCTGTCGCGTTTCTGTTGGTTTCACGTCTCTTGTATGTAAATATTAGCCTGGCGGCTCCGATTCACTCTCAGCTGTTTCCAATTTTTATTTTCCGAGTGAACCTTTTAACTCCCAGAAGTGATTAACTAATAACTTCCCCCTACAATGCCCATGCACTATCCAGCAAACAGGTAATGAGAAAACTCAAATGTGTCGGGCAGAATTTGTTACCTTGATCTAACACCAAATTCTCGTCACTAATTTACAAGGAAATGTGTAGCAGCTAGAGGGGAGAATTAACAAGCAGATCTTGGGATTGAAAGGGTTGAAGAGAAAAAGACATCTTTTAAAATACTGCGTCGCAATCCGCTATATTTTCGCCGATTGTTCAATTCAGTTGGATTGCCGAATTGGTCATTGCAAAAATCCACCTTTGATAACGTTTTGGGAAAGTTGGCAGAGATGACAATGTTTATTTTATCAAAATAGCAGGAAAATTGCGGGGATGTCAGTGTCGCCTCAAACGTCAAGAGATAATTTCTTCTTGAGAGCTACCGCAGTTTTCTTAAGCTTCTGTGTTTGGATATGATTGTGTCAAATATCGCAAAGCGGGGTTTCTTGAATTTTATTAAAATCTAGAAAAAAGACTTTTCATATGCATTTCTATACCAAGTATAATGCCGTCATTTCAGATCGTTTTAATTAAAAAGATTAGTGCGATAAAGTTTTTACATATAAGTTTTCAGGTGTTGTATTTCACCTTTCTCGTGATGATTTCCATCGACAGGAAAACTTAGCGTAGTTGGTATATTATGTTAGAAAGTGAAAGGTAATCCTGGACACTGATCATTTTTAGTGATCGTGCCTTTTAGTTTATGAATAAAAATTTGAGCCTTAAGGCAAGTACGATTTGGATTTTTTTTAAAAGAGGAAACCGGAAAACTCGACTCCGAAGACAACTGCTTCAAACAGAAATTAACAACTGAAAGGTTTCAGTCAGTTAGAAATGACTTGAACGCATCATATTTTTTTTAAACATTTGTCCCGATAACCAGTTGATCAGTTAAAGTTTCCGAGGTAGATTATGTATCAAACTCCAGTGTGATATATAGGTTTTGTGAACGAGGATCTGAATCTTGAGATAAATTTCTATATTGAGGCCACAACATTATATAGATAATGAAAATGAATTAAATAAATGGAAATAAAGTAATACCTTGCTTCGATGTACAGTTTGCAAGCAGGAAAGCAAGGAGAAGCGTTCTCCTCCACAACTTCATCACAGACCCAAGCATGTCTCTCATGTTTCGTTGATGTATACCGTGAAATTGTTAAGGCGCCGTCTTTGTCACTTGATCTGCGTCACCGTGTTACTTAATGGTGTTACTGTGTTATATTGCTTTGTAAGACCCTTTTTGTCCGCACAGCTTTTATTTGTTTTAGTATTATTGACAGACAGAATTAAGCATGGAACACAGGCATACCACCCAATGGCACGTCGGAAAGACTCTTGAGCCGGTTAAACGAAATGTGTATGTGTTCTGATTGTGGCAGAGAATGATAAAATTTGCAATGCCTATAGATGTGAAAATCTCACTTAGTGGAATGAATTATTAAGATACTGACGTGTGGGGGTTTTTTTTTTGCCTCTTTCAACGTCCTCTTACGGGATCACTCTATCGCTGAATTCATAAGTCAATGTGGAGGTTGAGAGCGCTTCAGAAGAAACTGTTTAAAAAGGAGAAGATGGCAAATCAGTACACGTCTGCGTGTTATCATTTTAGGCCACTTTTCCAAGACCTTGTGAAAAAGAATTTTCATAGCTTTTAATTCAAAACCGTCTTTCATATCTTCATATCCTTGTAAGTTGTCTTACATGTAAACACAATTCGAAGGTTGGTAAGCCTGTGCTTGGACAGTTGCCACTTAAAAACTTCTTTATTCTCAAATAGCCAACAGCATTTAGAGACTTATTTTCAGGCCAAGGCTCCGTTGGATGAATTTACTGCTCTCGAGATGATGATGAAAAATCCAGTGAAATTCAAATTTTCAGTTTCAATTCTTAATCATTCCTTGACGTGTGTTTCATTTTCATAATTGAAATGGAATAGCTGACGCCATGTTAGACCTGTTAGCTATTTAATTTCGGCGGAAATACGAACGTCAATGTATGTGTTTCTTTATTTATTTAATACTGAAAAACAGATGTCTATTTTGTTGGGCTCATACTTGAACGTGCGTGCGCTGGACTGACACATGACCAAAAAATGGGAAAACTACGCCTCTTCTTTTGTTATTTTCAGTTATTTGGGAAACTCTTACACTGATTTCTTTTTCAGGTTCTATTTATAAAAACAAAAGAAGCTTCCAATTTAGACTTGTTTTTTTAATCTCTGGATTATTTGCTTTCTTGAATGACACCCAAGCAGAAAGTGAAGTAACGATGAATATGTATATGTATATAATATGTATTTGTTTGTGTAGACCATTTGTAATTAACCGGTCAACTTGAAATGAATTTAGCTGTAGACTAATTGCGCTGCCTTTCTCTTAATTCGGTACAAAATTAAACCGTCGATTTGTTTTATTTTATTGCTCATGAAAAAGCATTTTGGCCATGTTAAGTTTCCCTCAATGTCTATTGTACAAAAATGTTTTATTTTGAGGTATACAGTTTCCCTTTATTGAATAAAAATTTCACAAAAGATAAGAAATGTAAAGATATCCCTTCACATAAAATTTAGCCACTCAGTCGAAAAATGAGATGGATGATTTTGATTCGAGGCAGTGAAGCTTATGTAATCAGATGAATTGCTGTTGAAAATGTACAATTTTTTCTAAAGTTTTAAATGACATTTTCCCAGCCAATCCACAGAGTTGCTGGCATAGTTATCCGTGAAGTATATCAGTTCCGGTTACGCATGATCCCTGTAAGTGTTGTTTGGAGCACATGCATGGCAATTCGGGACTTATCCCGTATCATTTCAGGTCACAAACCCGTTTTGTTACTAAGTAATTCGGGACTTATCCCGTGTCGTTCAAGGTCACAGACCCGTTTTGGCACAAGTCAATCGGGACTAAACCCGTCTCATTGCGGGTCGTAGTTCCGTTTTGTTGCAAGTCAATTGGGACTCATCCCGTATCATCGTGGGTCGCAGACCCGTTTTGGTACAAATCCAGTGGGACTTATCTCTTAGGCAGTGCGGGTCAAACGCGGTGATACCCGTGTAAGTGAAAATCAAATTGAACTTTTTTTCCTAGTATTGCGGACTGGTTGTGTTTGTTCGTATTTAAAAATCTTCTATTTTTTTTAAAGGTGCTTGAAAACGCCTAGCACTTAGAGAACACAATTCAACTGTAGAAGACAAATCAAAATTACCAGCACACCTCCCAGCAATGTGTTCGTCATATCAGCCGCTCGTTTTGTTGCGGTGTTACAGCCGTCGCGATGACAACAGTCAATCTGGCAACTTGTACTACGCTTCTCGCAATCTTTGACAGCGCACAGTCTTGCTTGACCGCACATTTTTATAAAAGCTTCTTTGTATCCTTTGTTTGAGCTGTCATCCTTTGTCACTTTATGTTGCGTAATGCAGACTTCATCGTGACCAGGTGTACAATCGACAAGTTTTTCAGTCTTTTTACAGTCCTCCCAAGATTTATACGATAAACAAAGGTAGCATTTGAGATCCGCACCAACACAGGGAACTGAAAATGATAATTAACAAAGAAATGAAGCTATGCGGAACTCAAACAAAGGGGTACGTAGACAAAGAACACAAATTCTTTTAACCGCATTTCCGTTGAGGGACCTACAATAGTTTTCGAAAGTAATAACAATGTTTGTAGTGTTTTCGTTTTTAAGAAAACTCCTTTTAATTTGACGAGCAGCCTTTTCAGCCCGGTCTACACTTTTAATAATAGCGTTCTTATTAATTATTCGAGTGAAAGTTCCACTAAGAGGTTGTCTCAGTATGACTCCACTCAACAGTGCCAGCTCAGTTTCTATTGTCTTCACAACTCTTTCATAAGTATAATACTGATATGTTCATGAGAGATTCAAGGCTCGTGTGCTCCTCGAGATCTCGTTCGCAAATAGCGAGGCCGGATATTTCCCTGATTTACCGGGAGGAAACTGGTAAGGTCGTTGGCGGCTAGTCATGAATCAGATGAGTCTTAAATTTCTCAAACTGTGTCCATATGACGACAATCTCAGACCAGTTTCATAGATTTGTTTTAGTTAATCATTGTACAGTAAGGAGTTTTAGAGAAATTGCACTGAGAATCATAGAACAAATTACGTCCGGTTGCGTGTTATGGAATTCGAGAACATCACTAAATTGCTTCCGTGCCACTTTTTTCGGAAATCCGATTCTCTTCGAAATTATCTTGAAAAGCAAACATAACCTGATGGTAATACCGTGAAACAGCATCTGTCTTAATCATCACGTACTAGGGTTTCAATGGCAAGTTTAGGTTGTTTCAGAGTGAGAAGGTTCTTTATGGGCCACGAACAAACTTCCCTGAGTCATGGTCTAATTTCGTGCAGGCGTTATTAAACAAGTATGAAAGCGGAAGAAGATCCAACTCAGATTATGTCGACGTTTTCGAATTCTTTGAGTAAAAATATGAGTCGATAGGTGTCAAATTGCTAAAACCGACGTTCATCAAGATTGCAACAATTAACTAAGAAAGCTTTGCCATACAACAAACGAAAGTGTTCAAGGTTCCTAACCCCAGGCGGGACTTCCTGTATATTTCCTAATATCTTATTTGTAACATTTATTAAAACAGTCGATCTTTGCATTTGGTCTGAAACTTCATATCGAGTTCATGTCTAGTTTTTAGTAACTGCAGGAAGTAGATATAAGGAACTATTTCTCAGTCGTGCAATACGGAGTATAGAATTGTATAAAGGAAATTATTATGCAGAAATTTCTTCTTGTATCAATTTTTTTTTCTGAGCAGATTTCTTCACCCAACATTACTTTTCCTTTCAAGAGAGCAGAGCTTGAGAACGTGGCGGTTTGAAATTTCATTTCTGAAATGAATATATGAATTGTATACGAATTTATATATTAGATTTCCTTCAAATCGTTCGTCATCTGAGAACGATAAACCTACACAAATCCATCCAAGTTCTTGTTTAAGAGATTATTGCATTGATTTTGTGGTAACCTTTGAGGCCGTTTAAACTGGTTTTCTAATTCTTACTCTGAAACAAATTTCCTTGAAAGTAGAATTGCTTATTAAAGCGCAAGTTGTTGTTGATGTAAGAATTATCAGCCTTTTAATGATGTGGTCTAGCAACTATTATTGTTTGGTAACTACTACAATCGCAACAAGTTACTAACTGACTGCAGTAAATTATACTTTGAGGAACAGCGAGCAAGAAATGGGAGTGACTCGTTGGTTTCATCTTTTACACTCTTCAGTTTTATCTACGAGGAATTAAACCGGAACTGTTGCATTCCGTTGATTTTTTCCGCCATTAGAATTTATTTGAAGCGATTCAGTTGAATTATTGCTGATAATATTTTCTTCTCTCGACCATTCCTCAAATAAGTAGAATAGATTGAGAAAAAAAATAAAAATTGAGTCATCACTAGAGCTTTCATAAATCTGCACGTGAAATAAAAAAAGAGCTTGTCGCTTACCCACAAACATCAGTAGCAATACTGACAACGAAGATGAGTATATCTTCTCAAGCTTCATTTTCGCAAACAGCCAAGTTATCCCCGGTCGACAACTTAAATGCCAGCCTCCAGAATACAATTGCCTCGAAATTTCCATCTGCGAAGATATTTAAACCGGTTTCGAGCCCTGACAGGCACTGATGTGATAGCCACATTTCCGCGAAGCTCAGTGCACAACGTAGCGATTGACATATCTTGTTTGAGGTCTTACATGACTGACAGTCTTCAAGGTCACGTGCCCGTATGGTTGGATAAACATCCTAATTATTATAAAATTAGCATTTTATAACGAGGGTTTCATTTCTTAAGCCAAGTTTTTAACAAACTTCACCGATGTGTTGTACATAATTGTGGGGTCTTGCTGGATGACTAATGGCGTACAAAGCACGCTTTTTATGCCTCAGTAACTTTGCTTTTGGTAACTTATACTTGCTTTTAGTAACCTATACTTGAGCCATCGTACCTCAAGTTGAAAGCTTATTACCATTTCCTAACGTCACATAGTAGACAACATGGTGATCAGTGTGCATACTCACGTTCCTCTGTACACCATTCTTGAGCAGCACCAACGGTGGACCAAAGAAGGGTTTACTCGGTTTTTGCAAAAGAGTGTGGTTTTCCGTTTTTAGTGAACAATGGTACGAAAAGGTGCTCAGCACAGACGATAGATAACGAAACTGTGAGGGATAACTGCACGATACTTATTCGTGCTCTTGGTTCCCATAAAACTTTCCTTATGTCAATTATGTTGAGTTTTGATCCATGTATTTTGACGTCAGTTGGATCTGGACCAACTAGGGATTGTTTTGGAAGCTTTTATCTGTTCCGTAAACTATTTTCTTTCTAAATATTTCTTTAATTTATGTTAGTAAATAATCACTTTCCTCGTTGATTTCTTCTGTCCATCTGGATTCCTGTGTTCACATCTTGTTTAAGTAAAGCTATTGCATATGGGTTAAGAACAGATTAACAAGGTTATATCCATTTTATTGATAGTTTGTTGGTTTATGGTAAAGTTTCGTTCACTTTCGGTGTGTTTTATCATTAGGACAGAACGTAAGCTGGACTATTTCCGGGTTCTTTTGACGAGAGACTATTTGCATGCATGATTCAAATTAATTGTTGTTAAATTTGGAGGCTAAAACAATCTTCATATGAAAAGTTTCTCTCAGAAATTAAAAACAAAAGAAATGACCTTCAACCTGTGGCTTTCCGGACATAGTTTTCTTCCTGTTGAAAACCTGTCTTTGAATTTTTTTATTGCCTTGGCACTTTTCCTCATCCAGATCACCACTTTTGCTTCTAATCTGAGTGACAGCATTTACTGCACCGCTACTGGGTATGATAATGTCAATGACAGGCATTTTGAATCATCGTTGTGCACTCTTTCCAGTTTCTTCGTTGAGGTAATCAACTGGGGAGTTTTTCTTCTTTTCATGTTCCCTCTACTTTGCTGAATAGGTCAACAATGATACTTAATTTTGAAAAGTACTGGGAATCAAGTTAAAAACGCATGGGAGTTGAGGCGCTTTCAGCAAACCTGTGACCGTTTCTCTCTGGAAACGGTGTATTGCGTTAACCGCTTAGGACTTTCGTTGACATAGAAACTGAGTCTCTTGAAAAAGATGACTTAAACGTTGGAGGTGGTATGATACTTCTCGCGGACCTGATAAAGAATACTTAGCGGTATATGTTTTGTCGGTGATTAAAGCCTGACAGGTCTTAAGAAGTGGCAATATGCAGTGACATTAGTACAGAATTGCGAGTCGTTTTAAAACTTTACACCTAAGTCTTTAAGTTGAGTGATCCGCTACGTACCCGCTATGACCATCTACAAAGGAAAATTTATTCCCTACGGGTAAAATGCCCCAGTCTCCTTTAAAGGATTAAATAGGTGATATATTCGTTGGAGTGATTTCATGAAAGATATATGGCGATTAAATTCACGAACATCAGTCTCGTCACCAACATTGTTCGAGTTGATAGTTCCGTGCTAGCTGTATTGCATAGATCCTCATGACAGCATTTAGGGTCGCACCGCGCTCCATATTTTTCGCAGTTTTTGTTTGTGCACAAATCTGCCGTACCACAAGTTCTGGAAAAAAGTTCCTCGTATTCATCTCCAGTGAGTTCCTTGTAACGCACTAGATGTTCTTTGATGCAAACTTCGTCGTGCCCATTAGGACAATTTATGAGTTCCATTTTCGCATTGCATTCCTCCCAAGATATGTTAGATACACACGCATAACATCTGAGGGCCTCACTGCAACGAGGCACTGAAAAAGGAATAAGGAAACGCTGATAAATTTCCTACCGGAGCAATCTCGTTTTCAGGGTTTTCGAAGGGATAAGTCCTTGGAACGAGTTTGCAACTGTTGTCACGCAATCTGTTATTTTCACTAACTAAAAATAAAGTGATTGTCATCGATATTCTCACTGGATTAGACTGTTGTGTCATTCGGTTCTTGTCTGACGTCTGCAACAAAAGCTTAGTTTAGTAAGAACATATCTTCTCGTCTTTCTGAAAGAGGAGATCTGTCTGGGCTTTTAAAATCCCAGTCAGACTGACATTTTTCCTTTTTCTCGTTTGGTCCGAATCTTTTATTTCTGGTTGCCTCTCAGCAGGAAGTTACAGTGCATCAGCTCGTTTAAACCATAGGCCCTCAGGGATTAGGAAGGTTTAACAGGCAAATGAGCCTATGGCCCCTATCATTGGAAAGTTATGGGCCATTTATAAAACGTTTGGGCCATTAGGGTAAATAAATGGGCCAGTAAAAAAAGGTTTATTGCTTGTGTATTACAGTCTATACCTATACGGAGACATGGTTTTTAGGCATGAAAAACCGTTGCCATGAATAACCATCCGCTATATTAACTTCAAGTGATCTTCAAGGTTTTTGAAATGTCGTGTGACCACCAGAACAAAACGGTGATGATAAATTGCTATCAACCATTCGGCAGTTCAGTAATTGGCAGTGGTCTTCTATAAAAGCTGCACTAACCTGACACTAACCAAATGAAACATAATTGTTTCTGACATCAGTTATGTTTCTTAATTACTTTGTTTTTGACAACAAAAAATTATTTGTTTTGACCATTATTGTTATAACCATATTTTAAGGTCAGAATAAGTTCAATAACAGTAAATGTTTGTTCGTTTTGCCAATAACAAATAGGTTACAGATTTTAAACCATTAAGTTTAGGTTAAACCATCTGTTTCGTCCGTTTTACGGTCGTTTTCGCTCATAGTATCACGTATCACGATTCTGCTCCGCTGTTGTGTTGAAAAATGTAGACAACGTTCTCTGCGAGCTGTCCAATCTCAAGACTTTTTTCGGAGGCATGAGGCTAATCGATGCAAATACATTCAAAGCGACGAAAACGCTCGAACTCTGCTCGAAAACGAAAGCACATGGAACTCCGAGCAATAGCCTCGTTTGCATGCAAAGTCCGAGTTCAGGATCTGGGAACAAGAATGAAGCGAGCGTGATCAAACGAGCGAAGGCACCGTAGTTTTTCGCTTGTTTATGTCTCACCAAAGTGAAACTTTTACAAATTAAAATCCTTTTCACAAAATAGTTTATATTTCACTAGCTTTGTGCGGTCAGGGCGCATCACAGGCCCGGTAAGTATTTTTATAATGGGCCATTTCGTAGCTTTATGCGCCATACGCGCATGGCGCATGGCCTTCCTAATCCCTGGCCCTAGAGCTTTTCTTTGTGCAGTATGAAAAACCTCGAGTACCAGGTGTACGGTTTTGTTGTTCTCGTAATTTTGTATAGTTTTAGGTTTGGCTTCTTACGGATATTTTATAGTACAATTGATTGATGGAATGCAAATACAACATGAATGTTTTTTCTTTTTGCCAAGTTTTTTGTGTTTCTCTTAAGAGAAAAAAGAAGAGGAGCGGAAAATGAATGCATCAGAATGGGAAGACAATATGTGTATTTGCACTTTGTTTCTTGGTCGTTTCTGATGCTTCACAGAATAGAACCTATCCTGTCGGGTGACACAAAAACCATTTGTGAAGGTCTTTGTGTGACTCTGTGAAAAAAAAACAACAAACAACGCCGCATTTGTAAAGCAGCATATGTATTGTGCTCCCGCTGGCACAAATTTCACCGCTGTGAATGTTAAGTTACAAATGAAAATATTTTGAAATATAAACTAACTGTGGAAAACAGGTTTTTATAGTGTACATGTTTCGCTGTGCACCTTTCCTTCAATCCCCATTAGCGTAAAATCGCTTGTGATATTGAATCACATCTGTGTCGCAACTTCAAAGGTCATTCTCAGTGATTTGCATAACTTGTGACACAGTACAACTAATTAAACGAATCTCCAGAGGAACCTTCGGGTAACTTTCCTAAATCGGAAGTTTTTTTAAAAAAGAAAAGAAAAGTAAACTGAAGGACAATAATGATATTATTTTGGTCGGAGAGTAAACTAAAGCTCCCTTACTCTATTGTGATAATTAGACCAATTTGAATTGTTCAGTTGACTACACTGAATGTTGCGAAATATTTTAGCAATTAAATGGAGGAAACTTCTCTTATTTCGTTGCTTTCACACAGAATAGACCAAGAAGCTCCCAAACCAATTAATATATCATTGTGGTGACTTTTTTCAAAGTCTCTCATATAATTTGAGTTTGAATGGTGGCCTTTCAAAGCGATTGCATTCAAAGTGATTGTTTGCAATCCTTAAATCTGTGAAGGAAATATTTGCCCATTGGCGCTGATTTGTAACGCAGAGGTTTTACACAGATTGTTCGTATATTTCGCATGTTTTCATTTCATTTGATACCGTGTGCTCGAAAGCAAGAACTAATTTATTTGTTTGCATCGATTGTTTGCCATGGTTATTATTAGCTGTTAGCAGATTTCAATGTCAGCTTAGAATGTAACAAAGAAATTTAAAAGAAATTGGCCTCGGATACAAAGACAATTGACTATTCTGCAACTTCTTAAAAGAAAACTTTCGTCTTTGCATCAAATTAAATACGAACATTTCGTGACTTGGACGTCTTCACTGTGGCGTCTTCACTGTGGCCTCTACACCATTTTCATGTAAACAAAACAAAACATCTTACTTACCCTTTGTCAGTAGAACTAAGACAAACGACGCGTAGCGAAGAAAATTCGAGCGCATTCTTCCGCTCTCAGGATTGAAGAGCTAGCAGCTTTCTTCGTCAGATCCTTTTGTAGTGTTGGCTTTTTGTATTCCAGTCGAAATGTGACTCGTAATGTTAGAACGATCTATTAGTAGCAAGATCTCGTGACACGAACTGCGTGCGCGAGAATTAAAGCGTGACTGTGTCGTGTATTAGGATTACTTTCGGGAACAAGAGATCATCGTGACGTGTGTTCGAAAATGACGGCTGAAAATTACAAAGTGTAATGGGGAGTTTGTTTAGTAATCTTAAATTTCTTATTTTGTGAAGTTTTTTTTTCTAAAAGCAGATTTTTCAGTCAAGTCGCTCTTTTTTCCTCTGATATTGATTTTGTAAATTTAAATTCGGTCGCCAAGTAAGAGTGTATATTTGCATGTCATTGTTATTGTCTGAGGGGAAGGCAGGGAATGTTTGCCTCAAAGGATTAACTTTTGCAAGAGGGCAAATGTTTGTTTTTTGTATTAGGTCATTTTTGTTCGTCTCCAGCTCATGCACACACTTAAAAAAAGGTGTATAAAAAGTTTCAAGGGATTTTGCTAATCCAAGAAAGTCTGCCGGTGCCCTCTGCTCTAAGGTGACCGCTAAAACCATTCGTAGTTGTTCTGGTTGTTTAGCAAGTCGTTGGGTGTCTGACAGATACACCCACACATTTTTCATTTTATATTTTTTTGCTCAGCAAATACACGGAAAAGACATTCAGTTCACCAAGTGTTGCACTTTATTCACAGCAGTGTATCCGCTTCGTGTATTTTAGGAACACAGCTTGTATCAAAGAATTGATCTTAAAATGTGTTCAAGTAGCTGCAAAGATTAAAGTCAATATTATTTACCCTTAACTTTACATAAAATTTGAAAACATCAAAAATTATCAAACGTGTTTCACGCGAGCGTTCCTCTGACAAGTTAAACCGTCTGTTTTTACTTTTGGTCACTACTTATTTTGATGTACAATTTTTTGCGCAGCTTTTCTCATTTTTATTACACAATTGTGCTTTATTGTCGGGTTTCAAATCAAAATGTAAAGTTTACCCTTGGCTTATGAAGTGATACGATTCATAGCTATTGGTAAAATTATTCAAGAACCTTCATTGTTACTAAGAGTGCAATGTGATCCAGAAAAATATGCAAATGACTTGAATCTCATGATAATAGCGTAGGAGGATTTTATCTTGATTATTGTAAGAGTGAAAAAGTAACAAGTTTGAAACGAATCTTTTTCTTTTTACCAACGTCTTCCTGAAAAGTGTAAACATTTGACGTGGTACTTTCTGTGATTTCCTAATTTCCCGATTTCCTAAATTTACGAGGATGTCACGTAATATTTGCGCGCCTGATACTGAAAGGGAAATTTTTCTCAATTGTTAAATTAAACCCACTGTGGCCACAGAGTAGTATCTGTATTCTCGAATCAAGTTGTTGAGGAAAAGAGATGTCAAAAAAAATCTATAATTATGAATTTTAGTCACAACATAAAGTTTATTAATCATTGGTGACAAATTTAGGAGGAGCGTTTTGCATTACGGTTGTGAAAATGTTGTTTTTTGAATAGCCTGGATAGAAATCATGACATGCGCGACATTCTGGGAACAGCCAAGTCAATTGAGGTCATGAAGGAAGTTTGTCAGACGTTAAAAGAGAGGGTACAGGTTTGTAATCGTACTTTGTTTTGTCAACAATTTTTGAACCTCACGATGTTACTGCAGAAATTAGACTCTATTTTCGGTTAATTGAGCAGTTTTGAAATCAATTAGAAAGAAAGACGAAACGCAGGATGAAGAAACCCAATATCGTTGGGCGAAATTTTAGATTATGAATTTATGGCTGATCGATTGAATGTCGCTATAAAGAATTGCTGTAACGAAACGTTTTGTCCCATTGTTTTAATCCATCTCCAATAAAACTTCTTTAAGTAATTAAAAGTCACAATCCCTCTGCTAAATAGGCTTGGTATTGATAAAAGCTACAGTGATGCTTGTTATCACTGGTTTCAGAGAGACATTGAAGAAAATGGCGAGCCAGATTCCTCAGAGATTCCCTATTGGCGGTGTCAACCATATATCAGGTAAGAACCTAGTTCAAGCGGACGTTTTCCAGTGGAGCGATCTTAGGCTTGAAGTCAAAGGTGGTTTAGTCTCCGAAAAGAGTGTAAAATCCGGTCACTGTATTTCACATGCAGTCTCATGGAGCCAAAAAGTTACTCACTGAGCGCACTCATTTATCTCACAATTGCAGATCAAATACCTCAGTCAAACGAACACTCGACCAGGTGAAAGAAGAGGAGGAAAGAAGCAAAGAGGTGGCAAAGCTGCGGGAGATGAGAAAAGCGTTGAAGAAACAGAAAGTTAAAGCGCGAAGAGGTAATTTGACTTTGCTTTATTTGTTTATTTTATTTATTTTTTTTGGTGTTTTTTTTGTTTCTTTTTTAACTGGTTTTGATGCATATTCTCTGTATCTTAAATGTATAATTTTATTGTTGGAATTCTTAATTGATATACCATTTGTCAACAGAACGAACGTGGGATATCTGTGCAAAGTGTGAAGTAAATCCAAAGGTAGGTGTCACAGTGGCTTAACTGTGAGTCTTGCCTTTCGTTGATTAGCCGGAACCTGGTTAGCCACGTTGTTGAGAAGTTAGCCCAATAAGTACCCTAAACACGCGAATAACACTGCATTATTGACCCATCATTAGTAAAATGCACCCCGCTTCACTTGTAAAGTTGGACTAAATGTAAAAATTCAGCCTGCATGGTTAACGTCAGAAGGTAATCTCTTTCGCAGCCAATGTTAAGTCCTGTTTTGCAACATAGTTTTCTTATTTCCTTACGTGCGTGACCACGTGACCAAAATAAGTCTTTAGGAGAGACGAAAAGAGGAGGGGGAGAGGGGGTGTGTTCCTATTGTGCCACTCCCTCCTCTCCCTTCGCATTCTGCATCAGCTAAAATTTTATTAGTATTTTATAGTTCCCTGAAATGACATGTGCGCCGCTTCATCAGTAAATTTTGAAGCCCGTGAGCTTTGTGAAGTTCGTGGCTGTAACGATGTATAGCGCTTAAAACCTGAAACTGAGTCTTTTTCATTTCAGGGATTGAAATGTGTATTCGATTTGTGTCGGACCTGTTGTCACATCAAAGTAAATGAAGGAGTCACGGACTGTCGAGGTAATTACCAATGATCAGTGTTAAAATTTTATCGGATCGGCAAAATAAAAGTACACGACTCGTTCCGTCATTTCTGTTTCAGGACACCGAAAACGTTTAAAGAGACACGACGCTACCATTGTAAAAGAAGCTGTCAATGACCTCTCCAAGAAAACCGATATTGAAACAGGAAGGGTACAGCAAACGCAGATTGTGAGCTAACATACATCTTATTGCACTTGCAAATATACTCTCCAAGTCATATGCTGGCAGACTGATGATAGAGGTTTCTTACTGCGATATACTTTCGTTGAGAATGATCTCATTGACAACTATACACGCGAGAATGACTATAGAAATTTGTATTAGTATGTAACCACCACAATGTGTTGAAATATGCTCTGTTCGCGTAAATTTGTTTCATCAATATTTCTTGGGGAGGACATTCGTGTCCAGTCCAAAATTGTAACACGGGACTTTGGTCAGCTGTTATAGGGTTCCACAACTGTAAATGCACCGAGGTATTTGCACGCGACGGAAGATAGCTGTGATTTATAATAACTACCTTGAAAGACATTCCCATCACTCAGAGTTCTTTTTATCCTGCGCTCCAAGTTTACTTTGCAGCTTTTATGCCAACCGTTACTCGTCAATGCTTTCTATTTCTTCTAGTTACGTATTAACCGATTTAAAATTCTCAGAAAATCTTACATTTGCTCTTGAATTACATTTTGAAAATGTGATCGAATTGTTGTTGACCTACTTTTTGTTGTTATTTCGAATGATGAATAAATAAAGTTGTGCGGCAGATTTAAATATTAAAGTAAGCGATACTATTATTACGATACTATTTTATTTAAGAGATAATTAAATTGTAGATTATCATCAGGATCTTGTGGATAATTGTGATAATTGGAAAGTGAACCTTTAAGGAACATGAGCTTATTCTTACATTTGCTCTTGAATTACATTTTGAAAATGTGATCGAATTGTTGTTGACTACTTTTTGTTGTTATTTCGAAATATGAATAAATAAAGTTGTGCGGCAGATCTAAATATTAAAGTAAGCGATACTATTATCACGATACTATTTTATTTAAGAGATAATTAAATTGTAGATTATCATCAGCATCTTGTGGATAATTGTGATAATTGGGAAGTGAACCTTTAAGGAACATGAGCTCATTCTGTTTGATACCGGCCCTTAACAGAGATAATTTTGGATTTTCGGAAAGTGTCGTTGTCTTCTGAAAACCCGCATTCAAAGGAACGAGTAGTATTTATAGATCAAAGAGTTCGACGGCCTCGGCCTGACCCTTTTACTTCTTTTAGTTGCCAAAGTTGATCGGAGTTGTTCACGAAGCTCCATACCCCTCAAGTGATACGGCAACGGACGCGAAAATTCTCTTCTTCGAAGAAGGTCTAACGTGTCATCGTCAGAGGTATCTACCGGTTCACCTCTTGTCTTGTCGATCCCGGATATTGGCGAAGATAACGGTGTTGTCAATGAAGAAATGGCAATGTCATCGAGTGAAGAAGTCTCCTCTGGGCCACGTATACTAGAACAGTCGTCGTAGTTCATATTCATTAGAAGTAAAAACCGGATTATAAAAAGAAGCTCTTCATCTCGTTGCACTTCGTCCATTGCAAGTTTCTCAATTAAATTAGACATTCTCTCCAACATCCTCTCTTGCGCTAAGGACTTCATGATAAACAAGCTTGATGTGACACATTTTAGTTTTTGAATTGTTCTTTTTCGTGTCTCTACATCAGCCATTGTTGCCGGTCTCTCGCACTCAAATCTAACCACGTTCGCTCTTCTTTCAGTTCTATCGTTCTCCTCTTTTAATTTGGAAATTCGCAGTTGTTTGCGTCTCGCCATATGACGAAGTCTCTGAGAGTAGACGACTACAGATGTAAATGTTAGTTTTCCATGTGAGACATTTTCCTGAGGTACTGGATGTTCAAGCAGGTCAGTGTTATTATCATTGTCATTTTCTCGTTCAGTTTCTTTATTAAACCCTAAAAGTTCACGTAGTCTTTCCAATATAAAGTCGTGCATTTCAAAGTCTTTCGACTGTTTGTCCGTATTTTCTCTGATGTCCTCATAAGAATCATTTAGAATGGCAACAAAAAAGTTGACGAAAATGAACGACATAAGAGTAAGGAAAGAAAATCCAAACAGGGGACCTAGAACTCGATTCGCTCGTCGCAGTTCTTCCAAGTCCATTTTTCCGCCGAGGCACATGACAAATTCGGAAAACACCGTTCTTTGAAACGATGAATAACGCAGCATGTACTCACCAAAAGCTAGTCTACCAAACTGAGCATATGAGAAGATAATAATGGCAAATATCACAGAGTATGACATGAGTAATCCTCTTGATAAACGAAGTGATGACATCATTATGCTGACGTGTGGATTAAAACGGATCATGCGCAGAAGTTTCACAGTTGTTGTGAAAACCGTCAGAGCTAAAACGGAATTCTCTGCGTGGTTCCAGTCAACGGCCTCCCCGAAACTTACAGAAGCAAAAGGGTTTTTCTTTACTTTTACGACACTTTTCAGAACCATTTGTGATTTTAAAACATAGAAAACTACCACCAGAAAAGAAAAAATGATTTGCAAAATCTGCACCCAATTCCATGCATTTCGGAAATAAGAACATTTCTGCTTAAAGATATTATAAACCTCTTTTAGCACAAAGAAGATTACCATGAGGATGAACAGTAACTGACAAATCAGGTAGAACCGGTAGGAACTAGTTTGCGTGCTCGTCAATAGAAGCGTGTCGATCTTTGCGAAAGGATTACCGTACCCAGTGGGGAGTACTTCGTAATGATATGTCGATATGCTGATGTATCCTGTGTTTGGATTGTAAATGGAGAATTCAAGTAACACTGCGCGGGTCTGGCGGTCGACCCAGTCGTATTGTCTCAAGTTAGTAATAATTCTGTCAGCAGTGAGTTTACTATAACCTAAATCTGCTATGTATCCACCTCCGTCATAAACGTGAAAGAAACCCCAGCTTGGCGATTTCTGGATCTTTTCTTTTTTTACGTAACGCCATGGGGCCGGGCAAAGATCTGAAAAGTTAGCCCACGAAACCGAGCCTGTAAATGGCATCCATCCAGGTAGATGAAAATGAGTTTTGTCCTCTTCGTTGATGCTGTAGAAGTCATTGCAGTGCTTTACTACCTCTTGTAACTCATCCGGAATCAAGCAAGAATCTAAAACAGCAACACCAGGAAATATTAGCGACGTTGGTTGTAGTTCAACGATGGCTTCTAAAACGTTTTCTTCGAGAACATTGTCTTCATTGGACAGCACTAGTTAATTTGAAATATGCAAGCGGCATAAAAACCAGAAAATGCAAATTTCTATTTTTTTTTACTGAGAGAGCGATTTTTACTATACACTCTTACATACTTGACATACCTTTCTGTACTCTCAGCTGCCTTAAACGGGGCACTCCCAGGAGAATGGACATCTTGTCACCAATGTACTCTTGCTCTTTGACTCTCTCATCATTGTACCACATGAGAGGACGGATATGGCTTTTACTGCAAGTATCATCTCCCGCAGCGTTATTTCCCCGGGTCTGTTGGGAATGTGTGAAAGCATGTCAAACTGTAGGGGATCAACTTATCATCGCTAGTTATTGGGGTCCTGGTTAGTGTTGTAATGCGACTCCATAACCTTTCAAACTATAGAGATCAATGTGTCATCGCTCGTGAATGGAGTCCTGGTTAATTTTATGAATGTCGTAATATGATTCTTTAATCTTAAGAAAAGACTCCATTCTTTTGCATGTTGTCCTGTTGTCTTAACCGGCTTTTCTACGACATATTTGTGGGTATGCAGCTATCCCGTATGGTGAATAACTAAAAGCGCTTTCCAGTAGCCTGTTGGTAAACGGCTTTCTCTCAGATCTTCACGGTCAATTGATTTCGTGGGCGTATCGAAATATCGAGCCAGACACCCTTAATGCATGCGTACTTGTCTTCAATTATTCTGTCAAAAATACCATTTACATTTCGACCATGTCTAATCAGCACGACTTATTTAATATGAGAGGAACTAGTACTATGAGAAATGTTAACTTGTAGAGGTGAGTGAGTGGAGTTACGGTTATCCTCCCACCTTTAGATTTTTAGCGCGAACATAGCTTACATACACGGATACACAGGATAGGTACGAGATGAGAGATGAATATACAAAAATGTTTCAGGGATGAGGCCTTCTGTGCCACTTGGCGCGAAGAAGTTAGGTGAAGGTGAAGTTGCCACAATGAAACTTAATAATTGAAAGAAAATGTTAACTAACATACCTTGGTTTTTCAATCATTAATTTTAAGAGAAGGCTTTGGCTTTGGCTTTGGCTTGTGAAAATGCTTGCAAATAGATCATAAATTTTAGAAAAGGGAAAAGTCTCTGCTTAAACTCAAAGCCTAAATGCTGACTCCTAGGTTCAAGCTGGCAGTGTCCTAATACAAAGTTTTTGAGCCACAGCATCCTTGTTTTATTCCTAAGTTAATTTTTGGCCTTTGCCAGTGGACTGCAAGAGTTATTGTTACAATAGCAAACAGAAACTGGCAAAAAGATGAGTCATCTTGGCAGTCCTGTTGATAAAAGATGTGACATCTTCACAACAGGAATACTGATGTGCTAAAGTAACAATGGAAACAGAATGTTATCTTGCATATGCCTAATTCTATATTCTTGATTATTTTCTTCTTCCTTTCTTTCCCAATATTTCAACTACAAGAAGGCTTAGGCTCAAATAATTTATTATACCATTTTTGCCTACATTTATGTCATTCTAGATCTCACAGTGAACACTAATGTAATAGGGAACACAGTTGTGTGGCAGATGATAATGATCAAATGAATAAGTCTACTGAATTCATTTAAAAGTACTATGTTTACACACTAGATGGACAGTACCATTGACACGGATAAGTCTCAAAACAGGTCAAAGCCTATCATTTGGTCAGATAGAAACACACCCAAACTACTGTGTCATGCACCAGGTCTGTTAGTAAGAGCTATTCTTCAGGGTTCTGATATTCAAAATTACACCAGAGTTAAGATAGTGTGCACTTATTTCTAAGAACTCAGAAAACAACACACCAGAACAGATGGGTTCTCAAGGCAACCCACCCAGTTTTAACTTTGTTTATTTACTTTTAGATATGTAAACAAGTTATACTTGGTTTTACTTCAATTGGTCAAGAAATTGGCATTAATGTCTAACAATGGAAAGCCAATATGATGATAATTAGTTATTATTACAGAAAACTATACCATAAAATTTGACTCTGAGTTACTGAAAACAACTCCTACTTCATAATATGGGATTAACACAAACATGCTGGTACACATTTTGTAATTTATTTTCCAATTGTATACCTGGCCATCCATCCAACATTGTGGCCTTTTTCTGTGCTGCTGGAACTGTTTTTGTGATAAATTTTTTTTGTTTTTAATTTACTGTGGTGTGACTTTCCCTAATCCCACTGCTAACTGTGGAAGAGGGCAGACTAATACAGAGGGTTTCCACCAGCAGCCTACATGCAGTTTTCTTTTTGTTTGACATAAATAGCATAATAATAACATAATTCGTCATAAATAGCTCCTTAGATAACTGAAAGAATATTGCCAATTTCAGCAGTTCATAACATTTGGGTATTACACATAATCTGTAAAAATCATGTTCTTTGTTTCACTCTGCCTGTCTCATATAAAACCAAACTTCAGAAGTTAGGTTCTGGGACCCAGAGCCACCATCTTGGATTACATATTAACATTGTTTGATTTGAGACCACAATGAAGAAAGCCTTTGGAGTGAATGTGAGCTAGAGCATCTGTGATATCATGACAAATGATCAGCCAGTCTTTGCTTGTCAGTGAACTGTTAACTTTCTCTAATATACCATTGGATTCTTTGCAACACAATAGTTTACTGACTGTTGCGGATGTATTTTCTTCCCTTTGAACTCCATCACTAGAGATATAGGCTCTCTTTCAAGCTGGATTCCTATTATTGCAGGAATGTTTTTTGTGTGAGAGTCTACATGATTTGTGCCTCCTTTACCATCTCTTTAGTGCTTTGCATCAGACATTGCTTTTCTACCACAAGAACGTTTAATCTTTTGAAAGATTTTTAAAATACACCGGCCATATGAACCCTGTCCTAGTATTAATTCCTTTTCACTGATTGGTTGAAGCTCAGATGGATCAATTAAATTAACAGTGGCAAATTTGCTACTGGGTGGTCCTGATTTTGTATTCCTGTCTCTAATCTGGAATAAAGTAATAAACAGAGGAAAAGTGAAGCTGGTCAGCTTAATAAGATTCACATGCTAGATTGTGTAATAAGTGGTAATAGGACTGAGTAGTCTTTGGTCTGTAATCATATGAGTGATAACACAATCAGACGACTGCATAGTGGAAGTACAATTTGTCTATCACGAGTGTGATTACAGACTGAAACGAATGACACAAAGTCCTTTTACCAATTAATCATAAAAATTACAATTTCCAAATCAAAAAGAACACTTAAATATTGTCATTGCTCAAGGGAAACCAATTCTCTGTTTTAAAGAAAGCCCCAATTTAGGAATCTGTACACTGTTTCTATGGTGATTGAAACCAAGGTTGTGATTGATTGATTTAAACCACAACTTTGAATGTGATTGGTTGACTTAAACTACAACTTTGAATGTATTTGGCTTATTGAACTGTCCAACAACAACTTGGCAAGTAAATTAGTGGAAAATAGGAGTTTTAAAACTAATCACAATCGAGGAAATTGTAATTCCTATGTTAATAGATTTATTGATAAACTTTATCCCTTTCATATAATACAAACAGAACTTTCCAAGATTCCCTGACTATTAAGGTACTGACCTATCCATGATAAAAATAAAATTTCCCTGATGAAATGGATACAAAATGTCCAGTCTCCTCTTCTTCATTAAAACATTGCTGAGATCATCTGAAATATTTCTTCCAGCATGGTATGAAACTCAGTGGTGTATAAACTTTAATTTCCCTGACTTTTCCCTGACCTTGAAATTTCTATCCCTGGCCATTTTTTGATCCGTGGTAACCTTGGTAGGGCAAGATCAACACTACATGGCAAGATGGAAGGGAAAATGCTCAAAGCTCAATGACTGACCTTTTCAGACGAAAGTTTAGCCTGTCTGCTTGGCAAACAGAAATGAATGAATTCCCGCTAAATCATTTCAGAATGAGGCAATTTCGGATTCCTTGCCTTATTTTACGAAAATGATTGTAGTTTTTTTTTCATTTCATCATAAAAGGAGAAGAATTTTGAGGGCTACTCTCCCCTCCCCTATGAGTTAACGTTGAAGTCAACCCCAGGACGTTTTGTACAATGCAAGACAATGCTAGTTTGATTACGTTCAGGGTCAGTTCGGTGATATCGTTTTTGTAACCAACTGCTCATTTTCTGATATCTATTTTATTCTATTTTGACGCTAACCGAGTACCTACCTTGGTTTTGTCCAGGGTCTTTTCATTCTGTTCGACTAATGCTTTCCATTTGCTATAATACATTCGCGCCAAGAATATGCATCTCTTTCCTTTTGTGTTCTCATTTCTCTGTTCTTCCCTTTCCCTAGCTGTCCTTGACAATCGTTCACGTTTCCTCCTTTGATTTCGCATGCTGGGTTTTTTTTTCGATTGTACTTTCCCGAGATCGTCGTGGCATGATTATTTTGCCAAGCACGCGCCAAGCGCGCGCTTTTGTTGGCGATCGTCTTCGGTACTCGATTCCCTTTGGCTGAGGTTGTGCCCGCGTTTCCATACTGATATAATGTTGTAGAAAATTCTAGTGGACAGCGGCCTATCTCAACGCGATAAAACGATAAAAATTAACCGGAAAGCTTTGTTCGCAGTGAATGTACAACTACGAAGAATTAATGTGGATGAAACAGGGTACAAGGTTTATGCAAGGACTACCAGAAAAAAAAAAAGCAGTTGAAATCCTCCAAGTATAAAGTTTTTTTAAATGTAAAATGCATTTTCCACGCGTTTCAATATCACCCGACCTGCCACAGACTTCTGATCAGATTTATTTATTATTCCCTCATCGGTAGTAGTATATCCTGTGCCAATTACGTAAGTGGAAGTCATGTTTACTGACAAAGTTTGACAAGCGATGACGTGTCACTGATGCCTAACATTCCCTCATCGGAAAATTGAGACATGTATAGGTCTGTTGGTGTTCTGGTTCACTTTCAGTTAAACGACATTTCTGTCACAAAGTGACGAGATTATGACGCCTTGCGGTAAGCATATTGAAGCAACCTGGAGCGCTACCAGATACTCCAGAAAAAAAGCCCATACAAAGCCTTAGAAAAGTTTTCTAAGGCTTTGTATGGGACAACGGGAGGTACTTACAGTGCACGCGTTTTCCGTCCTGTCATGTTACCAGCATAAATGCCATTCACAAACTGACCATTCAGCCAAGTCCAAAAGATCCTGGGATCTTTGGCCTGAAGAAGAACCGAAAGAACTCACATAATGATTTACTTCTCTTCACTTTATTCGAATGACCGTCGGTGCAGTTTGTTGCATTTGTGAGATCCAGTATGTTGGGAACCGAGAGTCCGATTGCTGATACGTGGCAATCAACCGAGGCATAAAAGGCTACTATACTTCATTAATTTTGAAACTCCGCTTAAGCACTTCATACAAAGGAGCACCGGAATTACTCCGGTGATCTTCGTATCGAAATGTTGATGTCCTAGCATAATTATGCTTAATTTAGGTTATTTTTTTTTATAGGAATGAGGAGAAATCCGCTCAGAGACTCAGGACTAAGCAAAGTTCGTTAAATTCCTCTTTGTTTTAGCTTTGTTGAATACTTACCAATGAATAATTGCTGAAGGTGTCTTTTAGATTCTTAGTCATGAGATATCCATGGTAACTTCTGTTACCGTAACAAACGATTGTTAGTAACAGTAAGAACAGTAGATACACCACAAGTTCTCTACCAAAGGAATACATCTTTGCCTCCTTTACTCTGTATTCTCTGGCTTGTTCAAGCACAGCTTCCTCCGGGATTTCAGCTGTTCTACCTTGGGTGTCACATGCAACTTCTGTTTCTAAAGAAGATAATTGTGCAGTTGTCTCGTGGTTTTTAACATGACGAAAGTCAGCGTCATTACGGTTGCTAAGGAAACATGCGGCTAGAACCATGACAAGAACTATTTTGATTGGCTGAAGAACGAACAGATCCTCAGTGAAAGAAACTAACATAGAGGACAACCACTGGTTTGCAATGTCTTTTCCCCACATTAAGCTGAAGAAAAAAGTAAAGCACGCAGATACAGACACAGTAGCAAGGCTTAGAAACCAAGCAATGTAGATACAGAAATGAGGACAAATGAAGTCCTTTTTGGTTTTGCCCCACGTTCTTTCTCGTGTTCTTGTCCAGAAGGAAGTATTACTTTTCGATGCAGCTTTTACGCCGCTTGTGTCCTCTTCGCAGCCTAAGGAAGAATAACCGTTGCGTCGCACAGGCTCAGGCGTATCTTCCCGCTTGGTCACAACTGTATTAGAAGGTTTTTTCGCCGTATTTTTGAATAATGACGTGATGAGCAAGTTCACAGGAGTAACTATCAGAGCACTCTCAATGCCCACCACAATCTGCCTCCAGCTGAACTTCAATGGACCAATCTGTATGGTAGGATCTTCTGTATTTTCAGTCCTGTAGAAAAGAGCATTTGCAAGCATGGCAGACAGAAGTAGACACAAACAACATGTAGCTCGTTGCACGCGTGTGAATTTGTTCCCCGGTGGCTTGGTTACAACAGAGAGCCACAAATGTCCCTCAGAAAAACTCTCTGAGCCTCGTGAGTTAAGAAAGTATTTAAAAGTCTTCATCTCTCGACGAGAGAGAGGTGTTAAAATCCTGTCAATTTTACCGTCTCCTTTTTCTAAAGCCAGCCAACTGTTGCTTATAAATGTCCATTTTTTCCCTGTTTGGCGGTCCTTCACAACAGCATGGCTGAAATACCAAGAAGGACTCTTTCCTGAGTTGTCATGCCAAACACGGATGTATTGCACAATGCCTAGTGACATTGGTAAATGAATAACAAATCTATCGTCATTTCCGCGGGCCAAAATTTTCCTGGAGTTGATCATGTCCTTTTGTAATATTATGGGTTGACTCTCCGCCTCGCTTCCATGAATGACAATGGCGACATTAGCATCCGTCCCAGACTCTCTCCAAACCCCCGTTACCACGGTCAAATCGTAACCGTAAGAGGCCTCCTGGGTCAAAGTTAAATGGAACACCGGGCCTCCCTGTGGAAAAGCATAAATAATAACGATAATTGAAAAAAATAACTTCAGGGAGTCAAAGAGAAATTCGCCTTTTCGTATGAAAGCACAAAATGTAAGTTGGAAGTATGAAAAGATGATTTCATGAAGGTGAGGAGGCGTATCGTCATAATATTGCTAGGTGTTACTTCATAGATCAAATGACCCTTGCATATCGAGCAAATATTGAAAACGTAATTTAGCACAAAAAAATATTTGGTGAGAATTAATATTTGAGACTTTGAATTCAGTTTACAAAAACAAGGAGCTACCTTAGCTTGATCTCGTTTATCGGCTTTCCTTGCGAATATGACCACAAGCAAATACAACAACAGCACAATGATTATCGCACAAAGGACAGCAATGTTTCCAGTCTGGTCGAGTCGTCCGAGTTCTGTAAACACGACATCAAAATCCAACGTGTTAGGCATCACCAGGACACCTCCTCCAAATGACGTTAAGTGGTTACACAGGCAGTGTAAGGATCCTAAATCAGATTTTGGCCCTACCTTCAATAAAAGACAAATAAACTGTAAAGATTTAAGTCAACTGCTCTTGTCCGTCATTCAAGTAGAGAAGATTACTATTCACAGCTAGGAAGATAATTTAATCAAATCTACGAAAGTGGTAACGTATTTTTAAAGACATTTGATCAGTTAAGAACACGAATCAATGAACTTCTCGACGTTCATTTAGCTCCTTCGACGAAATGTTATTAGGTACGTAAATTGCCTAAGAGATTACCAAACGTCAACTAAATAGAAAAAGATTGTCGTATGAGAGGAAAGGAAAATGTCTGCAGCTGAATTTTTTTCAAAAACTCTTACTCTACATCCTGTCGACAACCAGTGTTCTTCTCTGCTGTCCCAAAAGACGCAACTCTCCTCCAAAATGTTCATCGAGTAATTCATGTCTGTTCTTGAGTTATAAACAGGCTTTATTGTCTTGTTCTCGGGTCTTGGAGGATCCTTAACTTCCACACACGACCTTTTCTGCCGACCACTTCCGAAGCATGATCGTTTCTTTCGTCCCTGAGGTCTAACGCTGCCTCCTTCGTATAATATACCGATGTAGTATTTACCCGCCTCACTGATTAATTCATGGTACAAGACAACATCGTAAGCTTCCTCGCTGCAACTACGCTGAGAAGCCTGAGGAGATATGGAACACGACTCATCGGGGATTCTCTTTGTTAGGTCGTATTCTGTGACAGTTGGCCGCCGACCTTGTCGCACAAACACCCTAAAGATGGTGGGTCTTTCTGGTGTGATCTGAAAACAGATTTTACTACTGATTACCCTGGCAGAATGATTTTGCTATGTGAACTTTTTATCGAAATTTCCAAGAGATGGATCAGCTTAATGCAAGTCATACTTACACGTAGCTCACTGGTTAGGGTGTTGCATTATTGATCAAAATTTGTGAACAATTTTGTGCTTTTTGCTACGTTTTAAGTATTTTATTTCTTTTTTTATGAATTTTTCTAAGGTTCTCTCAGACTTTTCCAGCTTGGTTCATCTTCCATTTCAGAGCCTACTGTTTTTTTTATCTTTTGATCCCACCGAATTTATTTTTAATTCGCGTGTTCAGTCGTCATGTGCATCAATTTGTCCAAAGCTCAAATAAGACCAGGACTGTGGCCAGCCAACCAACCATGCAACCGACCAATCAAGCGGCTCACGTACGTGTGTCCGAAAGATTCTGAATAAACGTTTTAGACAACATTACTTACTCGGAGCCGTAGAGCATAAATTTCATAAATTTTTCCAAAGTTCTATCAGACTTTTCCACCGTGGCTCATCTCCCATTTCAGAGCCTGCTGTTTTTTTTTTAATCTTTTAATCCCACTTAATTAATTTCTAATTCGCGTGTTCAGTTGTCATGTGCATCAATTTGTTCAAAGCTCACGCAAGACCAGGACTGTAGCCAGCCAACCAACCATGTAACCGACCATTCAACCGGCCCACGTTCCACTCATTGACAAAGGAGCCTGTGTCCGAGAGATTCTGAATAAACGGGTTAGACAACAATACTTACTCGCAGCCGTAGAGCGTTCCCTCTTACACCTGGTGAGTTTATTTCATGGTATTGCATTTTCCCCTCACTGCTGGGCTTCACAAAAAACGACACTCTTTCCTCTGGAGTAAATCTCACTTTCCGTGGAATCTTGATCTCTATATCCTCTCTGCTGTCTTTGACTATTAAGGGTTCTCCTTCGTCATCTTTAAGGTTCAAACTAAGGACATGAGAATCCCTGACAACAGCTGAACTGTTATCCCAAGTGAAAGGATTAAAAGCACTCATCGTCAACTGTAAAAAGACACGACTATTGTGAACACATATTATTCAGCATTTACACTATGCAGTTCTGGTGCGAGATGGCGTTTACGAAAGCATTCTGAGTATGTGTAAACCCAGAGAAATATTAAAGTAAAGTTTAAAGTTCTAGAGACGCCGCGCTTTTTGTCTTATACAAGACTAACTACATTCAAGGAAACCAATGCAGGCTTACCACACTATCTATATATTTAGGAGTTGTCGCTTTGTCATCAATTATGGCAGCAAGAGGAAATTTAAATCCTGCCTTATCATCGTCTGTGAAGTCTGCACTGGTTCCCCTTGATCTGGAGCTCATTCGGCTTAGTTCCATGTTGATGGACTTAGTATCAATACGGCGAGGTTCTTGATCCACCGTCATCTTTGACAACAGAGCTGTTGCAACGTCATCAATGAGTTTCTCCGTATCTCTGGAGATGTTTTCACTCTGCAATATTAGATTTAAAAAATGCTTGCAGGTGCCAAGATATTACCTTAAATGGTTTAACTTGTTCCAAAATGATCTATTTGACCTTCTGATCAGGTTCTCAAGAAAACATTGTTTTCATGATGTCAGTCACATTTTTCTGGGATAGAACGCATACAGATTCGGTAAGTTCGAAACTAACCTTAGATCGTACGTCCGCTGGCTCCTTTGTTTGACTGACAACATTAGCTTTCTGGGCAGTGGAATGGAGAAGATTTCCGAGGCTCAGTACCAGGTTCTCTCCTCCTTCCTCAACTAAGACATATTCTGAAGCATAATCCTCTGTCGTCTTACTCGAAAGTAGTGACGTCATAGAGGTGAGTGTTTTCAGTGCACGTTTCTGGTGAAAAGCAAAATGCGTTTTTTTGTCAAAAGTTTCGAATTATGCCCTTGAAAGTTTGATCGTCAGTTGAGGAATAGCACTGAAACTGGACCGCGTGTTTAGAATAAAAAATTGAAATGTTATTACATCGATGTACTAAAGAATATATCGCGTGTTGAGTAAGTAGTCATCTTCATCCAAACGATACATACTGTTAGAAAAAATTGTCTAATTTAAGTCCTAGAACATTCTAGAACAGTTCTATATAGAACAGTCTAGAACCCCAAGTCATCCAGCCGTGACCTTCTTGTGTAAGAACATTCTGGAACGTTCTCTTTCGTATGTAATTACTCAGGTTTACTCAGGTTCTTAATTTTGTTCTTTAGAGAAGTTTCTAGATCCTTGAACTTTAGTCTAGGAACAACCCTGCTCTACATTAACACTCGTAACACATACCTGAGTGTCGAATGTCACCTCGCTGGGTTCCAGTGTTGCTCGTGCAATAACTGACGTCACCTGAGTCAAAGACTGTAAATTGCCAACTTGTATCTCTGACACAGTCTTCACAACAGAATCTTTAATCTGTAGGAATAAGTCAAATGGCTCTTTTAACATACTTTTAATCCTTTTTACAGATTGCTCTGACTGTTATATAATGTTACATTATGGTTTTATCGGAGATTTTCATTCTCACCAATACGTGTGATCAAGCAAATACAAGATTCAAGCAGGATCATTTAACAAAAAAGAGGGAACGGGTTGAGGTCAGAAAGCAAAACCTTCGGTGCAAAGAAGAACTTAGAACTCCAAATAAGATTTTTTTATCCTTCAGTATTTCACAGTCGCACCGCTAATGATTATTCGCCAGTTCGTAAGGGAAGTTAATAAATGAAGGGAGTAAGTTTCTAGAGAAACTGTGGTGGCAAGTCGGTGAGAGAGTATAACAGGGTAATTAAGTAATATCAACTGAGTTGAAAACCTAAATTGGTCACCGTAAAGAGTTTAAAAGCTGGCGTTTCGAGTGTTAGCCCTTTGCCAGCTCTTCGTTAGTCCTTCTTTAGCCCCTCGTCAACCCTTCGTTAGCCCTTCGCTCCGACGAAAGGCTAACGCTCAAAACGTCAGCTTTTGAACTCTTTACGATAGCTGATTTACGTTATCAACTCAGTTGATAATACTAAATTACACCGTAGGGGGAGGTGATCCCCTTCTCCTATGAATTTATGAATTGTCGGTGATCAAATGTGTGGGTGTTAATTTATCACCTACAGCAATCTTTTCCTGGGCAGTAGTTGACTTTCTCTGTTCAGCGCTCTCTAGCACGGCATTTGCTAGTTGTGTGGCGCCACGGACATCTCCTAATTGGACTAGTTGGTTGAACTTACTGCTGTTGCCGACGGTTAGTTCGCTGAGACTCTCACCAGCGGGCGCAGGTTTAACCTGGGTAACGTTAAAGACGGTGAAGAATGAAATCTATAGCACTATCACTGAGTACTTCTTGAATTTTTTTGAAGGCCAAATTGTAGGAATTTATGACGCGTAGTAATAGGAACTTAAAGCGCTAATCCCATTGACGCATTAAAATTTCAAGACACTTACAGGATACTATAAAAGTTAAAAGATAACATCAATCAGAGGCTAATTTCTCATTTTCTACAATGGGTGAAAAATGGTACGCAATTCCTGACTTTGTTTTAGTCTGTCCTTCGTTGTCTGTGGCGTACCAAAAAACAAATTTTCCAAAATATCAGAGCATTTACCTCTATTTCAAAAAGGGTGGTATTTGCAGCAGAAAAACTGTCAGACACCATTACTTCAAAATATATCTTATAATTATCTTGTTTCTTCCCCGGAGGTAGCACTGTCCTGACAAGACCTTCTGAGCCATATGAAATTACTGTGTACAGGCCATTCTCGGTTTTGTAATGGAATTGGTACGTAATTGGTTCATCTCGGTCCTACACAGAAAAGGATATGGAGAAAGAAGAATAATAAGTTCACTTTCCTCGCCTTGAAAACCGAACAGATTTAAAATTTTGGCGAAACAAAGCTTGACTTGAAATGGTCAAATCCTTGCATACATAATTAATTAGACAAATGTCATCTACTTCTGTTGGAAGGTGACTCCTTTTCCTCGGACGTTCTGATCATTTCGCTTTATTTCCAATATTCTCACCTGCCAATTTCTGCATTCAAAGATAAACTTCGTTTTCAAAGCCTCTCCTTTTGTTGGTGTCACGCTGCAAGATCCATGTTGAGGTGGGGCGTTAATTCTGAACTGGTAAGTGGCATATCCTGGGGGTTCACCCTGTTGTGAAACTTCGACTTTCAATTGATAAAAGTGGCCTGGCGGTAGCTCTCCTAGTTGGTTCTTCTTTATGACGATGCCAGTGGAATTAAGATAAGTTTCTGCTTTGTCAGTCAGTTGCTTGTCATTGACCTGAACGCCACTAGAATTAACAACGTTTAATTGCCAGTGGTATTTTGCACTCTCACAAGGATCCCCACTGCACTCGGTGGTCAAACTGATTCGCGTCGACTCACTTGCAATCTTATCACAGTTGATGAGGCACCTGCAGTGGAAGAAGAGATATGGAAGCTCAGTTTGAAATTCCTTACCTTGAAACAAGACGGGTTGTTTAATTATGTACCCTGTGTCTGATGAGGTGAATGGATCTATGATAATTAAGGGGTTGTTCAGTAAGGTCACTTACAGGTGACAAGGTAAATGGTATGTTAAAGCCCATAGATGCTCACTTAGCGAAAAGAAGACTAACGTTTGGTCAAGAATAGCAAAAAATAGGTGAAATAAGTTATTAAGTTAGCAGACGTGTATATCTGTTTGGTCTTTTTAAGGCCTCTTCTCATCAGCATGGCACAGTTAAAATGATAACATTTGCTCTACACACACAGAGAGAGATGCACAGATTCGATCGTGCGCTAATCCCTCCACGTGGTTGCTGTCGCCATGATTATTCAGCCGACCTGTTATTCAGTCACATATCTCTCTTGAGTTTGTGAGAGGAGCGTTTACACTCTCCCCAAAGAGCAGATTGATATCAAACCAAGTAACCTCTAGGCCTATGGTTCAGTGCTTTAAATTTCCTTTTGGCTGATTACTTTTAACTACCATTAATTACCTAATTATAACGTTCGGCGGGTTACCGCTGACAATCTTGATTTCTTGCACAAAGTCGTCCTCTCGGTCATCCTTCGTTACCACAAGTTTGACGTCATAGGACATATCTACAGTCATTTGAAATGTTTCTAATGTCACCACCATTAAATTAGAAAATAGTTTCCCAACACCCGTCCCAAAACAACCGCCTCCTCCTGGGCCCGAGGAATTTGTAATCACTGGAACCGAAGCCAGAGGGCCGGTGGGAAAAGTTTCTTCTCGTCTTTTACATAGCCACGTGAACTGCATGGAGGTGTAGTTACCAGGCTCTACGTCTGGGTCCCTAGTTGCTGAAGCATCCAAAGTGATGACACTTCCCTTTCCCCGAGTGACTTTGTTTCCTCCTAATATATCGGCTATTATTGGAGATTTCGTGATGCTAAAAAATCCTAAAGTACTGCTTACTGCAAGTGGCTTACTTTCAAGGGCTGCTTTAAAATCCACAAAATAAAGGCCATAACCAAGCTGTCGCTTTTGCAAGTTCCATTCTGTAGTTTTTGAGTTCAACATGGTTGTCATTTCGATGATAGTGCTATTTGATTGGTCCACACTATACTTGGATAAACGCCACTCAAACAGCAGCTTTTGTGGTGGATTACAGTTTGTTTTATTCACAAATGTTTGCACGATGAAATCTTTGGAGCGAAGAATGTGAACCATCTCGTTTTCTTTCCATCTTGGAAGATTCAGTATACTAACATCAGGAAGCTGACAGGTTTCATCTTAGCATAGAAGGCAAAAGTAAGTCATGACATCGACAACAAAACTTATTACAGTATCAATTATGAAAATAACAACAGCAGCAATAATGATATTCAATCGGTATTGACAAATTTTCAATGATTAAATCATTAAATGCAAAACAAGAACTAAACTTAATTACTTTGGCATTGGAGGTAAGAAATGAAGGATTAAAATCTACATTAGTTGGTGCATAGGGGTAGTTGAGAATAGCGAGTGAGTTGTTCTGAAGGCCCCAACCGGCCTCTTTTTCCGAAGAAAAGCTGGGCTTTCCTTGGAAATTTTTTGGGTTTAAAACAGTGCAGTTGCCTTTTCCTGCATTTTGAGGTCTATTCCAATTTGTAAGGTCGTCAATTTGAACCCACATATTTCTTTTTCTTACAAATAAGTAAAGCTCCCTTTTCTCACCTTCGGCCTTCCAGAAAATTCCAATGAACTCTAGGCTTCCGATTCTGCCAGTTTGGTTAAAGTTGTGCAATGCTCTTTCGACATCTGTGATGTTATTTCTGTCGTTTACAGTCAAAACAGTGGTAACTTCCACACTTCCCGGTCTGTCAAAGAAAGCGGAAAAAATATTATTGATCAGAAGAAAAAAATTCTCGTTTTGTCGGTTGATGTCTTTCAAAAACTCTTTTCATTTTGAAAAAATTCAAATTTTCAGGAAATGGTTAGAAATGTTTTTACCACTGAAAGGTTTTTTAAAATTGAAGTGTTTTTATTTCTTAAGGACACTAGTAATTCTGGGAAATGGACAAAAACAGTGAATTAATGAAATAAACCGAGTCCTATGGTTAGTAAGTAATTTACGGTAAGACTCAGGTAGGTAATGACAATATACACAAGAAACTATAATACATCCTAAAAATGACATTTTTATCGTCACATATCATGTTAATCAATCATTGATAAAAATACGTGTTTCCATAAGTGCGGTGCTCGTCACCAGTAACACCAACACCGATGTTGCTATATTCAATTGAGCGCATATAGGCCATGTGAAAGGGAGTAGACGCTTACCTTATAAATAATAGAGTTACATCTGTGACACTATATTGTCCGAGTTCCGCAGTGAACTGCAAAGAAGAAAGAAAAGCTGGTTATCCTGCTGTCAATCATACCAAAAACAGTACAATAAATGTATTCAAGTCTGTCCACAGTGAACCGGGAAGGCATGACACGTGCCATCTCACTGATTTCTTTCAAACTTTCACAGTTTATGATGGTCACTACGTTTTTCGAGAATTCAGAGTGGTTCTGGCTCCCGGCTCATCTCTGGGTTATAAGAGCCCCTGCATCAAATCCCTGGGGTAAAAGGCCGTTGTGGTCTGGCCTTGATTCCGAAATCGGGGGCACTTGCAACACTTCCTTCCAAAAATTGCAAACTCCTCAACGCATTACAGCCAAAGTCCTCGCAAACTGATTTAACTAACTCATAATAGCCTCCTTAGAGGAAAGTTAAGATAGACTTCTCTACTCTACCCTTCACGGTTAAATGTAACAGGAACAACTGTCCTGTAATGTACCCAAAATTCGATGGAGTCCTCTTCAAAGTTTCTCACAGAAAAAAAATTATGCTGCATTAAGTAAAATTATGATAGACATATAAAGCGTTTCATTTGTGTCATAAACATTTGGCAAACGTCGCTGTCAACTGACGACGTCCATTACTCAATTTGACATCTGTGAGGGAAATAATAAAACAAAAGTGAAGCGAGGAATCCCAGCGTGAAACCCTATTGATATGTTTTTACTTTACATCACGTTACATGATGAACTATTGAGGGGTTGCCTTACCTCGGTAATAAGCTCCGTCTCGAAGTTTATATACACTTCCGAGTCTTTGTTCAGGAGATTGAGGTCGAAATTGTACTGTTTCCTCCGAAAGGCAAATCGCACGCCTGCTGTGGAGCGGAGATAAACCAGCAATTTTCATATGCGCGTGTTTCACCGATAATGGCTCATGACATACGGTTAAAATCAGCGCATTGAAATTCGAAACGCGAACGTGCCCGCTTCTTATCATGATATCAGTTTATCACACCCGTGAAACTTTCTCCTAAGTTTTAAATGCTATGATGTTATCATTTGTCCCTTTTGGAAGCCTTCGCTAGTCTACTTTATAAATAGAAACGTTACCATAGGGGGACTTCCGCGCGACATTTTTTTAGGAAAAGTGTTTTCCTTGCCCTGGATCTTTCTTTCTGTAAAACCGGACAGAAACGTAGGTACTGATAACTTTCTGAAGGAGATACCTTTCTCAATACGGTCCTGGTAGTTGCCAACTTCGCAAAAAAGGTCATAAGACGTTTTACAAAGCTATTAAATGGTGCTCCTAAAATCTTAATGACCACTGTCTCAGCACGATAGAATCTGCAAGTCAAAAATCATGACTTCATCATCGGCTGTGTAGTAAGACCTTGAATCATTTTAATTATGAGAGTATTATCGGCTGCGAGAATGAATTGATTTTTTAAGTCACTCGGATACCTAGCTGAATAGCAAATAAATATGAAACAAATCATAGGTCGATACCTGTGTCTGATGGTGAAGAGTTAGTCATCGGTTGTGGTGCCAAAGTTGGTATCAGCGTTGAGGTCACTTGAGGTGTTGCACTTGCAATTAGTTTTGTTTGTTCTTCGGAGGGTTTTTGTACCACTTCGGTTGTTGCTGTGGGTTGAACGGTAAAATTGTGTTGAAGACGTAATTTCGTCGGTTGTACAGATGAATTTCCCTGTGGATTCAAAGTTGGCATCGGCGATGAAGTCACTTGAGTTGTTGCATTTGCAGTTAGTTTTGTTTGTTCTTCTGAGGGTTTTTGAACCACTTCGCTTGTAGCTGTGGGTTGAACGGTTACATTGTGTTGAAGACGTTGTGTTGTCACTTGTTCGGATGAATTTGCCTGTGGATCTAAAGTTGGTATCGGAGATGAAGTCACTTGAGGTGTTGCACTTGCAGTTAGTTTTGTTTGTTCTTCTGAGGGTTTTTGTACCACTTGAGTTGTAGCTGTGGGTTGAACGGTTAAATTGTGTTGAAGACGTAATGTCGTCGGTTGTAGAGATGAATTTGCTTGTGGGTCCAAAGTTGGTATCGGCGATGAAGACACTTGAGTTGTTGTGTTTGCAGTTAGTTTTGTTTGTTCTTCTGAGAGTTTTTGAACCACTTGAGTTGTAGCTGTGGGTTCAACGGTTAAGTTGTGTTCAAGACGTAATGTCATCGGTTGTACAGATAGATTTGCCTGTGGATCCAAACTTGGTACTGGCGATAAATTCACTCTAGTTGTTGCATTTGCAGTTAGTTTTGTTTGTTCTTCTGAGGGTTTTTGTACCACTTCAGTTGTAGCTGTGGGTATGACGGTTACACTGTGTTGAAGACGTTGTGTTATCACTTGTACGGATGAAGTTGCCTGTGGATCCAAACTTGGTATCGGCGATGAAGTCAGTTGTGGTGTGGTACTTGCAGTTAGTTTTGTTTGTTCTTCTGAGGGTTTTTGAACCACTTCGCTTGTAGCTGTGGGTTGAACGGTTACATTGTGTTGAAGACGTTGTGTTGTCACTTGTTCGGATGAATTTGCCTGTGGATCTAAAGTTGGTATCGGAGATGAAGTCACTTGAGGTGTTGCACTTGCAGTTAGTTTTGTTTGTTCTTCTGAGGGTTTTTGTACTACTTGAGTTGTAGCTATGGTTTGAACGGTTAAATTGTGTTGAAGAAGTAATGTCGTCGGTTGTACAGATGAATTTGCTTGAGGGTCCAAAGTTGGTATCGGCGATGAAGTCACTTGAGTTGTTGCGTTTGCAGTTAGTTTTGTTTGTTCTTCTGGGGGTTTTTGAATCACTTCAGTTGTAGCAGTGGGTTGAACGTTTACATTGTGTTGAAGACGTTGTGTTGTTGGTTGTGCAGATAAATTTGCTTGTGGATCCAAAGTTGGTATCGCCGATGAAATCACTTGACTTTTCGCACTTGCAGTTAGTTTTGATTGTTCTTCTGAGGGACTTTGTACCACTTGAGTTGTGGCTGTGGGTTTAACGGTTAAATTTTGTTGAAGACGTAATGACGTCGGTTGTACAGATGAATTTGCTTGTGGATCCAAAGTTGGTATCGTCGATGAAATCACTTGACTTTTCGCACTTGCAGTTAGTTTTGATTGTTCTTCTGAGGGACTTTGTACCACTTCAGTTGTAGCTATGGGTTTAACGGTTAAATTTTGTTGAAGACGTAATGACGTTGGACGTACAGATAAATTTGCTTGTGGGTCCAAAGTTGGTATCGGCGATGAAGTCACTTGAGTTGTTTCGTTTGCAGTTAGTTTTATTTCCTTTTCTGAGGGTTTTTGGACCACTTCAGTTGTAGCGGTGGGTTTAACGGTTACAATGTGTTGAAGACGTCGTGTTGTTGGTTGTGCAGATGAGTTTGCATGTGGATCCAAAGTTGGTATCGCCGATGAAATCACTTTACTCGTCGCACTTGCAGCTAGTTTTGATTGTTCTCTTGAGGGACTTTGTACCACTTCAGTTGGAGCTGTGGGCTCAACGGTTAAATTGTGTTGAAGACGTAATGTCGTCAGTTGTACGAATGAATTTGCCTGTGGATCCAAAGTTGGTATCGACGATGAAGTCACTTGAGGTGTTGCACTTGCAGTTAGTTTTGTTTGTTCTTCTGAGGGACTTTTTACCACTTGAGTCGTAGCTGTGGGTTCAACGGTTAAATTGTGTTGAAGACGTGATGTCGGTTGTACAGATGAATTTGCTTGTGGGTCCAAAGTTGGTATCGGCGATGAAGTCACTTGAGTTGTTACGTTTGCAGTTAGTTTTTTTTGTCTTTCTGGAGGTTTTTGTACCACTTCAGTTTTAGCTGTGGGTATAACGGTTACATTGTGTTGAAGGTGTAATGTTGTCGGTTGCGCAGTTAAATTTGACTGTGGATCCAAAGTTGGCATTTGCGTTGAATTCACTTGGAGCATTGGCTCCTGGTTGGATTTAGACGAC